AATGTAACTTGTAAGAAAACTCTCCTTGAATGTTCTGAAAAGAACGGAAGTGTTTTGTAACGAAAACAATAAGGTTGACTAAAATATAATTTTAGTCAACCTTATTGTTTTCGTTACAAATCCACAACCAAAACAGCTCTCTAAAGAGCAAACTAATACCACTACTGCAGCTTCCCAACAGTCTGGCACCACAACAACACCCTCCCTTCCCTCCCATTATAATTAGAATTCAACAACACTTTGTGTTGTATTAATTGGCTTTTGTCTTATATATCATTGATTTGCTCAGTGATTTCCTTTGACGCTTTTGTGTCTTCGATTGGCTTTGGCCTTATCATTGATGGGTTTCCCACGATCTTTTTTAAATTTCCGTCGTTGATTCGCTCAACGATGTTTGCGTCGCATCAATGCGACAAGGAACAAATTTATTTATATGATCTAAATTCGTCCCAGAGCTATTATCCATTCAATGTAGTTTTTCTCAAAGCAATTTGAGTTTTTTCATCACATTCTAGTATCCATTTCTCGGGACAACTGTAAAACAATAAAGGTTGTTGGTTGACACTCCATCTCCAATGAAGCGACACTTCCTGGAGAGGAGACAGAAACTAACCCATTGTTATTAATCTATTATTGTTTGAAGTTACATAACAATTATGAATAGTAAGTTACAAAGTTTTTCGAGATTACAAACAGAATGGGAAGTTATACCAGCAAAAATTTACGCATTTCGTGTCAAAATACCTTGGGTAATAATTATTCATTACTTCGATTACAGACTACTATTCTCAATGTAAGTTACGTTTACAATTTTAAAAAGCTGCAGCACTGAAATTGACGTACCGTGAAGAATTCTTATTTCTGAGCCGTTGCTTTAGATTGCGGGTAATATAATGATATTTTATTGTTACTGTGGGAATATGACTTAATGTTGTGTTTTAATCAATTTAGCCCAACAGCGCAATTTTGTTTAGTTTTTTATCATTTGATAAATCGTAATTCCTTTCTCTGTTTCGCGAAAGAGCAATTGAGTAACAAATAAACTTTGCTTACAGTCTTTAATATCGAGCATTAACTTATTTCAACAATATTAGGTTACTAACGGTTTACCTTCTGTCTCCTCTCATGGAGGTATCGCTTCTTTGGAGTTGGAGTGTCAACATTTTTTTGTTGTACATGATAGCGTGCGGTAAAGGAGAGCTGGATTTGTTTTTTAGCCATACTGTCAGGCGTGAGGATTGTTCGACCGTTGCTTTTTGTTGAATGAATTACAAAATTTATTTCTTTTTTTCAAAGGTTGACATAACTTTCAGCCTGATGATGAATTGGTGTAATTTGTTTTTGAGAAATTTTCTTCGGTACAACTCGTGTATTTGATAGAGTGAATGTATGAGGAGTGATGATTTGTTTTCCTTGGATTTCATGATATACATTGCTTGTTGGTATGATAAACTTAAATTAAATTCATTCATTTTCAACAATCTTTTTAAAATGTCATAAAATAATATTTCTTGTTCTAATTTGATCATAATTTTAAATGCAAAGATTGGAATGTAGGAGGTATCAATAATTTCCTTCTTCTTTTCAATGAAATAATCAATCAAATATATCAAAGTTTCATCCTTTCCCATCCATCCAAAATAATAATTTTTATATAAATATTCAATATATTCAATGAGAGCATATTTGTGTTGTTGAGAATTTGCATTTAAATGATCAAGTTTTGAAAAAGATAAATAATACAACCATGTATATTGTGAGAAGGATAAATCAATCATTGTGGATTTAGAGAGTTGATTGAGTATACAGGAAAATATACACACACGAATAGTCTCAAGTTTACACACACACACACGATTAATAGTACTACCAAATATACACACACACACACACGAATAGTTATAAATGATGATAATTATTTTACAAATAATATATAAAGAGACATGATCGACATTAACAATGAAACTAAATAGTGCAATCGAATTCCAATCACTGATCCTTTGAAAAATATTCCGAAAAATCCTTTCTTTCTATTTTCCATATATTGTTTAATTCTTGGAACTCTGATAATGATGATTATATTTCATTGAATCATATCACCTCTTCTTACCTTCTAAAATATCCACAACTAGCACAGAATAATAACAAGACACATAAAATACCTTCTCCGCTAAATACTGTGAATGTTGAGATGAATGTGCTCGATGTGCAGATATATTTACATACCGTTGGTCATGAATGTCACGAAATGTATGTGTGGTATGTGGTGTGTGTGTTGATGATGATGATGATGAGATGAGAGGTGTGTGGATTGGAATTTTTTTGTTGTTGTAAAATTTCCGCTCTCAAAGATTCATAATGATTGAAAAAGATTCAACAACAACAACAACGCTCGTGGAAAAACGTACCTTAAAAAAAGCATCCACAAATTCTAACTTTTAGTTACACTATTTACACACTCACTTTTCATCCAACCCAACTCAATCATTTTCGTGTTTGCTTGGAGCACAATTTGAGTCCACACCAACCAAAACTACACATTGTTCAGGCTTAACTTCACAACCCTCCTTGGTTATCATCATCATAGAGAGTCTCAAGTTGTTTCTCTCCATTGTTGATTTGTTGACCACCACCACCACCTCTCTGTCAGGTACATTTTACATGTAGTACCATCCATTATTGAAACCATTACCGTTGCACATAGCTATTACACCTTCTTTAAAACTCTTCTCGCAACAACAACAACAACTTTTTGAAAAAACTTGGGAAAATGCCATCACGTTTTCGATTCCGTCATTTCTCACGATTCACAGCATCACACGCCTCTAAATTTCTTCGCATTTCTCAATTCCTAAAACACTACCTTGCAAAATATAATTATTGTTTAGAACGATATCCATTTCTTACACAAGGAATATCAGCTGCATTTCTATTTGGATCTGGAGATTATATGTGTCAATGTATTGAACACCATCAACAACAATCATCATCTGAACACCACCAACAACAACAATCATCATCTGAACACCACCAACAACAATCATCACTCGGAAATGAAGGAACACCAAATCCTCTTTTCATTGATCTTGAACGAATGTTCCGAATGATGCTTTATGGTAGTCTTGTATTTGCTCCATCTGCTCATTTGTGGTATAAATATTTAGATAAGAGAATGATCATTTCAAAACATAACAAATTTAAACAAATTTCAAAGAAGGTATTCATGGATGAATTTGTATTTACTCCAGTGATTTTAATAGCATTCTTTTCATGCATGACAAGTATGGAACATTTTTATGAGCAATTATTTGACAAGAATAAGAGTAATAGTACTAATCATAAGAATGAGAATAATAAGAATGAATGGTCGAGTCCTAGTACTGTAGATCATACTCCATCCATTATTAGTAGTAGGTCTTCCAGTAGTAGTAGTAGCGAATGGTCGAGTCCTAGTACTTTAGATTCTAATATTTGGAAGAGAGGAGAAGAAGATCAATTTACAACCATTCAAAATATAGATGAAATCATCCATAATGATCGTCGTACTTTATCTCATGAGTCTTCAACACCAGATTTACCTCACAAAATAATGTCAAAATTGAAAAAGGATTATTTTCATACATTTTTAGTAGATATGATCGTATGGCCACCACTTCAATATTTGTAAGTTAATAATTGAAAGTTTTTTGAACAATTAATGTTGTTGAATGATGATTTTACAATGATTTGACAATGATTCTTACATGATTCTCAAATGACTGTTAAATCAATCTCAATATCAGTAATTTCTTTTTGGTTCCATCAGCGTATCGAGTACTTTATATCAACTTTTGTTGTATCTTTTGGAATGCCTTTTTGAGCATGCAACAACACAAACATTAAATAATTTCAGAATTTGAATTGAATTTGTTGAAATCATCTTTTTGCTAGCCCGCCAAAGAATTTTTTATTAAAAAAAATGTGGCAACAAGAAGAGGATGACGGTGGTGGTGAATTCATAGCCTACTCTCGTGATGATCCTCTATTGGGAAATATTGATGATGCATGGACCTCTAACCACCATGGTGAGGAGGACAATGATTCACCCGAGTACAAACATTTAAAGGATTCCATCATATTTTTAATTGATACTCAATCCTCCATGTTTGATCAACTAGTATCCACAACAACTCAACAACAACAACCCCAACCACCATTCATCCTAGTGAACCCTCACAAGTATCAAGTAGTACTAACACAACTCTTTCTGGTGATTCTAAACTCGATTCCATTCCCTTCTTCATGACACTCAAAGCAGTTGCTAATACTTTGAGTGATAAAATTATATCCAATCCAAGTGATGTGTTGGGTGTTGTCTTTTACAATACCAAAGAGAAACTCAATCAATTTGATTTTAATCATATTTATGTATATCATGATCTTGATACACCAGATGCTAAAAGAATTAAAGATATTGAGAATTTAATCAAACAAACCAATCATGGTTCTCAATCATCTGTAGTCACCAGTTGTTTAGAATCTCCACCGTCAGTGAATACGATTCATGAAGCACTTTGGACTTGTCAACATTTATTTTCTCTTTCTTCCTCTCAATTAGGATTTAAAAGAATCTTTTTATTCACCAATGATGACAATCCATGTAGAGATGATACTTCTGCTAGAATTAAATCGATTGAAAGAAGTAGAGATTTACTCAACAGTGATATTACGATAGATTTATTTGTATTGAAATCTCCACCTCAGTCTTTTAAAAGTGAATTATTTTGGAGAGAAATGATTCATATTGATGATGATGAATATACAGGTAATATTACGTATGATTGTGCAGTAGCATTTAAAGATTTGAGAGATAAATTGAGAAGAAGAGAATTTAAAAAGAGAGGAATTACATCCATTCCATTCGTGATTGGAGAAGGCAATGACAATGATTCGTGTATGGTCTATCATTGTACATTGTATTCGTGTGTGAGTAAGGCTAAAAAACCACCTGCTATTTTATTACATTCAGATACCAACAAACCATTGAAATGTGAAACTAAATATATTTGTGAAGATACAGGAACAGAATTAATGAAACAAGGTCATGGTGGTGGTGGTAATACAGCTACAGAATTTGCTAATACTACTGTTGGTACTGTTGGTACTACTAATTTAATGGAAGGATCTAATTTTCAAAATGATATGGTCTATTACTATGACTATGGTAATCAGAAAGCTGAATTTACATTGGATGAATTATCAAAAATACGTCAACTCCATACAGGTCGAAGTACTATGAATGTTACTATGAATGTTACTACTAGTCATAGTATAGGAGCTCCTATGATGAATGCTACTTTGAATACTACTACTACTACAACTACTACTACTACTCAACAAACAACCACTACTACTACCACTACTACTACCACTCAACACACAACTCCATCCATCAAAAACGAATATACTCAACCTGGAATCAAATTATTAGGATTTAAACCCAAGAGTCGTCTCAAAGTCTATCACAATTACAAATCGAGTGGTTTCCTCTATCCCAATGATCACAAAATTCAAGGAAGTCTTTTATCTCTATCTGCTATTCACAAAAAGATGATTGAAATGGATAAGATTGCAATTTGTAGATTCATTCAACGAGAAGGTATCATGCCACAATATGTTGCTCTTATTGCTCAACAAGAAGTATTGGATGAACAAGATCATTCTCAAATCGTACCACCTGGATTTCAAATTATATTTCTACCCTATGCAGATGGTATTAGAAAACCACAACAATTTGAAAATCAATCAAAACCATCAGACAAACATGTTCAATTGGCAAAGAAATTAGCTAAAAAGATGCAAATTGATTTTAATTCTTCTTTTTTCAATAATCCATCTCTACAACAATTTTATCAATCCTTACAAGCATTGGCATTGGAACATTCAGAAGTGGAACAAATTGAAGATACATTGAAACCTGATATTGAAGGAATGAAAAAGTATCAATCATTGATGGAAGAATTTAAAGAAATTACATTCCCTAAAGATTATCAACCGATTGCATCCAGTAAGAGTTCATCTCGTAGTAGTAGTAGTGCTGCTGCACGTTCCAAAGCTTTAGAAGGGGTTGAGAAAGAAGAAGAAGCAACATCGAGTCTCAAGGTCAAGACAGAAGAAGACAATGAAAAGAAATCTTCTAAAAAGAGAAAAAAACAAAATGATGAACAAGACAATGATGAAGATAAGGTGAAACCCAAAGAAAAGAAGAAAAAGAAGGAAATTAGTAGTGATGATGATGAAGAAGAAATTGATATGGTTCAACTGATCAAGGATGGTAAGGCTGACAAACTCACTCTCGATATTTTGAAAGAATTTTGTAAACAATACAAATTGAAAGTGAGTGGATCGAAAAAGGATCTCATTCAGAGAATTACTGACTTTTTAAAACAAAAGAAGAAGATTTAGAATTCCATGATCAGTAGTTACAATTAAATTTCAATTTCTTCAAGAAGTGTTTGAAGGACTGAAAGGTAATCTCAAAACTTGTGTGTTGAATAAATTTCTCAAAAGCCGTTGCATGAAACATTTTTCATTTCTTCTTTGTAGTGGTTGTACTTTTTTTCGTTGGATCAATAATTGTTGGAATTAATGGTTCCTGTGCTGCATTGCCTGCCACCAGTGAGGTGAACGCTCTTTCAACAACGGTTTCTGGTTGTTGCTGTTGCGAGTTGGATCCACGTTTTGAATTGGAAGGGCTAGGTGGTTTTTGTGTGGTGGTAATTTTGACTTGACATGCAAAATATTTCTCTCCTTTTTTTAGATATTTACTGCCATGCTCCATGGGGTTGGTATGAATCATGCAACATTCACCTGTTTTGAAATGCACGAGATCTAGTATTTCTACGTCTTGATAACTGCATACTTCTTTGATTTTGTCTAATAATACAATTGTTTTATCCATATCAAAATTAAATATTTGTATTTCCTCTTGAGGTTGAGGAGGGGGTTGATTGGTGGAAGAGTCTTTGTGAGTGGTAGCTGAGGCTTTCCTTGATCGGGGTGATTTCAATGAGGTTGAGCTAGCTTCATTTCTGGGCGATTTCATTAATTGAGGAGGTTCATTTGAGGAGGTATCGGGAGGAGATGGAATATAAATCTTGGTCACTAGATAAAAAAAGGACATGGTGCGTGTGCATGGGTGTGTTGTATTTTTTTATGAATCGGGGAGACATGGAATGCGTGAGGTTTGTTTCATGATGTGTCAAGAGTGCGTTGAATATGGAGGAATGCCCTTTTGAATGACTCAAGTTCTCTAACTCAAGAGAAGTGTGCATGTTGTTTGCTCACGATCTTTCCAACGTTTGCTTGTTCAACTCCATCGAAAACACCATTGACTCCTTACAGTTCCCTTCGATTTACTTTCCAACGTGTACACACAACCCTCAGACATGATGACGTTGAATAAAAATCATCATAATTTTTAAAAAAAATATCACTCGTAGTAGATTTTGTTGCTCTTTCAGAAATTACCATCATCCTCTGTCAATCACCATGGAGAAATTACTTCCAATTATAAATAGTGTTCAGGATGCATTTGCGAATGTGGGATTTAATGAAACTATTGATTTACCTCAAATCGCAGTTGTTGGATCACAATCTTCTGGTAAATCATCCGTGTTGGAAAATGTTGTCGGAAGAGACTTTCTACCAAGAGGAGCAGGAATTGTAACCAGAAGGTATGTACATTCCATGTGGTTGTTGTTATAATTATTATTTGGTGTGTGATTATTTAGACCTTTGGTTTTACAATTGATTAACATTCCATCCAAATACAAGGGTATGTAATAGAAGATTTCGCAATGTCCATATATATAAATATATACACACAACACAATATTCAAAATGACATTCATCACACACTGTATACATTAAAATCACTTTCCATGATACCACAGAAGAAGTATCGGAACAAAAAAAACAAGAAGAAGAATATGGAGAATTTTTACACTTACCAAACAAAAAGTTTTATGATTTTGCAGAAATTAGACAAGAAATTATTAGAGAGACGGATCGAGTCACTGGAAGTAGCAAGGGTATTTCACCCGTACCAATCAATTTGAAGATTTATTCTCCCTAGTAAGTTTATATATAATTCCATCATTGTATTTTGACCCAATGGAATGCATCATGTTAAACCAATGGAATCGAATTCATCATCCATATATGATATTACACTAAATTCATCATCCATAACACCCCATCCAACACAATTTCGTCGAATTCATTCATTGGATAACAACAATCATCATCTCTTAGTGTACTCAATTTAACTCTTATTGACTTGCCAGGTATTACCAAAGTACCAGTCGGTGATCAACCCAAAGATATTGAACTTCAAATTAGAAATATGATTTTACAATACATTACCAAACCCAATTGTCTCATTTTGGCAGTTACTGCAGCGAATACAGATCTTGCCAATTCCGATGCATTGAAATTAGCAAAACAAGTGGATAAATCTGGTCTTCGTACATTGGGAGTATTAACCAAAGTGGATATTATGGACAAAGGAGTTGATTGTTTAGACATTTTAAGAGGTGAAGTCTTACCTCTCAAATTAGGTTATATTGCAGTCGTGAATCGATCTCAAAATGATATCAATAACAACAAGTCGATTCGAGAAGCACTCAAGGATGAAGAAGCCTTCTTTAGAAATCATCCATCGTACCGTAGTGTTGCGGACACTTTAGGAACGAAACATTTGGCAAAAACTCTAAATAAGATTTTATTGGAACATATTAGGGAAACGTTACCAGATTTGAAGAATAAGATTAATACATTGACTTTACAAGCTCAACAGAAAATGAGAGAATATGGTAGTGGACCTATCAGTGGAGACTCTCCAGGTGCTCTTCTTTTACAACTCTTGACTGATTATACCACTGAATATGTTGAAAGTATTGAAGGTAGAAATACTGATATCATCAAGACGAATGAATTATTTGGTGGTGCTCTCATTAATCACATCTTTGTATCAAAATATTATCCACAAATGTCTGAAATTGATGCTTGCGAGAATTTGACAGATTATGACATTCGAACTGCAATCAAGAATGCCAAAGGCTCTAGAACTTCCTTATTTGTACCTGAAGCTGCATTTGAAATTTTGGTTCGAAGACAAGTGAAAAATCTAGAAGATCCAAGCATTCATTGTGTCGATCGAGTCTTTGAAGAATTGGTCAATATTGAAGAATATTGTGAAAAGAAACTAGTAAGATTCCCAAATTTGAGAGAACGTGTGAAAGAATTTGTCATGCAATTATGGAAAGAATATTCTATTGAATTGAAAGAATTTATTAGAAATTTAATTAGAATTGAATTAGCCTATATTAATACGAATCATCCAGATTTCTTGGGAGGTGGTCGTAATGTATTTTCTCTCATGATGACCAAGAGTCAACAACAACAACGAATGAATCGAGCACAAAGTGGAGATCAATTACCATCTTCTCATCCATCTTCTCATCCATCTTCTCATTTGAAATCTTCTCAACCATCCATGATGCATCCTTCTCGTAGTCAAGGTCAAATTCCAAATGAAGATTCTCATGATTCTATTTATGATTATCAACCCAATAGTGCTACTAGTACTACCAATGGAACCAAATCCAATCCAAGTAACATGAATGTCATGGGTATATTAGGTGGTAGTTTAGAAGAACGTGAAAAACAAGAAGTAGATATTATTCGAGCATTATTAACTGCGTATTTTGATAATGTTGTAAGAAAGAATATTTGTGATAGTGTTCCTAAAGCAATCATGCACTTTTTAGTGAACAAGTCTAAATTGAATTTACAAAGTGAACTCGTGAAGGAATTATACAAACCAGAATTATTTGAGACTTTATTGAAAGAAAATGAAGCAGTGGCTCGAGCAAGAAAGGCTACACAGAAAATGTTAACAGCACTGTCCAAAGCACAAGATGCATTGAGTCAAGTGAAGAATGTTCGAATTTAATCATATATGGATATCCATAAAACTATGTGTTCCAATTGAACTCTTCTGATCATGTTTTGTGGGTGTTTTATGATCCAAAAAACTTTAAAAAAAATGCATCATTATGGTAGAAGTGGTGATGGTCACTATCATCACACTCCAAAAACTCTTTATCATTATTACATGACTCTAAAATTTCATCATCATCATTCACATCACCATTCTGAATCTTTACACAATCTCTTTCAATCTCACTCGTATTATGATTCACATTTAAAATCTTCATTGGATTATTCTCGGAGAGTGAAAATTCAATCTCCTCATGTACATGCCATCACTGGTATGGATTTAGATCGAACAGATCAAAAGAGATTTTTATTATCCTGTGGAAATGATCGAATCATTGCCATCTATGATTGTTTACCATCGATTGTGAATGGATTTGAATATTATGAAAATTTAATAGAAGAAGAATCATTTCTTTTAAAAAAGGATCGAATGACCAATAATAGTACTACTCAACAACATTATCATCATCATATTCATAATAATAATAGTCATAATAATATTCATAATAATATTCATCATAATACTAATCATATTCATAATAATACCAAAAAGACTACTACTACTGGTCCCAAAAAGATTCAACCCATCATTAAACCCATTCACACCTTTCGACCATCCTCCACATCACTCACTGGTGTCATGTGGTATCCCAATGATTGTGGAATGTTCTTTTCATGTGGTAAAGATCAAATGTTAAATGTCTTTGATACAAGTACCATGACATGTGTTTCATCTTTTGATTGTTTGAGTAGTATTTATTCGATGGATATGTTCAAAAGTACTAGTAGTGGCACCACCACTCCTAGCACATTGATTGCATGTGCATTAGAAGATCATTCCATTCGTATTTGTGATTTAAATTCAGGTGCTAATATTCAACAATTTATTGGACATTCATCGAAGGTGAGATGTGTGAAATGGTCACCACATTCAGAATATATATTTGCTAGTGCTAGTAATGATGGAACTATTCGATTATGGGATATTCGAACCTCAGGATGGTTATTATGTATGGATCAATTTCAAATAGCAAATCAACAACGATCGTTAGAAGGTTTAAAAAGAAAGGGTGGTTCTGGTAGTGGTGGTAGTAGTGTGGGTTCTGGTAGTGGTGTGAGTTTGAATGTGGGTACGAGTGGTAGTGGTGGTAGTAATATGGGTGTGGATATGGATAAAAGAAGCATGGGTAGTACAAGTGGTGCAAGTAGTAGTAGTAATACGAGTTCAAGTACTTTAAATCGTACAACATCTTCTTCTAAAAACAGCAGCACGAAAAAGATGACAAAATCTAAAAACAGTTATACTAAATTTGGTTCTACTAAATTTTCACCAGCTAAAGCCTATAATTATATCAATATCAAAGTACCATTGGCTCACAATGATCATATTAATTCACTTTGCTTTTCCAATGATGGTGAATATTTATTTAGCTCATCCAATGATCAACGAATGATGAAATGGGTGACACAAACAGGAATGAATACTCAATTTAATTGTAAAGTGTACAATGACATTTCGAGTTCACAATCCTGTCAATTGATGTGTCATGGTGGAAAGTATTCAAAATTGATATTTCATGCAGCTGAGAGTTTTGTTGAAATGTTTGATCAAGAAAGTGGAGAAAAGATTTTACCTCATGTACGAGAATCTTCTTCATCCCATTATGGTAAAATATTGAGCATGTGTTTTGATGAGAATCGACAAGTATTATACACAGCAGGAACTGATTTTGCAATTTCCATATGGGACACTAATTATGGAATGTTTGCAAGTCCTGAAGAACAGGTCATGTTCAATGACATGGATGATTGGAGTGATTAGAATGATGTATGTCCATATTGTTGATGATGAAGAAGAGAGTTTTTTGAGTCATTGTGAAGAATAGTTTAATTAAGAACTAGTAGAGGACTGGTGGATTGAGGACTGGATCAAAACGAACCCGAGTAGTGGTTGAGTTAATGAGGAATCCTAATTTTATGCAAAATATGACGTTGAGTGGCAGAGATGGTAATTAGATAATTTTCAAAGTTCAAAACTCCAATCACGACCAACAAGCGAGGATTTAAATCTTCCATTTCAATAATGCTGTATAAATGTTCTAAATGAGTTTCTAACTTCAATTGCAATGTTCCATCCCTATTCCAATAATAAACATTTGCTCCTCCCAACGATACCATACAATCTTTGGCTATTTTCACATCACTCGTTTTTCCACTCATGATAATTCTGGCTGGTTTGGAGAGATCAAATTTCACAGAATACAAACTCATAAAATTCGTGTCCATACTTGACGCAAGCAACCAATGTCCATTCGGTTCATCCAATGAGAAGTTACACGTTGAAATTCCACTCGTTGAAAAGCCAAATGGATCAATGATTGTTGTGCTAACATTTCCTAGGGATGAATGAACAATTCGAATCAAACCATCTGCACATCCTACAAATAATTGAGTGTTTTGATTCACGTGTGATTGAATTGAATGAATAGCAACACCACAAATTTGTCCATTATTATTACTAGTGATTCGAGTAACATGCTCTAATTTTGTAGTATTCATATCAATACCATAAATATATCCATTATCAAATCCAATATAAATCAATGGATCAACTAATTTCATACAATTAATAATTTCACCATGATGAGAATTTTCAGTACTATCCTTGTATAGAGAAGGAGTAATTGTGAAAATTGGATTTTGAGATTTCATTAATAAATCTTTAAATTTCCAAACTTTAATCGATTGATGACTCGCAGTGTAAATGAAACATTCACGAGGATTGTTATCTAGACAAGTAATAGGGTTGGTAGTGAGAGGATCCAATGTATCTTCATCCATTTCTTCATTGATTTGAAATCGTATTTGAATGGATTGAATTGCAGAGTGATGAATTTCACAAATAGATACAAATTCTAATTTTGAAAAATCAAAAATTAATAATCTTCCATTATCATCTCCGAGTAGAATGTAATGCTGTTGAGATGAAATTTGTAAAGATTCAAGACAAATAATTTTGAATGGTCTTGTAAGAAATTCTTTTTGCATTTGGAGAATGTCTTGACCATTCGGATGAAAATTTTCACTGAACGGAAGTGTGAATGATGATGAAGATGTTGCAAAAGACATTTTTTTTCACAAAAATTTGGAATTTATTATTTCTTTAATTAATATTGATCATGAATTTTGTGAATCATGTGACGTGGTTACGAACTGTCATATTCCAATAAATTAGCATTCACAATACTTGTATTATTCTTTTTGTTATTCTTCTTCTTCTTTTTAGCATGATTTGAATCATGAGGAACAGTCATGCTGGTATGAATGATAGCATCATTTCGTTTTCTCTTTTTCACTTCCACAACTTGAAAATCTGAAATTGGTAGTACAGAATTTGTATTAGATAATCCAACACTTTTCTCTTGGAGATTGATGTTATCATCATCTTTATCATCGGGAAGAACAGTAGATAAATTTACAGATCCAACACGATCCATTTCACCTTTCAAATATTTTGCAATTTCTTCTTCCTCTTGTTTTTTTATTTCTCTTTCTTTTTCTTTCATTAATTCTTCTTGTTCTCTCAAATAATGAACATCATCTTCATCTAAGGATTTAGGTCCTTGTGGAGCGTTTTTCTCTTCAATTTCTTTTTGTTTTTTAAGTTTGTTTTCCATGAGCCGTTCATACAGTGTACGATGATCATCATCCTCCTCTTGTTCCGAAGTGGTCAATGAAGAAGGCTTATCGAGGGCTGCCCATCTACTATGAGAATGTTGCTGTTCACTACTCATCTCATCTTCGCTCTCGTATGCCTCATCATCTTTTGTTTTTTTAATGGATGTTTGGGTGGTGGTTTCGGATTGATGATCAGGAAGCAAGACTTGAGAGGATTTAAATTGCAATTTTGTTCGGGAAGAAAAGGTTTCTAAAAGAGATTTTCGTTTGGAGGATGCATCATTGATCATGGATTTGGAATTTGTGGATGATGATCGGAGAGAATTTGTGGTGGTGTGCTTCTCATCTTCATTCGCATACGTTGATTCATCATCACTGAGGATTTTTAATCTCAGACCCACACACCCAGCAAAAATGAACCTGGGATTGGGTGAGTTGGGTGTGAGGACGGCGTTTAATCTCAAACACAACACAAATCCAAATCAATCTTCAAAAAAAAATATTTCTGCAACAAATATGATGATCATCAGCGTTTTATTATTGAAATTTGAACAAAGTGTTTGGCATGGTTTTAACCAACGGATTGCTTTTCAAAATAGCGTTCGAACATAGAACAGCTACCATTGCAACATATGGAAGCAAAGATTTTCTTTGTCTCCATCTTGTTGCCGTTGCTGATAATCGTTTTACATATCCGAAGGTCATTTCTACAATCATTCTCTCAGATTTGTGTTGCACAAAGAGATCAGGCTTACTTCTGATGATGGTTGATGTTGGAAGTACCAATTCAACTCCATGTTTGAATGTTTTTGCTTGATATCCACCATCAGCAAGGACCATCACACCCTGTAAGTATTTTTGGATATTACTGAAGAATAATACATCTTTGTCGTTCTTGCTTCCAGGAAAACCAACCGTAAAATGTAAAAATCTGCCTTGAAGATCAACTAACGCTTGTCCGATGAAAGAATGGATACATTTGTCACCACGATAATAGATAGCCTGATCTACACTTGGCTTGGAGATTCTGAAATGCGTTGCATCAAGCGCGCCTATTACTAGTCTATCAATGTTAGAGCTTCCTTGTAATACAGTCAAATGTCCTGGCATAACAACCTCGTTCATATAGGCCGATAATAATATGGGAATAATATGTTTGATTTCCATGCAAACATATCCTTTGGAAACTCCAAACATTTCTGACAGCAGAGCAAATTTGGAATATGATCCCATCCAAACACAGATTAGCAGTAATCTGTTTTTTGGAGTAAGTTTTGAGTATCTGTATTCACGTTTAGTATTGATATTTCTTCTCAAGTCATAATATCTTCTTGGCTTTAACAGTTCTAATTTGATCCTAGAATACATTTCTTCAAACTCAGCACGAGTTAAATGAGTGAAATCCATCAACTTATCGTCATCCCATTTTCCATAATTGTCAACTCCTTCCACCTTACTTTTTGGTTTTCGGTATTGACTTCGTCCTTGCCCACAAAATGGAGTTTTAGTTCTAAATTTTTTGGAAGTATAATATGGCTCTTCTGGTGGCAAAGGCATTACTGGAGGGATTAATGAGCAAGCAAGTAATTGAAGTCTTTTCAAATACTTTTCATCCCATGAGCATGCTTTATACATCAACAATTCTTGTTGTAGGTTATTTAATTTTGATATGAAACTATTGACATTGATATGACTATTTACACCTGGGTAATCAATCAACTCAGGATGAGTAATGATGACAGTTGCTGCCATCATTAAATAAGTGATGACGACATGTAATGTATTAGGCAGCATTTTTTTTCAGTTTGCATTGTAATATTACAATATTACATATTTTCTCAAACTATTGTAAATTTACAACAATTAACCGTTACAACCGTTACAACCGTTACATAATTCACCAACCCTATTTAACGTAGTTGACTAGTATTGTTTTGAAGAATCATCCATTAAAAAAAACAATGGCCAATACTCAACCCAAGAAGAAGCAAAAACCAACCAACACTCAACCTAACTCAAGTCAAGCATCAAGTAGCAATCAATCACAGGACCAATCCAGCACGGGAAAACGATGGACAGACTCTGAAGTCCTTGCTGCATTACAACTTTACAAACAAGACAAGGATTGGGAAAAGGTTGCGAGAAAAATTAAGGAATTATTTGACAACAAAGAATGGAATTGGCATGTGCGTGGTGACAAGAGTTGTGCTGAAAAGTATCGCAGATTGAAGGAGGAATTGAAAAAGGAAATTATTGAATATAGATCAAAACTCTCAGAGAAATTTAATAATCACACTCTGAAAATTAATCAAGATGTCGAATTATGTATTGACGAGGTAGTTATTGGTAAAGGTACCATCTTGAGTGCAAATCCATCTAATAACGAAGATTTATTCCATTGCCACGGTAAAACATATCCATACAACCAATTTGCTAAAATTACAATCAAGTCCCACGATGCAAGTAAGAAAAATTTACTCTTACCATCATCAGTCGTGACATCTGAATTTAAGACAGTTGGTGATTTGCAACAAGGTTCCATCATTGCTTTTCCTTTAACAAATTTATTGATTTTGAGAACTTTTGATTTATTTGAACCAAGTAATCCCATTTTGAAAGAAGTGTGGGATATTGAACGTGATAATCAACAATTTTTATTGACCACCGGAGAACTTAATTCTAATCCAGAAGACAATGTAATTGATCTTGTTGAACGTGATATTCAAGACACCGATCGTAGAAGAAATGCTATCCAAGAAAGAACAGATATTCAGCGCATGCATACCATTCAACATATGACATTCTATAGAAACAGTGAGAAGTGGGCCGAAGTATTGGATAAATTAACGGAGACATTCGAACTGGCCAACACTCTTATGAAGTCACATCAGGGCAAAGATAAGGTTGTTGTGTTGTCTTATAATGGAAAAAGAAAGAAGGTAGTTGTTTCTGACATCAAAGTATTGATTTACTTGTCTGGTGATTTTCTTTCATTCCTTCAGGAAAGAGTAACTTTAGGGGTGTGTACTTTTACTGATTTATTGAACAGAATAGTTCTTACAACCTCCGAAGGATTTATTGTCAATGACACGTATTCATTTGAAGCTCTTTCTTCAACAGAAACCACTGAACTCTCCATCAGTGTCATTGATAGAATGCACGATGATGAATAATAAATTTATTGATATTTCTTTATTCAAAAATTTTTTGAGTGTGAAATGGGTGGGTGGGTGTGAGGTACGGCGTTTAATCTCAACTCACCCAACCTGTGTGGGTGTGAGATTAAAAATCCCCACTGCTGTTGTTGTAACTGATTTTACTCATATTTTAATTTTTTGAACGTGTTGTTACAATTTCTTACCAATGTAAATTGTTCTTGACTCTGTCCCAGACTGTCTGCAACACTTAAAGAATCCAATCCTCCTTCATCTTTAGCTCACCCTTGACATATGGAGTGTATCCCTTAATAATTTCCTCCATGGTTGGTAACTCCTTATTGTTCTTGAAATAATCTTGTTGAGTGTTGATTTGATACATTTTCTTAAGTCTTGATAATTCTTGACCCATCTCAAATCCTTTGAATGTTTTCAAAATGTCTAGGCGTACCAAGAACGGAAGATACATCATATCTGGCATACTTGGTTCATTACCATCGCCCAAAAAGAAGTCTCCCTTATTACCATTCGCTTGTTGCATCTTTTTCAAACCCTCATTTTCTAAAAAAAGTAAACACTCTTCGAGTTTTTGTTTCAATTCTGCTTCCTTGGTTGGATCTTGGTTAAACATGTACTTGTAAATGGTGGGAGCAAGTCGAGTGTTGCAATAGTAAGTCCAAGATCGTTGCATCGCTCTCATGTAGGGATCCTGATGCATGAGATCACGATTAGAATAGACGTCATTGACATATTGATAAATAGCAGCTGACTCATAAATAGCTTTGTTATTGTGGACAAGAACTGGGACCTTCAAATATTGATGTTGATGGGCAAGAGTGAGTACAATAAAGATCAACCTTCTGTTACGTTACCTTTCCGAGGGGAGTCAATTGTAAAAACTCTTTACTCTTCATATTCAGGTTTACGTTAATGTTTTCGTAGGGTACCTGCTTGAAGGCCAAGATGAGTTTGATTCGGTCTACAAAAGGACAAAGCCTTGAACCGTAGAGTTTGAGAGAAGATGAAGACATTTTTTTCTTGTTTGATGGAGGCTTAAAAAGGAAATATTAAAGGCAAGTGTTTAATTGTTAAATAGACACAACATGCCATCATCGCTTCCACTCACAACATATTTTCCTTCAGAATCGAACTTGACAACTTGAACAGCCTCCTTATTTCCTTTTAGCTCTCCTATCGTGTAGTTTGGTTTTGAAGACTCATCTTCCTTAATACCATCTGGACAGAATAATCGAATGGAAGTATCCGCACAAGCTACAGCCAAAACCTTTCCACTTGGATCAAAAGCACACTTATTTGCAGATGTTGGAACATCACTAATGTTGAATTGATTTCGTATTTTCTGTGTTCTCAAATCCCAAACTAAAACAAGTCCATCACAATCCGTAGAGGCCATTGTATCTCCTTGTGGATTAATTGTGACATAATTACAACTGTTTTTGTGTCCATAATAAGTTTGAACACACAAATTTTTGCTATCTGCTCTCATGTCCCACAATGATAAAGTTTTGTCTGCTGAAGCGGTTAACAAAGTATTGGTGAATGGAATACAAACAACGCTATTTACACTGTCCTTGTGTCCTCTGAAAGTTGTCACACATCTCTCTGCTCGAATGTCGAATAATTTGGTCGTTTGATCCATAGAACACGACACTAAAAAGTCTCCACTGTAGTGAAATTGGCAGTCCCACACAGGTAGAGTGTGATCATCAAATGTTAAAGAACAACTGGCAGTAGTGAAATCCCACAGCTTAATTAAGCAGTCACCTCCACTTGTGGCCAAATGAGTTCCAAACGGATGAAAGTCAATGCCGCTCACCCAATCAGAATGACCTTCTCCACTCATGATAACCTTAGAGGAAGGAAGGGACCACGCTTTCCAGGTACCGTCATCGGATGCTGTAGCTACAATAGGCTTCTTTGAATGGACAGCTAATCCAGATATAGCCATACTATGGCTTTCATAATTTTGAGAGAGCTGAAATGTTTCTGCCATTGTTCTTGCCATCTTCTTTTCTCTGAAAGGATTTTTCTTCTCTGGTGGTAATACAGAATCCTTCTTTTTGGTTTTCTTAATCGTTTTGGTCTTTTTACCCTTCTCCATCTCGTTATTGGTAGTATTATTTACAGATGTTGATTCTCCATTTTGCTGTCGAATAATGTTTTCGAGTTCTGTCACCCTATTGGCAAGTCTATCTCTTTCAAGACAGACAAGAGTTTTTTCTTTGAATACTTTGTCATACTTGTTCGTTAATTCCGCAATAAATGGTTCATATTTTGCACAATGATTTTTCATACGTTCGAGCTCTTTCCGCAGTTGATCCCTAGTTTGCACAGTTTGCATGTGACTCATTTTGTGATGATCTTTAACCCGCCTTAGTTTTTCAAACTTTTGTACAACATTTCTGTGATTCGTTGATTAGAGAATACTTGAAATTTCTTATAAATATAACATACTCTGATAGTTGTTTTTGCTGCTCAAGTTGCTTTTTACAAAAGTGTAGCTCCTCTTCTACTCGTTGTAATTGTGTATATGCATCAGGTACGGCATCTGCAGACTCATCCAATTCTCCTTTTTGTTTCTTTTCATACAATTCATCGTTGAAAATTCGCAAACTCTCTTCTAATCCTTTTTTTGACAGAAAATTTCGAATAAAGTCCTCAATCACTTCTGGCTCCTTTTTGAGCTCTGGTGTTGGAGATTGCCTCCGTTTTAATTCAGGTATTTTCTCCTCCTCTATCTTTTTCTTTTTCTTCTCTATCATTCTAAGAGTGCCTTCAAGAGTGTCATCTTCATATTCATCATCTTCATCACCGTCGGAAGCATTGTATGTGTTATCACTACCGAATGAATTGGATAAATCTTGAAATTTTGATCTTCCCTTTTTGTTAAATAACTCTTCCTCTTCTTGTTTCAATTCTTTATAATACTCTTCTTCCTCGCTGTCCATAAGAGCTGAATACAGCTCACTTCTCGTCATCTTGATGGGACCTTTTGATGTCATTTTTTTACGGTTGAAACGATAAAAAAAATTAGGCGCCAAAAACATTCATGCAACCCGGCCATTGTCAGAACGGAATTTAACGCGAGAGCTAGGCTATGACAATTTAATCTTTTTTGATTGAGGAGCTACTGAAAGGAATGAGTACTGGTCTAATAGCTGAACCGATCGTTTCTGAGTCGCTAAGGTCGTAGAGTCTGATGTGCCTTCTTGATTAAATTCAAATACCAAGTCTGAAAAGCCATGATGATGATGTTTGTTGTGATCTACCGTTGATGGATCATCATTCATCAAAGATCTATATAAATGGTAATAAAACATGGACATATCTCTCGTCTCTGTACTTGTAAAGTAGGCAATGGTATGAAAAGATCCACATGATATTTCGAGTTTAGCATTTCTTCGTTTTTTCAATTCATTCTCTAGAAAGAGTACTCTTTGAGGAGTTGCAATACAAGACCTTAAACAATGATCATTTCCACAGGGACATGGAGACGTCGAGTGAGGATCCATCATCATGCTTGTAGACTGTGTGAGGCCTAACGTGTTCTTGTATCGCAACGTTGAAGAGGTAACAACCATGGTTTCATTCGTTCCAATCTCATTCCTACCACTACTACCACCACTACTACTGCCACTACTGATGGTACGATTCGTATTATTAATAGATTCACTACGAATCGCACTACTAGTATTCATTTCACTGTTACTACTACTACCACTACCACCACTACCATCCATACTACTATATTCAAGTGGATTTAAACACAATTCTCCTTGACAATTACTTCCACATACATAGACATGACCTTGTCGGGTTACAATAATCGTTCGATTGGTTCCATAAATTCTCTCAATATCTAAATGACACAAGAGTGATGATTCAGTAAATCGTTTGTACGCAATCAAATCTGAAGATCCTACACCTAAACTACCACAATAATTAATTCCACTCACATATACAACATCATTGTGAGTACCAAGAAATGTTGATAAATATGCCATGTGCATAATCTTGAATGATTTCAACAAGTCATTACCATATTCAGTGACTAGTAATTTACCATTCTTATCAATAAAGCTCTTCTTTTTAAATTTTCTTCGTTCCAATTCGATAGGAGAGCAACAACATGGACATGAAATCCATACTTCTCCATTTTCCATGAGTATTCCAGTATGAAAGAGACCTACTTGAATGTCCTTAATGGAATTCTTCGGCGATGAAGCATACAAATTTGGAATTTCAATGCGTTGAAATGAAAATTTTTCTAATTTTCGTTGCGGACTAATAATTGGCTTGATCGTATGGGTGGTGGAGGTGGAGGTGGTTGTGGTATGAGGAGAGGAGTCTTGGTTATTATTGTTTTGGTTCATGGAAGATCTTGATGGTACATGACATTGATGACTATTATCACCACAAACATACAAGTGATCATTCTCAAAGAGTATGAATGTCGATTGCCAACCACAACTAATGAGTTTTACAGGAAGAGATTGACCTGGGAAAAGACATGTCGATGATGATGATGGTAGTAAGGGTAGTGGAATCTGAGAAGAGGATGAACAGGGAACTTGTACGAGAGTTGATGATACAGAATTCAGAGGAGTTGAAGAGATTTGGTAAGGAGAAAATGAGTTCGTGCTAGCACTCGATGACAGATCCATTGATCTGCTACTGAATGGAGACTTGTCGTTTTGAATATGTACTCGGGTCGGAATGGCAATTCTTGAATGTACACAATCTCCAATACCCAATTGTCCAATCTTGTTTTTACCAAAACTATAAATTTCATGATTCATGGTTTCAATGAAGGAATAATCACCTCCACAATATACATTTCGAATGGGTGGACATGGTATCTTGTCTTTTCCAACAAACTCTAAATATTGAGGTTCTTGGATTGGGTCAAAATGATATAATCCTAATTGACCATTCTATGGAAGGATGAAAATTTCATCGTCATTGTGTTTTTATAAAAATGAATATTTGGATTTGTGTACATATATATGTATGAACATATGTAGTATATCATTTGAAATGATTTCGTCACATACTCCTCGTTCAACATTACATACCTTATTTTTACCTGCTACAATCACTCGATGATCTCGTGTTAAAAACAATGAATGACAATCTCCACTTGCGACCTTAATAATTTCATTAGATTCAATTAGTGGATGATGTCTAGTAAATTGAGCATCTGTACTAGCTCCAAAATATGTCGAAACGGGTGGTCTGATTGTAGTCTCACTGATGGTTTTGCAAGGCGTCCTTGGTGTGGACAAGGTATGATGTTTCAAGCAATGATGAAATTGGTCATTTCCAAAAAAGAAAACGTTTCCTGAGTGTATATTTGAATATGATTTTCTTATTGAATTTATATTTCGGTTACGTGACGAAAGTTTAAAAGAAGGGTTCATTCCGACTGCTAACTCCGAGATTGATTCAAGCTCGGAACAAGTATCCATCATGGTTGTTGTCCTCATGCTTTGTTCTTTTTGCTGATTTGTGTTGAATGGATGAAGTGATGTTGGAATATTGTCTTGATGTTGCCAAGTGGTTTCATTGGACCGGTCTGATATTCGGTCGTGTTGTGTCGTCGTTGTTGATGGGATCTGTGATTGCTGCATTTTTTCCCTTTTGTGCTGCTGCGATATTTCGAGTGCCGAAATTTGAATGCGGCGATTTTCAACATGAAAGTCGGCACTCCTCAAAAAAGGACTCACCATCGCATCCTATGGTCAACAACATTTTTATTACAAACATAAATTTAAAAATTTCCGACACTTTTCGAGCAATCCGACCAATTCACTAATTTTTCAATTTCCTCTCTTCCTCTTTGTTTCTTGTCTGGATTTTTGTGGTGGAAAACCTAGGTTCGTTGTTTGACAATATGTAACCAGCGCTTAAACAAAGTTTAGTGTTGTTGTTTGGATGCTTGCTTTACAACTGTCATTTTTGAAAATATTGATTGCGCACTAATTTTTAACTTTAGAATTTTGGAGTTATTTTAAGCTTTTTTGGGACAATAATAGATCAAAATATTTAATATTAGCTTTCGAATATCAGATGTCTCATTACAACACCAAAGAACAACATCAACAACAAATTTCAAAATCTTAAAAAGTGAAATAAATCAGCTTAGCAAACAGTAAAAGATTTGATTTCAGCATCACACTCCATGGTTTCTTCTCGTGAAGTAATCACTCCTTCTTGTTGTCGTATTTGATCTTGCTCTAGTGAGAATTTGTGAAAGAAAAAGCTTAAGTTTACTTACGGCTCAAACATTGTATTTCAAACGTTGAAGCAACATCACCATGTGGAACACAAAGGTTGCGTTCAGGACTAACAATGGGTGTAGTAGGCTTTTGTGTTGTTGCTGCTGTCTCAAGATATCGACAACCAAAGTCATTCTGCAGCAAATGGAAAACCGGTCAAAAATGAAGGTCGGAAATTTTTAAATTTATGTTTACAAGTTAAAAGTGTGTTGCATCTTATTTGTAGAAGTGTTATGGCTTAATGCATTGTATCCCATATTGATTCCACTGTACATGGTTGGAATGTTGTTGGTGTTGCCACTACTATTACCAGTGAGAATCATGGTTTGTTTCGACGGTTGTAGCATGACTGTTGGTGGTTGAGAATTTGATAACATGGAAGCATTTGCTACATGCGAGTAGAGAGTATAGGGACTTGACGTTCCATTATGCAAGAATGAGGGCGATTCCAAAACAGCTTGAGCAATGTCACTAATTTTAAAAAAGTCCTCTTGAGTTGCAAACTGTGGCTTCAGTCTAATATGTGGATCGTATTGAAGAATTTTGTTCACCAGCATGTACAATTTCATAAAATTCATAGGCACTTCAAAAGTGAATGAATATGGAGAGATGTGTCTTTTAGGAGGAACATTCATGATAATGTTATAAAGAGAAACGGAATTCGGTATCACTGTGGAATCTAATGGTTCATATTGATTAGTGAGAGTGTTCAATTTGAAAAACTTGTCCCTTTTTGGGGATTGCTCGATCATGTGCCTTGGTGGCATTCCAATGACTTGAATAATTTTGTAGATTTGGTCTGTTTCGTTCTTTCCATCAAATAGAGGATTACCAGTATGTAGCTCAACAAGAATACATCCAAAGCTCCACATATCAATTTCAGTGCCATACGGAAGACCCAATATCACTTCTGGAGATCGGTAAAATCTGCTTTGAATGTATTTGTACATCTTGTTGTTGACATAACAAGAGCTACCGAAATCAATGACTTTGATACTACTCTTCTTTGGGTTCTTGAGTAAAATATTTTCAGGTTTCAGGTCGCAGTGAATGACCTGTACCTCTGGAAGTGATAAAAAACTCAACGTACGAAGTAATTCCTTTCCAAATTTACAAATACGAAGTAGTGAAAGTCCAGCAAAATTGCTTGCCTTTAGGAGGTCATACAAATTCATAGAAAGTAACTCAAAGACAATGCATAAATGATTCTTCCATTGAAAATATTCTTTCATCCTCACTATGTTATTCTTTCCGTTGGCATCTTTTGTATTTAAATCTTTGAGAAGCTGAATTTCAATGTGAGCCTGTGTATGAAACTGTGGTTTGTTCTTAATAATTTTGACAGCAACATGTTCGTTGTTGGGTATGTCAAATGCCTTGACAACAACTCCGAAAGATCCCTTCCCATTACTTCCTCAACTAAAAATCTGTTATTGATCAACTCACTGATCTGTACAATATAGTTTCCTTGTGAGTCGTCAACTCCTGTTATTGCTTGGTTTTGTTGGGTTTGTTGTTGTTGTTGTTGTTGTTGATAAAAAGAAGATACAGAAGAAGTTGGAGCCGTACCATCATTCCCAGCTTTGTAAGAATTATGTTGTTGCTGTTCAGTAAACGACGGTAGAGCTTGTGATGTCACAACATTCTGTGTATTACTGGCAGTCATTATTGAAGCATTAAACTGAGTCATGTTCGTAGTAGCGGTAATGGCTGTTGGATCCATATAATTATTTTTCACAGCAGTATAGTAATTATATAATTGATTGCTTCCAAATGAACCGTATGATAAGAATGAAGGATGATGTTGGGATAGTTCAGCTTGTTTCTGAGAGTAATTGGGATTGTTCGAATTTGAGACATCTTCTTCAGGATATGGCTGAATTGTTGGCCGATAAGGAAGCGTAACATGATTGAAATTAGGATTGTTAGTATTTTGTCGATACAAATCTACATTTACAGTTTCACTAACATAGGGTAAACTTGTTTTAGAGTTAGTTTTCTTATGTTTGGAGCTATGTGATTTTCCATTCCTCAATTGTTTCAGTCTTCTCTCTTCCTCCTTTTTCAGATAATATACATCATTAATATGTTTGTAAGTTTTTAAAACATTAACTGATAACTTAATCACAGCAGTGTTTTTTCTTGCTTCCGAAACAGAATTTTCGATAACCGTTGAAGTGGGAGTTTTTAACATTTGAAGATATTGAGGATCTGTTCGTTGATTAATGACCTTGGGTCTGAGTATTGCTGGTCTATTTTTGGGAGGGTAATTACTACTAGTCGTACCATTTGCGTTGTGACTTGGTTTTTGGGGATATAATTTGGGGGTTTGTGGATCAAAAGAGTTTGACGAGTTGTAGCTGTTGTTGTTGTTGTTGAATGGAATGTTGTGGACTGAAGTACCTTTAAATGATTGGTTCATTAATGCTGTAGCATTACTCGATGAAATGTTTGGTTGTTGATTGTAAAAACTTCGTTCTAACTGATTATTCTGTTGAAATAAACTTGTGTTCATAGGAAGATGATGATTTGTTGGTTGAAAGTTATTATTTGCTTGATAATAATTAGGAGTAATAGGATCGTCTATATTTCTTGGTCCAGAATCAGGAAATAAAAGAGTAACATAATTTGGAGCCATCACGCTTTCTTGTTGATGATTTGTGTTATAAGACGAAAGAAAATTGTTTCTATCGGAAGAGTAGTTTGGGTTCATGTCTTTTCCCTCAGCAGTAACTGTTGAATTTCCTAAATTCGAGTAAAATGATGTGTTCATGGATTGAGAAGAGTTGATGGGTAATGTACAGCTGAGAGGAAGATGACTGTTGTTGGAACGACCATCGCCATTGGTGTTGGATTGGAATGTACTACTTCGCATCGGGTGTTGTTGGCTATAGGATTTGTGAGTCACCATTGGTGGAACAGATGGTTGTTGGTGGTTGTTAGGAGACATGATCATGTCATTGATGAAGTGTTGACTGGAAAGTAGAGAAGATGATAGTGAATGAGTATGCCCGGTCATGGATGAAGGATGATGATTGGTTGTTGTTGTTGTATTGACGGGATAGTTGTAATGATAGGAAGAATAGCCACCAGTATCGTTACTATAATTTGGAAAGGATAATGCTGAGACACCATTGTTGACCGATGACAATGTAGTAGTATTGTTGTTGGTGTTGTTGGTGTTGCTGTTGTTGGTATTTGCATTAAAATTCATAACGGGAGGTAAAGTTGGGTTTGATGAAGTAACATGTTGCGGAATTGATGCAGGTGGTGGATGCAACAATGAAGATGGAGGAAGTAATGAAAAGGAAGAAGGTGATGATGTTCTTGCCATCATCATGGGAACAGCTAACTAATCGGAATATGTTGTACAACCGATCAAAGTTGTTTCTGTCTTTTCACGATAATAGTTGAAACTCGAATTATCACAAGAATTTCCTCTGTGGTTGGAAAAAGCCTGAACGCTTGCTTGAATAAAATTTTAGAATTAATAGTGAAGCCTTATGCAATGATCATGATAGTTATCACAGTACAACAATTGAATGTTCCGACTATTGTTTCTTCTCAATCCAGATCTAATCCTCTTTTATGTGATCGCTTTACAAGGTGGGTGCCAACAGATGTATTTTTTTGATGATGAAAAAATTCAAAACCCAAACGCTATTTGTAATTGTTGCAACAAGTCCGGGTCTTGTGGCTTTTATAAGTTATTTACACCTTTTCACTTACTTTTGCCACACGTTGAAGAAGGTTTCTCAGAATCAGATGGAACGCATCGAAAAAACTGGGCTTGACAACACGTCGCAAAGCTGTTGAAGCTTGCACATGTTCAACTATCACCTGGAGAAAAACAAAAGTCCAAAAGAAGCTTGCGTGAAGTGGCTGTTGGGTTTGTTTGGCAAGGCTTGCGTATTTTGAGCGCCCATCAAAATCTAAAAAAAATCTTGCCGCCATTTTCTCTTGACACCAACTGCATCACGCGCACACTGAGCACCACCAGCAAAGGCTTACTCACACCAACAGCAGACAATTGTATTTACGTTTCCATCACATCATCATCAAGTCAACTCGATTGAGAATTAGTGAATTTGAATTTTATTATTCATACCCTATCGACTCACCATTTCGTTTACAACACAGATATCGTGTTTTTAATTGAATTTGTTGAATTTCAAAATCAAAACAAAATTGAAGCCGCAACCGTTTATTTGAATCACCGACACAGGTACCCAATACCATCATCGATTTGAACTAGCTAGCTTAGCTCTGAATACCAATTTCTGTATCATACGTACACTTGCCTCTGAAGTGAGTCAACCACACACAACTGGTCATCAACTGCATCAAGCGCACACAACTACTCTCTCTCCTGTATCATAGATATTCCTCCATTATTGTATATATCAAATTCTCACACACTTCCCAAAGATGCTTCAAACATTGTCCAACACAACAAGTTCCAGCAACAATGGTGAGTTTTATCATGTGTTGATATATACATTTTAACGTTGTTAACAACATAATTTATCAAATCTTTGAAAAATGACTTGTGTGTGTGATTTTATGTGCTACCCTCTAACAACCATGGCCATCATGATAATGTTGAACCAACCACAAATCATCAACAGGTTCCTCCCCATCCACCTCTTCACACATGATGCCCTATTTCAATCCCAAGAAGCAGGTGCTTTCCAAGTGGTGCAACAGCCATGTGAACATGGGAGGTATTTTAACAACCACCACCACCACTTCAAGCACGACTACTACTACTACAAGCACGATGGCCTCCTCTTTCTCCACCACCACTAGTAGTAGTAGCAGTAGTGCAATGAATACTGCAAATACTGCCGCCGCTGCTGCCACCACGATGAATAGTGGTAACCAATTTTTGGTGAATCACTCCTCTGGAACCTGGAATGTTGAATATTTTGATAACAATTACTTTTATAGTAATAATCTGAAATTGAATGTTGATGTCGTGTTGACTCATTCAAGAGAAGATACTTCTTGTCTTGAGCCTTCCATTGATCCATCCACAGGTCAAAACAAAGGCATTGTACTTTATTCTTCTCTGAGATATCAACTCAGACATTGTTTGAAGCTATCTCCATCATCCCCTAAAGATCCATGTTCTCTTCCTCCATTGTTGTTCATGAAAGTTGTATTGATTGGTGGAACTACTAAGGAGGATATTGGTGGAGTTATTTCACCAAGCACTGAACATCCTGTGAGTGTCACAGAAAGAGTATTTGCTTCTGAGAATCGTGTTCAAATTGAAAAAGTTCAATCCTACAAACAACTTGTGCACTTTAAGATTTCACTTTATGATTTGAGAGATTTGAACAAGGCCATTTGTGAACTCAAAAGTGTTGAATTCAATGTCTTTGCAAGAAAGAAGCAAGAAAGTGCTCCATCCTCCTCTTCAACCACTACCACCAACAACAACAACAACAGTGGTTCCCTCTCCCCAAAAACGACCAAAAAAACAAAAAATCCTTCCACCAAGAGAAGTTTGACTTCAAGTGACGCCACTGCGAACAACAACAACACTGAATCCTTGAAGCGTCAAAAAGCATGCTTTGATGGTAGCATTTCCAATAACCAATGCTACAATTCCATTTCCTACTCCACTTCAGGTGTGATGAATGATTTATCATTCGTCTCCGATCACACTACCTCCTCACATCTTCTAGTATCTGCCAATCATTATGCTGCACTCAATACTTTGATCAATATTGCACTTCCTTCTGCTCCTCAAAAATGTAACCATCAAGAGGAAGAAGATGATGACACTCCAAACCTCAAGATTGATGATGGAGAAGAGGACTCCACCACATCTTTATCACCATCTCCTCCATCATCACCACCATCTAATGATGACATTCTCCTTTCTCAATTCTGTACCTTATTGAATGACATGATTCAATCTGTCAAGAGTTTGAATGAACAAGATAGAACTACTGCTCTTCAAACAGCTATGGTTGCTTTGAGATAAACGCAACAATTTTCACACGTTAGTTGACCACACATATTGGACAAGCTATATGATTTGACCATTCATTGTATTTTTTCGACCGACAACCACACTTTTTCGTCACTCCATCCCCTGTGCACAATTTTGAATGCTTTTTTGTTGGAATTTGAAATAAAAGAGCATTTTGGGTTTTGCAAGCGAATAGTGATCGATTTTGGAAAAAGGAGAGGAAACAAGTGTTCCCAACGAGTATATTTTGAAAACACCTAAAGAACGACAAACATTTATCAAATGTCTGCCCGTCTAGCTCAGTCGGTAGAGCGCAAGACTCTTAATCTTGTGGTCGTGGGTTCGAGCCCCACGGTGGGCGAAAAAATTTTGCGTCCAAACTTTTTACGATCGATTGATTTTTCCTTCTCGCAATCGATTGGAAATATCTTTTCTTGATTTGCTTTGAATAAGTTAAATTGTTATGATATCTAGGTAATGAGAGTGGATATTGGCTTCGAAATTAGATTGTTATATTAAAAAAATGGTTAAAAAATCGATTGGGTCATCATCAGCCATTGCCACCCAATTACCGCAAGATGAAACATTAATTCGCAAATTGTTGCAGGAAGCCATTTCCCAAAACATCAATACTTCTCAACAACAATGGATCGGGTTGCACAGAGAGGAACATTCCAACGATTCGGATGAAAACAATACTCTTTGTATGGAAGCCCTTCAAGCCTTGTTATCATCATCTTCCAGCAACACCAATATTGCACAAATTGAACAGACTTATACCAAAGTCTATGAGCGTCTTCATAATGCCAATATTTTGAGCAGTAAACCTCAAGTAAAGCAACTCATTGAATCCGTTCCAAAGGAGACTCTCGAAAAATGTGTTAAATATTTACATTCTCAAGAGAGTCGTCTTTCATCAGACAAGGTGAATGTTATGGCTCTTCGTTTTCATGAAATTTTAATACATTTAACACTCATCGGAAAAGCTGGAGATATGCTTCGAACAAATGTTGTTGAAGAATGGATTCAACCCTTGATCAAACTCTATGTGAGTAACAAGACAGAACCAACAAAGGAACTTTTAACTTATGTGAGTCAAGGACTTCGTTTCTTAATTCAGCTCATTGGTTCATACAGAGAAATTGTTAAATATGTTGCCAACCTTACCAATTATAACAACAGAAGAATAGCATACGAAAATAGATTAAAGAAAGAAAATAAGAAGGAAAATCCTCTTAAAAAACGTGCTCAAGAAAAAGCACTTGATGCCGAAGAGAAAATGTTCCAAGAAATGGAGAAACTTGAAGAAGATTCAGCACTCAATAACGATACAGAAATTGATGATTACTTTGATGAAAATGAAAATTCTGGTCTTGTAGAAAATAAGAATCACATATTCAACAAACCATTATTGCAATTAGTGATAGAAGCAGGAGAGAAGAACATTCAAAATCTTTCCAATGTTTCTGAACATGTTGATGAAGATTTAGAAATGGTATATAACTACATTTCCAAATTGGTCATGCAAACCTTGATTGAAATAATGGACATTTCACTCTCTCAAGTCCGATGTGAAGAAATATCAAGTGTGGTCTGTGATTTGGGAATTACATTTTTGAGCAATTTTATTGATTATTACTTTGAAAGAGATCGTTCCATGCTAGAGAAGGCACTTTTATTGATTGCATGCTTTATTAGTAATGACAAATTGGTTCCAACAGTATGCAAGAGCATTTTGTTCGACAAGACTGTCCAACTCTATAAGAAATATGTTGTGAAGGGTGAAGAAGGTTCCAAGTTCAGTTCTTACATTTGTTCTCTTTGCTGTTATATCATTGGAAGGTCAGCCATTAAGGATGGTGATAGTGCTGCTCTAATCATTAACAAGTATATCAAACCCAATGATCATGCACTATTAGTATCTATTATTAATCATATCATTAAGAATAATCGAAATGTCCTTTTAAAACACATGACCTATGCTGGCTATACAGCTTTACAAGGTATATTATCAGCAGAAGGTACTACTGAATTAATTGTTGAGGTGAATAGACAAACAGATTTAATTGATACTTTAATTAAGGATATCAAATTCAACAGAGAAAAGTTAGATCCATATTTGGCTGATATCAAATATCACTCTATGGTTCTCTTGAAAGTCATTTGCAATAATTTGGTGATTGCTAAAAACTCTGGAACTGAAACATTGAAACAACAAGTTGCTCCTCTCTTGGAAAAAATTCTTGATTCTGGAGTGGTACAATCCATGTTTGATGTCATTACCAAAGATGCTGAAAAGAAGAATAAGAAAAAAGAGAGAGAAGACAAACCAACCATGAAAGATTTTCTATATTCCAGATATACCAAACCTGGAGCTATTTCCAGTCTCACTGCTGTATTCCAAAGTTGTGGAAAATCTCAAGATGATACAGTTCTCAAAAAGCTCATGGAACTCATTACAAGTGATCAGACATATTATGGAATGTTTCACTACTTTAACAAGGTAGAAACACTCAAGCATCAAAAGACCATGAGTCCAAAAACCATCTTTTTCATCATTGTTGTTTTTGCCGTGTTTTTGATTTCATTACCTCTCTTATTTAAACTCTTTAAATAAACGAATAGATAGGATACCATATGGAATAAATGTACACACTGTTCAAGTGTCTAGCTTGGCCAAAGGACATTCAAATTCATGGACGATGAGTATGGAGTGAGAATTGTAATATATGAAACTTACCCTTTCTGTGTGATATCATGCACGTTCAATCAAGAGCAGCATGAAGTTTTCGAGTTTGGAAAAAAAAATGCTTCCACAAGATGAAATGGTTGATGATGATCAAGAAGATATCAAATCTCCAGTCATCAACCATGACGATCCATATGAAGAAGAAGAAGGAGAATATTATGATGATTTTTATGCCAACGTTTCTCATGTTGCAGAGGGTAGTCAAAGCAAATCCGAAAGCCTCTACAAACCCATCTCGTTTGTCTCTAAAAAACAAGAGGGACAATCGTCTAAAAACAACACATTTATGGATTATGAAAAAGATGATGATGAAATTATTATTGAAGATGAACATTTAATTGATGAAACCATGAACATGACTCCTGAAAAAGTTGTTGAAGCCTCTCATCAACAACAGAAATTTACAATTATTCAACCAAAAAAGACACAACAACAATTAGTAGAGAAAGAAATTCAATCGACTAAAACTCATGAAAAACCAACAGCTAAGCGAGATCAAGATTTTGGTCATTTCATTGAAGGAAAAGTTGGATCCAATGTATTGCGAATGATGTATAAAATGGGTTGGCAAGACGACAAAGGTTTAGGTCCAACCAATTCGGGTATTATTAATCCGATCAAGGTTGTACAAACATCGAGAAACCAAGCAATCATCATTACAGATGAACATGTACAGAAAACAAACATGAAAGAAGAGGAAGAAGAGGCCAAGAAACGTCAACAACAGCAACAAGAAGAAGTTCCAACTCAAAAGAAAGGTTGGAAAAAAAAACATGCCGCCAAAAAGAAGGTTCCATTCAAGTCAGTGGAGCAATTGTTAAAAGAAGCTCCATCGATTCAAGGATTCAAATCTTCTCAACCCTATGAAATTATTGACATGACAGGACCAACCGCTCGAGTTGTAAGCAAGTTAAGTGAGATTTCTTCATCACGAGAAAAACAATCCATTACCATTCCAGAGTTGCAATTTAATGTCAAAGAAATTATCAGGCAAACAGAAACGTCGATTCGAGAAACTCATGAAAAAATTAAATTCGAGAAGGAGAAATTTGATAAATTGTACAAAGAAAAAGAAAAATATGAAGAAGAGTCAAGAAGAGAAAAGAAGAAAATTGATGTATATAATCTAGTCTTTCCAATTCTTGCTCATTGCAATCAAAAGGTTAAAGAATCAAAACTTTCAATTGCAGGTGTACATCAAGTGTTCAGCCAACTCAAACAACAGCATCCAGATATATTTGAAGAATTCCATTTTTCGAATTACACGCTTGCGTTAATTCAACCAATTTTAACAGAGCTTTTCAAAAATTGGAATCCTTTAACCATCGATCACGAACCATATATTGATTTACTACTTCCATGGAGAAGTCTTTTCCAAAAGAAAGTTGTTAAGGATCAACACGTTGAAATCATTGAAGACGAATATGAAAAACTTTTACAAGATATTCTACTTCCACCCATTCGGAAATCAATTTCTACTGAATGGAATCCAAAAGAGGAATGTGAAAATGTCATTATTTTCATTGAGAAATTTGTTGAAAAAGTTTGTACACATGGAATGAAAGAGTATATTACAGAAAAGTTGATCATTCCAAAAATTAAGCAATGGGTTCAAAATGAATGGAATCCAAAGAAAGATACGATACCTATTCACAGTTGGATTCATCCATGGTTTTCACATATATCAATTAAGATGTTTGAAACCCATGGAATTATTAATCTTATCAAAAACAAATTAGAAACCATTCTTCTCAGAGATTGGAACGATATCAACGACCAAAGAGCCTATGAAACGTTGGAACCATGGAAAGATGTTTTTGCTGATTATTACAAGTTTTTGGTCAAAACAGTCACACCTCAAATTGTCAAAACCATTCAGAAAATTAACATTTCTCTCGACGTTCAAGTGAATGAACAAACTCGAAACATACTATCCACTGTCATGCATTGGTACAATCTCATTCCAGAATTTATTGTGGCAATATTAGAGACCCATTTCTTTCCAAAGTGGTGGAAAGCATTATACAACTGGCTTTGTGATCCTTCTTGCTCTTTTACTCAAGTCAATGAGTGGTATCAAAACTGGAAAGAAGAATTTGAAGTTGTGGACGGAGATAAAACAATTCAGCAATGTCTTAAAAGAGGTTTGGATATGATTTATCAAGCTCTTTCCAATAAGGAGATTCAACCAACCCACAAGCTTCCTCTGCCATCTCAAGAATTAGAAACTCTTGAAAGCACACAACGAGCATCCAAATCCCACAAACAACCACCAAGAACACAAAGACCTGAAAAAACGTTCAAGGAGCTTATTGAAGATTTTGCAGAAGAAAATAATTTACCTTTTATTATCAAACACGGACAATATCACGATGGAAAACAATTGTACAACTTTAATGGAATATCCACCTATCTTGAAAACGACTGTCTTCATGTGAAACTGCCAGCAACAAGCATATGGAAGCCAGTCACGCTAAGTGAATTTGTAGAGCTATCTTCTAAGAAGAAAGAACGATAATAATATTTATTTACGCTATGTTCAGCTTCAATTATTTCTTATGCTTCTTCTTTTTTGCTGAGTTATTATTATCTTTTTTTCGTTTAAGGGTTTCTGGCGATTGAATTGATGTTGGGCTTGTAGGTATATTTGTCTTGTTGTGCTTTTTCTTTGGCGTTTTTCGTTGCTCTGGTTTGCTTGTGGAACTGCTGGCCGTACTTTTTGATGACCTTGAGAACTTTGCGAATTGCCTTGCGTAGAAACCCTTAATTTATCCTCTTCTGTTATGGAATATTCTTGATTTCTCTTAGAAATGGCTAGAGATTTTTCAGAATGACCTAATTTATCAGTTATGCTTTTAACTTCATTTGCCAACGTTTTAGAAACAGTAACAAACTTGTTGACTTGAGTATCTACTTCTTGTGAATCCCAAACAACGCCTGAAGAAAACTCTAATTTGTCGCCTGTATCTTCTGCAGGTGCTACTTTCATTTCATTCACGTTCTTAATTAATTTATTACACTCATCTTCTACAGCTTTCAAATATTGGTCATTAGAGCTTTCAGCTGTGAGGATTTGTGAAATCTTTTGTTTTCTATCTGCTATTTCTTGAATGAGATGTATTAATTTGTTTTGTGAGTTTTTAATTTTTTCAGCTAAATTGTCGTCTCGTTCTTCTCGTACTTCCTTAACTTTAAATGTTGATAAATATTGATAAATATTTTCAATAATTAATAAAAAAACAAACCTGCAAAAAGCGTTTCTAAAGGTTTCATGACTCGAACATTTCTCGGTAAATGTCTTGCATACGAATCTACTATCTTTGAGTATTTAAGTTCCAATTTTCGTGCCTCCATTTGATTCAACGATTCACTTTTTTTCGTTATTACTTTTTTGCATATTGACGAAAACTCCGATATTTGATCTCGTGTTAGGGATTCATTAGCAACACGAACAAGAACTTTCTTCGATTGTGATGATGACATTTTAAATTTGTTGTTGAATCACTGAACAATAATATTAAAATTGTGATGCGAAACGATCAGAAACCGGTAACGGCTTATTTTTTGCTTTGGCGGTTAAAATTTTCTTTGTTCAATTTGCATGCTGCTCGACACCAAAAACAAGTCGATTTGACATCACATATAAATTTAATTTGTAAATGATTACCAAGAACATCACCAAATAACCGTACATCAATGATTTCATGCTGCTTAAAATCTAAAGTATGGATCCATGGCTTCATCATTGCTTCTTGGAGGAAGTGCCAACACCATTCCTTCATACTTCTTTTCAACAATAATTTGACAAGCTAATCTAGAATTTTCATGTACAAAAGGAGCTTCTTCCAGAACTTCTGCTTCGTCCTCACTGCATTGTGGCAACTTTTGTTCATAATCTCCAGAAATAATCACATGACATCCAACACAAGCACATCCACCCATGCAAGTAGGATCGGCAGCAACTTCAACTCCTGCCCTAGTCATTGATTCTAAGAGAGTCTCTCCTGAGTATGCTTTGATTTCATGTATCTTGCCTTCTCTATCATAAATTGAAATGTTTACTACTTTTGACACGGTATTGTGTTTTTTGGAAGGCTCTCCCAAGCAAGTATGATTTATATCCTTTGCACTAACTAATTTAAAAATTGTATTTAAAATTGTGGTCAAAATTCCATTGTTAATCATATATTTTCAAAGAAATATCATCATCACAGGGTAAAAAGAAGAATTTGGGAAATTGGAAAATCATCTCTCTTGTTAACGATTCAGTCATCATTGGTCTCGAACGTACCTTGGGAACATCGGACAGAATTCCAACTATTAAATCTTGAAGTGATGAGAGAATTTGATGAACGATGATGACTGAAGGAGTGTTTCGACAATAGAGAAGCAACTTTTCTTGTTGTGTTCATTTTTTCATTAGCAATTTAAATATCTGTCATTAGAAAAAGATGAATCCACATTCAATTCAATACAAAGCTTTAATAATTAAGATGTATGGGGTTACGAATGGGAAGGATATCAAAATTAGAAGGGATTGCAAAGTGATGAATGGATGAGCAAACTTCTTACTCGTCAGTTTGTTCGCTTAGGGCAGCATATGGATTGTTGCTTTCTGTTGGTTCGCCTTCAGCTTCGTCATTGTTGGTGCGAGAAGATGAGTTTGCTCCTCCTCTCTTCTTGGTAAAACCTCCTCTAGTGCCTTGTTGAGCATATCGTCTTCCACCTCTTGGCTTTGAAGTGGCTGTTTGGAATCCAGATTCCTTGTCTTCTCCGACCTTCTTCTCTTGATGCTCCTTCTTTTCTGACCTTTCCTTTGGTTTCTTGGATGTGTAAATATCTAGGTTAGGTCCTTGCAAATCCTTTTCCTTTGGTTCCCATGCTTTACCCTCTCCGAAAAGTGATGGTTTTGCTGGTTTTTCTTGAACAGGTCTTTCTTGTCTAGTTTCTTCTCTTGGTTTTCTGTTGAATGATCCGAATGGAGATGTGTTTTCTTGTTGATTTGGTTTACGAATTGGCTTCTTTGAATTACCAAATGGATTAACGTCACCTAACTCATCACCTCCACTTCTCCAGTTATCTGATTTATCTGCAATTGATGGAGGTTGTCTTCTTTCTTCGAAATCATCTCTCTGTCTGTGTTGTCTAAATCCTCCTTCTCTATTTTGTCTAAAGTTATTGTCTCTATTACTCAAAGATACTTTGCTTGCAGTTTCAGGTGCTGCAATATCAATCTTAATTGCTCTCTCGAGAACGTTTCCTCCATTGAGTTGAAGAGCAGCCTTCAAATCCTCAACAGTATCAAATTCAACATATCCGTATCCTTTGATTTTGTGTGTTTCTTTATCCCTTGGAATAGAAACATTGATTGGATTACAATCTCCAAAGAATTCTTGTAAATCTTCTTTTGTTACATCATAGTTCAGGTTTCCAATGAAAGCAACAAATGGCTTTTCTGTTGGTAAGTCGTGTTGTGGATGTTGTTTTCTTTCTCTTCTTTCTTCACGGAATGGTGTTGATTCAAATTGTGATGTTTTTGATTTTTGTGGTGCTCCTTCAGAAAAGAAAGAAGGAGGCTTGACTTTTGATACAGTTGATCCAAGCTCGCGAGAAAGGTTGCTTTCTTGACGAGCACTGTAACCACCAAATCCACCCTTGGAGTAACCACCTTTGCTGCTATCACTGGTACTGCTGGCTCTTAATTCTTCCAAAGTGAGTCCACCTGATGAAGCTGTGGTAGTTGTTGATGTTGTTGTTGGTTCTTCACCTTCCATTTCTTCGGCCCAATTTATGGTTTCGCCGTGAGTTGGAGTGGTAAGGAAAGTGTTCAGGTCAAGAGTAACTCCCTTGCTAGACTTCTTTTGACTCTTCTTGGTCATTGTTAAATGATGTTAATGATGATGATAATGAATATGCTGTTGGAAAGATTCGTATTTTTTTCAACAATTTTTTTGTTGGTGTGTTCTTTATTTACAACAACAAGTTGCAAAACCATAACTTAATCATATTATAAAGGCTCCACTTCCTGATTGAAGTGCTCACTGTTGCTGTTGTCAATATGCGGACACTAACAGAATATAGCTCTTCTGGTTGTTGGATGCCATTGGGATATTGTAAAGTGAATTTATTATTAGTTCATCATAAAAAAATTCATCCTCTCTTTGCTTGATCGTCATCATCACAGCCAAATATTTATTGATCGTCATCACAACAACAAGAAATGGCCCAAACTCCTGAACAAGCAATTGAGCAATTTTTACTTTTGGGTAAATCAGTGAAGGGAAAAGCCGCAGTAAATCTCATTCAACAGGCAATTAATCATCCAAACACTTTTGTCTTTTCTGAAATGTTAGATCTGAAAGGAATCAAAGAGCTTGACGGAAGCGAAAATCAAGCAGATTTCAATACATTAAAGCTCTTTGCTTTTGGAACATATAGTGATTACAAATTAAACCCAAGCAGCTACTTCCCTCTCAGCGAAAAGAATTTGAACAAACTCAAACAACTTTCAATTGTTACTCTCGCTTCCAAGAACCGTTTACTCAAGTACGAAGATTTAATGAAGGATTTAGATATATCAAACGTGAGAGAGTTGGAAGATCTTTTGATCGACTGCATGTATCAAGGTTTATTAGAAGGTAAACTGGACCAAAAGTACAAGTGTATGGAAGTGTATGAAACGATTGGTAGAGACATTAAATTGGAGGATATTGACCAAATGATTTCAATTCTCAAGAACTGGGTTGTCTCAGGAAAAGAGATGCTCAAGGGAATTGATGCTAACATTGATTTTGCCAATACTCAGTTCAAAACCCACAACGAAAACAAGAAGAAATTCGAACAACAAATCGCTCAAATTGAAGAGTCGATCAAGGCTTCATTGGAAGAAGACACATCTTCTGCTGGTGCCATGATGGGAATGATGTCAATGATGGGAATGTTAGGTGGAGCAAGAATGGGTGCAGGCGCTGGAGGTGCTGGAGGTTCTCGTACAAGAAAGAATAGATAAACGCGTCTCTCGAAGTTAAGTGTTTGTAATTATGCATAAAAGTGAATCGATTCATGAAGGCTGGCTGGGCATTCAAACAACATTTCACAAATAAAAAATGGCTTCCTTCAGCTTTGGATCGGCATCCTCATCGCAACAGCCCAAGCCTGGAGGTTTTACCTTTGGAAATCCTCAGCAGCCAGCAACAGGTTCTTCCACTGGTTTCTCATTCGGAACATCAACAGCTCCAACAACAACAACAACAACTGGAGGATTTAACTTTGGAAGCACACCAGCTAACCAACCTACAGCAACCGGTACAACAGGCTTTAATTTTGGGACAACAGGAACAACCACTGCACCAACAACAACAACTGCTTCTACAGGTTTTAATTTCGGAAACACACAGCCAACAACTACTGCCACAGGATTTAATTTTTCTCAGCCATCATTATCAACTGCAGGTGTCACGGGAGGATTTCCAACACACCAACCAAATGTGATGGGATTTAATTTAATTTCTCAATCTTATAACAACATTGATACTATGGTAAAAACCATTGAAGCACGATATAAACCATCTAATGACAATCCGAATTGCAAATTTTTAGTATGTTGAACGATGAACGAATTTATTTTGATTAATTATTATTTTGGCCATGGCTTGCACTAAAATCAGCACTTCTTTTACAACGTTGTTGAAGAAGCTAAACAACCAATGACGCTTGAAGCTATCAAGAGATACTATGCAAGGTCTATTAGTCCAGAGGATTTGAGGCTTGCAATTGAGAAAAATCCTGATCCTGCTCGAATGGTTCCTGTACCAGCAAGATCATTTGATGACATTGTAAAAAGAGTGGAACATCAAAAGAAGCGAATTGAATTGATGAATGAAATGTTGAAGGTTAGTTGAAAAGAATTTTTTGTAATTAATCACGAAATTACCTTGTAGTATCTTGATAACAAAATGAGCGAACATAAGCGAAAGCATGAAGTTGATGTAGTTAGTCAAATAGACGACATCAAACAAAGACATGCAGACCTTTCTCACAGAATTCTCAAAATTCAGAGCAAGCTTGAGGTTTTGACACAATCAGGAATTGGTATCAGGAACGAGGACATTTCACTTCGAAATAAATTGAATACCTTGCAGAGAGAATTGCATAAGCCAAACCAATACAGAGGAAGATTGAACGAGCTGGCACCACAAGTCAATTATTACTTGCAGCAATCCAACCTACTTTTGAACACGGGAAATGTGGTTGACGACCAAACAAAAGAAAATGTAAAAGACTTTTTAGAACAGCAGACAAATGGACTGAATCATTTGCTATCTATTCTAAAGAAAGATATCAAAGATATCAATTATATCAAACAACAAGTTTCTACAGATAAGCAAAAAAATCGCTCAATAAATTTCTGAATTCGCTAATAGTACGAAATAAATGTTATCCTTTCAATGTTATTAATTCTAGTTGTATTACATTGGAATTTTTCCGCTTTCTCTCAAAACTTTCAATCTATCTTTCACTCCTTTGACAGTGTATCCTTTTTCTAACAAGTCAAAATAAAAAGAAACATCTCTCTGACGATGTGCTCGGACTGATGGCTCCAAATTCAAATGCTTTGCTGCGTCCTGGTCAGCTTCAACTGCTAATCGAATTACACGCTCCACAAACATTTTTCGTTTTTCCTCTTTTTTCATGGCTCCGTTACTCACTGGGCCTGGTGTTCCATCAGTGTAGGACCAATCAGGTAAATCATGAAGAGCTCCACTTTCATTACCGCTTCTTCCGAGACCTCGTGCTTGATAAAATTTTTGTGCCATTCGTTGGCATTGATTGAGTTTGATGATTGTTCGAGATGTTCCCTTCAAGAATTGCATTTTTTTTGTTTTTCTTTCAACAAAATTATTTTGTGGAGAATGATGATAACACCACTAGAATCCATGTCCACCACATCAATGCCCAAGCTATTGGTTCGTTTCGTTTGTTCAACCTCATGGCTCATGATATTTTGTTGAAGTATTCAATTTTCATCATAAAAAAAGCGGCATGAAATTGTAATACACAACCAGACGAGGCTTGGAATGGAAAAAATTCAGCCAGTCCTGATTGGGAAAATCATTAAAAAAAATATTAACCACACAGTAAGTTTCCACGCTCCATCTCTCTTGATGAACCAACAATATTTTCGTCTTCGTGATTAAATCCAAATTTATTTAGAAATGAGCAAGACAATTAATCTTGTTTTCAAGGACGTTATTCGTAGAAGAAACAAGCAAGCCTTGGCTTTGGTGCCAAAGGAACTCCAAGATGCCTATCTTGAACACTGGGGCAAGTGGACCCACGATAACGTTCCAACACCAGACCAAACGATCGACAAGGAATGGATTGCCAAGAAATACAACATCTCCACTAAACCTGTTCCAGCTAATGCTTCTCACGTAAAGTTTGCTTCACCTTTCGGTAATGCCGAAGAGAAGCGTATGAATTCTCTCATCACATACGAAAAAGAGTTGCAAAGAGTTTTCAAAATCCAAGATGAAGGCCATAACCTTCTTGACGTTCACCCTGTCTTCACAGCAAGAAAGTACAGTGTTTGGGCCTATTCATTGTTCTTCTTGTTGGTTCCAATCGGCATCTTTGTTGCCATCTTCAACCAAAATCCAATCTACAATGCTCTCTTTGCTGGTACTGTATGGGCTCAAAAGAAGACTGATAAGAAGCCATGGGATAGCGTTGAAGTTGAAACAACCTTTGATAAGCAATCTAACCTCATTGTCAAAAGAATCTAAATTTTGGAAACGAATACAACTTTCGTTTTGAACATCCTGAATACAGAATTGTACTTTCCACACACTCATGGGACATCAATAAAATGACGCTGTTGGGTCCTTAGTCTTAAAACACAAATCTTAGTCCAGTTTTGCAATGTTACTGATCTTCCACCATTTAAGCTTGTGTTTTTTTCAAATCGTATCTTGTTTAATAAAATTAAGCAACGTTTTAAATCGAGTACAGTGGTGTATACAAAATTCCCTTTTTACATCATTTACTTGAGCAAAGCTTGAACTCCTGACTTTTCTTCGAGTAATTCCTTAACTGAAGCTGTGATTCTGTCTTGAGAGAATTGGTCAATCTTCAAATCCTTCACAATTTCATATTTACCACCTCCTGGACAAATGACTGGATATGACGTGTAAACACCAGGCTTAATACCATAAGAGCCATCCGAAGGAACAGCCATACTGACCCATTCACCTGGAACTGGTGTACCCAAAGCCCAATCACGCATATGCTTAATAGCTGCGTCAGCAGCGGAGGCAGCAGATGAACTACCACGAACATTAATGATAGCAGCACCACGTTGTTGAACAGTTGGAATAAACTCCTTTTCAACCCAAGTCTTGTCAACCTTAGACAAAACTGGAACATTATCAACCAAAGCATTGGAAAGATCTGGATATTGAGTGGCAGAGTGATTACCCCAAATAGCAAACTTTGACAATGAACGAACTGGCACGTTCAATTTGAGAGCAACTTGAGCCAAGGCACGGTCATGATCCAAACGAGTCATTGCAGAGAATTGCTTTGGATCAATATTTGAAGCGTTAGAAGCAGCAATGAGAGCATTGGTATTGGCTGGATTTCCTACAACCAAAGTCAAATTGTTGCTCTTTGCATGTTTACCGAGAGCCTTTCCTTGAGTTTGGAAGATCTTGGCATTCTCTAACAACAAATCCTTTCTTTCCATACCCTTGCTACGAGGCTTAGCGCCAACCAATAATGTGTATTCGACATCTTTAAAACCTTCAGCCAAATCACTTGTAACTGTAATTCCTCTCAACAATGGGAAAGCACAATCTTGAAGTTCCATTTGGACTCCTTCAACGAGTTTCATAGAGTCTGGAATATCGATGAGTACGAGGTGAACAGGTTGGTCCTTGCCAAGCATCTCTCCGCTGGCAATTCGAGGAATGAGAGAGTAGGCAATTTGGCCTGCAGCTCCGGTAACAGCAACACGAACAACTGGCTTCTTGGCCATATATCCAACATCTTGAACACCACTATAGGCTAATTTGCTTCCCTATTATTGTAAGTTCGTGAATGTTATTGTTGTATTGATATTATCAACACATCCACCATAAGAATATTATTGACATTGAGTTTCAAATTGATTGGATCGAAGAATAATCATCACGAATATGAAAATTGTCCGTCATCATATTAATATTCCAAAACAACAACAATCCATCATCATTAGATTGGTACAATAATAACGCAATGAAGTAAACTACGGAACGAATGTTCATCACTGGACATAATACCTACAACTTTAGAAGCTAGTCTCATCAAATATGAAAAATCTTCCTCGTTCTTGATGGTGGAAGAAAGAAAAGCCAATTCCTTGGTAACTTCATATTCGTTGGCTTGTTTGGTCAATATGGAGGCAATGGATTCTTCCAAAGCGGATTGTCTTCCATCAACATCATCAGCATAAAAACGCTTTTGGGTTGCTGTATTCAAGAGGGATGTTGTGAATTTTTGATTGGAAGTCTTCAACAAGCGGGTGCAAGTCTTGCTCAACATTTTTTTTGGCTCTTTACAAAAAGCTTTAAAAATCGTGCGCAACAGGAAAAACACGGCTTCATGTCTTACGAAATTAAGAGTGACACACAGTGGTTTAACCCGAGCCAAAATACTCCAGCGAGTTTGTTGGCGAGTTGGCGAGGGTCAACGGTTCTTGATGCATCATTTGAGTGCTTTTGTTTATGTACTTTATTGCACAACAACTCTTGCCTCAATTCCAACCGAGAGGGTGTATGTATTATATATAATTTATTTTAATTCAAAGAAGTTAATTGTTGGGCTTGAGAAGATGATGAAACGAACGAAAACTCAACAAAAAAATGATTTACATGATGAGCGCTCAACCAAGCAACATTGAAAATATCTCATTACATCCAATCATAGATTTACAAATCATCACTACAAATTCTCCAATTCATCATCAACAAAATAGTCATTATGACTTGCAAGAATATAATGAATTATTTCAAAAGTTCAAACTTCATATGAGATCACCTACTCGGAAAGCCTTTTCTTTGAAATTTGAACTGGTCCATGAGCTTGTAGATTTTACTGATGATGAAAGACCAGTCGATGTACGAGTTTCAACAAGTGTAAATTGTATTATTATCATTACCATGATGAACAGAATTAGATTTGTGGATTTGGTAACTAAAAAATTTATTGGTAGATTTGACTTGAGCTCACTGCCTAATTGTTTAGAAATAGAGAAAAATTACAATGGAATGAATGATGCATTGTTGCTCAGTTGTGAAAATGGGATGGTGCTCAAATATGATCTCGCACGTTTGTTCAAATGGAGTTTGGTTAATGAAAATTGTGAAGAATGTGATCATTGTAAACCCATTTGGTGTTGCGAAGGATTTGGTTATCCTTTTGGAATAGCAATTCGAGAGGAGTTTGCCGAAAATTTACATGCCTTACAACGACGGATATACGTTTGTGATTATACCGGAAAGAGAATAGATGTTTTAAACGCAGTAACTGGAGAGAGAATTTTACGTATTGACGAAAACTTGTTAGGTAGTCCTATTGATCGACCATCAGGTATTATTTTCAATCATTTACAAGAAATGATTGTCACTGACTATGAAAATTTCATTCATGTCATTAAGAAAAATAGTAAGGATGAATATCAATGTTCTATTCTTTCTCTACCGTTCACAACAAAAAGTCCTCTTGGGATTACATTTGATCGAATGTCAAATCATGTTCTCGTTGCAGACCAATTTCAACACTGCATTTATGTGATTAATGAGAACAAGGAGTTTGTAAAACGATTTGGAGATGATACTCTGTTCAATGAGCCCTTTAGCTTATGCATTGATGAGACGACTGGTGAATTGTATGTGACTGTGTATGCAATGTACAAGATCATGATTTATAGGTGAACGACTTGACATGTTTTAGTCGTATTGGTCACCAATAGCTCGTGCTAGTATGAGTTCGATCTTCAGAAGGTTCGTAACAGAACCAACCTATTTAAACGTGATGATGTTGCGTTAATAAGATGAACAAATTCACATAAAAATTTGAAGCAAATAAAAAAATGTCGAATCATCAAGAGGACGACTCTATCACGCCATCAACTCCTCATTATGCCACCAAATTTTCTTCTCTATCGGGATTTGGATTGAAAATCCTTGGAAAATATGGCTTTAAAACCGGTGAAGGATTGGGAAGAAAAGGGGAAGGTATCAAGTCTCATGTAACCGCCACGAAAAAGTTTCACGAAAGTGGAATGGGTATTGGTGCTGATAAAGAAAAAAAGCCTAATTATTGGTGGGAGAATGCATATAATGAAAAATTAATCTCAATTAAAGAAAAGAAGAGAAAAAGCTCATCATCTTCCGATAGTGATTCAACATCCTCAGATTCTTCCGATGACGAAGATAAAAAAACAAAGAACGCGAAAAAATCGAAGCAGAACGAAGCAGAGAAAACATCTAAAGATAGTGACAGTAGCAGCGACTCATCTTGTAGTGACCAGGATGAAAAGAAAGAAAAGAAGAAGCATTGCAAAGTTGAAGGGTCTTCAGTTCTCGATCCAGAGTTCTTTAAAGAATGTGAAGGCAGAACTTTGAAAAAATACCGACAAGTCGGAAAGGAATCTCGGGCAAAGAAACATGAAGAAGATTTAATTCAAAAACTGAAAGAAGCCAAAGAGAAAATGGAAGCAATGAGCAATCAGCGAAAGTTTAAACAAGTTGTGACAGAGAAACGAAAAATCCAACAAAAGAAGATCAAAATTGGTCAATATCGCGACGGTGACGAGTAATTTATGCAATGTTGGAGAATGTGTGCTGTTTGAGAGAAATTCTCTCAGCACCTTGTTCCTGATAATCGCTCAATTTCATCCAATAGGAATCATTTTCTGAGCTATCGATAAGTAATGAGCGACCACCTTTCCATGCAGATGTATCAAAGTTGCTTTCATGAATGATTCTAATTTCTGATTCAACAGGAGAAACTTTTCTAACCTCGCTTTCTATTCGTTCATTAAATCCCTTAAATAAAGTATTCCCTCCACAAATGAATATATTTTGAATCATGGCTTCGCGTTGCGTAGCATTGAATTCTTGAAGAGTGTTTTCAATGATTTCTGAGACTCCAATTTGATCCTTGTTGGCCATGTGTGGTTGGAATATTATTTCTGGTATTCTGATTCTTTCTACGGTCAACCTTATTCCTGTATTGTCCAAAGGATCAGATGTATTTCTTTTGTATTGTTTTACAAAATGATCTTGTATGTAATCTGTTTTCTTTTCTCCAAAATATTTCAGTTCTGTTTGCTGAATTAATTTTTTCAAGTCATCTACTTGTCCTGAAACTTTTTTAACTAGTTTCGAGTCAACAACATCCTCTTTTGTTGATGACTTTTTCTTTTTCTTCTTCTTTTTAGTTTTTTGTAATCCATCGTACAAGCTCCAATCTTCAAATGTTTCATCTTCGGCGTCGTGAATTTCAGCAGCAATTTTTGATTTTTGGCGTTGTACTGAAGCAGCTGATCTCTTACTTTTTAGAGTATGATCCTTTGTCTGGGACGAAAGAGTGAATTGCATCTTTTGCAGTTTAAAGTGAAGTTGTTGTAGTTCGTTTCGTTTTTCAGCAAGCCACTTTTCACAAGCACTCAAAGTTTTGAATTCAGGTATTTGCGGCTCTGAAGAGTTGTTTGAAGAAGTGTCTGAAGCGTTAGTAGAGAGAGAATCTCTTGCTGTCATGAAAGAGTCGTATTGTTGCTTATTATTGAAAACTCGAACAGTGTGACCATCATAATATTCTTGATTTTCTGCCATCAACTGCAGTTCTTGAATGTAATCTTGAGAAAGATAGCAATACTTTTCCTTCAGAAATTCTGCCTTGGCAACAGAAAGTGAAGGAATTCCAAGAGCATCATATATAGGGATGAAATATTTGGTAGGTTCTGTACTTGGATATTTCAATTGCATTGTTTTTAACATCAGATCGGTTGCATGAAAACCTCCAATGTTTAGTCTCTTACAAGAATTCCATTGAGTGACACCATCTACAATAGGAATGATATGAGTGGAATGAAACCCAGACCTAATGACAAATGAATTAATGCAATCCATAGCAATATTGTTTTCAGAAAGAGTTTGCTTTAAACTCAGCAAAGCATCAATTGAAAGATTAATAGATGGTATTCCATAGCTTTCAAATAATATTTCAAGTGTGGATTGACGAGAAAACCCAGGATTTAAAATTGGTTCGGTAAACACCAATGGCACTTCCGTTAATGAAACGTTCTTTGACGATGCCAATCCTAGCTTATAAAATACATAATCCATCACTTGTTCGAAATAATCAAAATTTGTAACAATATCATTATCAAAAGGTGATTTTGCACCGTATCGTAAATAATCAAATGGATGCAAATCATTTCCAACAAGATATCCGCCATTTTGTAATACTAATTTATCGTCATCAGAAACGAAATCAAGATTCTTCACTTCGTTAGCCTTTAATTTAGCACAGAGAGGACGGAAGCTGATCATTGGATTCTCTTCGGAGGACCATCCTGCCCTACACCGATAACTTCCGTTATCTATGATAATTCCAAGAGGCGTTTCATCATTCTTCGGAACACTATGAATTTTATCTATGGTATGAGAATTTTCGTCCTCTTCAACCGTTTCAAAATATGTATTCATCATCATCAAACGATCCACAACTATTGCAGAGGATAATGTGAAAGAGAATGTATGAAGCTATTTTTTTTGATTAAATAATTTTTAATAATGCCAAATTCAAATTTAATTTCAATTGAAAAACATTAAAGTCTGTCAAAGGCATCCGAAGAACGAGAGGTAACTGCTGCACTCGTATGTCTTCTGTTCTTGGTTTGAGATTTCGTTCTTCCAATATAGTCATCATATTCTTCATCACTTTCACTTTCTTGCTTGGAATGTTCATAATGATTTAACCTCTCTTGACTGGAATTGTGAGGATGATCGTGTCCATCCTCACCGTGTGGAAGATGGCCATGATCGTGTCCATAATGTGCATGCTTGGGAATATGTTGAGCCTTCTCCAAATAAATCGACACAGAATGTCCAGCATGTAAAAAGTGAGTTCCCTTATCCACAATAATATAGAAATGAATCAATACTTCAATAATTTCAACACTCAATACTTGTTCCAAAGTGGCCTTTCTCTTTGCAAATTCTTCTGGATTCTTCTCTCGTTCTTCAACCTCATGATTATATTCTCTTACAATGAACACAATATGTGTAATGGCAGTCATAATCGAAAAGATGAAATAGATCAAGTAAATGAGAGACTCCATCCAATTGATCCACGTTTGGAGAGGTTTCTTTCTTACAATGGAAATTAATTCTCGAAAATATCTTTCAATGAACAGTAAAATCAAAACTGCCATGAACATGTAGGAAATAATTTTAAAAGAAAGACTTAATTGCTTTTCTCTTTCGGAGAGATGCAAAGCTTCACCTCCAAAGATGTTATTAGCTTGGACATAGGTAATGGAGAAGAACTGTTTTTTGTGTGTTCGAAGGAGAGAATGTGTGTGTCAATAGTATCGTTGACGTTTGTACATGAATGTTAAATTGACTTGCATACCTTCAGAATGGAATAGATACACATCTTGAGTCTTCTATTTCCGATGGTTTTACTTGAAAACTTCTTCCAATACTTCTTAAACTTGGTCCATGGAGTCTCTTTTTGACGGTTGGCAGGATGATGATTTTCTACATCCACGTTGTAATAGTCAGTGGAAGGAGATGTATTGGAATCAACAATACCAGCGTGATGATGAGTGTGAGACATTGTTTTTGTGCACAAGCACCATAACGGTTTTTGGTTTTACAGTATACTACAACTTACGCCAAAGAAAATGATGGCTACGCTCTCCAACCAATCAGAAAACACTGCCGGATCGAAAAAAATTTGAGAGCTTATTTTTTCTGTGAACAACAGCACACGACCAATTTTTCGATCCCACACATCGTTCTTCGTGTATTTCTTTGCTTTCTTCGTCGAGCCAGAGCATGTGCAGGTTCAACTCTCTTGGCCTTTGCAACAGGTATCAACATGCCTTCTGTTCTCTCTGTTTCGTCTTCCAAATATTGATTCAAATTACTTCCTTCAGGCACAACAACCCGATTCAAGGTTGAAATGGTGTAGTGTTGGTAGTCTTTAGGTACGGTCACACATTGGTCCGAACAGCTATGATTTTCAAATACAGTTGTGTCTTCCTCTCGATAACAAAGTTGTTGAAGAATAGATTCATCATCGTTCACCTTCACAGTGTAATCGGAAGCAATTTCCTGCTTTCTCTTTTCCTTGAATCTCTTTGGCTGGCAAAGCATGAACGTGTTTGGAAGAACAGTGGAAAGAAAAAGTATTCTCAACTTTCGGAACAAAACCTGAGCCAATAGCTTTCCTTTTTGGCCAAGTTTAATGGTAGAACGAACACCGGTAGGTATTGGTTTCTTACAAAATGTCTCCATCAATAAATCCTTGTTATCATCAACATTGTCTCCGAGAGCTGACCGAACTTTGATTCCGTTTGATGAAAAATGTTCAAGATAGTCTCTAGTATTGGACAAAATATAATCATAATAGGAATAGGGAGTGCCACCACCTTTGCTTGATGCTCCTTCTATTGATTCCTTCTCTTCAAGATGATTGCTTTCGAATGCTTGAGTTTCAAATTGCTTTACATTTCTGACTCTTCGCTTGAGAGCTAAAAAATGTTTCGCTAAGATATGAGCATACCAACATTTACCTTGGAATCCTTGAGCAGCAGCAACATAAATATTCCAAAACAACGATAATGATTCCGAAATGACTTGATCCGATGCATTCTTGTCAATATTATTCAACAAGCATTTCAATGCGTCCCACAACATTTGTGTTTGTTCCTTCTCGAAAAACGGAGACATCACTCCAACATTGTTCAGAAGAATGTTGCATGTGTTTCCATGAAGAAACATACGAACATCATTCCATTCTTCGTCTTCAACTTTCTGTAAGCCTTCAAGTCCCTTGATTTTAATAACAGCATCCCAAAACTTGTCTTTCTCCTTAACACCACTCAATGTTATTCTCAAAACATTTTCACACAGTCGTTCCTTTGCATGAAGGACGCAAATAATAATATTGCATGCAGGTAGTCCAAGAATACAGCCCAATGAATCCTCTGTTCTGGGTTTGTGGTTTTTGCAACATATTGGACTACATGTGTCGCAGTATGGGCACCACGATCCTTGTTTCACTCCAGGACAGACCACACCTAACGCTTTCAAATCCATCGTTAAAAACACATCAATGGAGCAATGATTCGATTCGATTGTTATTCCGTGCTTCCGAATAATCTCAATTTCCTTTCGGAAATGATCTGCCACATGAATGAATTCACTCTCATCTCCAGACCAAATTGCAAGTGGAACGCATATAGCTCGAGATTGACCTGTTCCGAAGCATTTGCTATTGATCACAGTAATGGTCAAAGTAGTCAGTTTTGAATTGGCAGCATAATCAAGGTTCAATGCAACAATTAAATCCTTGTTATCGATTTGATCCTCTTTACAAAGTTGTATCTGCTTTTTCTTCATAAAACCAATCCACTTCTTGTGCTGCAACACATAACAACATACAGTGGGGAGAATTGAGTGATAAATGATTTTTCGATCTCCATCTAATTCTTTAACCTTTACATTAAATATGTCAGTGCAGATTAAGTCTGTCGTTGATTGTGCATGCAATAAGGTAGGTGAGGGTGTTAAATTTTTGACATGTCCTTCTGTTCGAAGTTCGTCCACGGCCTTATTAGAAATCACTTTTCGGTTTTTAACAAGAACTTGCTTTAAAGTATTTTCTTTCAATTTGAAATGTCTTGCACTAGTTTTTTTCTTGTTTTGGTTATCGTTGTCATTTCTGTTACGCTTTTTATGGTTCTCTGTTTGGTGGTTCTTAATTTGAGACATCGTATTACTTTCTTTTGAGAAGAAGGTTTGTTCGTTGCATGATTCTTGTTGTTTTGACATACTATAATCCATACTATCCAACAAACCTTCCTCTTTCATACGATCTTCGTTCAGCAATCCTTCCCTCCATAACATCCCAAGAAATTCATAAATATCTTTAAATTGATCCATTTTGCAAATAATATCGTGACCTCCTAATCGTTGTAGCAGTTTTCTTTTCGCTTCGTCTTGGTTCCATAATTTGCATCACCAAAATAGTCAGTGCATTTGTAATTGAAAGAATTGGTAACAATATCATCAGTGATATGAGTTAAGCCAAGATGTTGTTTGACATCAAGGAAATATCTTGCTTTTAGCTGAGAAGAGGTCTCTTCTAAGCATATTCGGTCGTTGGAACAAACTTTCCCAACAATAGACGTTATTGGGGGAGAAGAATTGTACTGATTTATTAATCGTTGCTTCCATTTGAACTCCTTTGATGAAGAAGAATGTATTGGAAAATTTGAAACTGGTTCGCTCACTGATTCGTTTAATGATGATGATGATGCATGATTGTTGGTGATTGTTGGTGATTGTTGTCTTTGAGATTCGGATGTTGTAATGTTGTTGGTCATCAATAATGGTGATGGTGTAGGAATGAATGTCGAAGGCCATGAGTATGAAGGCCAGAATATGGGTTGATCAATGTAATCTTGCGACAATTGTTGTTGTGAATTGGGCCAATCATGGGATTGATTGGTGTTAATTTGAGACAACTCGTAATAAAATAATTTATTTCAATTTTAGAAGAAACTAAATTCATCATCATCGTCGTATTTGATCTTGGTATCGTATGACATATGCATGAACACTTCACTTGACTCTGTTTCAAGTATAAAAGAAATATTCTTAACTTGCAATAGGTATTCAGTTGTGACCACAGAATTGTCTTCCTGTGAAATGCAACTCTTGACAACTTGTCTTCCCCAATTCTCAAATAAATCCAGAACTGGTAAGGTATCTTTAAAACGATATCCAACACAGGGAACTTTGTACTTAATTCCATGCCTATAGATCATTCTGTCAGAGTGGAAAAACGTTGCTCCCTTCATATTTTGAAACATCAGTTGAAAGGTTTCTGTTTCAATACAGCCACAACTAATGGAGGTTCTTCGATGAATACCTCCCAACTTCAGCATTCTGTTAATCTTGACTCGGGCACACTTGGCAAAAAGTTGGAAAGATCTTGCGACGTAATCTTGTTCTTCTTCACAAAGGTCAAAGTAACTGTAGTTCAGAGGTTCAATTCGTGGTAAACCATGCTCAATGATGATATCTTTGAAATCGTAAGAGCTAGTTTCTTCTCTGCGTTGTTGTTGGATTTGTGTTGTGATGGGATCGGCTTCATTGTTGTTGTTGTTGTTGTTTGGAGCATCGAACATCATTGCATCGCCTTCATCTATGACAATCTCGTACATATTGGTTGTTGCTGTAGATTGGAGTTGTTTGATTAGAATCGTCATAATGATTCAGCCAAAATGTTGCTATTGTAAAACTTACGTTATTGTGTGCTGTAATCTTCTAACATAAAATTGATACGTATATTGATGTTTACGTCAAGAGTTCAATGTTGATTGTCTTGTCAAACCTACGTGTGTTGTTTTGTTTCGATGATGAAAAAGGGCCACACAAAAATGCGGCACCAGAGACATTTTATATTTTTTTTTGTTGTAATTTGCTGTGAGCCAAATCATCATTTTCTTGGCCGCGAGCTGGCCCAAGCGACCGTGGTAAGTTGTAGTGCAAACTACGCCTGAGCGTAAAGTGCAAAAACTGACGAAGAAAAAATTCGGCTCGTTTTAGTAAGTCCCGGAGTCAAAAAAAATGGAGTGATTGGTCTGTGGTGTTGTTTTCTGCTTCTCACACAAAAAAACATAGCAAGACTGGCCAGCGAAAGTGAACTCCGGGCTTCAGGGACACGATTTATGTCCCTCGAAAAAAAAAAAGTTTCTGTAGAGAACCGGCTTAACGCTGGCAAAGAAAAATCTTGAAATTGAAGCTTCCAAGTTCACTGTTCTGTCAATAGAGAGCCCAGCGACAGGAGTTGGCGACCAAATCCATCCAGCAACCCGCTCTGTTGGCTTGTCTTGCTATGCACCAACAACACACACAACATGGAAGCTGAATTAGTGGTCATTGAAGAGGGCACTGTGCCTCTATACTGTGTAAGTAATTGATTATTACCACAACAACAACATCATCAAACAACAATTTCAACACCTACACTAATCTTTACCTCAGCTTGGTGTTTCTGATTGTGATTCGAGTTGCGAAACAAATACTAATCACGTAAGTACTAGTGAATATCGTTCACCTTGTATTGATCTCAATTATCAAGGCCAATGAATCACCAGCATTGGATAGCCAATCCACAACGAACCAGAGTACGAACAATGTAAGTATTATGTTTGTCCAGTATTCAGCAGTAACATATTTCACAAGATTCCTTCATCATCAAGCATCGAAATGAACCCTTCTCACCCATCATCACCAGTAATGACTACCTCTACAGTATGTTTCAAATTTGTTACAATGTGTTTGCTTAACTTGTTCAGGAATGGATCTTCACAGACGAAACTATATCATTTCCACCTTGCTGTCTGTTGTCTAGCACAAGCAGCTTCTCTGGTATTGTTGATGAGACACAATGTACGATAACACCAAACACCAAATGTGATGATGACAATATTTCCCAACAGAGCAAAAAACGAAAATCAAGAACCACAGATGAAGCTGCTGAAGACACTCATAAGGAATATCAATTCACTTTAGAGAAAGGACTGTTTGAATTTGTACCAAAATATAATTCCTTTAAAGAAGTACCAGATGAGAAGAAACAAATTTATGGAATTATATGGGAACAGTTCGCCAAATGTGCAAGAAATATTATTTATCAACATCTACAGATGAGATGTTCAAACTCCATCAGCCATGAAACGGTTGGATGTTGCAACCCAAACGTGTTTTATCTTGCTCTGAGGGGAACAAACGCTAAATATTACCAATGGTATCAAGACATTTTGTGGAATGGCCTAAAGAAGAGACAGAAGTGCATTCAATTCAGATTTACTGACAGTGTTCCTCCTTTAGACAAATGCAAGCATTGGTCTGAGTTGGAAATTACTCACTCACGTCTTACACGTAAATTCGGAAAGAAGATTACGAAACACAAGATGAAAATTGTATACATTTCTCTCACATGTAATGTGGAAACTAATCAAGTGTGGACATCGTTCAAGTTTGACAAAGAATTCGAGTTTGTACAATAAAACAATTGAATTCAATCCTCAATACACTCTAAATCACAAAAAATGTCATCAAATTGAAACTTTTTATCACCGTCCACAAACCAAACCACATCTAACAACAACTTTTTTGAAGGTCAATCATATGGACTTTCAAATCAAAATCACCACACATGGTGTTCCTCTCCATTATCTTCTTTCAATGTGCAATCACCGTCATCTACCGGTTTCAGTAGCATTAATCCCGGCTCTTTTGATTCACCAAGAACATCACACCATCTTTCGAAAGAATTTATGAAGATCTGATACAACCAAACCAATCCAATTCAATGAGCTATCAGAATATCCCTATTCAATATGGAGGATGTGAACATTTATTTCAAAATCATCAATCCTATTATCCACAATCTTCTCATAATTTCTCCACAATCCAACATAACCTTGACAATCCGAACACATTATCATCTCAACCTTCACAACATGAAACCAATCAAACCAACATTCAAACACACAACAAAATACAACAATTACTTGTCGATAAGCTAGCTTCACTCGCATAAAACAAAAGCGAGGAGGTCCACCGAGCACAGAAAACAAATTGAAAATAATTAATAATATTATTGATAATACTGATCTCAATTTCTCTCAGTTAAGCTCCAAGGAGATGCTGTTATTAAATTAAAGAACAAGAGTTTTTGCTTTTTGTTGTAATTTAATTTTTCAAGTTGACATTAATTTTCACTCCAAAAAAAATGCCTTCACCAAAAGATGAGGTCGAGTATTTTAAATCACACACCTAAACTACGATTACACAGCAACAACGTGGAACAACTTTGATGTAACTTAGATACCAAGTGATCAGTACAAAAGATGGATTTTTATCGTGTAACGAGAAACTTGTTGAACGGTGTAATGACGGTGAATGTGAGTATTATCATCAACAATCAACCAATCCTTGAATAACGAAAGGCTGAAGAGAATTGCTTTCGAAACTTTAGTAACTGGCTTTGGTACAATAGGTGTGGTCATAATCAGGAGGAGGTTCACTTTTAATGAACGAACGTCAGCACTACTGAATAAAACTTTACAAGATTCTGAACCAATCCCGGAGTTTCTGCATTTCGTTGTCAAAAAATTTTTGCCTTTTTGAGTCGAATTTTTTCGCTGGCAGTTTTCTTATGGCGTAGTTTGTGGTGCAAGAGAAATCGCGTTACCAATGTGTCTCGATGGTTTTGGCAGAGGCAATGAACGTGTAGCCTTGTAAATTCACTCAAGATTATGAAAGGTTACGAAAACCACAACGTTTTCATATTGTGCGAGCGGAGGAACGTTTTGAAAATGACAAAAGGGATTATTTCAGCCATCAAAATGAAAGAAATTGATTGGATAGAATGATGTTCAAAACATCTGCAACACGAATGTTTCGTTATTGTGTTGCTTGGGCTCTAAAAACAAACGGAAAGGAAAAAGTAACGATGGTTCCATCTGCATGTGTCGAAATATGTAGTAGTAGCCTTGACATTCTGAAACTCTTGAACATGACCTAATGCTGTTTTCCTCAAAACATTAGAGCCTTAATTCAAAGTTACAAATAAATTCGTTTTACAACCGAAAAAAAAGAAACACGCCGTGTGAGAATCCAATAATTGGCCCTTTTCAACAAGAATTCTCATTTTCAACTAAAAAACAAATGATACAGCAAGGAGCTAGCGAGCCTTTGCAGAACTCCAAATTTCAGCCCAACACATACAACGACCTTTCAACTTCCGATTGCGTTTCAGTGAGAATCAAAGATGAAGTATGTATTCTAAAATCGTTGAAAACAAACTGAATGGAAGAATAGGATGCTACTATATTGGTTTTGTCTTGAGCAGAGATGATAAGATACAAAAGATTCGACTTTTTTGTAAAGTTGTGGATGGATTTCGAGTTTTTGGGTTTGGTGGAAAAGGTTTAAATTTAAATAATACTTTACAGGAAGCTGGTATCGATGGCTCAGGTTTTATATATGCTTACTCTGATCCAGATCCCAATGTTGAATTAACGTCAAAGATGTGTATTCTTGTGAGGTGTAATGTAGGTATTTTATTATTTGTTGGTCTATTAATTATCGAATAATTCAAAAAGGTTGCCAACGATGTTTACTTTATGATGAGTAAAACAACTCCCATGCACAAAATGATGGATGCTTATTGTCAAAGATTGGGATTTCCTTCAAAGGAGGAAGTAAAATTGGGATATCTGTCCCATGGAATAAGGCATGTGTTTCAAATTGGAGAGCGAACCATTCTTGGAGAAGACACTCCTGAGGTGCTTCAATTGTGTGATGGAGACACTATTGATTTTTATCCATTTTGTCAATTTTAGGGATACACAAGTTGTAATAATTGAGAGAGTTGGTTTTATGTTGTTGAAAGTCAGTGGCCTGTTGACCTTACTCAATGAAAATACTATTGACCTTATTTGTAGATGCATATTAACTATCTTACTTAAAAGAAGTTATATTTAACAACGTCAACGTTGTGTAAAGTCTTTTTCACGTGATGTTCTACTCGATATTGAATTTCAATTTGTCCACATTCCACATTTTGCAATTTCACAACTTCCTTAATGGTTGATGAACGTTTCATAATTAATTGTCCATTTCCATTAAACTTTCCCGTATCATGCCCACACTGTACAATTAAATCATGCAATGGAATTTCAACTTTTCCTAAAAATTCATGTTCAAAGATATCGTCATGATCATACAATCGAATGCTCACCACCGAACGATTCATACCAGTTGAAATATTTTGATCAAATGGATCCACTGGACTCGAGAACATTAACTGAAATTGTTCATTCCAAACAGGATTTGATGAATTCTTAATAACACTTGAAGTCTTTTTGTGATTTCCAACTTCAACAACAGCATAGACATTGGAGTGATCCTTGAATCCATTTCCACTATTCTTAATTTTAGAACCTCTAAATAAGATGAGATTAAACACATAGGGAAATTGAGGTACATTCTCCAATAATTGTTGAGTACTTGTTAATGAAGGACAATTTCCATAATGAATGGATAAAGGTCTACTACCATTACTACAGGGAGTTGTTCCTGAACTATGAGATGATGAAAGTGTACCTAAGCTATGAGTAGAAAATCCAGAACTTGAAGATTGCTCACGTGATAATGAGTGTTGAGTACTACTACTACTCAATATTGGAGGAATACTTTCCATACTCGATCGAGAATGAGAATTTGAGGTGTTTGTCGTCATCATTCCATTGATCAAAGGATTCGTGTCATACAGACTCTCATTGGGAGTGGATTTTCTTCGAGAATCAAGAGTTTTGGAATGTGTCTGAATGGTTGGAGGAATCATCATGTTCGAGGCTATCAATATACTTGAAGGAGAGACTAATTCTCGAATCATTGAGTGATTATTTTCATTAAATAATAATGAATTGGAGGATTGAGTGATGAGGGGAGACATGACATTCCTGTTTGGTTTTGGTGGTGTATTGGTATAAAGTGGAGATCGATAGACACCTTTCATTCGATCCAAATCTTGTTTGGTCATTTCTGAAATTTTACTCACAAAAGTTGTTCCACCAACACACGTGGGAGAATTCAAAGGTTCTTTTTGAATGGGTTGAGGAGATTCAGCATCGTTTGCTGATGTGAATGAGAATAAATGTCCAAGTAGAGACTTTTTCTTTCCTCTTGATTGAGGTGTTGTTGTTGTTGTTGTGGAATGGAGTGATGATAGATTTTCTTTTGAAGTCATGGAGCAGCCAAGAGTAGCGTTGGATAAGTTCTTTGATGCATCACTAGAACCCAAAGATTGAATGGAGTCTTTCATCTTTTTGATTTCATCTCGTTGTTTTTTCAAGTGTGGATATTTCGAGGTGGTTCGTTTCTTCTTTTTTGTTGTGGAATGTTGTTGTTGTTGATTTTCTTTATTCTCTTCTTCATCTTCGGAGGAGGAAGAATGATAATAATCTTGTTGACCATGGTCTTGTGTTCGTTTTTTGGAAGAGGTACAAGCAATATTACTCGCGGATTTGTTGGATTTTGATGGAGATCCAAAGAAGAGATTATAAAAGAAGGAACCATTGGATGAAGTATTGTCAGAGGTGGTGGTGGTGGAACCTTCATCGGTGGTGCTTGGAGGATTGGCTTTACGCTTCTTGAGAGCTCTGATGAATTCCATGAGTGACGAGTTTTTTTAGAATTTAAATTTTTAAAAAACGTAACGGCTAGAAATTTGACAAGTGGCATTCGAGCGGCAATCCACCACACCAAATAATTTGACTCAATTGAAGAACTGCAAAAATGACATGTATCGCACCAACAGCAGATCATGGCGCAAGAGTTGTTTTGTTGGAGAGCCTTCTTCACGAAGAAACCGAATCCGCACCCTCTCATCATGAATTAATTAAATTTTTAAAACAATCCTTTCAAAGAGAAGCAACCCAAGTTCTCCGAAAATACTACTATTGGGATCTCGTCAAAAACAAGCCATCGAGTTTTCTTGAAATTCCAACAGAATTTCATTCCGATTATGACATTGTCTTTACAGCTGTTCAAAGAATACCTTCTCATTTAACGCTCGTTAAAGACAGAGAAATTGTAATGCGATGTATGACATCTTCCGAAAATCAGTGTTTGTCACTCTATAGTTTTTTGGGTACTGAATTCAAGCTCGATGTCGAGATTGCGAGTATTGCTTTGAAAATTTGCCTAAATGATTACAAATCCATGGCATCTTCACTACGATCCAATGCTGATCTTGCACTGCAAGTAGTGAGACAAAACGGTTTACTACTCGAACTTGTTCACAAAACATGTCGAATGAAAAATAGAATGGTACAAATCACCGCTCTTGAACAAAATGGAATGGCTCTTCAATTTTTGAGTCATGAATTGAAAAATACCTATGAATTGGCATTGACAGCAGTCACACAAAATGGAGCAGCCATTCAATTTATTTCTCGAGAGTTGAAAAAACGAGATGAAATTATTACAGCAGCATTAAACTCAAACACAAGGGCCTATTATTACTTGCATCCTACCTTGCGGTTGAAATATGCTGAAGAACGTGGAGATTTAACTTATCCCTATGACGATATTTTCATACGGCAACGTAAAATTCCGTATATTGTCTGTAACGATCGACCATGTCAAGTAGTGAGAAAAACTTATAGCAGATGGTTTAAAAAGTGTCATATTGACTGTAAGGACATTTTTACAGGTGAAACACTTACATTGAATTACTTAACACCACAATCAATTGTTCACATTCCATTCATTTGGACATTTGAATATTTTGTGGAATATATTGAGGGAGACGAAGTGGTATTAACACAAAGAAAAACCTTACAGGTCGTTTCAAAGAAATTGAGTTCTTTATTCGAGAACAGCAACTCTCAGCTTTTCAACGAGTTAACCGTCAAGAATGAATCAAGTAACAAGATTGTGAAAATTGTGAAATCTATGGGTATAGAACGAGTGGTTGATGTGTTGATGGATGGGTAAACCAAGTTTGAAAACAGAAAAAAATGAAAAGAGTCTTGTGTGATGAAAGTGAATCCAAGAATCTTGATGCAACAAGTGATGATGACTTGACGAGGCATCACGATGAAATTAAAAAGAGAAAAATTAGTATCGAGTTATCATCGGCTCTAGAACATGATTCAAATCCAGTGAAAGTACTTTTAATTGATTTTGTAATGAACAAGTGTGGAGAACTACGATCATCGGAAGCCAGCAAGTTAATCGAAAACAATAATATAGGAATTGGACGTTTAAAGCACAAATTGATGAATCAACGACTTGAGGCATTCTCCTTACAATTCAATCTCATAAACACAATTGAAAAGTTATACAGTCCTCTCGAGATCAAAATTTCAAACAATCACCATTGTATTTTGATTTGTGATTTTGATGTATGTGCCATACGTGTTTATGACTTGAAAACGTTAGAGTTCCAATCATTGTTACCGTTTGCACCGAATTATTTCTGTATTGAGGAGGATTACAATGGGCGTGGAAACGATGCTCTTGTTTTACCAGTTGATGACACACGAGTTCACAAATATGATTTGAGAGCATTATTTCGTCACTGCTCAGAGACAAGTTCCAACTGCAACCCTATTTGGCAAACAGAACCAATACATGGTGTCACAGGAGTGGCTATTTTGGTGAATTCACAAACCAGGACGGAAAATCAAGTCTTTGTTTGTGACACCTTGTTACATTGTATTCACATATTTCGCTCAAGTTCAGGAGATTTTATTAGAAAAATTAATGTGAATCATCCAACAAGTATTGCGTTCACATTGAATGGAGACTTGATCGTTTCTGAGGCATTCATAGCTCAAAAGGTATCCATTATGAGCAGAAACGCAGAAAACGACTGGGTTGTTATCAAACAAATGGGAGAAAAGAAAAGCCACACACTAGGTGAATTCTTTTTCCCAGTGTCTGTCATGTGTGACAAGGTAACCAACAATTTCCTTGTGGTCGACTGTCTAAACAATCGTATTCAAGTATTTTCACAAAATGGAGTTTTTATCAAATGTTACGACCAACTTAATAAGCCAAGTTCTGCTTGCATGAATCAAAGAACTGGAGAATTATTTGTATGTGACACTGGAAGTCAAAGAGTAGTGATTTTCAAATAACCATCCTTCACAAGAGAGCAAGTATTTGAAGTATTTTTATTTTTCGCAAATGTTATTGATGTACAACTTAGGTTGTGAAATATGCTTGATATATATTTCACTCTTAGATGGATGTTGTTGATTCAATTTTCTCTATTTACAGGTTTCTATCGAGTATTAGATCTGATGAATAGAATTCTATTGTTGTTACAACTCTCAGCAGAGGCTTTCCAATACGAGAGACGAGATATCTCACTGCTTTTTGAGATTCATTACATAGTTCTCAATTGATTGATCATTTGAGCAGATGCAACATCAACGCTAGCCAATTGCATGGATTCGTGTTGACTTCTTGCTACAGTGGCAGCTACGCATCCCCGCAAGGCTCTCAAATCATTGTTCATTCGATTGAGAGCTGCTTGTCTTGGACTGTTTGGAGTCGTGCCCACAGTATTGTTAGTACTTCGTTGTGAGGAAGCGACTTGAGCTCTTAAATCATTCATATCCGAACGAATTCTTGCTAATTCTTGAATGTGTTGAGAAGGCATGTTATTGGAGGATGTTATGTGTGGAAAGAATTGTAGGCTAAAGAGTTGTATGGAAGGAAGGTTTGTTTGGCTCTCGAGTGTAGTACCCTTGTGTTGAGACTCGGTTTTTTTTTGTGTTCAGTGTAGTCGAGTTGTGCGCGAGTTTTTTGTAGTCTTGACTCGTGACAAGTGGTGTATTTGGAGATAAACGGAGAGTCAGTTAGTTGAGACAGTTATTGAGGGTGAGAGAACAAGCGAGAGAATCAAAGAGCGTTTCGATCAGAGAGTGGTTTGTCTCTCAAATTTAAGGAGAGAGATTGAGTGTGAAAGCGTTTTAGTGCAGTTGTGACAGAGTGAAAATGACCTGCATCTGTGCCTGTTCGTTGAAGAGTCGTTTGTGAAAAACAAGTTTTCTCGTATTTCAGTAACGCATCTCCTTCTTTGTATGAGGTTAGCCTGAATAATGCTCATTGAAACTATGAAGCAATGGAAGGCCGTATGTCAAAATGTCTGTCCAGCAGAAAAGGTTGTTGTTGTAAGGATCTGTTCAACCATATCAAAAGCAGTGTCATGTTGCAGAATTAGTCTTCAGCCAATGTCATTCGGAACTTCACTCTGCTAGAAACGAGGTCAAGGCTTAAACGTTTGTTTTGGTTAAAATACCGAATTCGTACCACAACAGAAAGTGTCACAAGTTAAAACTGCACAGGAAGAAACATAAAATTAATGAAAGTACGGTTACAATCTTGTTGTTTAAATAGTGAGGTGGTTGAAGGTAAATACCGTACATGTTAATTTTCTTCAGGAAAGTCAGCCTCCCAGTCATCTTCGTTTTGTAAAGGCGTCTTACTTTTCGGTGTTTGTGAGCTGGAAAAGGAGTTTTCTGCTGATGATGTGATAAAATGGTCATCTTCTTCGTCGTTAAGTTCGTCTTCGTCTTTCAACTCCATTCCTTCCATGGCGTCATAAATATCGTCCTCCCCATCTTCTTCAACTTCCTCCTCTTCGTCACTCTCTTCGTTATTTTGCAATTCTTGCACCTCTCCTTTTTCAGTCGAGTTGTCGCCCAAAATCAACTCTCCTGTAGTTAAATCATAAAATCTTTTCGTATTATTGCTAAGGCCTTGAGAATTTTCCTCATTGACCGAGTATTCAATTGTCCATTCTGCATGCTCCATTTCCTGTAACTGTAAATCCACAAATTCTTGCTCTCCTTCGTAACTTTCGATGAGAGCGTCCTCTAAATAGCCTCCTTCAGAATTGGCCAATAAAGGCTTTCCTCCAACTACTTCACTGTTGTCCTGATTTTGCTCTTCATCCTCTTCCCCAAAAACTTCATTGCATTTGCAGTTACTACTTTCGCTTAACGCCATGTTATTGGTTGCACCAATGACCCGGTTTCCCGACTTTTTACTCAATGACGAGGGATTCAATGAGTGTCCAAAGAATCTACTCTTTCCGAATGTTCTACCGTTCTTTAACTGTTGCAATCGAGCTTCCAATGTATTTAAATACGCTCCCGATTCGGAATCTGGGATTGACCATTGAACAGGTTCCATCTGTGTTGATATATTAATTTGATCATTGGTATTTTGATCAGAAGTGTTGCTGTTATTTAAATACTTTTCCTTGGCTTGTTCCGAGAAGAACGGATCATCCAAATCAGAGTCAAAAAAGTCTTCCTTGATGTTTGGTTGCAACATTTTTTAAATGTTTCTTCCTTTCAAAGCAGAAAATCATGATGAGTTAGGGTAATAATAATGCTTCTTGCCTTTCGTTTTACTCTCTGCTGAGGACCTTAATTAAAAGCTTCCACCCTGCAAGCTGGTGGTATTCAGTCATGCACGAAGATTAGATTTTTCATTCCAAACAAAAATGTCCACAACAAATTCTAGCCAAATGCATTCCCAGACCGATCATCATCATTCAAGCAACACTAAAACATATCGCAATCCATCCCTTACCGTAGATGCCATTGTTCCCGTACGTGTTCATCAATCGCATAACATTGATGATGAAGGCTCGTTTCATATTTGTCTCATCACCAGAGCAAGAGATCCTTTCAAATCATGTTTAGCTTTCCCTGGTGGTTTTGTAGACTATGGTGAGGATCCCGAGATTGCAGTATTACGAGAATTGGAAGAAGAAACACATTTGAAAGTTTCTGAAAGCAAGACGCTCGAGGAGGGTAGAAAGAATCTTCAACTGATCACAGTTGCAGGTAGGTTTTGCAAATTTAATGTTTTATTATTCATCAAAATTGGTTTGATATTTTCATGTATTGTTTGTAATTAAATACAATTTAAAAATTATATTTAATGGTGAATATTTGGAAATAGGTAATCCACAACGAGATCCTCGTCGTCACACAGTCTCAGTTGTTTATGCAGTAAAACTGGAAGGTCCATATGCATTACGTAATTTGAAAGCTGACGACGATGCCGAATCAGTAAGCTTTTATCCTTTGAGTTCTCTTGTCAAAGGTGTTGAATATCAATTGGCTTTTGATCATCAAATGATTTTGGAAAAGTTTGCAAAATGGTTTAATGACGTTGGAAAAGACCAGGAATTTTATTATGAAATGGAGGTGGACGAACATTTATAATGCTTAAATACCACTCATTCGATTGTGTATGTGTATGCATATCAGGACTAAAAATCAAAATTGAAAAACTAGAAATTCTTAAATACTTGATCGAAATGATTATACAGCACTCTGTAGTCAGTTTTTGCCATGGATTTTCTTGAAATTAATTATTACTACTTTTTCAATTATGTGCCAAAAGGTTATTGAGCTAGATGCAAGCGTTAACTTTGATGTAGCAAGGATTGCATTTAATCCAAACAAAATTTTGAACAGCCCTAAGAACGTGGACGCTTATCGTACGATAATTTGAAATTCCATCCTTAATTGCAAGTCAGCAAACAACTCAAATTGTTTTGGAAGCAGCAACTCACGTATCAACAATAGAAATAGCTCAACAATTACCTGTCCCACTCTCTCGCGTTACAACAGTCGGAGCACGCCTTGAACATTCATTTGGAACTCACCAGTTCTTTCACACTTGGTGTCACAAACTATCAACTTCGTACATTTTACGTACATCTAACGAAGATAACCTCAGATCTCCTTGGTCATATGGAGAATTGTCTTGGCTCCGTGAATGGTACAGTTCTCTCGTATAACGCTTTTCGCGAAGACGTTCTTTTTGGAAATGGTATTCTCACCAGACAACTTGTCTTAAATACGAGCTCTGCAAACCAAGTTTTAGCGTCCTTATCATTCAAAAAAAACACAATATTTATACTGACAGATAAGATGAAACTCATTGATTTCTGCCTTTCTGTTTCTCTGTTGGTCATGTTCATGACATGTATGAATGCATTCACCTTCATGCATGCTCAACAACATGCTTTGACTGTAAGTCCTTCATTCAGAGGTTCTCGTCTCTCTGGTCCTGCACCATTAGCTGTTTTCTTTGATGGCTCTGGAACTCGAGTGAGTGAGACTGCTACTGGCATGCAACAAGATTCTTTTAGAGATGTGTTGTATTCTTTCAATTTTGGAGATCCAAACTCTGGAATTTGGGGAATTTCAAGACTTTCTAAAAACATGCAAACTGGAGGACCATTTGCTGCGCATGTGTTTAACACAGTTGGTACTTTTATTGTTTCCATGTCAGTAACTACTAAAACCAATGTTACGTATCATGCACCTCCAATCACTATTACGGTTCAAAATCCAAGTACAGTTTGGACAGCTAATAACACTATTTGTGTTTCTACAAGTTCCAATTTTAATGGATGTCCATCTGGATCCGTGCGTATGACTACACTTCCCACACGATTCAATGGAAAAAGAGTCTTGTTAAGAAGAGGTGAAACTTTTGGAGATGTACAGATTGCTTCCACTGACGATCAGGTGTTGATTGGTACTTACTCCACAGGTTTGAAACCTCAAGTGTCAAATGTCAGATTATCTGGAGGAAACACAGTTGCAGATTGGCCTGATGACATTACCATCATGGATTTGAATATTACCAACTCGTTTGGTATCGTCACTACTGGCTCACGTATTTTGCTATATCGTTGTATATTGAGTACTCCTTCTACCAGTGAATCTCAAGTGGATGTTGCATCTGCCTTGAAGTATTACATGGATCATGGTAGTCTACCATTATCAAGTTATTACTGGCCTCACGAAATCTTTATTGTTGAGAATAATATTCAAGGTGAATTGTCTTCTGGAAATGATCACATGCCAGTTGTCACCTTGATGGGTTATTTCATGAATTCTGTGATTATGGGAAATCAAATCAATAAGGCTTCCCAACATTCGGTTCGTTTATGGGCTGCCAATCAAGTACTCATTGCTCATAACAGTGTTGGAGGTGATCATGATCCTGTTCAGCCCAATCAACCTGGAATTCGACACGCGATCAAAATTCATTCCAATGGTTTGAATAGTTACAATTCTCATAACATTGGTACTACAGGATTTAACATTCGTTCAAGTAAGGTTCTCATTGCTGACAATAAGGTTGGAACCAGTACCTATCCAGGAAGTTGGCTTTGTGCTGTAGCTCCTCAAAATGCTTTAACTGGAACTATTGAAGGCATTGAAGATGTATTATTGGAAAGAAATGTATTTATTCGAGGAAGATTTACCACTCTGGAAGGAGCCATGCGTGGAAGAAGAATCTCTACACGATACAATTCCGTACAGGGTGGTGTTTTACCACGCATGGAACGCATTGGTTTTACCTATGATCCAGCTTTAAATGATTGGGATGGTCCCTATTATTTTGAAGATGGATCTCCAATGCCTGTGATTCAAAGTCTTGATTCCATGGAAGATGATTTTATCAAGAATGCTCACTCTCCTTGTCAAAACTTTTATGCTTCCAATTTCACACTCAAGAAGGCAATGGAAATGAATGGTCAAGATTTGTTCGTTCCATCCATGGAACAACCTCAGAAAAACACTCCATCCAAAGATCCCACTCATCAAACCTGTGTGTTAAGAGTCTCAGATCCAAACATGGACAATGTTGAAATCAAGAGTATTCTTGGTTCCAAAAGACAATTATTCAATTCGAATAATACTCTCCAATTCATGAATGCGATCGATGGAACTTGGCATTTGTATCGAACCGATTCGAACTCGTATTGGAAGGACCTCGTGGTGGTTCATCCTGATTCAGAGCCTCACTGGCATCCCACTCGTCCCAATCTCTTGTATTATTTACCTTCCAAGGGTGTTGGAATGAAGATTCATCAACTCAATATCGAGAGCGAAGTTACTTTAGAGGTCACTGATTTGTCCACTCGTATTAGAACACGATGGCCTTCTGCTCATGCTGCATGGACCCATTCGGAGGGAAGTCCTTCACGAGATGCTCGTTTTTGGTGTTTCATGGTTGAGGACTCTATTGGAAATACATTAGGAGTCATTTCGTATGATGTGGTTCAAGATCAAATCGTTGGATTTTTGAATGCGTCTGAAGGAAAGAGTGTAAAAGCTGTTACTACGAGTCCGAGTGGACAATATTGTGTCCTTTACATGAGCAACAACACCATTGCTTACTCTTTAGATTTCACTCAACCAATGACCCTTCATCAGGCAGGATCCATTGATGCTCCATCTGACTTGGCTCTAAATGATTTGGGAGAGGATGTTTATGTTTCAGTAGATACTTTGTCCATCTCTAAGGAATTGTTTATGGTGAATTTGAGAAGAGGACAAAGAACCACTCTCTTTCCAACTTGTACGGATGGATCAACCACTGCTTTGCGTGTGAGCGGTAAAGGTTACAATGTTCCTGGATGGGTTGTGATTTCAACCTTTGCAGCAAGTGGCACAAGACAATGGTTGCATGACAAGATACTCTTGGTTCCGTTGAATGTTTCAAAACCCATTTATGCCGTCGCTCACCACCATTCTGTTTCCAATGGTAAGTAGTTGTGAACGATCAAGCTTGGCTTACACCAATATTATTAATTTTATATTGCTTATGTGCATTAGAAATTCATGTGAGTGTGAACAAGGATTTGACTATGGTTGCCTTTTCCTCACATTGGGATGGAAGCCAAGATGAAGGAGTCGATATCTATCGTGTGGAAATTCCAACAATTGTAGGTATGAAAGGCCAAAACACTCAATACCAAGAGGATTCAAACAGAAGGAACCCAGAAAACAGTCTCCCAAGAACACAAAGCCATGTGTCTGCTGCTGAGAAACACGTGGTATTCAACTTGGTCTTCTTTCTTGTTATCAATGTTTTCTTGTTTATGTTTTAATGCTTTCAATGTTATGCTACAATAAAGATGCTTTGATAGAAAACTCTAATTATGCCAAAACCAAACTGCTTAATAATAAAATATAAACAAGAATTGCCACAGGATTCCAAGGTGAAATCTGTGTGACTCCTGACACGGAAGCTCTTGGTTTAGTTTGTGAACTGCTTGGTTTTACCACTGGCGATGATGGAGAAGGCAATGGAGAAGGCAACGGAGCAGGAGGTCGTGATTTTTTCACAGTTCCAATTTCGTCGAAAGGAATCTTGGCAAAATTGTACAACTCCTTATTTGCTTCATAGACATTTCCAGGAACGAGATTGAAATTTAAATCAGTTGGGTTCACAAACGAGGTTAACGGTACATTGAAGGTGTTGTTCGTGTAATTACTGTATAACGAAATATAGGGCTGTCTAATATCCATTGCAGAAGGAGAAGTAGTGAATAAGTTGTAATGAATGAAATTAGCAAATGGTTCAAATGGATTTCTTTCAAGTATTGATGCCAACTCTGGATATCTACTCGACCACAGAGTATTATTAAAAGGCATTGCAAACAACTTGTTCCACATTTGATTTTCTAAATCCTTATCTCCCCAAGTCAAACCTCTTGGATCTGCCATGACTCCAATAGTGTTATTGATGAAAATATTATTGAATACTTGATTGTGACGACCACCTCCGACAATAACACCTCGATAGCAATCATAAAATACATTTCCAATCACAGCTGCACTTGAAAACATGTCTGTTGCCAATGTCAATAAACATGTTGATTAATCTGTAATCACTTACCGTCTAAATAAACTCCCGTAGTTCCTAAAAATCCTGGTCCTCGAATTCTGAAAATAAAGTTGTGTTTTATCACATTGCCTCTAACCGTCCAATCACGTCCACTTTGAGAGATTGTGAATCAATTCTTCATGAAATTCGTTTTGCTACTTACCTGTAAATGGCTCCAGAATCACCGGTAGATTTGCAGACGTCGTAGATCTTGTTATAGGACAGTTCATGATCATTTCCTCCAAACAGGATAGCAACATGGTCTGCATTAAATATTTCATTATGAGTGACTGTAATACCCACACCTGCAATTGAAAAAGCAGGTCGATATGTTTTACCAATTCTAGAAAAACTATGAATAATATTGTTGAACGCCACCGAGTTGGAAGGTAGCAAATTGACACGGTTTCCTCCATTGAGCTTAAATGCTCCTTGACCAACATAATAGGCTTCACTGTTCAAAATCTTGCAACCAATACATCCTTCTAAGGCGACACCAATACTTCCAGTGTTTGAGATGATCGAATTGTTCACTGTAATATAGTTATTGTTGAGTGAGGAAATTGCAGAACCTCTCGTACAACCCATATCAAGAGAATCAAAAACTTGTCCATGTGAAGAAATTGAGAATAAATGATCAGCTAAAGAAATGGTCACGTCATCCTCGTTTTGAATCGATGAAGGGGGCCAATAGTAAACCATCTCATTCTGAATCACATATTCACCTGGCATGTCCAATTCACTGACAAAGTTCACTAAAAAGAAACGTTGTTTGCTGGCCAAACCAAAAGGAGGAACTTCTGATGCTACAAACGTAATCTTTCCATCACTGGTTATGGATTGAAGATTTTCAGTGCCTTCTGCCCAATCATATCTCCAATATCCAAATGCAAAGGGATACTTTTCAAGTGGCCATCGATCTTTGTTTGGACACAAAGTACTGTTGAAATAGAATTGGTTGGTTCCATTCAATTTTCCTACATTCATGTATTGATCGAGGATCGCTCTTGTATCATTGACAGGTTGTGTGGAGAGTTTGTTAGGATATCTAGCAACGGTTTGAGCAAATCCTCGAAAGAATATTTCATTTCCAGAGCTAGGAGATCCATAGACATATCCATGCTTTTTGAATGCAATGATTTGACTTGATTTAATTCCTGCTTGTGTCAAGTTACATTGCAGGACGTTTCCTCTTGCATTCAGGGAAGTATGTTGTAAATGGAAGGGTTTGCACCCACTGTTACTGGCTTCCATAAATATGGAGGCAAATTCACAGAGCCTCTGATTTTTACATCACCACGAGAGCTACCTGGAATAGGTCTCCAAATCACTGGGGAAAATTGATCGTTCAATCGATTGGGTCGAGCAATGACTACGGTCGAGTTCAAGAAATACGTTCCTGGAAAGATGTTCACAAAAAAGGTCGTGTTGGTTGTGTAGACTGTGTTTTTAAGAGTGATTATGGTTGATGCGGCTTTTGAGAGAGAAGCGAAAGGTGAGGATGTGGAATTTCCAGAATTGCTGTCGCTTCCAAAGGTGGACACATAAAGATGTACCTGAGCTTGAACCTCTAACGACATGCAAAGAATGAATGTCAATACTATCAACACCCAACAACATTGAGACGATCGCATTTTTTTGTTGTGTGACTTCGAAGGTCATGATGTTAGTGATTTGAGATGGCGTCTGCAAGTATGGTAACTGTCAAAGCGACCTGGTAACAGTTCTTATCACCTTGTTGTAATTCTTACGCTTAGCTATTCAATTCACCAGACCTTAACAGTGTATCATCAAAGAAGGAATAAAGTCAAGTGGCAAGCAACCTCACCACAAGCACCGACTGTAGTGGAGATGGAGCCAAAATCAAAATGGTAAATATCTTTGTTGCTATTTAAATCGGACGGAGCTTCGGTGATACATGAAATAATTTTTTTGAAATTAAAAAATTAAAAAATCAAAACCGAAAGATTTTTCAAGCATAATGCAGAGCCCCTCCCATAGAAGCTATGCCTTTCTGGTGGTGTTCATGGTGATGATGATCATCATGTTGCTATCAGATGTTAAGGCCATACCATCTCCCATTCAGAATCAGGCGAATATAGGAATGAATATTCGGGACCTTCAGGGACTGCAAAGAGTTTCGGGATCTCAAGTATCACCTGATGGGCAATTTGCTGTTTATTCTGTGAAACAATGGGTACGTATATGAACAATTTCTGCATCCGTTTTATTGGAATTACATTCTCGGATACTCTCTGATCTCTATTCACGAAAATTTTAGGATTCCAAAACTGGAAAGACAACTTCAAACATTGATATTGTAACCATCGCCACTGGAGAGGTCAGAAGATTGACCAACAAGTTTGGTGTATCTGATTACTCTCCCAAATTTACACCTGATAGTCAGTTCGTTTTGTTTTTAAGCTCTGGTAGAGGAAGCACAAATGGACCTCAAATCTACTCCATTCCAGTGAAAGGAAGTGAGTCACAGATTTCACTCGTGTCAAATTATGACATTCCTGTTGAATCTTTTAAAGTTAGCAAATCTTTGAAATCCAATTTGTTTTACATTGCATTCAGTGCTCAAGTTTATTTGAATTGCAATGACAGGTCTTCTCTCTTGGCATGTTCAAAGAAAATGAATGATGAATGGGATAACAAGGGTTCTAATACTGGATATGTTTATGACAAGTTGTTTGTCAGACATTGGGATGCATACAGGATTCCAGAAAAGGTGTCCCACGTGTTTTTACAAAAAGTTGCAATTGGATCTGACTCTTTGAAACTTGTGGCCACGCCATTTGATACCATGTTTGGAATGAATGGTAACTGTCCAATTGGCCCATTTGGAGGAGATGAACAGTATGACATCTCCACAACTGGAACTTATATTGCTCTAAATATTGAAGTCAACGATCATGCAGTTTCATGGACCACTGGTTGGAAAATGTTTGTTACGACTGTTAACAACTGGTATTCAGATGTAAATTCACCAATTACCTCTAATGCTCTCAAGTTAATTACATCGTTTACAGCAGCCAGAACTCAAAATCCATTGTTTTCTCCATTCCAAGATGAACTTCTTTCATACCTTGCAATGAATACTCCAGGATATGAAAGTGATAATCTTCACTTGAATCTGTATAACTTGTTGACAGATAGAACCAATGACACTGTTTTCAATTTTGATAGATCGATCAGTGAACATGTTTGGTTTGATGCTAAGCGAGTAATTATTTCATGTGCAAATGATGCTACTCATGCATTGTTTTTGGTCGATTTAGCTACCGGTTTCCGTAAAACACTCACTATGGAGGGCCACAGCGCAGGATTACAAGTTGTCGTTCCTGGAGAATCTATTGTTTATTCGTATGACAGTTTTGTTGCCCCAGTAGACCAGTATTATATGAAAATCACCAACGTGGATCTTCCGCCAAGTCGAAAACTCACCAACTACAATCATGAATTTTTGACCAAGTTTCCTCGAGTGGTTCCCAGAAAAGATTACTTTATTGGAGCCAAAGGAGAAAAGGTTCAAGCATGGATTTTCACACCTTTAAATTATGATTCTCAACACAAGTATCCAACAGTCAACATTATTCACGGTGGTCCAGAATCTGCAATTGAGGACGCATGGTCTTACCGATGGAATCCTCAATTATTTGTAGCCCAAGGTTATGCTGCAATCATTATTAATTTCCATGGATCTGATGGATTTGGTCTGGATTTCAAGAAATCGATTATCAATAATTGGGGCAGCCTTCCCTATGAGGACATAACAAGTAAGTACTTTGACATGCATGTTGCATTAACTTTGGAACAATCAACACTTCAGATGGAACTGATATTTTGGCCTCCAGATACAACTTTATAGATCCAGATAGAATTTGTGCCTTGGGAGCATCATATGGAGGCTTTTCTATCAACTGGCTTTTAGGTCACAACGAAAATCGCAGATATAAATGTTTTGTAACACATGACGGATTATCAGAGCTTGTGTCAGCATATTATAGCACAGGTAAGTATTAGATTATGTTCTAAACGAAGCATTCATGGTTGCACCACTAAATAATAGACGAGCTGTGGTTCCCAGAAATGGAATTCCAAGGTACCCCTTTTACTCATCCAGAAAATTATCAAAAATTCAATCCAATCAACTACGTGACAAAGTGGAAAACTCCAACACTGGTTATTCATGGTGGTAAAGATTTTCGATTACCCATTGCCCAAGGTTTATCTGTCTTTACAGCTCTTCAACGTCAAGGGGTCCCTTCCAAAATGATTGTCTTCCCAGAAGAAAATCACTGGGTTTTGAAACCTGCCAATAGTATTTTGTGGTATGACACAGTATTAGACTGGATTAAGCAGTGGATTGGAAATTAATAATTGTTTTATATAATACTGAGTAAATAATTATTTAACAGGTTATTCCTTGATTTTCATAATTGGATGGCTTTCAATGTTGTGCATGTCATTGAGAATTGTAGCTACCGAGAGACGAAGTTTGTGGAATTGTTCCAATGTGACCTCCATGGTAACAATTCGAGAGTTCGATAACTCGAATTGAAGAAGCAATAATGGTTTGAACACCTTACTCATGACAGAGTTGCTGATTGTGACATCGACTCTCCATCTAACGTTTACAATGTGATTAAACCAACTGGTCTTTTCCGTTGTAAGAGCAATAAATTCTTGCTTTTTTGTTTCATATGCCTCCACGAACAGGTTAATTAAATCCTCGTCTAGTTCCATTTCTTTCAGTTGATCTCTCAAATATGGGATTTTAATTCTTTGTCGAATCATGGCTCTAAGAATTATATAAAATCCTAAATAAAATGATCAAATTCATGACAGCAGAAAATCGTTGAAAATTTCAAAGTTTCATCATTAAATCGATAAAAGTTCATAAATTCCTACCTGTAAATATCACTGAAAATAATCCAGTTTTAATTGCGCTATCAATTACTTCTTGGACATATTTTGATTTCTTTTTCACTTTTTCAAATGATGATTTTAATTCTCTCTCAAGTTGTCCATTTAATGGGACTGCTAATTCGTCTTGCTTTTCTCTCAATAACTCTCCCGTCAAAAACTTGACTACATATGACAATACTCTTGTTAGTGATCTCTTGGAAATATGGGGAAGAAGAGGCAACACTCGGAGTACCTCTTGAGGTATCTTATCACCTATTGATTCCGTTAATTTGAATTTCCATGATCCGATGATTTGAATTCATAAAAGATAACCACATATCGTAATGTTGATGATGATCATTGGTTTTCAGATGTTGCTCTACATACCCAAAAACACAACATCGTCCAAAGTCATTTTTTTTGTGTGAGATTTTTTGTTGTGATGGAATTTATTCAGACTACACGACTGCCCAAAGCATCACTTCTTTCATAAATTTGCCACCTTACTGCATCTTCACCTTCTTCTCTTAATTTCCAAACTGTACCTCCTTGTTTGATGACTTGTTCAATTTTTGAGGTCTTTAAAGTACCAACGTCATGCAGCATTAAATATTTGGGTTTACAATACTTGTCAATAATTTGATATTCAGCCCAACCAGTGTATTCATTTCCATCAATAAGAATGGCATCAAAATTATAGGCCAAACACAAAGGATAAAGCCAAGGAATCGATTTCTTTGAAAGCTCAATATCTCGTTGATAATAGAGCTCATAGTGTCGATCTTTGTTTGGAATTTCTTCTGGTTTCAAATACATTTCAGTAGGAACTGTTCCACCAAGAATAAATCGAATGGGCATATGAGCATATGTCTTACGAGCATATTGCCAAGCAGGTTCATAGAGTTCAATCGTGTACAATAATTTGTCTCGACCAGATTCTTGCAATCCTCGGGCAATACATTGTGTAGAGCCTTAATCAAACAAGATCATGTATCGTCGAATTGAACAAATAATACTCACCTCCTCCAAACCAGGTACCAATTTCAAGTACGATCCGAACATCGTTTTGTTTTGATAGTCTGTAGAGAGCCTTTCCAAAAGTTGTATCCATTGTGACTTGACCATCCGAGCCAATAGGGGGTTTCTCCGTGAGGGAATAACATTTACATTCCGTAACAGGAGGACATTGATTCTTCTTAATATCGGTTTGTAAAGGACATACTGGACATTCGCATGAAGTGGAAATTGGAGCAAATGTTGTGGATGCCCGTTTAGAGTCCAATATTTGATACAAGGCAAAGACAGTGATGGAAGAGAAGAGAATCAAAAGAAGGAACAGACGAGAGAGTTGCATGTAGAGCTGTTTCTTAAAGAGATGAACAAACAATAATCCTGTTTCATTCCGAATGGAATGCTGTTGTTGTTGTTCAAACGTCTGTCCAATATAAATTCATCAAGGGAAAGTGCTCCGATATGGTGATGAGGTTGTCAAACATCTTCTTCATCAACACTTGTGATTAAATTATAAAAAGTATGTGATGTTGTTCCATATGGAACCCAAGCACGAGAATTGCGTTACACCATTTCATATCATCATTCGGATGATGGAACACAAAAGGTTCAGCTCGCTTTTTTTTGAGTTTACAATTTTAACGTTCCTTTCGAAAAACATCAAAAAATGACAAAACGGAAAAACCAACCCTCGAACAACACGTCATCTGATCCAAATCATCATCATGATCCAACGAACCCAAACGAAATCATCATCATTGACAACAAGTATCAGTTTAGAAAATCGGATACATTGGGAAGAGGAGGTTTGTATTTCAACAAAATGGAATTGTGAAAAATTCGAGTGGACAACTTGTTACGAAATCAAAATTTTCTTGAACGATTGGAATTTATTTGTGATTGTCACATCATGATAGGATACGGAGTTGTGTATAAAGGATTTAGATCGAGTTTTGGGGATATGGTGGCCATAAAAGAGATTCCTCTCAAAAAGCATCAAGCTCTCAAAGACATTCAAAATGAAATTAATTTATTATCCAAACTTGATCATGAAAGAATTGTAAAATATATTGATCACCATTCGACGAATCAGGCATTTTACATCATCATGGAATATTTAGAAAATGGTAGCTTGGCATCTCTAGTGAAAAAATACAAGGTACGTTTTGGAATGACACATGTCAACATGATGATTGTCATTACAAAATTATGATAGGTCACAGAAGATGTTGTTTCTTCATATATTAAACAAGTTTTAGAGGGACTTGTGTACTTACACAAACAAGGATTTATTCACAGGTGAGTGTGAATGACAATTTTGTGCATCTTGACTAAATTTATCATTTTAATCTAAAATATTTTGTAGAGATATTAAAGGTGACAATGTGCTGTTAACACGAGGTGGTGCTGTAAAGTTAGCAGATTTTGGTGTTTCTGCCTCCTTGTCATTGATAAGAAAAGAAGACGTCTCAGGAACGCCACATTGGATGGCTCCTGAAGCCATCTCACAATCTGGAGTGAGTGAAAAGAGCGATATTTGGTCTGTTGGATGTCTCACTATTGAACTTTTAACAGGATTCCCACCATACTACACAGAAAATATTTACAGAGCCATGTTTCGAATTGTAAACGACGATCATCCTCCAATTCCTTCTTGTTCATCTGCAGCTGAGGATTTTTTAATGTTATGCTTTAAAAAGGAACCCAAGTTCAGACCCACAGCTCAAACATTATTGAGTCATCCATGGATCGCCAAAAAACAAGAAAAAGAAAATCAAGTACCTTCATTCATTAACAGATCAAGTTTTGATAGTGATTTTTCATTTGACAGTTGGTCCTCTCTTCCTTCAAAGGAAAAGAAAATGCCAACCATGAAAACTGTGACAGAGGTCAATGGAAAAGTGAATTTGGAAAAATTTAAAGAAGGATCTTCTGACGACGATATTGACTTTGAAATTAACACATCAACCCTTGGAGATGGATTGGAGTTGAAACCTCATTTGCTAAAGAGCGAAAGCAATTCTTCTCAAACCTTTGAAAGCTGGGATGATATTGATTTTAAGGTGGACAAAGTAGCAGAAATACAAACAATTTTAGATGAACATATTTCAAAACTATCCCCAAATCATTCGCCGGATGAAATTTTAAAAACATGTGCAGACATATCAAAACTCAAATCCCTGGCTGATAACGACGATTTTATTGCAGCTCTCAACAGAACGTTATCAAAAAGAAGTTTAATTTCAGTATTGCAGATTTTAGACAAGACTGAATTTTTAGAAGAGGAAACAGTGATTACGTATATTCTGCAGTTATTGAACGAACTATTATCCATGATTGAGCCGCAATATAAGGAACAATTGTGCCTCATTGGCGCGTTTCCCAAAGTCACAAAATTGAGTTCAAATTCCTTTAGCGCCCAATTAAGGTATGAGTCCATTCGATTCTTACACAGCATGTGCATTGAAAACAAGACAAATCTGAGAATGTTTATTGCCAGTGAAGGGGTGAAAACTCTTGTGAAATTTTTGAACACTAAAAAAACACAAGACACCACAAGATTTCTTCCCAAACTGGCTTTCAGTAGTAGTATTGATTCTTCAGATAATATTCAAATCAAAACTGTGTTTCAATCCATTGACTTGATCGAAATGGTATTGAAACTTCAAACCTCTCAAACAGATAGAAATGATTTTTGTAGACTGTTCTCGATGCATGATTTTTTGGGAAAGATTGCTGCCGTGTTTACCAACTTTTTAGAGGACTTTAGAGATGTAGAGACTTTTTTAGGAATTGCTCCTCTTTCTATTACATCACCTTCTTTCAAAACAGTAGTACTTTCCAAACAATTGGCTTTTCTCAAAAGTGAAGACAATGATGATGAAAATGCTTTTTCAACAGTCAAGGTCATACCAAAAAATCAAAATACTGATCATAATGTCAAGAAGGAACAACAAACTACAACATTGAGTAGCTCTGATGATGAAGATTCGTCCGATGATGATTGGGATTCATCCAGTTCATCGAGCGATGACATGAAATTTAGCACTGTTATTTATGGAGGAGATGAAGATAAAGACTCTTCAAGTGATGATGATGACGAGGACGACAACAATAGTTTACCTACTACGGTAATTATCAAACAAAATTCCAAAAACGTCAACTTTTCAGAGGAGAGAAAGAACTTGAATCTACTCAAAACCTACATTGACAAGATCATCTCAATGCTCTTAATGTTTTCGGATGGTGACAGTGAAATTCATGTTGCATTTTCTAACAAGACAGTCATTGATAATTTAGTGGCTTCATTCAAATATTTGAGTGATTCTCAAAAGAGTCAAGTGATCACATCCCTAAGATTTTTAGCTTTTAATACCAATACTCACGAGTTACTTACCTCTACAAATATTCTCAATGCTCTCGTTAAAGAATTTTCACTGGTTGTGTATCGATCGGATGTAAAAGTCTTGGAAAGTGTGAACTCCAAAATTTACAACCAAGTTGTGAACAGTTTGTATTCTCTTTGTGTGTTTAACGAGCAACGACTCGATGAAATTTCTCTTCATGGATGTATTGAACTTTTGAGTCATGCTGTCATGTCCCAGTTACCACTTAAAGAAATGGTGTTAAGATTACTTTTTGGAATGGCTGTTAGAAATTGCAGTAATGAAACAAAAAAGAGATTATTGGAAGAGAATGGACTTGAGGCATACTTCTTTATATTAAGGCATGATAAGGCATGGGTTGCAGATGTCTTCTCTGCCCTCAGCTCGCTTTTATATAATGAATTTATCAAGTACGATGTAGAGAATTCAATTTCGAATCATTTGGACATATTCGTCCAACTCTTTGAAGTTTCAAAAGATTTACTATTGACTATTGAATCCACAGTTCCAGGATTTGTGACATTGTTGAAACTCTCTGACAATATCACAAGTGTATGCAAACAAAATTTGGACCTCATTACCAATTTATGTCAAAGTCTCTCAGCTGTAGTTCAGAATTATTCCTCGTTAGATGAAGATACAGATCTCTCTCCATTACTCAGAAACTTTTTGTACAGCTTGTCATTGCTACTGCCTGAAAATAGTGCCTTAACACAAACTGTGACTGATATTGCTTCTCGTTCCTTGTCAGAATTGCTCGAATATGCACAACACAAGAATCTCTATGTTATACAGGAACAAATTACTCCCCTTTTAAAATCTGTGAAAACTCAAAAAAAGAGGGAGTAACCAAAACAGCAGTTTTGTTGTACACAGTTGTGTGAGATGCAACTTTGCACGATCAAAATTTTCACTCGGCATCAACTTGTGCACGAATCAAAAATTCTCTTTGAAACGTTTCTGCTTCCCTAGTTAATTCAGAATTCACAAATTCAATGAGTATCCTCCTTCGTGCAATGCTCGTAATCACAAATTCATACTCGTGAAGAGGTCTCAAAGCTTGATTCACCAATGTCTCATAGGACTGAGTCATTGGAGTCATTGGAGTAGTAGTTGTTGTTGTTGTTGACTTTTCTTCACTGATTTGCATGTCTTGATCCGAGTGTGAAGAATTGAAACTAGGTGAGCAATTTGGATTATTTTCAATTGAATCGTCGTCATGATCACTCTTTGCATGCACCGAGGAGCACCGAGTTCTACAACTCCACAACAATGATGACGACGATGAGGATTGAATATTGCACTGGACATTGAACGATCTCGTCAAATGATGCATGGGCATGGAATGCATTCTCTTGAATGTTTCAACTCCACGACGGTTATTATTATTATTCACAGACAAGGAAGATGAAACAGCTCGTAATAAGGATTCTGCCGAAGTGGAAGATAAAATTGGTGACGTTATTGTCACTGGATGAGAGTTGTGAATCATCATGGTTCGATGATTTGGTGTTTTACTTGCTGTAGTATTCAGATGAACGGTTGTGGATGCATCTTGTACAACGTTCGTATTCTCTCTATTGGCATGCACTTTGAGTTTTGAAATTCCTAACGGTTTGAATTGTTTGGGGTTGATATGTGCTGGAAAGGGTAATAAGGAGGAAGAGGAGGTTGATGAGAATGGATCGGAATGAGTATCCGTTGTTGAGATTGTTGAGATGGTTGGTTGATGATTCTTGTTGTTGTTGTTGCAACCACTCACTCGGATCGGTTGGATGGCCGTTGAAAATTGAATGTTATTAGTGTTTGTAGGATTGAGAGAAGAAGGGAGTTGTGGTGGCATTTTGTGGAGTGCTGTTGTGATCAGTGAAAAGCGAAGAGATTTGTTTATGAGTATGTGTGGTTTTGATTGTTAACATACAAATGAAATTCACACTCCATATTTGAGTATTTTCCAAATATGTTTTAAATAAGGTTGTGAGAGAAAATGTAGTTCATTTGAAATTCTCAACAAATCCAATTTTCTCTCTTTGCAGAAACGTTCATTCTGAATTACTACCGAACGAACAGCAATTTTACTCAAGCAACTATTACATGACGTGTTGCACAACACACCACACGACCGTACTCGCTACCAACCAGATCATACTCTTCCATCCAACAAGTAAATATCCTCTCAAGTAGTTACTGTATGCACTGGAAGCAACTCCTGACGTATGTCTCAATGAAGGTCGGGCTGACACTTGTCGTGAAATGGATGGACTCAGAGGCGAGTTCAGAACAGGAGGTTCTTTTGTCACGTTAAACAATTTAAATCCATGAATTCTCGTATCGGATCGATAATAATACCATCCATTCTTCAAAATCACTCCATTGAATGGATAAGTTTTTGCAGAAGGAAGAGACATGACTCGTGTGAGTGTGAAATTTTGAGGATGAATTTGGAAAATTCCATTTCCCAATGTCACATAAACATCCTTTCCATTTGGATGAGGAGCAAAAGAATGAGGACCTTGTTCGACATAGACACCAGATATTGGACTCACATGAATCAATGAACGATTGGCTGGATTGAACACAAAGAAAACTCTCGTATCTGTATAGCCATAGATGAAACCTGTCGAGGCCACACCATACAATTCATAATAATTTCTCACACCCGTGAGTGGTGCTGATCGCCAAGTGACACTTCTCGAAGTAATATTGAAGACAAACAATTCAGCAACAGGTGCAATAGCAACACCGCCAGTTCCCGTAACAATGGTCGATCCACATAAAATCAAATCATTGGAGCCAGGAATGGGAACCATGGAATTAATGGAATGATATTGCAACAATTGGGTATGTGTTAACACAGTTGCCTTTTCAGTGATTCGATTCCAAATTAAGAGACCTCCACCTGTGCCACCATAATCTGGAGTACCACCCATAAATACTAATTCCTTGTTCGGATGAGCGAGAACAGATGTAGGACGAATGATATGAGGAGCAGCACTTGCTAGAATTCGAGGATTGAGTGAACTTGCATTTCCTGGAATGGGATCAATCCATGGCTTTTTGAGATCATATTGAAGTAAACGTCCGACTGGGTATGTTCCAATCCAAACATAGGGATCATACGTAAATGCTTGGATGACATTGGGTTGTTCTAACATATTCGAATGTTGGAAAACTCCGTCTGTTGAATTCATGGTGAAAAAGTTCATTGGAAAACTTGAACCTCCAATGAGTGTGCTAAAGTCAGGAGTAGCACGAAGGTCCATAAGATTGGCACCTCGACATGTATAGTAGAAGGATTTTGTGGTCATTGTTGAGTTCTTTTCTCGAATTGTGAAAATTTTGTTTTCCACATCAAAAGTCAACAATTGTCTCTTGGATGGAAAATATCCATAGAACAATCCCTGATGACCACTAATGTAAGGAACTGGAACCTTTGCATGAGAATTAAGGGTAGTGTAATTACCTCTATAAAATCGATAGATGGGAGTTGCATTGACATTGGAAGCATAGACTGCACCATCCACATCTCGATACAAGGTTGGCATGAGTTGAGGCCCTCGTTCCGATTCTGAAAACACTGGAACTGCACTACTCGTGTTTGGATTGAAAGCAATAATTTGACCCAATGTATAACCAACACTAAAATAGATGAATCCTTGATCATCAGCAGCAATATATCTTTGATACATTAGCCATGTTTGATTGTACACATAACCATAATCGGTTAACACTCGAGTATTGGGATTGAATGAAACAAGTCCACTTTTTGGATAGGTAGCAGACCAAACGTTTCCAAAATCATCCAAAGTCATTTTCATGGACATTCCTGGAAGAGTCGTTCCAACAAATGAAAATCTCAAATTTTGAGCATCAAATTGCACAAAACGACCTCCATAATGACAATAATAATATCGACCATCGTTGGATAGTAGCGATGCATAGACAGCCTCAGATTGACTTGTTGTAAATGGAAAATCAACACGTGTGGTATTTCCAGTCTCTGCATGAACGACCAACATGGCGAACATTCCCCAAAAATCCATCATTGGAGACAAAATGCATTCAAATTGAGAGAGAGGAGGTTGATCACAGAGAGTGACCACAACACCTCTGGCATTTCCTTTATCCACTGCCACACCCATGTCATAAATATTGGAATTGATTGGAGTGATTGGATACGAGTGAACAAACATAGAAGAGGATGTAATGCAAGCAGCAATTATGGAACAAAGAAGCAAGCCCATTACTACTGCTCCATGTGTGAGAGGAGGATGAAGGATCTGCATGCTCCTTCGTTGGACGGTACCGTACAAATTTTGACTTTTTTTTTGCGTGTGTGTCACTTGTTGTTTTGTTTGAAAATGGCAAAGACGAATGAATGATTGAAATGGAAGCTTGGAATTTGTGAAATGGAGGTACGTTCTTCATGTTGAAGAACAAATGATTCGGTTGTGCTGAAGAACACTTGTTATCAAGAATTGATGTTGGCTTGAAACAGTAGTAGATCTTTCTCATGCAACACTTTCAGTTCATTCAAATACTTTCCCGCGCTCCAAAAAACTAACCGTTAAATGCTAAAGCTGTTAAAAAAATTAACAACAAAATGCCACCACGAAGAAGAAAGGCATGTGCAACCACCACACGCAAACGCCGAGTCGTGAGAAGAAAGAAGGTTGAGGCCGATTCCGATGAGGACATTCAACAAGCTGAACCACTCGAGGAGGTACCTCCATCCACCATAGAGCAACCACCATTACAACAACAACAACAACCAATAATAACGGAAACTTGTAATTCATCCAAACGACCATCCATCATAGCCTCTAAAAAACGAAGCAATAGTAAATTGAAAATTGATGATGAAAATTTCAAGTCCATTTCATTCCGAGAGCAAGATGTTGAAATTGAAATTCCACGATCCGAAGAATATGAATCAGCAAAGGAATCTGATGCTGAAAAGCAATGTCGGACACCATTGGCCCAAATCTTGCGTAAACGAACGTTTGACTCGTGTGAGAAGGAAAATAGTCTCCAATCTGCAAGTAAGGTGAAAGAAATGTTCATGGGTGAAGAACAATTAACATTTTTGAAAGTGTCCTATCAACAAGAAGTTGATAATCGAGTGAAAATGTTACGGGCCTTTACAAATAGCCAATGTACACGTTTAGAAATGGAGATGAAAATGAAGATTGCTAGTCTCCCACAAAAAATTAGACAAATGACTGTTGCAGAATTTCTTCAATATCATGAAGATATTGGTGCATTTATTGGAAAGATTGTGCATGATGACACTTTATCCCTAGAGAGGAGAGTGAATTTTTTGAGAATGGCACATCAACCAAAAACGCCACGACCTCCCAAGCACACATCTACCATGGCAGCTGCCACTAACAATGCGAACATCATGAATCCACCTTCTAATACTCCTCAAACGAAGAAGTTGAGAATGAAGAGTGTTAATAACATGAACACACCAACGCATCACAAGCAGTTGAATAGCTATGCAATGAAATAAACTCACTTGTAAATATTTCTGTAATTATTGACAAGACAGACTTTGGAATCTCTAGATTTTCGTGATAAAGAGTTTGTGAATAAATACCAAGTTTAATTCAAGATGCCAGATACATCCAAATCATCCTCCTCTTCATCTTGGGACACTTTTTGCAATAAGGCTTGCTTGGTGGCTGAGCTTAATTCTGAAGAGCTTATCTTCGGAATGGCTACATTCTTTTTCACAAATTCCAACACAGAGGGTTGTTGAGTGGCTGGTTGCTTTTTCTTTTTGCTGTTTGGCTGTTCTTCAGCTTGTTCCTCCTTCTTCTTTTCTGCTTCTCGTTTTCGCTTCTTGGCATCCTCTTGACTCTCAATGGCGCCTCCCAATTCAGAAATTCTAGAAAGAAGATCTCCTGAAGATGTAGTAGAAGGAGTGGATGTTGATGGCTTGTCATGATTATTTGTAGCATTCTTAGTATTAAAAGATTGGAATGGATTCACTCCAGGACTCTTTGGTTGGCTATTCGAGCTATTTGAAAGCTTCTTTTTCACACTGGCATCGACACTCTTCTTTCTAGGTCTCTTGGGAGAAAACATCTGAGGAATCGTCTTGTTTGAAGCTTGACTCTCAAAAACAAATTCTGCTTCTCCTTCAAATTTGTTGTCACTCTTTGCTGACACTGGTGAGAGTGAGGCAACAGAACTGGTTTCTTGTGAGGAAGAAAATAATTTCAATGTCTCAAGATCTGGTTTTTCAGTTGGATGAGATGAACGAGATTCAGCATGTCCATTAATGATACCTCCATTGTGTGAAGACAACATTTGTTTGATCAATTCTGTGACTTGCTCTCGAGTCATGAATATTTCATGTGAAGAGCTAGCAATGCTTGGTGTGGAAGAAGCGACTCCTTCAAATGATGGGAAGGGCCATTTTGGATTTCTAACATCTTTTGCAGAAATTTCGAGACTTCTCAGTGTGGATGCAAGCTTTGAATCCTTTTGTGAGTCGGCAAAGTTGGCGACAATATTCAAGCTGGATTTCATTCTCAATAATTTGGCAAAGTTTAGAGCAGCTGTGAATTCTTTCAATTCTATGCATCTTGTAATCAAGGCAATAACTAATCGATCTACCTCAACAATGTCTTCTTTTGTGGCTGTTCCTTTTCTGAATGCATGATTGAAATGGACATTCCTAGTGACATAACGAGCATAAGAAAGTCGAATTGGTTTGTCATGACCCTTCTCCAACTCAATTGTGGATCCAATAAATACATCCTCAATGTTGGTAGCATTTAGCTTGAATGAGGTCATATCATGACCTGCACTAGGTGTAGATCTATGATTACCACATAATATTGAGTAAATACTAGCGTCACTAATAATGCTAATAAAGTGTGTAGAGTTGTCATTGTTTTTCTTCAAGTCACACCAAGCAGAGAAAGAATCAGTATCTGGATTAAGTAGATATAAAACTTGAGTGCTATCAAAGACATAAAGTAAATCTTTGGTATCTGTGCCAAAACCAGCCCAAAGAAGCTCATTGCATGGTAATGCTCTATGTGATTTGAGACAGCTGAACACTGAAATGTCATACCAGTCCATGTAGAGACCTGTTCCTTGTTGATAAATAATGACCAGATTGTTTTCAGAAGCACAAAGAGAAACTAAATTTCCACCAACTGCAATATTACCAAGATTCATTTGCTCTCTTGAATAAACTCTGACCAAAGAGCAACGGGTCTGACCAGTCTTGGTTTCTTTTTCTATACCTGCTGCTACAAAGGATGAGCCCAAGGCGACCAGCACAATCTTCTCGTCTGATGGTAAATTAACTTTCCAACCTTTATCTTGGTGTGTCACTCTTAATTTTCTGAATTGAATGACTGTATTGTGAATGAGATCGTTCGCATTGGATCCAAATACAATCCCATTTTCGTTCAAAGCAGCCACGTGAGGTTTATGTTGATCGTTAAACTTCTCTTCAGAGTATCCAGCAAGATTAAATTTGATATGAATATTGTAATAAGGAGCACTTTCTGGAGTCATGTTGGTTGAAGCAGTGATTAAACCAACATGTTGAGTAATGGCCAAGTATCTCTTATACTCTTTTTCAACTTTTTCAAAAGGAGATGAAGTAGGTTGAATGGCAGCATGCTTTTTAGTGATAGGAGCAGTGTTAAATGAGGATGCATCAACACCGAAATCATGTTCTTTGAGACCTGTTGGTTGTTCTTGACTATGAACAACTTCAAGAGGCTCGATTTCTTCTTCTTCAACTAAATGCTCCTCTTGATCCTTCATCAATTCATCTATTTCATCATCGTCAATGATTTCTTCAGCCAATTTTTTGACTTTCTTTTGCTCAGTGCTGTCGTCACCACCAATTAATGATAGTACATCATCCGTGTCAATATCTTGAAGTTTCTTAATATATTGTTCGTTGTCTACAACCTTGTAGGTAGACTTGTGTTTCTTTTCATTGATAAAGTGGCTAATCATGTGAATACTTCCATCCTTGGTTGCCACAAAGAATTTGTTACAATTGTTGGACCAGTCAATTGATGTTACTACAGATTTAAGAGAAATTGTTTGGTAAGGTTTTGGCTTCTTGGAAGAAAAAGCTTGATATTCGAATAAATTAATGTTCTTGTCGAGATCAATTAGTGCAACATGTACAGAGTTTGGAGAGAAGGATGTGATGTAGATGTCGTTCGAGATTTCTCCTTTCGTAATAGCATTCCTTTTCCATAACTTGGAATCTTTTTCAATAATGGTGGCATTTGGGCTGAACAGCACGTCTCCACACAAACTCCATGCAATGACTATAGGACAGAAATCTGTGGTTCCTTGCTGATTATTCCAGAATGTTGTAATCTCTTTGGATATTTGTTGTTTGCTGTGGAATAATTCTTGTTCATTGTCAACGTTAATAATTTTCAAATCTCTGTCACTTGTTATGAATGCAACAATGTTGCTGTCAGAATTGATCTTGGAGCAAAGAACTCCACCAGTAACTGGTATTTTAAGTACTGTTTTTGGCCTTTCAACAGCACTCACATCGACAATTTGAACAGAGCTGCTTTCAGACATGCTACTAATACTAATTAAATTATTCTTGTTGACGCTCACACTGGTAATAACATGGTCTGAGCGTGTAATAACACCTTCAAATTCAAAAGATGGGTATTTATAACTCCTCACATCATTATCTTTTGAACCAACAAACAAATGATAACCGTCTAAAGAAAAGGCAGCACAAGTAGGTTCTTTTTGCTTGCACGATGAAATTTCTTTCTTCTCTTCTACATCATCGGCGTGTTCGTTATGATAAATAGCAATGAGTTGACTCTTATCATCGGTAGTTATCAACACACTTTTCGGAAGTAATATATTTCAAGAATAATCATCATCAATGGAAATTTGATATTTTCAAAATATGTTCACCACTTACTTTTCATGCGGATGATGAACCAACCAACAACAACTCAATGATTTTGATTTTCCTCCCAATCCACCCAAGAGCACCTTGTCCATATGGATAATATTTTTTTAATTTCAAAATTTGAATGGCGGGGGAATCGGTTTTGGCGGTTTCACAACGTTGGTTGCTCTGTGAAATTTCTGATGTGAATGACTCCATCTTCATGGTGGAATGTTTCTCTAAAGTTATTGAGGAAAAGTATTAAAGATGAATTCTTGTCGAAAAGAGGAATATCGAGGTCTCTATGTTTTATTTGGAATGACCTGAACATCAGTTTTCATCATTAAAAAAACACTGTGAACTCACACTCCGTCGGATTGTTGAAAGTCTTTATTTACTGATTCGGATTTTCATCAATACTCTGTATCAACATCAATATATCATCATTCGACGTTGATACACTAACGACACAGTATTGCCAGCATAAAAATGGTGAATAGGAAAATTTCAATCGAGATGCCATCTGTCACTTCTGATGGCATCACGTCGCTCGTGATGATGATGATTGTTTGGATACAAATTATAACATTATTCATTGGAATCAGTAATTTTGGAGTAAACGCATATGTTTTTGAAACACGAACACCACTCACATGTGCTGAAGCTGCCACTAAATGTATGTATTTTCAAATTCTCTCAATTTCACACAATTTCTTGTTATTTTCCGTCCACCTGCCAATATCTTATCTTCATACAGACCGATACGAAAAGAATGTGCTGGGTCTATCACCAACCTTCATTCCTCCTCCGATGTATCCTCAGGAAGCGACATGTACCCTTGTTGAGAATGGGAATTCTCACTATCCGAGCTTCAATTTAAAATTGACAAGTGGCTCGCCTACGTTCATTTCTGGAAAACCAGCCTTCCTGTACAATCCAAACTCAAACATGTCCATCTATCTTTCTGAACCTATTACTTTTATCAAAGCAGATAATTTGTTTTTCAATTCATATAATTCTTTGGTTTGGCAATTTTTACATGTGAAAGATTTGCTGCTAGCTCAAAACTTTGTGGTTACTCCTTCGGACACAGATAATCATTTTTATGGAGGAGCATGTGGAAAAATTATGGCAAACCCTAGTGTGAATGGTCTGTCACTCATGCTAGGTTCTGTATTTTTATCAAATTGTTCAATGATTAATGGATATTATGATAGTGTGGTTGGATATGGTGCAACCTTGAATAATCCTCCACCTGAAATGTTACCTTCAAATCCAGCATTTTCATTATTAACAAATTATTCTGGAAATTATTCATATATTGGAGTTGGTTTTAAACCAGCAGGTGTTCCAAAGGTAATTGACACATCAACAGGACTTGTTCAAGAATTATCGTTCTTATTTGGTAGTACTTGTACTGCCAATGATGAATGTAGTGGAAATGGTGTTTGTATCACCTCCAATACTGGATGTCGCTGTTTTTCAGGTTATTATGGACCAAAATGTAATTTACAAATGAGTAATTTAACACAAGCAGAACCACAACAGCCATCCAGTGCAAACAGCACCAATGGAGATTGTATTTTGTGGATGAGAGGAGAAGACACGTATGCTGATTATTATTCTAATGTTATTAGTAGTACCATCACAAACCCATTATTCGCTCCAGGAGTTATGGGAAAATCCATGTATTTTGATCCTTCCAGTGTAAAAATTGATGAAAGGATAGAAATTAAGGACTTTGCATTCCCCAAAGATGAGGTCACTGTATCTTTTTGGATGAAATCAACCAATGAGGTTTGTAGAAATTTATATTTCCCTTTTTGACTTGTCGAATCATGCACCTTAATATTTTAATTGACATCAAATAGGGTGATCATTTGGAAAAGGGAACTCCATTAGCTTATCAAACCGATGATCTTAGCTTTGGATTTTTGATTGATGATTATCGAAGTCTAAAGCTCTCTGTCAATGGTTCTTTTGCCTTTCGTTCTGCACTCAATGCAGCCACAGTTTTTGACACCACTGTGAATTTGAATACAAATTCATGGCATCACGTTTTGGTCACCTGGAGCTCATCTACGGGTGTGCTAAAACTCTATTTGAACGGAACGTTAACACAATTTGCCACAAATTATAAGAAAAACGTTTCTATTCAGCCAAAAGGATATTTAACGATCGCACACCAAAGAGTGTTTACCATTCAAAAGAATATTACCTTTGCCTCAAATAACCGATTCAGAGGATATTTAGACGAACTTGCAATCTTCGAGAGAGTATTAAGCCCTACAGAGATTTCAATTCTCGCTGAGCCAGGAATTTTTTGTTTTGGAAAGTCTAGCAATGATCCAAATGTTTGTAATGGAAGAGGATCGTGTATGTCATTCAACAAATGCTCGTGCTCTGCAACTTCCAATGGAACCCAATGTGAAACCTGTAAACCTGGTTACGTTGGTGATAAATGTCAATACGTGACATGTGCTGGAATTCCTTCCTATAACTCATCCGTATGTTTAGGAAGAGGTGATTGTGTTGGCATTGACACGTGTGCATGTACCTATACTTTTAAATTTAGTGGACCTAATTGTGAAAATTTTACATGCAATGACGGACAAGGATGTCAAAATGGAGTTTGTACAGTGAATGTGGGCAATGAAAAACAACCAGTAGATAATATATGCAAATGCAATACTGGATACTATTCGGAAAATAATCGATGTCTCACCAACAAGTGTAACGGAAAATTTGCTGCAGATCCAAACGCTTGTTCTGGAAAAGGTACCTGTGTTGGCTTAAATGTCTGTAATTGTCAAACAGGTTACCTTGGAGATGATTGCCAATACAGCTATTGCATTGGAATTCCATCCAATGACACAAAGGTTTGCCACTCCAGAGGAACATGCACAGATCAAAGATGCTCTTGTAAATTCTCTTGGACCACTGATGACGAAACGACATGTAGCTGCTTGAATTACAAAACTGAAGAGACATGTTTAGGAACCGTTCCCAAGGCATCTGAAGCCTTAATAGCTACAAATCCACAACCAGATCAATACTTTGTTTTAGTGCCTCCACAAAATCCAAAAATTCAAGTCACAATGAAAGATGTACCATCGGTCGGAAACATTGCAATGGATACTTTTAAGAGGAATTTATATTGCTATTTAACATTTAACTCACAAGTCACAACTTTTGCAGCAGCAACTATTTTAAGCCAGCAAGATAGACCCTGGTGGAATTTTGAATTTAACATTGAGTGTCCTTTAACAATACCAAATGGACAAACAAATGGAACATTAACTGTTAGGTACAGAGACATTTACACGCCAGATAATGGTTACGTGATTGCTCAACTTCCTCAAACAGTTGTTGTGAAAAACTTTGCTCTGACAGCTTACAAGTCAAATGTCATCATATCTGGAGATCCAAAAATTTATATTTCCTATAACGTTCCACTTCCGATCAACTCAAATATTTATCTCTTCAGTAGCTCAGGATCTGTTGCACTCACTCGTACTTTAGAGACCATTAATTTATATGAGGGGAATGCTTATTACAGTTTAACCATGTCACCTGCCACTTATCTTTCCAACACGTTTGGATCCACACGAGTCCAATACATGGATTACAGCTTGAGTTTTTTACTTTTAAATCAAAATACCATGACTTCCTATTCATACCCAAGCAGTATTATTGAAAGTGCATCGGGAGGCCGTCCTGTCTCATTTGTCATACTTGTTCAAGGACCCCTTACCAGTGTGACCTCAGATTATAATTGTGTACTGAAAGGAAATTTAGGTGCAACGACCAATGTGGGAGTGATTGGAATTCAGACCAATTCGACAAGTTCCATTGTGACTTGTGCGTCGACATTATTGACAGTTGTCGATAGGTATTCAGTCTCAGTGGTCTATATTGGAAAATCTCAAAGTGCTGTCAACTCAAATTATGCAGTGGGAACATCGCTTACCATGGATATTGTGAGCGTTCAAACAATTACCAGCGAACCAGTGTTTGTGACCAGTGACCTGTCAATTGTCAAATTTAGATTTTCCACAAGCACTCCTTATACGGGTCCGCAATACAGCTATGTATGCATTTCGAGTAACAACACAATTTCCAATGCTGTTCTCTCTGGATCAAACATTGAGTGCAACGTTGCCGTACCACATGAGAACGCCACAACAAGTACCTCACTGTCCATTTCAGTGAAACACAATTTGTATATGTCCCAATATGTTTCACTGTTCACAGCACCTTATATTTATCTCAATAAGCAAGATATTTCCTCTACAGTACCTGCCGTGCTTCAATGGAATCTTGGAAAGGTCACTGCTACTTTGAAAGTTTTGTTTACTGTCAACAAAGACTTGAAACAACAAAATTACTATTGTCAAGTTGATGGAAATAATTTTCAAGGAACAGTAACAGGAAATGCAGTGAGATGCAACATCGACTATACACTCTCAAGCCCAAGTTTTGATAGTAATGGAATTTATTACACATCTCTTACAATAGCAGCTGATAATGGACAAGGTATTATTCCAGTATCCAACTCTTTCAGTATACCTATTGCAGGTAATTCGATTACAATTCATCCACTTCACACGAGTCGATTTTTATATTCAGAGAATCAGGCACAGAATTTTACACTTCAAAACTTTAAGCTCAATAAGGCAAAATTCAACTGCTCCAACCTTTCCATACAATTGAATAATTATGAAGGATCAAAATCTGTGGCTATTTTTCCTGCGATAATTCTTTCAGATTGTTCAGTGATTTTCATGTACAATCCTAATACCGTTTCATTTTCTAACGAGTATTTCCCTGCAAATATTGTTCCAAAAATTGAATTTATTTATTCAGATTCAGAGAAGAGCGAATTATTGGTGTCTACCAATTACTACTTTGTGAACAAGTATTTGAGAATTTCAGAATCATTTCCCTATGTTATTGATTATTCCATTACACAAACTCTGAACAGCATTCTGTTGAAAGTGATTGCAGATGGTAAGATTAACACGAATTTTGAGTACAAGTGCATTGTTGGAACCAATGAGTATCCTGTCACCATTTTGACAAGTGACGTGTTTCGATGTGATGTCATCTCAACAGCATTTGGAGTTTCCTCTCCCTCAACTCTTAATGTTTACCTCAATGTCTCTAGAGAAAAAGTCAGCAATGATAACATCATGGTTCAGACAACAAGAAATAATTTCCTCATTTCATTCACAACAACCAAATTTTCACCCAATTATTTGAACATTGCCGAAAATTCACCACTATTTTTCAGCTACAGTAATTCCACTCCAATGATTGATACTGGATCCTATTTTACCAATAACTATCAAGTCGAATTGTACTCACCTGCTCTCTCTGTGACAGTTCCTTGTCAAAAAACTCCATCCAAACAAATTCTCTGTAATGTGACATCGAATTTGCTTCCAATCACTACTTCAGTTCAATCATTCACTCCAACCATGAAATCTACAATTCCTATTGATGGTACCAATTACAATACTATTCTTACTACGATGAGTCAAAAGGTCATTTCCTACAAAATTCAAACCATTCAAAAGACCTATCCTAAAGCTTTTATTTCAAACTCCATTTCTCCCTTTTACATTCAAGTTCAGACTTCCTATGACCCAACACTTAGTATACAATGGGATTGTTTTGCACAATACGACCAAGCAAATCCAAACATTCGATGGAGTGCCACTTTTTTGCAAAATGGAATTCTTGTTTGTCATGTGAATAGTACCATCCTCAATAAGGCAGTGAGTGGTATTGTCAATCTTGGAGTTTATTTCTCTGTGAATAGTTTTACAATGGACAACCAACCATTACAGTTTTCAACATTCAGTCCATCCATTTACTCTCTAACGACAGGAACCACTAAAATTGTGTCAAATGATACAATCTTAACTGTTGGATCTTCCTTCAGCTTGAATATTACACATTCCCAAACCATTCCAACAGAATTGATTACTAGTGGCTTAGCTGTTTGTGTTTTGGGAAATACTGTAGTTGGGTCCGTGTATGGAACTTTGACATCCATGGGCATGAATAAGTATACTTGTGCTTTTGCGACAACTTCAAAAACTTATGGACTTTTAACACTCACGGTTGGATATTACGAAACATTTGCAACACTTTCAAAAGTTTTTGAATTTTCACTTTCTAACAATACGGATCAATGGATTACCACCATTCCACTTGTATCGATTCAATCCGTATCTCAGAGTCTAGTCCAAACTGGAAGACCATTTTCTCTCACAGTGATGACTTCGTTTAACACTACAGCATCTTTTGGAGTTCCAACTTCCTATGTTTGCATTTGGGAGAATAGTACTGGATCGACACGAGAAGTGGCAGCCCTAATCATCAAAGAAGGAATCTTTAATTGTTCATTGACAGAAACAATTTCTGGACTTTACAAGCTATCGATTGGAATTATTTTGAATTTCAAGCCATCCAGTCGAATTACCAATGCTCCGGTTGCAGTTAGTGTGATTGGAGGATCGTTTTTCACACCTTCGTATGGTCTTATTGGTGGAGATACCATTTCATTGTTAGCAGATTTTGCAAACACTCCCACAATCAATGCATACGTTATTGGAGATGATTCTGCAGTATTTACATGTTCATTGGTGAGCGATCAGAAATATTCATGCATGACACCTAATTTACTAACCAATCCAAATTCGTACAAAACATTTTATCCATATCCAGTGAAAGTGAATAATAATCGAATGACTGTTTCATATATTCCATACATGCAGGTAAATGTCACGAGTGTGTTTCCTCCATTTGTGTTGGAAGGAAAATCATCCGAAGTGACTACTACATTCTCAGCTCCATTGACCTTGTATACTAACACGAGTTTTGTACTCGAGTTCTTTGATGGATTTAACACCAAGATTGAAACCACTCTTGGATTTTCACAAGTTCAAAGTACATCAGAGATTAAGGTATCTTCGTATTTTGGAAAGGCAGCTAATTATATCATTTCTGCTTCAACAAATCATCTCGTGGATGGTTATCCTGTGCTTATTAATATTGTATCTAATGGCGGTTTGTTCCAAGTGTTGCAACCTTTTGATGTCCAATTGTCCTCTTCACAAAGTGATATTTTACTGATCAATGTGATGAATGAACTGTTATTAGATGTCAATTACAGATCACTGACGCCAACAGATGCTGTCAAGCAAAATTTATATTGTGACATGGGAGGTCAAATCACAAAAGCTCAAATCAGTAATAATGTGAATGGAGTAGACAAGTTAAAATGCAACGTGACAAGTACATCCATTGGAAGCAATTCAGTGAAAATTATTTATTCAAAAGATGGTTATGTGGAGACATTGAGCTCTTTGATTTCAATCTATTTTGAGAAAAATTATGTGCCTCTCAATGTCACACCATTTGTTTCTTTGACAAGTCCTGTGGATGTTGCAGTAGTATTGAATGGAAATCCTTTCGTGACGACTGATCTACTTTTTGTTTGTGCTTCAGATGTAGCGTCTGCGCTTGCAGCTTCTGAGGCCATTGTTTCTGGAAGTAATATTCAATGTCGATCTCTTCATGGAAATACCAAAACAGCATTTGACGTCTATGTCATGAGTAGACTTCGAACCATTCCGTACAAATTGACATCAACACCATTTAACATTTATTTCCAGACAGTACAATCGATCTATTTTATTAATCCATTTGTCACCACTCTCAGTGCCAACTCTCTGACACTTCCAACCATTCAAGTGTCCATTCCTGATATTCAAATTCTTGAAACTGGAAAAGTAGTGTGTTTGGCTTATTTTGGATCTAATTTACAGCAAGCAGTTTTATTGAACCAAATTACACAAGGAACCGTCAATTGTCCATTCACTCAACAAATTACCAATTCAATTGGATCCAAAGGAAGTGTTGATATAAGTTTGGGCGTGTTCGATGATTTCTCCAAGTCATACATTTTGATCACAAATAAGAAGAAATTAACCTATGTCAGTGCTCCCATTGTCATTTCAAATTGGAATTCAGCTGACATTTCAACATCAAATTTCAATGGCAAATCCTTCCAACTTAACTTTGATACATCTGCCTCCAACTTGAACTACAATGTTAAAATTAACAAGGACAGTGGATATTTAGATTTGGGTAGCTCTGTAGGTGGTGGAATTTTATCATTTGTTGCACCTTTTATTGTTTCCAAGGAAAATTATTCATCAAGCTCTCCATCAAATTACATTGCTGAACCATCAATTCCAGTAAGGAAAACAATGTTGCTTGATGTCATCAATACGGACATGCCAGCCTCTAATCCTAGCCGAGTTTCACAAATTAGCATTACTTCACTCGTGGTTTATGATTTTGTACAAGTTGACAAAATTTCACCCTATGCTCTCACAATTTCGGATATTGTGACCAGAGGAAGTGGATTCAGTAAGGCCATTGTCAGCTTTTCGAAATATTCCATTGATTCAAATTTTTCTCCAATTACATGCAAAGTGTGGAATGGAGCTAGTTCTTTCAGTGTGGCCATTAATCCAATTTCTTCCATGAGTGTAGAGTGTTCACTTCAACAAATCACAGGAACACCTGGAAAGTACAACATTCAACTCGAGTATAATTCAAACTCCATTACTCTTGCTAAATCCATTACAATATTACAAACAGGATTGTCATTATCTAGTAGTAACACTATTGGTTCTCCATTGGGAGGAACTAACATTTCACTTCCATTCTCAATTGATTACCCAACCAATCAGACTTGGAGTTCCTATTCCTATTCCATGTCATTCCTTTATCAAAATAATTTAATTCCATTTTCTTCATGCTCCAATAGTGTGACTAATATGATTCGTTGCATGACACCAAAGATGGATCTCGGCTATTTGAAATCACTCCAGTTACCAGTTGTGGTATTGATTGACAACATGCCATCCATGACACTAAATCCTCAACTTTCAATATTAAGGCAACCATTGGTGAGTTATATTTCACCATCATTTATTGATCTACAAAAGGTATACACAGCTGGTGATCGAATGACATTCACATTTGATTCAAAAGTAGATTATAGATTTAAACCTGCTGTGCGTTATAGAACCATCTCCAATCCTCAATTAGTGACCAATGACATTTGGACATGCTACAAAAATTCAGAAAAATCTATCAGTTGTCCAATGCCAAGCATTGTCATCAATTCGAATGGTTTCATTCTCGTAGATATTAGTTTTGATTCATTCCAATCCTTTTACACTCATTCTTCCACTATTGAAATGAGTACAGTTTCTTCCTTATCTATTTATCAAGTGAGTCCTCAACTGGTCGAAATATTAACACCAACAATCGTGTCTATTACTTTATCAAACGCTCCAAGAAATGTTCAACCAAAAGTTAAATTGTTTGACGATATGATGAGTGTGATTTATGATGCAACATTTAGTGACATTTCCAATCAAATTACATTTTCAACGAAACAAATTTCACATCCAACGCGTTCACTCTCATTCAAGCTCTCTCTTGCAATTTCCATAGATAATGGATATTCTTTCATCAGTAAGGGAGATTTTATTAATTTTTATTCAAGTGTTGTTTCTGTTTATCCCAAACAAGGTATTGCTGGACAGTTTGTGAATATAACTCTGAGTGGAGTTCCTGAATCGACACTTTCTTCACAACTAGGACTGAAATTAAGATTGAATGGAGTTGAATACTCGACCACACCATGTTCCATCTACTCCAATCAATACTTTTGTTTGACTCTTCCAACGATTGCAGGTTCTTATCATGTCATTCTTTATCGTAGAGACACTTTTGAAGAATTGAGAGGTTTTGGAAATTTAATGTACAATATTGTCGATCCACCACTCTATCGTGGTTTGTATCCATCTCTCGTCTTCTCTTTCACCTCCAAAATTTCAATTCAAGGAACATTTTCACTTGGTTTCGATAAGAATCAAGTCTTTGCGAAAATGGTTGTGAAAAATGTCATGAGAAGTATTTTACAAGGAGAGACACAAGCACCTCTTTCTGTCATTGCTGTTGGACCTTCGAGTATTGACCTCGCTCCAACATTAGCATCCAATGCGTTGCCTTCTGGAGTTTATAATCTCATGCTATCCATTGACTCTGGAATGACTTTTACAAATGTTCAAACCATGAATTACACAAGTGCTCTTTCTATCAAACGAATTCGAAATGCAACTCCTGATTTTGCATTGGACGGACAAATTTTAACCATTGTTCCAAATAATTTGTACATTTCATTTGATAATGATCTTCCATGCTATGCATCTTCTTCATTGAAATTCCAAATTACCAGTTCGTCAAGTATTTCTTCAATTTCCATGAGCTTGGATTCCATTTATGCCAAAACAAGTTTGACAGGTAGCTCAGTATTTGAATGTAGTGGTACGGAAATGTACATCTTATTCCCTGCTCTCAATGAAACATTATCACAATATTCATTGCTTGGATTCCCATTTACAGTTTCATTTGGAATTACTTTTAATGACATTGATGTTTATTCTACTTCAGTAATTTTGAAAAACAAGTACGATGAGCCACGTCTTGTCAGTGTTTATCCTTCCATTATTGAAAGAAATCTTCCTACTACAGTTGTCATTACAGGTGAAAATTTAGCTGCAGCTGTCGGATGTCAATTCAATTTACCAGATTCTACAATTGTACGAGTTCCAAAAATCCCAAGTAGTGTCATTTATGAATTTTCCTGTCAAGTTTCAGCACAAATTGCAAATTTCACACGATTCACCGTTCAGCTCTATACTTCCAAACAAGAGCTCAGTAACACTTATTACATGTACACTCATGAAAAACTCAAAATTTTGAGTGTGAGCCCAAAACAAAGTTGGACCTATGAAAACATTCTAGTGACACTTGCTGTCGAAGGAATTGATCTTTCCCTCAAAAATGTTCAAGACGTACGAGCCATGTTTGGTTCCTTCCTTACTAGTGAGCCCTGTAGTGTGGAATCAAGCACCAGTATTACTTGTAAATCTCCAAAACGTGAAAAAGGTTTCACATCCATTTCAATTAGTTATAATCGAAGAGATTGGTACTCTTTGAATGGTGAAATTTATAATCCTTCCACACTTTCTGCTGCAGCCAAGTCCATGTTTGAATTTGTGGCTTGTCCTGCCGGTTATGGAAGTCCATCTTTTAGAGAACCATGTTTGGAATGTAAGCCAGGATTTTACAAACCCAATAATGGAAGTAATGATTGCATCAAATGTGCTCAAAGTTCATATTCCACAAGTTATCGAGCAACTGAATGCATTCAATGTCCTGTGAATTCTTTCACACTTGCAGAAAGTGCAAATTCTCTAGAGCTCTGTATTTGTAAATCTGGTTACTATTTGAATCCAAAACCTAAATCGGACTTGTCAGATTATTGTCTACCTTGTGATCCTACTAGTATGATTTGCAATCCAGGATCTAAACATCCCTTACCAAAATATGGTTATTGGATTGGAACACATGATAATTTTACTGTATATAGTTGTGTTCCAGCAGAAGCTTGTGGTGGATATTCCATCAACAATTGTACCGCTGGTTACATTTCTGGAAAATGTGGAGCTTGTGATATTGGTTATTACAAATTTAATGGTTTTTGTTCCAAATGTGGATCAGATGCTATTTGGAGATTATTAGGATTTGGTCTCGTGATGATTGTCGTTGTTTTGGCCTTCTTATTAATTAGTAGTATTAAGGTGGCTCACTTGGCCTCTATTTCTATTGCTCTTTCATTCTTCCAAGTTGTTGCCATGTTCACAAAATATCAAATCAAATGGCCCGTAGCTATGGAATATTCTTTTACAGCAAGTTCAGCAACTATTTTCAACTCTGATTTTATTAATCCTAAATGTATCTTTGCTGAGATGAGTCACGTCACGAAATGGTACATTGTCACACTGTTCCCATTTTATATTTTAATATTATTTATCGTGTTATTTATTTTGGGAGTGATTCGAAATGCCATTGTGAATCGATATGGACATTTAGTGAAATACGAATATTGGGAACCTTATCGATATCATGACGATTTGAACGAAGCTGAATTTTTAATGCAAAAAGAAAAAGAAAAACATGAAACAATGAAACAAAAGATAATTCGACTAATCAAAGAGCAAGTCTATGATTGGAAGATTTGGATCAAAAACTTATACGTATGGTTGAGAAATCTCTTGGTGTGGATGTGTAAAGAAAAGATGACACCTCGTCAGATGAAAATTTTCTTTAACCAACTGATCAATGGATTTACTGCATTTCTCAGTTTTACTTTTGCTTTTATAATTTCACAAGCAAGTGACATTTTCTATTGTATTTCACAACCTGACCATACGTGTGCACTTGTTGCAAGTCCAGATATTAATATTGGAGATCCACAATGGTATGCCATGTTACCATTATCAATTTTATACTTTTTAATATTTGGTTTGGGAGCGTTGGTCTTCTTTTTGGGTCTCTATATTTACAAGAAACAGTTGAAACTTCAAATTCGAAGAGATTTATTAATTCATAATCCTGACTTGTCGAAACAAGAGTTGAAGAAGATGAAATGGAAAGCAAAGAATCCAGTCTTGTTGGAGAGAGTGAAAGATTTTGATTTGAGATTTAAATATATACAAATGAGATTTAAAAAGAGATTATTCTATTGGGAAATTATAATCACGTGTAGAAAGTTGTTGCTCTCAATTTTCAATACCTTTTTATTGCCGTTACAAACAGTGACATTTGCATTGATCACAGTATTTGTGGCATTTTTATTGCATTCACAATATGTACCTTTCAAGACCAAATTCCACAACTTGCTTGAATGGGTGTCATTGGTGTGCACCGAGTTGGTGTTATTCTTTGGATTATTGTTTTTAGTGGACAACAATGTTTGGTTAGGAAACAGTTCTCTTCGAAGTTTCTGTGAATGGATTGCCAGTATTGTCATTGTGACCTCCATTGTTATTGTGTTGGGCATGTTGATTTATGACATTTATGTGAGAAGAAAGAAAGACAGGAAAAAGGAACGACAAGCACGTCTGGAATTGGAAAAGAAGTATGGTAAAGAAAATGCCAAAAAACTGCAACAGCTCTATAACAAACTCTTTGGTAATGCCATGACTAATATGACCAAAGTTATTTTACTCGATGAAGACGAACAAGAAAAGTGGCACATTATTGAAAACCCATTGTGTGAGCACAATGATGAATTTGAAGACGATGAATGGGAAGTTGTTGAGAATGAATTATTTATTCCAGATGATCAAGCTGCCTATGCAAGAATGAAAACTGCCAAACGAAAAGTAGAGTTCAATTTGACTTTGTTTGAATCAGATCATGAGTCCAGTGATGAAGATGAGTGTCACACCATTCGTGACATCATGGAAGGCCTTGTGAATTTGAAACGTATCCGAAAGAAGGTTCGACTCGCAAAGGCAAAGGGAAGAAAATGAAAAACAAGTTGGACAAGTCTAAGGCAAGCAAAATTGTTCAAGAAAACGAGAAATTCCAAGCCGAAATAGAAATGTCTCACCATTTAGAAATGGAGGCTTACTCTCAAGCACGTTTAAGGCTAGATTCTCAAGTCAATCTATCACCAAGATATGGTAATAGGTCTCACTATTCTCATGACGAAGAATCTTCCATTGATGGTAGTCCAAATATTTCTTCTAGCGCCTTTGAATTTGCATCAAATTCTCCCCGAACTCCAAAAATTAAGTCTGGTGTCACACCAACAACCAATGCACCAGCAACATCGGAGGAAGTGATTATCGAAGAATTTTAAGCACAAGCTCTAGAATTAACTTGCTACTCGACCGTTCTTTTGAATAGTTCTGCATAAAATGATTTCACTCGTTGCAACATGTCCGTATGTTTTTGAATTTGTTCTTCCTTCAAGTAAGGAGGCTCTACTAAATAGACCAAAGAACTTGGTTCCTGTCCAACTAGCACTGAAATACATTCTTTCACACATGATGCTGTTTCCTCAATTTTGTAACCCCCTTCTAAGGCACAAACAACTTTTCCTTTGGCAAGTTCCATTAACAAAGCTGTAAGATGACCAAATAGTTGGGGAGAGCATAATTGACCTCCGAGTTTGTCGCCTTTCACTGCATCAAACCCTGCTGACACAATCACCAAATCAGGATTGTAGTTTTTTGCTATTGGCATTACAATCTGCTCGAATGCATTCAACATTTCCTGATCGCCGTACACTTCGTCGAAAGGAATGTTGACAATAAATCGTTTCGCACCAGCATAGCTCAATTGCTCCAAATTGCCAGTGTTTGGATAAAAATTGTTTCGTGTCTGATGCAAAGAAAAGAAAAGTATATCTGGAATTTCATTACTCTTTTCCTGTATGTCAAACTTGCTCCGAAACTGTTCTTCAAATATTGCTTGAGTACCATTTCCATGATGAACATCCCAATCTACGATCACAATTCTTGTTGCAAGACCTCTTCTAAGAACAGCATTAGCTGTTACTGCCACATTATTTAGGATGCAAAAACCAGAAGCTTTGTCGTAATAGCAATGATGCCCTGGTGGCCTAATTACAGCAAAGCCGTTGTCTAGCTCCCCTTTTAACACTTGTTCAGTGAGATCAATTAAGCCTCCACATGCCAATCTGGCAGCGTTTCCAGACTCTTCAGTCACAAATACGTCAGTTGTATGATTAAACATGTCCAACCTTGAGGCCATAATTGCATCAACATGATGTGATGCATGTGTCCATTCCAACTCCTCTCTGGTAGCTTTTCGTCCTTCCATAACTGTACACAACTTGTCAAAATTATTGTCTTCAATACACGAACTCCAAATTCCAGACAATCGAGCCGGAGACTCTGGATGTGAAGCTCTCCCTACATGGCTCTGCATTCTTCGATCAAAAACAATTCCTGTCTTTTTGAGAGGGTTCTTCATTGGCCTGAGGATTGCAACTCATCCGCAACTGTTGTTGATCTCATGGTTCCGCTGACAATGTACGAAGCGTATGGAACTACCGTATGATCCATCAGCATACACATACGACCACAGTCCTTTTGTAGAATGCAGTCTGCATCTTCCAAATTAAAGTAATCGGCAATGGCTTTAATGTCTACTTTGTATTTCCGAGAGGTGAGAGAATTCTTCTGTTCTTGTTGTTGCTCTTTGCTTGGTGTTGTATTTCCATGGGCTATAAGATCCTCATAAGAATGAACGTTATTGCTTGTAGTTGCTTCTTCTACTGATGGAATTGGTTCGGTTCGGACCTTTTTGTTGGATTTAAATGATGAAGGAATTTTGTGAGGTTTAATTTCAATAAGAGGAAATTGAGCCTCAATCACGTGTTGGTCCTTGTCTTGAGAGAATGATTCCGATGATGACGATGAAGCCTTGATATATCGGACTGTAATGTAGGGATGTGATGAAGACATTTTTAAAAACTACTGTAAATATATAAAATCGTTTAAAATCGTTCAATCATGTGTTGAAACGAAACATACAACAACTCGTTCGACAACCTCAAAGAGTGACAGCAGAGGGCATTGTGGAAATAAAATGTTCAGCAGTGGGAGCATCTTCTTTTCCATGGAAGACTTTGGAGAATATTGATAAATTATTCTTCTTTGGAGTGTTTGTGCTTGGTTCAACAGAGCTAGAAACTTCGAGATCTTCTGTCAATTCCTCTTCATCAACTGCTTGTCTGTCACTGCTCTCCTCTGATTCTTCATCTAGGGTCTCGTCTGAGTCGTTCTTTAACTTGCTGTCAGACTCATTGTCTTGGGCAATGGAGAAAATGACAGCCTTGAATTTGTCTTTGAAAATGTCACTTGACAAAACTTCCTTAAATAATGAAGCAATGTGATAGGCAGGATTGGAATGAGTATTGTCACACCCAAAGGATCCCAAAACCAGTGCGTCATGTCCTTTTCGTAAAGCAACTTCAAAGTAGGCTGCAATTTTCTTTTTGATTGAGTTAGCCAATTTGCTTGTAACAAACAATTCATATTGCATATCTTCATCTGACTCATCACTTTCTGTGACCACTGTAGTAGGGTCAGCAACTTTTCTCTTCTCTGTGGGAGGGTTGATGTAGGGATACATGACCATCATACCAATCGTGGTAGGATGCTTACAAAAGGCATATCCTTCGCTCTTTGGTTGACGAATCACTAAGCAATGAGGAACATAAACTCCTCCAAACTCTGGTAAGGGATAGGTCTAAAGTGCAATTTAGAAAATAAAATCCTTAATGAAATCAGAAAGCTCATATATATACTTACCCAGTTTCTGTTCTCATCAAATCGATAGGGATCAGCCAATGCAAGAGCCAGCGCTGATCTTCTGCAAACATCTTCCTCTTGTGTATTTCCACCTTTTGAGTAAGAACCTGCAGGTGATGTTTGACTTCCACTGATTAAAATTATAGGATTCAATTTGGCTCTTTTCAACAAAATAGCTGTTGACAATACATCACCTTCAACAACCTGAATAATAGTGTGATGTAAAGAACTTGACTCTTCCAAATCCTTATTGTGATGATGTTTTGAGGGTTTTTTGGCTCCTGAAGAAGTAATTTGCACGACCGAGTCGTATTCAGCACAATCAATCTTTTCAGTTTGAGAGCATGTTTTCTTGATACTGTTAAAATCAATGTGAACAGTTCGAACGGGTATACCGAGCTCTTCTTTAAAGTTGTCTTCGTTAAGCAATTGATCCTCTGTCGCTGGCTCCTCTTCTTCGATTTGTTTCTTTGAATGCTTGTTGCCTTTTTTAGCATTCTTTTTCTTTTGTTTCTTGTCTTCCTTCCATTCATTCAGTTCATATAATGGTTCTTTATCTTCTTCTCGTTGTATTTCAAATCCATCAAATGTTCCATCGTCACCATTGTCATCATCGTCATCAAGATCTAAATCCTCCTCTTGTTGTTTCTTTTTCCTTCTCTTCTCTTTCTTTTTCTTGGATTTTGAAGTATTTTGTTGTTTCTGATCTAATTCATTCTCTGCTTCAAGTTTCACTTGCTCTTCTCTCTCAACGACTTCAGAATTCTTTTGTTGTTGAGACGATGACTCCACAACAGTTGTATTCTTGTTCGTTTCCTCTTGAACAGATTTTGCAAAATATTCTTCTCCATCCTCTTCCACAAAGTATTTTCCTCTCAACAACGTTTGCAATGTTCCCATTTGAACTAATTTGCGTAAAGCTCTCCGCACATTGGCATATTCCTTCCATCGATGATCAAAATAGAAATATTTCCAATCCTTTGCAGAAAACAAGAATTTAGTGAGAACACCAGCCAGCTCACTGGTATGCTCTTTTGTTTTCATATATTTCAGAACTCTCTCATAATATTCACGAGGAATGTAATATTTGGGAGGCTTGAGAGCAGTGGTCCTTGCTCCGATGGTAATTCCGAGTGGTTGAGAATGAGCTGCAGCAAGAGGAGCAGCATTATGAAGGCTCGGTTTACTATGAACAAACAAGTTCAATGAACAATTATCACCATCACGAAATAATGAATTATTATTTATTCAAAAAAAGAAATCAAAACACACACTCACTTTCTGTACAATTCTCTTCTTCCCATTTTTTATTTTGAATCAACATCCTTCTCACAATAATGTTTGAAGATGCATTTCGGAATGAACAGTAAAGATATCAATTAGTTGTTTATCTCAACAATACACAACTGATAAGGTGAAATAAAAATTTAGTACAAATAGTACCCCTCCACGATCAAATAAGGTTTAAAAATTACACGAATGTCTAGAAAAAGTGTGAATGAATTTGTTAAAGTTTTTCTGAATGGGGCCGAGTTGTCTGTTTGTTTTTTGCACAAGCCCGTCAACTGTCAAAGGCGAAAAAAAATTGCTTTCGTGTTGTTGAAGTTTCCTCTCTGCTCTTCTGTAATAACAAAAACACACTCCGACCAAGACTACACATCAAAAGCACTCCGTTACTTTTTCCATCATTAATTTTTCCATCATTCACATTTTCCACCCAAAACAACAATCAATTTTTAATTACAAATAACAATAATTCTTTTCACTGCTCGTTTGTCGTCAAAATGTACGAACAATTGGTTCAACAGAAAAAGATTGAGAATTATTTGAAGAAGTTAAAAACAGGTAGGTCGAAATATGGAGATGATGATTAAATTCTTGACCACACTTTATCTTTCACATCGTTGTCATCTATCAACTTTCTCTCGTCGACGCTTTCTTGTATGAAATATGTGGATAAAAACATGGAACCACACAACTACTTTGAACATTATCTTCCTATAATATTGATTTTATAAATTACACCACATGAATGTCATCATCCTTGCGAACATTTTCATTCTATCCATTACATCATTCCATCAATGAACAATATTCCAACAACATCAACATCAACAACAACAACAACACTACAAGGTTTCAAATGCATCAAACACGGTCGTCAAGGTTCTCCACACGAACGATGGGTCTCTATCAGTTCCAGTTACGACAAAATTATTTGGAAACCCATTCAAAACGATAACAAATCGACCAAGAAATCGAATGAATCCATTTCCGTCTTTACAAAAATTGAAAAGGGTTGTAACACCAAACCATTCAAACGATCCAAGAAAGTCAAGGAAGAATTATGTTTTTCATTGATTGGTGAAGAGAGAACTTTGGATTTGGAATTTCAAACCACTGAAGAACGAGATTATTGGTTTGAAACATTTCAAGCAGTATTGGCTTTGAATCATCCAAAAGCAGCGAGTATGGGTTCTGGCTCGAAACCTCAGGATCTTGAAAAGGTTGCCAATGCGTTGAAAAAGTTTCATTTTGATATTGAATCGAGTGTGTGGAAATTTAGCAAAGTTCTTACCAAGGGTTCAACATTTACGGATGAGGATTTTGCTTATTTGGGTTTAGCATTGAATGGAAATCCAAAAATTGAGACATTGGATCTCTCTGATATCAAGTTAACAGATCGACAATGTGTTCCAATTATGAATGGAATTCAAAGTACAACCAAGAATTTATCATCAATTATTTTGTCCAACAATGAATTGACATGTGAAACTTTGACTGCCTTGTCCAAAGCCATCAAGGAAAGCAAATCCATTTCACTCATTGATTTATCAAGTAATCAAATCAGTGATCAAGGATCCGAAGATTTGGCATCTGTTTTGGTTCGCAACACGACACTGAAAACAATTTTATTGGATAAGAATGAAATTTATGATAATGGAGCCATTGCTTTGGCAGAATCCATTTTGAATGGTTCTCTAGTAGAGAGATTGTCACTCAATGATAATCATATTGGAAATAAGGGTGCTGAACAATTGGCACGAACTCTGAAAAGCAATGAGAGTACTCTCAAATTTTTGGAATTGGCTAGAAATCCATTGGAATTTCCAGAAATTGTGGAAACGGAAGAAAATGATGAAGGATTTTCTCTTGAAGTGTCACTCTTCTTGGCTGTTGATGGAAATAATTATGCAGATGTTGTTTTGCTTACTTTGCAAGGAGCTGATCCAAATTGTCAGAATGAAGAAGATGGAAAGACTCCTTTGCACATTGCTGCCATTCGAGGTGATAGACTCATGCTCGATTATTTGATTGAACATCCATATATTGATATTAATGCAGTGGATGATAACATGACCACTCCAATCTATTGTGCCATGCAATACAAACAATATGATGTGGTCAAATTGTTATTAGAGAGAGGAGCAGATTATAAAATTGGAGACCGTCACAAAAAGACAATTCTTCACTTGGCTGCTGAACAAGGAAACAAGGCCATTTGTAAGGACCTAGTGGAAAAGTATAATGATAACATTTACTCAACGACCGATGAAGACATGACACCACTACACTTTGCAGCTCAGAATTTACAGAAGGAAGTTGTACATTATTTATTGGAGCAAGATTTAAAGACAAGAAAGAGTAAGGAGGCTCCAAATTCAACAGAAAATTCAATGGACGACAAACCTGCTGAAGTGATTCTCTATGTGAACCAACAAGATATTCATCGACAAACTCCTCTCCACAAAGTTTTTGTGAATCCTAATCCAGATATTGAAATTGCAAAATTACTCGTTCAAAATGGAGCTGATGTATCCATTGAGGACAATAATCGTCGAACACCTCTTCATGATGCAAATGATAAGGTGAAGCAAGTACTTTTGAACGAAGCTCGTAACTTTATGTCACGAAAGGGATTGTAAATAGTTGAATGTGTGAGTGTGTGAGAGTTTTCGATCACAACCAAATCCATCAACACCATACAATCCACCACACAACAGCCATTCTCTTCCTCAACGATTCGAAATTCACTCTCTACTAGTTTTCATAGTTTGTTGACTTTTGTCTCATTCCTACATTATTTCCCATATATACCACTATTCGATGATTATTAGGATAATTATGTTCAAGTCAACATTCTCTCTAATTTTGTTTCTTTCAATAATAATTAATGCCAAAATTCAATAAAATCATTCAATTATTCCAACATTTCATCATTACTGGTTTCACCAAAATTATTCAAAGGACGACCCATTTTCTCAAATCTAAAACCAGGCTCGTACATGTGATGTGAAATCATGTGTAAATCTCGTTCCTCGCTCGTTTTAAACATTTCATGACATATCGACTTGTCCTCCACCAAACATTGATACATTTTAGAATCCTTGTTTTTATGTAAACAAACTTCGAAATAGGAAGAATGGCTTTCCTCTAAATGAACTCCCAATAGATAAGCACTTGGAAAGATTAATTCGCATTCCGAGCATAAATGACAATGCACTGATTCATAATGATGCTCATACTCAAACATATCCTTTAATTCTTCTCCACACATTTCGCAATACACACTTGCAACAGTATGATCCAAATTTCCTGATGATTGATTATTTTGAGTTTCCAAAATTTCGGAATCATCCAAAGAGAGTGGCTCAGATGGCTCTATTGCTTTATATTTTGTTTGTGATTGCCAAGTTGATTCCGAATGCGTGTTGGTAGAAAAGAAGGAATCAAAGGGTGAAATAAGTCTCCGTGTTGGCGTAAAATGCATTTTTTTAAGAGTTTAAAACATAAAGCAACGAAAAATATTCATCAAATCCAATTCTAACATAAGACCGAAGGCCCTTAGTCTATTCTTTCATCTAAGAAATATTGGTTGTGATACTTACCATTGAACAGAGCTAACAGTTCTGTTGGATTTCTTGCGTAAGGTTTGAAAATTTAAAAAAATGCCGAAAGAACCACTCTCTGCTCGGCGTTTATGCGTAAGCGGAGGTGCTTCTGGTGCTGATTTTGAGTGGGTGTCTGTTGCAGTTAAAGTTTGCCAGGTTGAGATTATTAGTTTTGCAGGTCATTGTTGTTCCTCAGTAAATGGAGCAGTCGTGAAATGCTTATCCCCAATTCAGCTCCGAGAGGCTGATCCTAAATTAGAAGAAGCTAATATTTATTTGAAGAGAAATAATTACAAGTTGGATCTTCTACGTCGCAATTAGTTTAATATTCAAAATGCAACCAGTTGCTATGCCATTGCTACTTGTTTTATTCCGAAAACATCAAATAATCAGAGCCAAGTGCGAATAGATGGAGGTACTGCTTGGGGTTGTCAACTGTTTGCTCTTAATTTCATTCAGACCTTGCAAGAAGTTCCTCATAACAATAGTGTTAAAATTCCATTGTTTGTGTTTTCACAGAAAGACAAACAATGGTATCAAGCAAGCTGCAAAGTAGAGAATCAGAACAACAAACATATTATTACTAATTTAGATTGGGAAGACACAACCCCACCAACTCCAAAATACACATTTGCAGCCATTGGTACCAGAAGCATTGACACATTTGGTAGAAAAGCTATCCAACAATTACTGATAACTATGAACTCTAAACCAAAATTTGTTGTGCCATACAAAACTCCTTCTCCTCGAACAAATAATTGAAATACCAGTGGATAGGTTATTAAGAGTAATCAAGATGGTTTAATTTCTGGCTGCCTTAGAAGCACTTTCTATGAACAATTCCTGGACCGGCGTCCTCATATTCTTCCTTGGTGATCCACATGGATTGGAAGGTAGACAAAGAAGCCAAAATTGATCCACCAATCCAAACTGAATATTTACGTTCTGGAGGAGCAACAACCTTAATTCTCATGGATGCAGGAGCCATAGCAGTCAATTCCTTGGTCATTCTGTCAGCAATACCTTCAAACATGGTAGTACCACCAGACAAGACTACATTGGCATACAAATCCTTTCTGATATCAATATCACATTTACCAATTGAGTTGAAAGTGGTTTCATGAACACCAGCAGATTCCATACCAATGAAGTTTGGTTGGAACAACACTTCTGGACATCTGAATCTTTCATTACCAACAGTAATGATATTACCATCTGGTAATTCATAGGACTTGTCAATACTGGAAGAATCAGAGGCCTTCTTCATTTCTCCTTCAAAATCCAATGCTACATAACACAACTTTTCCTTAATGTCTCTAACGATTTCTCTCTCAGCACTAGTATGGAAGGAATAACCACGTTCCATGAGAATCTTTTGCAAATAATCAGTCAAGTCTCTACCAGCCAAATCCAATCTCAAAATGGCATGTGGCAACGCATAACCTTCATAGATTGGAACAGTGTGTGAAACACCATCACCAGAGTCCAAGACAATACCAGTGGTACGACCAGAAGCATACAAGGACAAGACAGCTTGAATAGCAACGTACATGGCTGGAACAGAGAAGGTATCAAACATGATTTGAGTCATCTTCTCTCTGTTGACCTTTGGATTCAATGGAGCCTCAGTGAGTAAGACAGGATGTTCCTCAGGAGCAGCTCTCAATTCATTGTAGAAGGTATGATGCCAAATCTTTTCCATATCATCCCAATTAGTGACAATACCATGCTCGATAGGATATTTCAATGCAAGAATACCTTTCTTCGACATTGCTTCATCACCAACATAGGCATCCTTGTTACCCATACCAACCATGATGGAACGTTGCTTTGGTCTACCAATCAAGGAAGGGAACACACAACGAGGTGCGTCTTCACCAGCGAAACCGGCCTTGCACATACCAGATCCGTTATCGACGACGAGAGATTGTACTTGATCCATTGTTGTTGTTGTTTGCTGTTGTTACGTTGGAGTGTTGTTATCGATGTTTGAAACTCTTGTTTTTTCTTGTTGTTTTTGAAAGAGGATGGCTCCAACAGCTCGTGCTTTTAAAGTTCTTTTCAAATGGAGGTATAGAGTATGAATCATCTTTGAGGTGCGTTCAACGCTCAAGCAACGACTTGAATCTCTGTAATTTGCAGCAAGACTCAAAGTTCCATGTTCATTGAACTGCAACTTTACCTTAAAAAAATCAAATTTCTTAAGAAGCTATAGTTGTTGGGGGAGGCGTTGTGCTCATCTTTTGAAAGTGACATGGTCAAGTGGCACTCACCTTCTGACGCTGTCAGACATTGAACTGTTCCCTGTTCTTTGCCGTGCATACTAAACTGCTTCTGCAAGAAGTGAATATTTTACAACAAGGAGCTTTTTTTATGCTTTTCTTCCTTTTATACACCAAGTGACAAGCATACACGATAGAAATTTGAAGCGGGAACAACAAGTGGTAAATGTTTTGAATTAAGGGAACACTAAGTAGATATTTTTATGCACTCAACTTTCGGTCCTACAAAGAATTTTTCTCAACTCCTAAGCTCTATTTATAGGAATAGACTGAACAATGTATCAAGTCAAAGAAAGTTGGTTGCCCGGACGATTCACCAAGCTTTTTTCTCCGTTTTAATAAAACGGTGTGAGACTTGTACCATTCGGCGACTTTGTTCATATTCTTGCCAACTTGCTTTTTGTTGACGAAGAAACAACGTTGGAAAATGTAAAACGTGGTCATAAGCAGTGTTAAGGTGGTCTTCAAAAACACAAAATTTAGGTCCAAACGCCACTAAAAAGTGAGACATGGAGGTAAACTCATTCCATTCCTGTGTCCGCTCGGAAATTTTGTACACTTGTTGGACGCTTATCTCACGACGGGTGACGGTAATACAATCTAAATGTTCATTGCTTATCAAAGTCCTAATCCGTTTCGTGCCATCGATTGCCAATTTGTTCAAGTATAAAAAAACACCCATTTGTGAATCGCAAGATAACACTCATATCCTTCTCCTTCAACTACAACACTCGTTTGTGACACTCTAACGACTTGGCTGTGATTGTAACATTCTCAGTTTTTTCAAACACACAAAAACGATTCGGCTTTTCTACATTGCTGTTCTGAACTGATTGCTACTTTCTCTCGTCCCAATATTTCTATTTCAATCTCAACAACATGAGCCGAATAACGAGATCATCCACTAATTTTCTGGATTTTGTTCAACAACAACTTCCAACCAATAACAGGAAAATGTCAGCAATGCCAATTTCTAATGACCAACCACTCATGCCACCAAAACAAGAGGAGCCCATCTATTATAAAACGGAAGAGAGACGAGAGGTCATTCGGATTGGAGAAACCAGAAGGAAACTTTTCAATTCTCATGTGAAGGAAAAGAAGCATGCGTTGGAGCAAATTGAAAAGAAAGTCACTGCCAAACTTTCTTCTGGTGAATGGACGTCTTATCACTCGAAACAGGGTCTCTACAGCTGTTGCTATGCTTCTCAAGATGTTAAATGTGACTTTGCGTCGCCACCAGTGATTACACCAAGAAGATATTGTTTGGTGTAAGACGAGCCTTTTGTGGCAATTCTCACACATAACATCATTGTCATCAAATGGTCGTGTGAGACATCTTCTTACAAATTGCTTACAATTATCATACTTGTATCTCCTAACTGTTGCGTCTTGAAAGTGTATTTTGCATGTATTCTATGACTCTTTAATTCAAAATTAGAGTTCCAGATCATCATCTGGATCTTCAGCCTCATATTCATCATCTGAATCGACAATAATAAAACCTTGCTTTTGTTGACGCTGCTCTTGTGGAGTTTTGTTCGATTGATTCATTAATCCATCTTTCATGTAAGGCAGTTCAAGAGCTTCCCTAGCTCTCTTTTCCTTTTCTGTAAGGCCGATTTTGAAAGTGACTTGTTTCTCAATGTCATCCTTGGACATGGGTCGATCCATTCTTTCTTGTCTGTGCTTTTCCTTCTCTCTTTCTTCGAAAGCACCCAAAAAGGTGGTTCCTGTTGTTGGTTTCTTCTTGATAGAGCTTGTGGTTTCGTGCTCATGGGAACAACCTGCTCCATGAACATGATCTGTCTCCGCTTCTCCTCCAATGGTAATATGTCGTCTTTCTCCAACCTTGCGCTTAATTGTAACTCCGGAAGATGACACGGGCTGCATTGAATCTGTTGAGGCGATCTTTGGCTTGTCTTCTTCTTCATCTTCTTCGACATCAATCTTGGTCTTGTTTTTCTTTTGCCTCTTTGGAATGAATGGATGTTTGACATGAACCATTGCTCCTTCGTCTTCAGATGTTGAATTCACTTTGTAATATTCGTCATTAAACAACAACTTTCCACCAGGCCTTAAACTGTAAATGTCACATCTAAAATCTACTGCAGCAATATTCAGGATTTTCTCTTCCACTTCATCTTCATCTTGGGCAGACGACGATTCTTCGTCTCCTTGTTTTTTCGTTTTGGAGCCTCCAGCTACAGGGAAGTAGAACGTTTCTTCTGCATCCATGTCGTCAGATGCAACTAATGAGACAATTCCTTGAGCATGCAATTTGTATTGCTCCACTACTGAGCTAGAATGAGTATCTGTATGCACTATGCTCACCACAGAACAGACTTTTGCTCTGTTTTCTGAAGCAGTTGATAATTGCAAAAGTTTGTGAACCAATTGAAATGCTTGGCTCTCTCCAAACCAAACACCAAGAGCACTTAGTGAATTAATGATCACAATAACTTTCTTTCGTTTTCTTGCTTCCTTTGAGCTATCGGAATCTACAGCCCAAATGGTAGACAATAATGTTGTAATATGTTTGTACAGTTCGTTAATCTTTTCAAATTCTGTTGCATCCAAGCGCATGATCAATTTATCATCGCTTTCCTTCTCTGATGTATTGTCATCTCCTCCTTTAGTCTTCTTTTTCTTCAACTGAGCATTACATCGGTCCAAATCAGATTGAAGCCTTTTCGGAATTTGTTGTTTATAATCTCCTCCATCAATGAAAAGCAATCTAATTTCTTCTTGTCTTTGACTTTTTAGTATATCATCTTCGGAGAGTTTGTTTGATGATAATTTAGTGCTCATCACCTCATTGTTGTTACTAGCATTTTCGTCATCACTGTGTTCATCCGAATGCAAAAACAGTGCATTCTCCTCCAACGGATTAAAAGAAGCAGCACTAATCACTCTTTTCACGATCTTATTCAACAAGAATTGCATATAATATTTACTATTACAATTCCCGAACAAGAGGAGGTTTGGATATTGTTCGGAATGGAGAAGCAGTTGTTGAAGAAACATTTTTTTGAGAAGCAATAATAATAATAAAAGAAGAATTCAATGTGCAAATTCGAGCAACGAGACTAGTCGTGTGATATTGAATATCAACTCTCCTAATGTAATGCACATGCTTGTTGTTTGTGGCCAAAAGGATCCAACCAACCACAATGCTTGTGTGAATCCTGTCCTTTATGATGATACAACTCTAAAACAAGATACATTTGTTACCATCAACAATGTGTTTTATTAGCTTTTCAAATTCCAAAATAAAGTGTAATTACATGTGTGCTACAACTAGATGTGTCCCATTAGAGAGATACAAGCGAGAAGATGTTATTGTTGTATTAGGATTACTCAAACAACAATTTTACTTTTGAGAGAGTTTGCTTCCAACATAGGTCCACCACCACAAGAAGGTGAATGAAATAGGACCTCCCATCATGAAAGCCATCATTCCAAGGACGGTAGATTTCTTTGGTGGTCCATCTGTTGTTGTTGTTGTTTTTCATGATGATGATTCATAGTTGACCAGAGAGTTGATATTCAGGATGAAGATTAATAATTATTTAATCACTCTTCATAGAGGAGAAGAATATAATACTTACTGGTAAACATGACCAACTAGATGAATTATTGTTACAACCATTCAAAAAGTAGATTAAACCACACAACAACATGTAATTTTTAAACCATCATGAAAAGTACGGCAAGTAAATACCAAAAGGATCCTCAAAATACATCCATTCTCATCCCATATGGAACCTACCTCGTGATGATGATGACCATGGTCATCATGGTGAGCATCATGTCCTCTTCTTGGCAAGACTCTCTTTGCGCTTCTCAAGATTCTGCTGAGCATTTTTTTAGGTTGACTTTGGAGATTCTTTTTTGGTAGTTTTTGTGTTAGCACAGCTGAGGCTCCTATTTTCGAGATCTTAAGGAGCCGAAATTAAGAATCCTCAAAGACATAAAGTCTTGGATCGATGTAGGTTATAAAATTGTTAAATTTGCTTTTGGCAAAAGACAACTTGTTGAAGAGTAGATCTTCTACACTTCAAAGTTGAGAAATAAAAAAATGAGCAAAGCATTGAGAGGATTGAGAGCTTTTAATTGTAGCAACAACAGCCGGATGAGTTGTGGTACATTAATATCATCATCATCATCACTGGTCTGTAAAATTCCATATACTCTCAATAATACCATATTCAATACTCGGAGTGAAAAAAGTAATTTAATGAATATTTGTGTTCTCGGAGAGGCCAGACACAAGAATTTTTCAACTTTAAATTATCAGCGCGATGTATCACAACAGAAATCAACAATTCAACAAGAGAAGGAAATCCAACAAGCTAAAATTTATTTAAAGAAGGATTCAATGAATTCGAAAACAAACAATACCTAAAGAGCTACGAATTATTTCTCAAGGCTTTCACCATCTTTGATAAATATCAAATGTTAAACAGAGATATCAAAAACAGTGATTCAGTGGATACTGTAGAGAATCTTTTGGCCCTTGCTGTTGGACTGAACAATTTTGCAGAGACGCTCAGATACATGGCAAAGTCTGGTATTGTGGCCCCAACACTTGCAAAGCTTGGATTGAAGGCTCCATCGCCATCAACAGGAACAACAGCGCCACTCGTATATACCTCTAAGGATTCTATGAAATTTTACACACAAGCTGAACAATTGTATGACCAATACTATGCATATCTCAATAACACTACCACAGTACCCAAAGATGACAAGAGAAAATTATTGGAGCTTCAACTGTGGAGAGGAACACTTTACAATAACGTAGGCTTGTATTTCATGGAGAACAGAAAAGATTTTTTCACAGCCACCAAATGGTTTGAAAGAAGTGCTACTGAAAGAGGAAATCTTGTAATGGCACTTGAAGAATTGGAAAAGAAGTCACCAATTGAGAATTCGGCTACTACAAAAAATAATTTCGGAGAATCAGTGAACCCATTGAATTCAAACGATCAACGAATTCACCACGCAATTACAAGAAATAACATTGCCCAGTGCTACTCCAATTCTAAGCAAATAACTCTCGCATTAGAGAGCTATAATTATGCGCTGAAGGTTTTCGAAGAAATGAAAGAGAAAATGAAGGAAAAGAACATGGATACAAAAACTCCAGAATCTAAAAACACGATTGCCAATAGATTGCACGTTATTGTACTTAACAACATGGGTCTAATGTATCACGACATGGGAAAGTACGACCAGTCGTTAATATACTTCACAGAAGCATTTCACATGTTTACTGGAGGCCCTGTTGTTGGAGAAAAATTAGGAGAAGAAGGACTTGTGGTCAATAATGCGCACGGAACATCATTTTTTGGTGAAGAATTAGGAGTGACCCTTAGCAACATGGGAACATGTTTGTTCATGCTTGGAAGATATCGAGAATCTGAACAATTCTACTCACAGGCTACTCAACTATTTGATGCAATTTACACAAACACTCCCAATCACAAAAATATTGCGCAAGTCAGTCTTCAATTAGCTCTCTGTTTGAAACAAAAGCACTCTGTCAAGGAAGGAGAAAAGCCCAATAGAGACATGTTGGCTGCAGCCACGTCTCTTGCATTGGCCAAACAAGATGCTTCCTATTTCATCAAGATTGACGACTCTTCTTCAGAAGAAAAGATTGCTGATGAAAAATTAGTTCGCTCTTTGCTGGAGAAGGCTCGAAAGATTACTCTCACGCTCAACGAGGCCAATGTAGAAGCGTCAGAAAGTGCCAAAAAATCTTCAATGTTCTCCAAGATGTTTGGAAAGAAAAAGTGATAAATGGGAACCTCTAGTTTAGAATACATGTTGCTTTCAAAGAGCTGTGAGAAATGTGCATGTGGATTCGGCTTTGCAATCTGTGGCCAATAAACCGAAGAGACTTTGAAATCAGTTGCTGTCAGATAATAAAAGCGATTTTCTTAATCCCCGAAAAAAATGTCTTTCTTGAAGCGCATCTTTAAAACCAAAAGCAAAGGTAAGGAAGATCCAACATGTTGAATTCGATCAACACCTCTATTCCGTGCTATTATTGCATCCGTACGCCGACTATGCAATGGACAAATTTTTATTTGCAATCTCGCGTTCATCACTCTTGTCCATTGCCAAACACTTCACTCAAAATTCATCATTGGTCCGATCCCCATCACCATCATCATCAAAAACTCTCTTTCACAACAACTCTAGGAGTGCGTTCACAATTCTCTGACTATGATTGTGATCCAACCATCATTCCCATCAAAGACTGGGATGTTGTTTTATTTAGTGTTTGGCTACGTTCTATTGAAGGAGTGAGTGATACGACTATTGAGAAATTAAAAGAAGAGGAATGGGACGGAAAGTCTTTATTATACTTTTCGAAAAATGTAGGTTGTGAAAATGTTGTGATTACTGACACCGATGTTTTTTTCCGAAAATCATGATTGAAAAATACTATTTTTTGATATCGGTATCTGAACTAATAACTTGATGTGTTGTATACTTGAATACCACCATCATTTCATCATAACATTGATCATCATCAAAAACAATGTTTTCATGAATTTTCGTTCTGCGCGCGATGATTATCAAAATTGGACACTTGATTATAATGTCAAAATTCGGTGGTGTCACCGCATGATGGCCATCAAATTATGTCTTTCACTCCTGTGAATGCCATGCTTCATTTAACCGCTCATGCTGCAACTCGTCACTGTTCTTCTCAACAACAACAACAACTACATTGCAACACAATTGTGTCCTTTTTCTGACCTATCCATGAATTCTATGGGAATTCTATTTATTGCAATGACAATTCATCATCTTTTCTCGAAATTGCATTCCTTTTCCTTTGAATATTCTCCATATTATTAATCATCATCATCTTTCAATCCACAGGATTTAACATCACTCAAAATTCCACTCAATGAAGCCACTCTCATCGAACAACATCTCGATCAACTCAAGCTTGATCAACATTATCAAATGCGATCCTTTAATCAAGCTCTAGCTTCCTCGGACTCTGCCTCTGATTTTGTTCTGAGCTCACAAACCTCATTAAGCGATCACCGACATTCACAAAAACATATTTCACTCTCTTCATCCTCTAAAAAACAAGGAAATGCTAATAATTTATTTAGTAGCTTGAATGAATGTGAAGTTATTGGAGATTTATTACAGTGTGAAGATGGAAGTGATGAAAGGAGTATTTTAATGGGAGCAGATTTTAAGAATCGATGTATATTGAGTAAGAATGAGAGCTCTTTCGAGAGTCTCAATGAAGGATATTTTGTACAGAGTCATCGACCAGAAATTTTCACAGATGACGAATCGTATTCGTTACGAGTGTTTCGTCTTGCTTTGAGAAGATTGGAGCAAGCATTTCCACTCATTTCAGCACGAAGTAGATCACTTGCTGACTCGACCAATAACACTGTTGGATGTAGAGCTTCGAATAATTATGGATTTTCATCATTACCTCCACAAAATACGAGAAATATCACGAGCGGTGGAGTTTTGGATGAAATGATGGTTGTGTTGCCACAGAGTGTGTCACAACTGACATCTCTTGAAAAATTATGCTTGTCGAATTGCATGAAAAAAGTGAAAAGTTGTCCAGACATGTCCGCACATGAAAAACGACTATTGGCACACACCTTGTCACTTGTCGATTGCTTCATGTATTGCTACTTTTTTAATTATCAAACCGTTTTGTCGAGTGTTGAAAAGAATGCACTCATGAAGAGATCGCCCATGTCAAGCCATCATTCAGAAGAGGCGAACGAAGATGTAGAAAAACGTTTTGTGCAAGCTCTGAAAGATATTTCTGAAAATTTATCTGCTCTAGGAGTATTTGGAAATAGTCACGCACCAAATAATTCCTCTACAGGTGGATCCTCCTCATCACACAATAACTCGTCTACTAATTTATTAGGAGAAGGAATGAGTCCTACAGCAAGTTTTGGAAAAACCCAAAAATTATTTAGGTCGTTGAGCATCGATCATTCTACCAAGCCATACCTGTTAATTCAACTTGTGATATTTCCATTTGAAAGGTCACACGTTTTTGATATGAAGTCAGATTCTCGATTAAGGCCGTACACACTCTTCAGAACTGGACTTTTAATTGGAGATTGGTTTTTAGAATGGGGAGAAAATTCTCTTGTTTATCCATCCATTTCATGTAAATATAGAGTGAGTCCACAGTGTCATTTGATACAATTAAGTAAGTACTTAGAGACTAGTCATTGATGTGAACAAGCTTTCAACTTTTTCAACAGTGAAAATTGAAGGGGAAAAGAATATTACGAGGTTGCTTCGAAAAATTGCACAAATTTGCGTCTTGTGGAATGGAACTCAAATTTTCAATCTTCAAACATGTAATCATCAACATTTCGTGAATGACATTTTAACATTTACTGGACTTTTTTCAAATACCAAACAACTTGGAAGTGTTTCAAAATTTCTAGATAGGATTGAGCAATTAGGTTTTAGTGACATGCGACTCGTTTTTAATTCCCAATTTTTCCAAAAAGAATTTCCCAATAATGAATTCATATCGTTCCATTCACATGCAGACGTGGATGGTTTTTACTTGAAAGTTGACAGCATGGATCCTAACTATTTTCATGACGACATGGATGGCAAGCACGACAAATTTTTACTGAGATTATTCGATCGATCGTTTTACTATCGTAAAGAAATGGGAATGCGTGATAAATCAGATCTAGCTCTCAACGAAGGAGATTATTGTAATCTTTGTCCTTTTAACATTGATGGACTTTCATTGAAGGAATTAGAGGAACGAGAAGTACAAGAATTAATGAAAAATCAAAAGACTGCACATAAGGCTTATTTGGGATCTTATGAACCAATTAATCCAGCAGCAGAACGAGATTGGAAATATTAAATGTTTTTTACTTCCATTTCAAGAAATTGTGTTTGTTTCCTTATTCTTAAACAATTCTTCTTCAATGGATTATTTCTGATCAGAATACTCATTCATTCATGAACTAATTTTCAACAACAACAACAATAATTTTTAAATCCATCGCCGTACTCGCAACATGTACTCCTCAAATTCCTTTCCAAATATTTTCCTTAATTCTCTCTCTTCCGGAATTATTTGAAAATGATTTAAATACATGACAAACAATGGAACAAAAAGAAATGCGAAAGGATCCAATAAAAACAATGAAAAACCAAATGCTACAACACTCATTCCGACATACATGGGATTTCGAGTGTATGCAAAAATTCCATTCGAAACCAATGACGATGCTTCTGATGGATTGAGAGGATTCACTTGCAAAACTTGTGAGTCAGAAAAAGACCTATCAAAAGACCTACCTGTTGTTTTTGATTGATGAAAAGCTCTCACTCCTAACCAAGCAATGAACAATCCAAATATCATGACAACTGTCATCAGCCCCACACGGACTGCAAACAAATGAGAAAAATTGGTCTGCCAGGCTGGATTCGATTCTGATGTCAAGAAAGGGCTCACATATGTGCTTAATGCGTACTGCAGTAATAAACACAGAACAAGTAACAGCAGAGGAGGTATTTTGAGCTCTAACGAAGGCACCATGATGTGTTTGGTTGGGGTGTTGGATAATTTTTTTTTTTGAGAAAGCACTGAAATTGTGTGCCAGGACGCTTCGTGGATTCCGTTTTTATGAAATTTGCAAATGGGATCCAATTTGGTGAATAAAAGGTGATCAATGGCCATATTTTAACAGGACGAATCTGTGGGCGCACGAACCTGTTGAATGGTAATGGATAGTTATGGATGATCTTGGTAATGGGATGAACGTTGTTGTCAGACCAATAACGATAGAGGTGTGTAGATGCAACTCATGAGTGTGATGGTTGGCGTTCGTTGGATGAAAATGGAATGATGAAAACACAAAATAAAAATGAGCAGTAAGGTGATTGTATCATCTCCCGTCCATGAAGGAGGCTCACAAGCAGGTTCAGCTTCCGAAGACGCTGAATATTATTATCCAGGAAGATATAGATTTGTGGATTATTGGGCGAATAGCATTCTTAATTTTACAATGAGAGATGAGCAAACAGCAATTTATGATCAGTCGGCATCCTTGTCTGAAAGTCCTTTTTCAAAATATTTAAGTGGACTGGATGGATTGAAAATTGTAATGAAATCATCATCAATGGGAGCAAATAATATTCCGACAAATGCTTTTCAACAGGAACAATATATTCCATATTTACAATTGGAAGAGGAGGGAGGTTTTGATCGCAAGTTAAAACGAGATTTACCACTTTCCGATGCAAGTAATCAATCACCATATCAAATGATTATTCCTCTGAGATTCCATGATGAAGGATTGAAGAATTTTACATTCATGCTCCGAAGACTTTCTACTGTGAAACAATTTTTGGTGTCATCCATTCTCGCTCACAATGTAGAATCGTTATTTGGCCCATTAGAAAGAAGAAGTGAGCTTGCTAGAAGAATAATGGCATCACCTCTGGATATTAGATCGCATCTTTATCCTGATACAACATTTTCAATGTGTCTGAAACTTGGACTTGCTCCATTTATCATCCAACATGAAATGAGACTTCCAAATTTAATTAGTAATTCATCCACTGGAAAAGGTTGGATCAATGATACACTAGTGAGCATCAAGTCCAAGCGTGGACATACTGATATTTTCCAATCTTTTGCTTCAGATTCTTCAACCACTGCATTGTTAGGTTTATACAGAGCTTATAGATCGAAAAATGTAACTATTGATTTAGGTGGCAGTATTTTAGCCAGAGATTTTATTCCTGGAAATTTGACATACGCTGCTCGATTAGGAATTATTTCACCACTGTCACACAAAAAGACGGCTATTGTATTGAATGGAAGCTTATTAGGACACATGCATCTTTCATTCACAACACAACTGTCCAAGATTTATGGAATTGCTGCTAGCGCTCAGCTTCGTTATAATAGTACCAACTTGAAGGCTGAATTAGGTGTTGGCTTAGAATGTATTTCACCTCCTCGAGCTGAGGATTATGCTGTCAAGTTCAGAGTTGATACGGAAAAGGGAATCGCTTGCATGTTGGAAAAAAAGAGATTCTGGGATAATGACAAAATTACGATGGGTGTCTCCATTGCCAACACCGCACCCATTGATGCATATGGGCCACTGATTTCTGATTTGAAGCTTGGTTTAAATCTTCAGATTGAATATTGAGCTGGATAACATGTCATCGTTGCATCACAAAAGAGGGTTAAACTGTCCTTAGTACTATTAAATAATTTAAATTTTTGTTATATTTTGCAATATTGTAAGTACAACTATCTATTTCTTCTTCTCTTATCAGACACAGCAGTATCAGTGTTATCATCATCACTGTCACGATCTCTATCTGTGGAGGTTATATAATTCTTTTGATATTGGAGTTTGTACGTTCCCAAAGATTTATGTTTCCATTCCACAAAGTTTGTCTCTTCTGTCTGAATCATTTGAAGAATGATTAGTTCACTATTGCAAAGCTTTGACTTGAATTCGGCGTACTGCTCTGTGAGGAAACTAGAGGAACTGCTTTCATTACTTGCTCGGTAAGCCTGTCTCAAAAACAATTTAAATCTATGAACAAGTGTTTCAATAAGGGTTGACCTTCGTTGAATATAGAGAGCTTCTAATTCTTGATCCCTTTTCAAATTTATAGCAATATCCGCCATTAATTTAAACAAAGCAGAACCAAATTCATAAAAGTATCGATTCACTTTTGAGAGAGAAGCCTTTTCAAAATTCGAAGTCACATAATTCAAATCAGTAAAAACTCTCGGAACCTCTACTTCCACATATCCCTGATTACCACAAACAAAGGCTAACCAAAAAGGAACCTCCACTTTGGTCGACCGTTCAATTATGTATTTTTCTTCAAATAATGATCCCGTCGTAGTCATTGTGTGGTTGGCTTCGTCTTGTTCCGAGTCGGACTCTACGACTTGCTCCTCATTATTGTTGCCATCATCATTATTGCTGTTATTATTGTTCGTCCTATTCAAAAGTTGATGTTGTTTCAAATGTTCTTTTTGAAGAGCTGTTGCTGTTTTCACATATTTTCCAATATTCGGAATTGTAAAGTTGAATACTACAGCGACCCGTTCCTCGCTCGCCATGATATCATCAATATCATAATAAAGTCTTCCATTGTTTATGGCTGAAAGATCCAATGAAGTCATTTTTCAAATTTTTGAAATAACGTTTGCCGCCATTGAATTCGGGCGCCAAAAAGTGACAAAAAAAACCGAAAGACGAATTTCATCATCACGCAAACACAAAGATCGAGGAACTTGAGTACTCTTCCTGTACAACCTATCATCAACGGAATTGCAAAATTGTAAAACATACATCCTATTACATCTCATCACATATACATCATCAATTTAGAGATGAATATTGCTCCGCTACTGGAACAGATACAAACCAAGGGTAGGTTGGATGTGCCGTATTGTGTTTTTTTCTAAACAAATTTTAATCATCAAATACTTCTTGAATAGACCCTCAAGAGAGGATTCAAGGATTAAATGCTTTAACTCAATCCATGCTTGATATTGCATTGGTAGGTTCAACTCTCGAACTGTATCTTTATATTTTCAAAAATTATAATAGGATGATATTCCTTCAGTCATGGATACAATACGGCCCTCTCTCAAAGACAACAATTACAAAGTATGTGAGGCGGCCCTTACATTTCTCTGTACATTTTTGGAACATATTGATGCAAAAATCTTTCAACCTTTCTTTTCTGACTTTTTAAATTTATTAGTGGAACGATTTGGAGATGCAAAGAATTCAGTAAGAGATAAAGCTTTTGAGGCAGTCATTATGGTTACTAAACATTATTCTCCAAAAGAAATTTTGGACGCTATTCGAGAAGGATTCATTCACAAAAGTTGGAAAGTTAGAGAAGGAATATGTTTAATATTTATTCAAATTTTACAAGCATTTGGACCAAAAAATATCATGTTTATGAAATACCTTCCAGATATTGTTTCGCTTTTGGATGATTCGACTCAAAGTGTGAGAGATGCAGCAGTCATGGCAATTTGTGAAATTTATAGATATGTCGGTGTTGATTTATTACAGGAATTGGGAAATTATAAATTAAGAACTCCTCAACTCAAGGCGATCGAAGATAGAGCTAGTGAAATAATGGTAGATACTGAAAATTTGGTTCCATTGAAACCAAAAACTCTAAAGAGCCCTGTTAAAAACAAATCTGCAAGACACACTATTCACACAATTGGAGCAACCGCTGGAAGACCAAGCTCAGTCGCAACCAATGAAGGAGATGGCGAAGAAAACGATGTTCAACCTGTATATATCAAAGAGAGCGATCTCTCTCGAGAAATGGAAGTTAGTATTGAAATATTAGAGGATATGAAAAACGTAGATTGGAAGAGGAGACTGAATTGCATACGGCGTCTAAGAGGACTAGTTCATGGAGGAGCTACAGATTTTCCTGGATTTATTGCAGAATTTTCTAGAATCCGAGAATCTCTTTCTAAAAATCTTTTGGACTTGCGATCTACAATTGTGAAAGAGAGTTGCATGCTTCTAAATCTACTTGCAAAAACCATGGGATCAAGGTTCGAATCTTTGTCAGATTATTTTGTTCCAATAATTTTAAAGAGCACCGTGGTGACCGTGCAGGTTATATCTGACTCAGTTAATGTGTGTATTCGAACCTTAATTACGCATGCCAAACTTAACAGAAGTATCATCGTCATAGTTGAAAAACTGATAGATCCAAAATCTCATGCTACAATGAGAGCTAGGTGTGCAGAATATTTAGTCTTGATGTTACAGCATGTAGATTCGGCAATTTTAACGAAGAATATTGACGATATTTCAAAAGCAGTTAAATCTGCAATTAACGATGCAAGTGCCGGTGCACGACAAGCAGGTAGACAAGCTTACTTTGCTCTGAAAGATACATTCCCTGACAAAGCTTACAAGTTATATACTGAGCTTGACCCTAACACTCAGAAAAAGCTTAATACCTCAGACGATACGCGCTCCGGACAAATTTCACCTAGATCCACAACATCCAGTGTTGTAAGTGGCACCTCTGTGTCATCTTATGTCTCATCAGCATCTACTTTGAGAAGAACAAAATCTGTCATTACTCGAAAAATCTCCAAGACAGATTCCATTGTGGTACAAGAGCCTAAAAATCATACCAAACCAACAATTCCTACACTGCCTTTATCTGGAACATATCCACCCTCTCCTAAGAAACCACCATCGCTCCAAGTTAAGGCCATGACACGAACACCAACATCCCCATCATCTCCTTTATCACCAAGAGGAAGCTCTTCGTCACAAAAAAGTCCTTCTGCCTCTGTACGGTTATCGAAATCATTTGAAGTTGGACCTTTAGACAAATCATCCAATGATCCAATGGACACATCTTTAGATTCCCCTACAATGGAATCTGTCAATTCCATTTTGCGAGACACTAAAAACATGGATTGGAAGTCTAAAGTTCAAGTTCTTGAAAAATTGGAAACAATTATTGATTCTGACAGAATTTCTGAAGTGAAGAGCACATTCCTTCAAGTAATTAATTTGTATATTGACAGATTGTCAGATACACACCTAAAAGTTGTAGAGAAAACTTTAACCTCATCTTTGATGCTTATTGACAAGTTGCCAGATTGTGTGGAACCCTACTTGGAACGTATATTGTCAAAATTATTCTTACTTTTGACGGAAGAGAAGACCAAGTTATTATCAGAGCAGCTGTTAACAAAGATTGCCAGTTCATACTCTGGAGATATTTTACTGCCAAGAATATTTAAGATTGTGGATACGTATCATTCAAGAGTCCGAGTGGCTTGCTTAGAGTTTTTAATGCACATCGTGCAAGGCAGTTCTGCATATCTCAGCTATCCTGGTCACATGAGATCGAGTATCAAAAAGATTATTGCTCTTATACAGGTAAACACATCGAAACCGTGCGAAGCAGCTCTAACTAGTATCATGATCTCATTGTATTCAATTCATCCTCATATATTTTTGGAACAAATGCTTTCATTGCCATCGCTAGAGCAAAATCCAATCAAAAATTTACTACGTGAAAGAATTCCAGATTTTGAACACACACTCACAATGTAAGTATTAATTGTGTTGCATGAAGACCTCAGGCATCAACTTTTATTTTAACATTATTGCAGCGTATCGAAAAAGTCAAGCCAACCAAGTTCTAACGTATCATCACCGCTCTCTGCAAAGTCTCCAAACACCAACATTAAGGTGGTTGAAAATACAATACCATCCAGAATTGAAAAGTATAAAATTTCAACCGCCCAAGAATTAAAGAACGAACGAGAATCTTTAGATGAGCTTTCTGCATGCTTAACTGCTATTGCCAAGTACAAGATTGACAATAATCCTCATCAAGTATATCGATGCTTATTTGACATTACAGAAATTGCGAGACAAAAACCTCCTTCAGAATCGGTGTGGCAAATATCATTTGCCAAGCTCATATTCTATCTGTTTGATTTATTTTTCGATGAAGATGAAATTGTGAGGGAGAAGGCACTGCTAAGCGTGGCAGCATTGCTTAGATATCAAAATGAGCATTGCATCAAATTTGCAGATATCACTTTCAGAAAGCTTATGGAAAAATTCAATGATAAAGTTCCAGCAGTTCAGAGGACAGCAGAACGAGTTGCTGAACAATTTATAGAATCCATGGATCCTCAAAAAACGCTTGAACTCATCAAACCACAAATTATCAACAATAGCGAAAAGGAACAACAACTCTTGGGAGGATTGCGAATCATGACAAAACTAATCAAACAAATTTCTCCAGAAATATTGCTGACCCATGTACCGAGTATACTTCCCGGTGTCTATGAGGCCTTCAAACATTCCAATGTCGATATCAGAAAATCTGTGGTGTATTTAATGGTAGACTTGCATTTTGCTCTTGGAGAGAGTTTTGATCCTTACCTTAAACGGCTTTCTGTAGAGCAACAAAAACTGATTCAAATCTACATTAAAAAGTCAGAAGTAAAGTGACGCTATTATGTCCAACTGATGTCTTTGCTCAAATTCGTTCTTTTCTCAAACTCGTTTCTTGCTTTGTCCTTCCATAGTACTAACGCTTTCGCTGGACAATGATAATCCAGCCAACCGTGCGCACGAAAAGCACCTTCAATTTAAAATTGCATACTATGCATTGTAATGGAATCCAAATTCAGAGATTTTGCTGCATTGAGTTTCACAAACTCCGAACACTACTTCAAACACGATTCTGAAAAAAATGGCAACACGCAATGAAGGTATTCACAACAAACAAACAGCTCAACTCAATGATAGTAATATGGAACCTCACGCGGACGATACACGAACAAATATGAGCCGAATGGAATCTTCAGCATCGTTTGAATCAGCCTATGATGCAAAACCCATGGATGACCAACAAATTCAAACATCAACTCTCCTTCATCATCAAAACCATGATTCATTTTCGAATTCAGAGGACGATATTGAAAGAGGACAAGAAAAAGAAATGGAATATGACTATAATTCACTCTCTCGGAAGGAAAAATTTAAATTATTTTTGCTTAACTTGAAGAAAGAATTTAGAGGAATGTTAGAAATTGCATTTCCAACTGTTTTAATGAATGTCAGTAACAAAATATTGGGATTAGAAGATATGGCTTTTATAGGACATTTAAACAATGAGAATTATTTAGCATCTAGTGCATTGGCAAATGCTGTTTTCTTTTGTTTTAGTTTTATTTCAGTTGGCCTTATTGGAGGACAAGATACATTTGTAGCACAAGGTAATTTGAATATAATACAAGCCCAATCGATGACGATTCCTATTATTATTATTATCTATTTCATCAATGATTATTATTATCTATATTCATGATTTTGAATTTAATGTTTGAAATGCATCATTGGAAACAACAACAGCTTTCGGAGCAAAGAATTTACGATTGATGGGCGTATGGTGGGCACGAAGTTTACTCATCATTCTACTCGGATTAATTCCAATTCTCATCATGATGATCTTTTTAGAGCAAGGTCTTTTACTCATTCAGATACAACCAGAAATTGCCTCTCATGCAGCCAGCTTTGTTCGATATTTATTACCTGGTCTATTTCCATTTGCATTGTGTCGAAGTACAGCAAGATTTCTCGTCTCTATGAATATTCGATTGCCCAATACGCTCATTCCCATGATGTCCATATTTGTGAATTTTGCATTGAATTGGTTATTTGTTTTTGGAATTGGTTTTGAAGGATTTGGATTTGTAGGTGCAGCCATAGCAACATCATTGGCTAGATTTTTCATGTTATTATGTTACATTTATGTCATTTTCCATTACAGAGATCGCTTAAAAGAATGTTTCGAAGGATTCGTTCAATTCAAGCAAGTATTGGAATGGAAAGGAATTTGGGACTTTTTAAAATTATCCATTCCAGGTACCATTGCTACATGTGCTGAAGTTTGGGCCTTTGAATTCACCAGTATTTTGGCAAGTTACCTGTCAGCAACTCATACAGCAGCTCATGCCATTTGTCTCAATATTGTCTCTCTGTCTTTCATGTTTCCTTTAGCCATTTCCACAGCAGCGAGTGTGTTGGTCGGTCAACATTTAGGTGCTCGTGAACCTTCTCGAGCCAAATACGCTGCTTATTTGTGTTTAGTGGTCTCTGCTGTATTCATGATGTTGAATGGAGTGGTCGTCGGATCTCTGAGTACCTTAATTCCAAGAATTTACACTTCAGAAGAACAAGTCATTGATTTGGCTGCAAAAGTCTTTCCTCTCACGTTATTATTTGGTGTCTTTGATGGTGTTCAAGGAACAGCTTCTGGAGTATTGAGAGGTGTTGGTGCTCAAACCGTTGGCATGATTTCAAATTTAGTGGCCTATTATGTCATCAGTCTACCGATTGGAGCTGTATTGGCATTTGTCGTGAATATGCAATTAGTGGGATTATGGTTGGGATTGACGTTGGGATTAATTATTGTGGCCTTCTCACTCGTGGTATATATTATTCGAATTAATTGGGAACGACAATCGAAAATTGCTCATGAACGAAGTAGTACTGTTGTTGAAATTTCCACAAATCATGACACACATGAATTACTCACAAGTACTATGGAAATTCCAATGGAAACCATTCATGAATTGGTTGATGAGAATGAAGAAGTGATTGAGGTTGTTGAACGGAAGGAGGAAGCGTCAGTTCGAGAGGTTTCAACTCAACAAGAAAAATCACATCATGCAAATGGTACTATGGAATGAAATACTTGAATCATCACTCACACCCAATGCGAAAGAGCTCGAATTTCGACACTTTACCAATGAGATTCATTGGTATTTTCGAAAGGAATAAAATGTTCAGAATTCCAAATGGAGTTCGAAACCGGAAAAGATTTTTACACTCCGAACATCAAAAAAAAAGTCCTTGAGCTTGCAGGTGGTGATTTCATAATAACTATTGTACGACACACATTTTTCAAATTAGAAATACTGTGTAGTATACTCGGAGATTGAACTGGGTACAAACAGTCGCCCCAATTGTGTGTTGTGTGTGAACAATCATCATCATCAAATTTTCTAAAGATAAATTTCATCATCATTACTCTCCCATGATGACAACGACGACGACAAGTCTTCTTTCAACTCTGATCAAAGATTTTATTTCTCAACAACCAACATTGGATTCTTCCCTCACAAATAATTCCTCACAAGATGAAAATCCCGATGAACGTACCACTGAATTAGTTTTTTACATCATTGATGGATGTTTGACCATTGTCTTTTTGTTGTGTGCCTTGTTTTATGTGATTTTATTCATTACAAAGAGAAGTAGTTTGACGAAAAGATTTTTAATGGAAAATATTGTACCGACCATGTCGATTATCATGTTGGTGTTTTGTTTGGGTAAGTAGTAGAGTCGTGTTGATTGTGAATGGTAAAAATAATTTCAATATATTGTTGTTGTTGTTGTGTATGGAAATGTTGAAATTTGATAATGATGTGAATTTTGATTTTTATGGAAATATTTAAAAATTTAAAAAATTTTAATTTGATGAATATGAATCATCGAAACTATGATTTCTTGAAATTTCCATGTAAATATTAACATGTTCTAGTGAAATCGATTCATGTGGTGTGTCCCATATTTGAATTATTGGACAATAAGATTGCAACTTTTGTGTTGACAGTGGTACAATTTGTGACACTTTACATTACAACATTTCTATTATTTTCCATCTCATTAATTGCACTCTATTATGGCATTAAGCAATACACTGTGAATGGAAGTGTTATTTCTCAGCGAGGATTATTTATTTACAAAATATTATTCACAATATTGTTTACTTTTAACGCAATTTTGTTGATTGGATCATTTGGATTTTCTATTGGAGAACATACTTGGAGGACATTCTTTAAAGAAGAGGAACAGCAGTCACTGGCAGATGTTGCGTTTTATGTCTTTATAGGGTAGGTGAAAATATTGAAATTTCACATATATAACTGTGAACCCCAAAATAACGTTAAAGATGCTATTCGTATCAATTTCTTGTGCAAGTCTGTGTGGGCTTGTATGGAATTGCATTCCATATTTTTAATGGAAAATACATTCTATTGGATGATTACATTGCTCGCAAATGTACTCGCTCAGTAAGTTTTCTAGAGTTGTGTTGAACAATTCATGCTGAAATTTTTATGAAATGATATTTATGGACATGAAATAGTTTTTGGGAACGTGTGTTGGAGTTTCATTTTCCATGATCATTTTCATGGCAACCATTCTCACAGTTCACACCCTCGATTTTCAAAATGTATTGCGCGAAGCATTACCATTCTTTACTTTGGCAGGCGACTCTGTGCTAGCATTCTTAACAGTGTGTCTTGTACTCGTTTGGGGACCTTTGAATCCATCTCTTTCGAGTCTGTATGCATCCATGCAAGGAGCAATGGAAAGAAGAAGCTTAATTAATGAGCATTCGAAAAGTTCGATTGGAAGCTCTAACAGCAGTACACTAAATCTTGCAAGATCATCTGTAAATAGAATATAGGTTGTAAAGTAAACATCATCAAATTCAACTTGATTTTTGTTTGTCCTAGCTCAATAACATCTAATAATCATCTATCTAGATACGATCAATATGGTGATGATCAATTTTTATTCGAGACTGTGAAATGAGAAAAATACATTTGATCCATGAATTGCTGGATATTAAGGATGGTAGTTCTACAATTAACATGATCTCGAATAAATTATCTGGTATGAAAAAGGAAGTGAAAACTAGAATTATGGCGGAAGGAAAAGGAAGATTATTGCATGAATATTACGAATATTTGAAGAATTGAAAGCACCGTATTTCAATCTCTCGTTCTCTGACTTTCAATGATGAAAGACCCCATTGTAATTCAAGCCATTCGATATTGTTCTCCAAAATGAGTTCCGTATTGGCATTTCCATCATTACTAGGTTGTTGTTCATCACTCGTCGTTTTTTGTGCCGTACTACTTGTTGTTTGATGTTGCTCGCACAATGAAAATAATACGTTCGAAACGTGACGCTGTGATGTTGTACTTGTTGAACTCGAAGCATTCGTTGCTGTAGATGGGTGAATCATTCTCAAAACATACACTCGGGAATTGTCTTCAAAATTTAAATAATAATTGTTCAGAGGTCGTAACCGAATCATTTCTCTAAAGAGAGTCAAATCATATTTGAAGGAGAAGGAATTGTTTAAATTATAAACCATGGAAACATGCGGAACAAAATTGGCAACTCCACTCTGATTTTCAATAATCGATAATATTTGCTTTGTGTCCATAAGAACGTATTCCGAATCTTCTTCCTCTGTCATGGCTGATTGGTTTTTGCTGATCGACTTTCGGCTGTTGGAATATCGCTTTCGCTTGTTGATACTTATTGATGATGCCGGTAGTTGCTCATCAACAGAAAGCAGCGATGCTGAACGTTCTTGTTTTTTCTGTGAAGAAATAGTGTTGACGTTTTCGTCGGAAGAATACGGTCGAAGTGGGGATGTCCCCTCATGTGCAACGACAACCATACTACTGTTGATACATGTATCTGAATCTTCATCATCTGAAGATAAGGATGAAACCGATGAATTGGATGGTGACTTTGTCTCAGATTCTATGGTCTTTCGCTTATACCCACGTCGTGGTTGAAGTTGCACATGTGAACGCAGGAGGTGGTGTTGAGAGGATTGAGAAAGATGTTGATTACTACTGCTGTTGCTACTACTAATGTTAAGAGTATGAAATGCATCACTACTGTTGTTGTTACTGCTACTGTTGCTGATGAGGAGATTGTTTTGTTGATCACTGTCTGGAGTTCCCAGAGAGTCCTTGTTCTTTAGAGATTGCTCCAAACGTTTTCGTTCTTCTTGCAATCGTTGTTTTCGAAGTTTGTCTTTTCGAGTGGTGTGGTGATTGTTACCTTGACCAGCCACTCTTGGATGTTGTCGTAAATCCTCATTGTAGTGAGCTGTTGAATCATCATGTGCACATGTGATGAGGTTGTGTAAACATCGTGTTGTATACAACATGCAGTTGCATGAAAACAGTTAACACAACATGATCATTATCAACGCTACATACTTGTACAAATCTTTAGACCCTCAATATTAGGGCTATTCGCATGCTCTAGCTTTACTTGCCACACTCTTTTTTGGGAAAATGTTAAAATGGACCGATACCATCATACGAATATGCAAGTTCGAAAAATAGTCATTAGTCCAATTAAAGTATTTAAAATGTTGTTTGGAGTATGATTCCATGTAGATGTGGAGAAACGTGGGAATACGAGCACAATAGGGTAATTGTGTTGAGACGTTGTCATTGTAGTTGATAGGTTCATGTGTATGCGACACATGTGTGTCATGCCAACACATGATCAACATCACCAAAGCCAAGAACATCATTTAAAGTTGATCAAACAGTTCATTATATCAACAGTGATTACTTTCTATAAGCGTTAAATGAAGTAAAACGTACCCTTGCAAGCAACTAAAGTTTCTGATTGAGGATTGTCTACTGCATCCATCAATACAGCAAATGGGATTGGCAGGAGTTGCATTTGATGTGTTTTGTGATGACGAAGAAGAAGCATTCTTAGATTTCATCATGTTCTTTTGTTAGACCTGAGTAGATGTTGCGAAAATGAAAGTCAGCAGGCGTGATGGATTTGATGGTCTTGGGAGGATCTTTTGTAGTGTTGTTGAATCTTTTCGAGTATTTACCCGATACCTCGAAGAGGTTGTGAGTGCTGTGGCAGGATACTTTTTCTCAGATTATCTGCACTGGAGGACTAGGTTGAGAACTGTTCGATGTGTGGAGCAAGAGAATGAAGCAATTTTTCAAACATATTTCAAAGAGAAGAGTTGTATCGAGGACAAACATGTGATTTGAATAAATTGTTAATTGTTTTGGGTTTTGTCACATCGCAAGGAGATAAAACACAAAATGACCATACATGAACAGAGAATAATGTTGATGCGACACAAAGAGATGGGTGATTAAATTTAGTAATATTCATGCACAAATATATAACATTCAAATGCTGATTGAAACTTACTGCTTGAAGGTGATGATAAAATTCTCTGATAATGATGTTACGATAAGAGGAGACGATGTACTTGGTTGGATGTTGTACGCGAATGTTCTAAACGTCGAAACAGTCGAGCTGCGATGCAGTTGTTGTACAACAGAACAAAACGTCGCTCTCAGAGGATGAGCAATTTTTTCAAGGGCAGCGTATTGACAATTGGCAACTGGACAAATCTCAACACGCAGCTTGATATGTGTTATAAGGAAAGTAGAATATATAATTTGGCGTCAGTGTCAGGTGTCAGAATGAAAAAAGGAGCGAATTTTGATATTTGGGGATGCAAGGTCAAAAATGCCAACAGCGGGAAGAGGTTTCTCAACAACAAGCACGCAAAACAGTACCTAGTGGAATGGCAGTAACACAAGCCGCGGTTTGATTTGGTAACGATCGGCTATTTGATTATGGATCTGTAGATGCAATATCTTGGGTAAAGCTGCGACAGTTACCTTGTTGTGTAATGGAATTACAATGGATGATGTAGGTGTGGAAAATTGATTGAAATTGAATGATAATTGTTGAAGCTGGTGTTACCACAGTAGCAGGATTGCAATCATAACATGCATGTACGCCCATCACCGCCAGTCGTGCCGACCCAATGATTTGATGGAGGCTTGGTTCGGAACTCAATCTCTCGTGTTATTATGTTTTGAGATGGCGACAATGGAGATGAAACCAATTGGTAACTGTGAGTTTCTATGCTTGACGAAATCTGATGTTGTTCTATAACGGTTTGAAAACCAGATTAGGCTTCTTTTGGTGATTGTTTTCAGAGCTTGATGAGGAGTCTGTACGAAATCCAAAAAACGGCCATATACAGGCCACACCTAAACTTTGAACAACGATGAGGAAGTGTACTGGTGGTAAAACCTGAGCGAAGAGGTAAGAGTTGTTTTTTAGGGAAGTTTTTCATCGTTGAACGGGATTCAAGGAGAGGGTGGTTAGAGCATGGTTCTGCTAGAGTTTCAATTTTTTTGTAAGGTTTTGAGGCCAATGCATATTCGACGCGAAAATCAAAGCACCGAATTAAGGAATTTCTAAATCATCAATCCATTGAGGGTGAACAACAATTACCCACTGAGCACAATCTTAAAAGGAAGGGCAATAAGAAAAGGTAGAGAACTATTGGAACTTGGAGCAAAAACACCGAAAATTGAGCTTGTTTCATTTGCTTTACGAGGAAGGTCCACCCACTTTTATGCCATGATTTCCGTTCAATAATTTATAACCCATGTGTTGTTGTGTTGCTCAGTTGCTGTTAAGGTTTTGTTGAATTGGTTGGTTCCATCTTATGGATTTATTACATAATGTAGCCAGTGATGAGGGAATGAGCAAAATCGAGACCATACGGGTTTTCATCTTCGCTCATGGATTTCACAGGAGTAACCTCAATGACATTCACAATGAGTGTGTGTTGATGTTGGAAATTTTCTTGGTAGTAGGATTTGAGAGCATCCACAGTTTCAGGTGACAAAAAGTACTTGTGATTTGGGGTTGGAGTGTTGGCTTGCCACAATGTGGTGTTCTTGTATTTGACTGGAATGAATTGAACACGATCCCCAACGTCAATACCTTGTTTCTTGTTGCTGTTATTTGAAGATGATGGTTTGTGCTGTTCCACTTGTTGCTTGAGAGAGTCAATCTCTGATTTCAGTTCCAAACAAATTTGTTCGAGTTGTTTGTTCTTGTTTTTCTCATTGTTGACGCTATCTTTGAGAGTTTTGATGACTTTGAGTTGAATTTCTGAAGCTTCAGAAGCTTGATCGTACTTGTCTTGAATTTCCTTAATCTTTTGGTTGTATTGTTCTCTCAACGTTTGAATTTGTTGTTCGGACTGATGAGCTTGTTGCTCAAGTTGTTTCACTCTCTTGAGATAAAGGTCATTTTGAAGGGTGACCTGTTTGAACTCTTCATTGCCTTGCTTCATTCTCATTTCTTTCAATGAGTTCAGTTCTCGTTGATACTCGTCAATTTGTTGTTCTAATTGAGTGACTTTTTCAGACTTTACACCAAGCTCAGAAATGGTCTTTTTCTGGTTATTAATGACATCCACATAACTATTGGTTTGAATCGTGAGATCTTGGAACTTCTTCTTGAGTAAATCGTGTTCTCGTTCCAACTTGTTATAAGCAGCTGTTTTGAGGGAGAGTTGTTCTTGATGCAATGTCTCAGCTTGTTTGAGCTGGAAGGTCAGGCCGTCAATCTTATTCTTGTGTGAATCAATTTCGCTTTTCAGTTTAAGAATTTCAGCCTCTAATCCAACCTCTCTACCCGAAGATTTGAAAGTGGTTGAAGTAATTTCGGAAGCAGCTTGCATCAGACCAGCATAAAATTCAGATAGCTCTTGATGCTTTCTCTGCATGGGTGACAAATTGTCCTTTGTGGATGTTGAAGTGACATTGCTCTTTGTATCGTCTCGGGTGGTATTTTCCAAGCTGGCCTTTTCCACTTGTTTGATGTGTTCCAGCTGTTCATCAATGTGTCTATTCACTTCGGGAAGCTTATTCGCAACGTGTTGTATAAAAGTACTTTGAGTCATGTCAGAAACAAGAGCACTTTGCATCATGGATGGTGGTACAATATTTGTATCAGTGAGCGCACTATTCTTGTCGTGTGCTGGAGAAGAGACAACAAAAAAGTCAATGTCTTCAAGTTGATTAATATTCGGTAATTCAGAATCGACGGATCTAATGAGAGTGTTCATGTAATGATTCAGACGTGTGGTCAGAACTTTGCTGTTCACTCGTTCACCAATCAAACCAGGAACTAACTTTTTAAGCTCGGAAATGTGTTTAGAATCTGTGGCGAGTTTGGCAACTTGAGCTTCGAACAAGTCTCTCTTCTCGTTTTCCAATTGACAATTCAACCAAATCATTCTCTCAATAGTGCTGTTTGTATCGTTTTCAAGCTTCTCTTTTTTGAATTCTTGCTTTCGACGAACCACTTCATGCATGGCAATTTGATAGAGTTTGGGTAAACTAGAAAGGAATCGCAAACGTCTCAACAAATTAACTCCTTCTTTGTATGTGTTGACAGAATGCAAACATGTGTCCAAGGTCATGTTCAGTGTATGGAGGTGTTTCATTAAATTCAATAATGGCGCATTGCAAGTACTACACAATGTAATAAGCTCTTTGTGTGACGACTCTATCAAATTAAACTTTTGGTATGCCTTTTCAATAAAACCATCAAGAGTAATTTCATAATTACTTAATTGCAAATCACCTGTTGTTGTTTTGGCGAGAGCAATGGTCGATAAAATCGATTGTTTCAAATCGTTCCATGATTCCACCTTTTCCCAAACTTCAAATATTACTTCATATTCTTGCAACACCTTTTTAAAGTCGTCAGACCTTTCGACCTCTTTGATTTTGTCTTCGGAAGAAGTTACTGCCTTAACAATGTATTTTTCAATCTTTAAACACTCTGTCACAACCTCGTACTTGTCTCTAATTTTTCTTTCATCCTCGTTTGTGACACTGAAAAAGGAATCTTTGGAATGAGTCGAGTCAGTTTTCACGCTTTTCAAAAGCTGTATAATATCTTCAGGAGATGAATATGTTTTTTGAAATTCTCGAAACTCTTCACCAATTTCTTCTAGTTGTTGTAAGTTAGCACGTTCATACAAATCAGGAAGTTTTTTGTTGAGTAAATGATACAGGCAAATATACATGGCTTCTTTGCGGTGACTAAAGCTTTCATATGCTTCGTGACACTTCTCAAATCCGTCATCGATAACCTCAATGCAATGTTGTAAATGAAGAATCTTGATTGAAATTCTCTTTTTGGTATCATGTTCATCATCAACATCTCCCGAGAGAGGAATAATTTTCTTAGACAGAGTCTTTGTTGGTTCCTGATCGTTCATTAATTGTCTATTCACCGTCGGATCATAAAAGTAATAACACCCTCTCACTTCATTTCTCAATACAAAGGCATTATTCTCAAATTTACGATCTTGTTTGCTCTTGGTCATTTCGTAAGCATCATCTGATAGCCTCTTTCCGGTCATGGCACAATACATTGGATCATGTTGATTGATCACAGGTGTCCCCAATAATGGTGTTGATGTGGTGGTAGTGGTCGACCCGTTTTCGGTTGAACCGACACTAGATTCACCCTTCTCATTCAAAGGCAGTTGCTGTTGTGGTGGATGATGCTGGGCGATGGTTCGGTGCTGCAACATTTTTTTTCTAACAACGTTCTATTTAAAGATTTTTTGCTTCGAATAATTGAATTGGCCTTTTGTGGGTTACATGACAAAGATTAGGAATTGAAGGTGTGCTTTTTAACTGGCTTTTGATTCATTATTGTTGTGGACAAACAAAGACGAGAGTCATTAACAGTTTGAAAATGAAAGAAATATCCACACCCAATCTTGGACCAACGGTTAATAACACTTAATAATTGTGGAAATGATTTAAATGATCTTTGTTTGACATTTTGATTGGTAATGAAAAAAACCAACTTTAAAAAATGTTGGACAACGGAGAGACCAAGTGTGAACACTCAAAAACAAAATTTGAGTGTTTGACACCCAACGCCGATGGTATAGAAGACACGATCATCACCAATGTCGTTTGCTCCTCTTGCAATAAAACGCTAGCCACACAACATACTTGCATTTCTGCTACAGGGTACGACGTGAAAGATCAGGAATGGGCAGATAAGAACAAACATTTATTTTACGATCAGTAACTGATGATTCGGAATAAAGAAATTTGATTCGATGAAGACCTTCGGCCTAACACAAAGATTGTGAACATGGTGAAGTTTGGTTGTGACAACTTTGATGACCATGACCATCTACCGTTCCAAACAAAGACGTATGTTTTAATCTGACAGCTACTTTCTTACACTTGCTTACAACTGACCTTCTCATTATTACAAAATAACACGAAATGAGAAATCTTTGACAACATGTCACGCTGTCATAATCAAAAAAATGGCTTGGGTTACTGTTTGTTTGGAAATCCTAGGTTCTTCTCCTGAAGGTATCGAAAGGATTTTCATCCATATGAACCCAAAAACCACCATTGATGAATTATTGCAAGAAATATCTCTGTCGTTTCAGTCGATGATTCCTGCTAACTCGGATATTCATATCAAATATGTAAAACACAATGGATTAGAAGAATCGATGATCGACAATACGAGCTTTCAGTCGTTTCTAACACATCTTTACGATCCCAACGTGGAAAAGGAATACAAAAAACTCTACGTCAAAGTGGCCAAAACAAAAGACAGTTCTTCAAGGAGTTGTTTTCACATGTGCCGACAATCTCCAGAAGAAGATGATATTGAGATCCCAGAAGGATATAGCTGTACACATGGTTCACAACGTCAGGCATCGAGTTCAAACACCTCTCCCAAACATTCACTATCCCAAAAACTTCATGGTTCTTGCTGTAGTACTTCAACCGGATTACAATGTTATTCTCAGGAAGTCTTGAACACTCACGTCCATACTTTGGACGGCAATGAGGATGATATGAACACCATTAAACTGTTTGAAGACGATCCCATTCCAAACACTACAGATGTGCAACAGTACCATCTGGGAATCATGTACTACTATGGAGAAGGTACGGCAGTAGATTATTCCAAAGCATTTGAATACTTCCAAACGGCTGCCCATCAAGGAAATATTAAGGCTCAATTATATCTCGGAGTCATGTATCATAATGGAGAAGGTACTGCTCAGGACTATTCCAAAGCAATGGAATGGTACTTCAAAGCTGCTACACAAGGAGATGATTATGCACAATTGAATCTAGGAGTCATGTATCATAATGGACAAGGTGTGATTCAAAATGAAGGCAAAGCCTTCAAGTGGTATGAAAAATCTGCCAATCAAGGCAATGCAAAGGCTCAGTATAGCCTCGGATTGATGTACGAACACGGAGAATATGTTTCCAAAGACTGGTTAAAAGCCATTGAATATTTCCTGAAATCAGCAAAACAAGACAATGCAGAGGCCTTGTTTCGCTTGGGTGGGATTTATTGTCATGGACGCAATTTTTCCAAAGCTTTTAAATATATTCAACAAGCAGCTCGATGTGGGCATTCGGAGGCACAATATCTGCTTGGGGTGCTATATTCGGGGAGATTTCATGTCCCACAAGATTATTCTAAAGCTTCTGAGTGGTATTTAAGGGCAGCTCATCAAGGTCATGCTGAAGCACAGTTTGAACTTGGAAAAATGTATGAACAAGGACTTGGGGTTCTTTCGAGTGATTCCCAAGCTTTGGAATGGTATCGAAAATCGGCGAACAATGGAAACACCTCTGCACTGAAAAGCCTCGTAGAAATAGTTACAAATTCTAGTTGTCTTTTGACTCAACTGAACAACTCAAACTCACATAATCTCATTTAAAAAATGTATTGGCTTTCAGTTCGTTTGGTTATTGATGATTTTCCGAACGCCACGGAACGAGTGGTCATCGAATTACATCCCAGCACCTTCTTTGATCAATTAGCCCAAGAAATCTCCAACACCTTTTGTAACATCATTCCCACTCATTCCGGCACACGTCTCAAATATTTCAATGAAAACACTGGAGAGGAAGTATCAATTTTGAACGAGACAAACTTTCAATCCTTTCTCAAGCAGTATCTTGATCCGAACGTGAAGAAGGAAAACAAGGAACTCATTTTCAAGGATTGATGAAAAGGAACCATGAATATGTGGTGAAACCGTTTGATGCTTTTTTTCTTGGTGATATGAGCATGCTTGGGATTGAAATGGAATTAATGTTGGGCTCAATCGATGACATAATTATAGAAAAAGGAATTCAATTACCAGAATCCATGGTACTTGAGATCCTATTTCAACTATGCACGGCTTTACAATTTATTGAAAAGGCCAACATTGTCCACAGGTTTGTTGTTCAAAAAATCATGTACACCTACATGACCATTTTACAGAGATATTAAGCTACCAAACATTCTTGTGAGAAAATTTAATCTTGACACTCAGGAAATTATTGTTGTATTGGGAGATTTTGGTCTTGCAAGAAATTTATCGTCCATTAAATATACGACTCTCATAGGATCACGTAATTATTGGTCTCCTGAATTAGAACAGTACCGAGTAGCGAAGGATGAGGCAGATGAAAGCCCACCATTTTCATTCGCAAGTGATATGTTTGCTCTTGGAGTAACTGTGTATCAGTTGATGACTTTAGATACAACTGTTTCATTGTCAACCTTAGTATCTACACATTCAAATTCCTCCAATTTTATTCAACAATTTACCAAAGATCGTTCGAAAGAAAAGTATTCTGATTTTTTAATGAACTTGGTTGCGTGTATGCTAAAATATTCTCCAGAAGAAAGAATAACATCTTCAGATATTTTGCAGCAAATTTCCCTGAACACAGACATCACGGACAATGTGGTCATACACGAGAAAGTAAGAGCTCTCAAAGCCCCAGGAGACTCTTACAATCTAAAAACGGTCATGGAATATTTGGAAGGGCTTCATTATAACTCGATAGAAATTGAATGGGCCCAAAAAACAGCAAATCAAGGAAATGTTGTAGCACAATTTTTGCTTGGGCAGTTTTATTATTATGGACATGATGTTTCTCAAGATTATACGATAGCATTTGAATGGACTCAAAAATCAGCCAATGAAGGTTTTACTGTGGCGCAATGGTACCTTGGACTATTGTATGAGGATGGATGTGGTGTTTCACAAGATTACTCCAAAGCAATTGAATGGATTGAAAAATCTGCAATTCAAGGAAATGCTGAAGCACAGTTGTTGCTTGGAGAGAGTTATTTTTTGGGAAAAGGAGTAACACAAGATTATTGTAAAGCATTTAAATGGGTTCATCGGTCTGCAAATCAAGGATGTGCTTTGGCAATGTGTAACCTTGGTGTCTTGTATGAACACGGATATGGAGTTACACAAAATTATTCCAAAGCAATCGAATGGTTTCAAAAATCAGCAATGCAAGGACAAGTTGAAGCGCAAGCTAAACTTGGAGTAATGTATTTCACTGGAACAAGTGTGTCACAAGATTATTCAAAAGCATTTGAATGGTTTGAAAAAGCAGCAAATCAAGGAATGATGGATGCACAGTTTATGCTTGGAGTTTTGTATTGTTACGGTGAAGGCACTTCACAAGATTATTCTAAGGCATTTGAATGGATTGAAAAATCAGCAATTCAAGGAAAAGCTGAAGCACAAGCTGTACTGGGGGAAATGTATGAGGGGGGAAAAGGTGTTCCTTTGAATTTCTCAAAGGCAATTGAGTATTATCGACAATCTGTACAACAAGGATTTTTTAAAGCTCTGAATCCGTTGATAGAGCTGACGACAAGACTAAATATTACACAATTGCAGTGATTGCATAAAATCATCCCTGTAATATCCTTTGAAATATGTCACATCTTAAGATAGCTTATCAAAAGAATATCCAATCTGTCATAACTTAGGAATTAGGTGTTTAGAAAACCAAATTCAATGAAATTTATTCTTCATCATCGTCCTCCTCATCATCGTCCTCTTCCTCCTCTTCTTCCTCATCCTCATCCTCGTCCTCTTCTTCGTCACCCTCTTCAATGCTTTTTACCAACTCTTTGCACGAGGAAAGAATAGAACTCAACTCATCATCGTCCTCAAACTCTTCATACCATTCAATAATAGAGTCATCCGATACAACATCTTTGTTGTAAAGAATCTGAACAAAGTATCTCAGTAAATCCTTATATTTCAATCCTTCATCACTGGCAACAAAGTACAGCAACTCTGTCAATAATTGAACTTGTGGCTTTGTTCCAATGTCTAAAAATTCAATTAGCAATTCTTTCCATGAAGTTTTTCCGTCGCCTCCATCGAGTACTTTTTGGAAGAGGCCAATCATTTCAGTAGGTGTTGATGATTCCTTGTCACAGTATAAAATAATGCCTGTCAAAGTAGCAGAAGCACAATCCTCAAAGCTACTGTCATACGCAAATTTTAGCGAGTTCAACTCAAGTTTAGCGTTTTCAATAGAGTGATTTTCTGCAATGGCTCTCTTAATACTGGCTCTAGCTTCATCAATAAATACTGCCTCGTCCTTAATTTCATGAGAAGAGACAGGTCTTTTGTAGGTGTCTTCGAGAAGAGTTTGTGATTTTTGTAACAGGTCAACTTCTGATTGTGTGACTCCCATACGATTAGTCAACAATTCTCCCAATGATGGAGGTAATTCGTAAATTGTACCAACACCACCTTCACCAACATAATTCTTGTCACTGTCAACAGTTATGGCCACAAATTCAGTGGATCTTTGTCGGGCAGCAGCAAAAGCATTCTCAAACGATATTTCCTCCTCGTCTTGATCCTTATATTCGTCTTTCAGAGCCATCTTTGTTGTCAATCGGTTGTGAGCTTTAACAGTGAAATCAGGTCCAACGACAACGTTGAAGGAGAGAACTGAGCCGACCTCAAGAACGGCATTATTGCAAACCTTAGAATTGTTGCAGAGTAACGAAGTGGTAATCTTCACACCGTCTTCAATAATGACATCATCCCAAATAAAGCTTCCTTCAATGGTCACATTATTACCAATTTTCACATTTCTTCCAATAACTGTGCTACGAATTTTGGTATTTTCTCCAATGGTCGTTCCGCTCCCAATGAGACAATTGTCTCCAATAACGCAACTTCTAGAAAGTGAAACATTTGATTCATAATAGTTATTTGGACGAGAATATCTAAAAGATGTAGATCCAGAAAAATTGGAGTCTGGTGTGACAGGATACATCCATCTGTTAATGAGATCCATACTGACAAGCTCGTATGAACGAAGATTACAAACTCTTGCAGAATAATTTGTGTGGTCAATGTATGGAATAACTTTGTAAGCCACTACTTCAGATTCAGATAAAACGTAGCTCTTCAAAAAGTCAGTTCTCAAATCTTTAAAGTCAAAGTTGTCTTGGAAAATTCCCAAAACTTCAGGAGAGCAAATATCAATTCTACAATCCATGACGTCTGATATAACCTTGATGTCATCCTTTGTTTCCTTGAAATTACGAATTTCAATTTCAAAGCTTAACGACTCCTTCTTGTCATTTTCATAATGCAATAATTGTTTGTTTTTTTCCGAAATGGCAATCCAAGCTGTGTCACCATCTTCATAAAAGTTGATGGCATCAGGAGTAATCTTACGGAAAATGGATGTTGTTAAGACTTGTGGGTCTGCCTTTCTCTCTTTTCTTTAATTTTGATGATTCTTGTCAACGAAATCATGTTATACACTACATACTTGTGAGCTTCTACAATCGGAGCTAAATTCAGATTGCTAATAACATCTCCTTGAATCAAAATAAAATCATTTCTAATTACATCCAATTCGTGAATTCTACGGAGAGCATCACCTGCTGATGCAGCTTCGGTACCTTCCACTGTGCTTATTTTCACATCACTATTCGGCGTATTCCACTTTTTAGAATTCCTAGGTATATTCAATTCGTTCAAAAGATGAAGAATAGTGTTCATGCAATCATGGTTACTAGTTTCAAATTCACTTACGCTAAATATTGTTTAATCATTTCAGCCCCATGACAACAAAAGACATATATTTCTTTTACGCCCGAAGCAGCCAACAATTCCAACACATATTCAATAATAGGAACATTATTCACTGGTAATAAACACTTGATGATAGGTAATTCAATGATAAATTTATCAAATATTAGCAACATAATAATCATCGGAACGATTAACAAAAACAATAAATTATTTCCATCAATCATCATGTTTATAAACCTACCCTTGGTGCTTGCAATGTAATAGGTCTCAATTCTTTCGTGAATGAATCGGCCAACACAACAGCTTTCAATATTTCTTCAGTCTTTGGGGCCACACCCTTCTTTGATCCTTTCTTCATTTTTTTCTTTGTTTTCGAAAACAAGATTTAATAATAACAGTGGTGGTTTTCAAGTTTCTTTATAATGTCATGAATCATAAAACTCAATTTCACGATGCTTGGGTTGCTATTTTAAGCAGTCTTCTCTGTGGGATGGTTTTTATACCACAATGATTATGAGAGTCAATTTTCGTGTTGAGGTGTAGTGTTGAATCGACTTGCTTTAGAATCTCACGAAATAAGCCTTTTTAAATTGCATTGAAAACTCCCATTGAATCACATATATTTACAAACACAACATCTATGGTGATGGGTACAGAGAAAGTAATAGGAGTTTTTATTTGTGTGGTTGTGAGCCAATTTTTCTTTCAAAAACCTTTTTAAAAAAAACAAACGTTCTTATCCGAGTGGTGTTTTTTCATCATCCACAACAACACAAACACAATACACCACCACCACTGACTGCATCATCCTCTCACGAGTTGATACGTTTGTTATAGAGCACATCCATTATTTTCTTGAATAGAACAATATATACATCTACTGCATCATTATATTTCAGTGTTACTGAATTATTTTGTTGAACGCCGATTTTTGAATTTGAAGAGTTTTTAAAATTCATCATCATCACTCAATATTTATTATTAGTATTATCCAACAATAATTTAAATCATCATGGCAGTTACTCTCACCAACGCTCCATCATTGATTGAATCTTGTGGTATCAGATTTCTCATCAGCGATGCTCCAAGTGATACCAATATTCATCTCTATATCAAGGAATTCAAACAACACAACGTAACCCATTGTGTCCGAGTTTGTCAAGCAACCTATGATAAGGAAATTGTTGAACGAGCAGGAATCAAGTTCTTTGACTGGCCATTCGATGATGGTTCTTCACCACCAAAGAATGTCATTCAAGATTGGTTGGATTTAGTGGATAAAGTATTTCCACCAAACTCGGATCTTTCGGATGCTCCTTGTATTGCTGTACATTGTGTCGCTGGACTTGGAAGAGCTCCAATTTTGGTTGCATTGGCTTTAATTAAACGATGCAACATGACGGGATTGGAGGCTGTTCAATTCCTTCGAAAGAAGAGAAGAGGAGCTATTAACAAGAACCAGCTAGATTTTATTGACAAGTTTTACAAGCAAAAGAAGGGTTGCATCATCTGTTGAATCACGCACGCCCCACACAATGAATTGGAGACCATGAACCTTCTTCGTAGGAATTTCACAGCCTTCAATTACTTTGCCTCAGACAATAGTCAAATTCATTCATCATCATTCAGCACGCCAGTTTCATCTCTTTTGCATCAACAACAGGCATCATCACCACCACCCATTATGGAACAACCAATCTCACATATAACACAACTTTCCTTCTCCCCAGTCCCGTTTCTTCCATTACGCCATCCTCAAGTCCATTATTCAAATCTAATGGACCATACTCATCAGCCTATTCCTCAAATATTTACATTGCTCCAGATATCATTATTACATCAATCTCTTATTACTTCTGCTCGACATTCGCAATTTGTGAACTATTTCATCTCTTTTCTTTTCACGTTTCTTAACAAATTTAGAAACAATCAGATTTTGCACTACTATGTGGTTTTATTGACGATTCTGAAATCAAGCGTTACTTACGATGAGAAAGCAAACGAATTGTTGACCAAATTGCTACTGGCTGTTATTCTGTTATTCCTATTGTTCCTAAATACCAATTTTCTCAAGTATCAATTAATTATCGTGAATAAAAATTACATGAGGTTTGATGAAATTTGTGACAGTTTATTCGGTTTAATTCTCTGTCTTGTTTAAGGAATTGCCATAACAAGGTTATTGTAGATAGAATGTTCAGAAACTCTTTACTATTAATTATTGAAACGAAGAATTGTCATCCTCTTCCATCTCAACTTCTGCATCTACAGGCAGCATGAGATATTCAACATATGTGACAGGCTCAGTTGCTCTAATTGCGAATTGCATGGAGAGTGTTCCTTGATTGTTCATTCTGATACAAACTTTTTCTGCATGATTTAGTGCTTTCATGGCTTGTTGAATGTGACTTAGCTTATAGAGACCTACTTGCGTGGCCTGACATTCGAATGCCTGTACTCCTTCGCTAGTGCTCTTAACACTCACTTCCAAAGAGCCAATCACATTGTCTGATGTTTTGAAAAATAGTTTACCTCGTTGAAGGGTGTCTTCTTGATTTCCCTCGGCTTGCTCTTCAAGCTCTACTCCAATTTCAAGAGTTTTTGATAGCCAATCAATCTCTGCTAGCGCATCCGTTAGAATTTCGCTCTTCAAAATAATTTTAGTTCCAATAGGATGCTCCTTAAATTTAAAATCTATTGGATCGAGTTCACATTTCCTAATTTTGATATTACAATCTGTGACAACACGTTCTTCACCCAACAACAATGACAGGGTATTGTCTACACCAGGGTAACACAGTTTTACAATGGTACCCTGAGATGCATTGGCACCATACAAAATTAAACAATCAATTAAAACCGAAACATTAATTTCAAATTGATATTTTGTATCTTTTGGAGCAGAAAATAAATAATTCTGAAATATTCCACTCTTCATTGCAGCCACTCCTTGAAAAGTTCTATCCTGAATATAAAATTTAATTCCTTCTTCCACAATCTCGCAAATAGCCCATGCCTGTTCTCTCTTCTTTTTAATATCTGAAGGATTTATACACTGCATAATATTTGCAAATATCTTGGCAGAGGCTATATCAGCAACCATAATATATTTACTCCGATCCTGTTGAGAAGCATGATACACGAGAGAACGGTTAGAGGCTTGACTGATTTGAGAAGGAAGAGGATTTTGTTGTGGAGCATGAGAAGATGATCCCGATGCTGATGAATTCAACGACAAGGGCACTCCGATATGTTCATCAGGAAATTGCTGCAATGCGGAACGATTGTTTTGGAGCATTTTTTTGATTGTAAAAATTCTTTAAAAAATTGGAATCTAAAATTTTGTGTTTGTTTCGTTAAAGACGATGCATCTCAAAATCTTCCTTGACAGTCCTTATTGTATCGATACAAGACATATTCCACATCATCAGAATCGTCCAACACTAACACAGTTGTAATGGACTTTTTTAGATCTTGAAAAGATTCCAGTTCATCCCACTTTGAGGTTCCACAAAATACGACAATCGGTCGTCTCCAAATGCTTGTCGTAAATGTTGTAACAGTAAACCTCTCTTGGGATATATGGAAATATTGACATTTCGGAATTCTGAACCACGGATGAAGGTCAATACTCGAGCTTTCTTGATTTTTGAGTGTTTGGGAGTTGTGGACTTTTTGAATAAGGAAGAACTGCTCGAGGGATGTTGAGTGTGAGTCATGGAATGAGTGGAATTGGAGAGGTAATTTTGTGGAAACCAATCGTTGGCATCGTTGTTTGAGAATGAAGTTAGTTTTAAAACCATTTCTTTTGACAAGAGACAGATGGACTTTGGTATGAACGGTGCTTGAAGAAAGAGCTTGTTTTTTTAAAGATGGAACAAGAAACTCATCGATGAACAATCTTTAAGGTGTCGCCGAAGAGTTGATACAAAAATGGAAAAAAATCAGAAAAAGAATGACAGTTCATTGTTACTGGAAACATGTCACCGTTCTTTATTATTTCATAAACTAATTGTTGAATGACCAATTGCCATCTTTTGAAATAGGGAAGGGATACTTTCCTGTTCATTTCTTAATATTATGAAAAGCCAAAAATCCACAAAAGTCATTACTAATACCTTCCTTTTGAAATGTATATATCACTTTTCTTTGAATAACGGTTCTTAAAGAAATATTGTTGATATAGTTTTCGTCTTCCACACTGAACGGCGAGTAAAGTTGTAAAGTGTCGTCAGAGTTCCGTTTTCCAGTGGAATTTCAAAATGAACTCACAAAAAAAATGATTTCATCATCTTCACCACAAACTCCCTCATCATCATCCTCGACCACACCCGATCTCGCTGAAAGATTTCTTGCAGCTGTTATTCTTGGTGCTGTCGGAGATGCCATTGGTAAGTCTTTTCTAATTATTGATTTTTTCAAGTTCATCATATCGTATTGTTCTTTTCATCATCATCTCAAATCGTTCATGGTCCTTTTTGAAAACCCAATGATTTCATCATCATCATGCTGATCCTATTGATATTATTCCAAAATATTATTCCAAATTTTGATCTCAAAAAGGATACCGAAATGGATCATGGGAATTCAACACGGACGGAGAGAGTATTCATTACGAATTACAGAAATATTATGGAAGTTTGGGAGGTATTGATGTCAAAGGATGGCGTGTGAGTGATGACACGGTCATGCACTTGGCCTCTCTGAGAGCTCTTGTCACTTGGATGAAACGACATGTTTCTGCTTCACAAAATCCAAAATTAATTTATTCGTTCGATGAGAAGGATCCCAACAGTTGTCAAGAATTTATGACCCAATTTGTAGATCCACTCATGCAAGAAATGGCCAAGGAATATATCATTTGTTGGGATGATATGGGAGGAAGAGCTCCAGGACCTACTTGTGGAAAGGGTGTTCGATTTTTAGAACATAAAGGTGTGGATCAATGGCAAGCTTATCCATATGATACAAGAGGTGGAGGTTGTGGTGGTTCCATGAGAGCCATGATGATTGGTGCCTTGTATGGACCACAAAGACGTGACATGTTGATTGCAGCAAGTGTTGAATCTGGAAGATTAACACATAATCATCCTAATGGTTTTTTGGGATCATTGATTTCTGCACTTTTCACAGCCTATGCTATTGAAAAGACCATTCCACCAGCTCAATGGGGTGTCATGTTTTTGTATGATATCATGCCAAGAACTAGAATTTATTTGGAAAAAGTTGCTGTCAGAGATTGGAAAGAGATGGAAAATGAAATTACCAAATTCGAAGTGAAATTTGCACAATATTTGAAAGAACGTTCCTTGTATTTGGATGAACAAGTAGTCAAGTTAGCCCTCTCTGCTCAACAAAAATCACCAGACAGTCTTTCCAATGAAGAAAAACATGCATTGCAACAAGTCGAAAATTTGCAACCTCAATTCCCAAAACAATATGGAATTCAAGAACGTGACGACTTTTATCGAAAATGGTCATTCAGTGGATGGGCTGGAGCTTCTGGAGATGACTCTTGTATTATCGCGTATGATTCTATTTTGTGTGCTGGACCTAATAATTATGAAGTCATGATGCTTCACTCTGCCCTTCATGCTGGTGATTCAGATTCCACAGGAACTATTGCAGCTGCATGGTATGGAGGCATGTATGGATTCAATAATGTATTCAAGAAGAATTGGGACAATATTGAAAAGAAGCAAGAAATGACTGAACTTGCTGCATCCTTGTATGAGCTCTATAAGCTTTAAAGTGTGTGTGTTGAACAACATTTGTATTGGCCTCACTATACTTGATACAAGTTCGTTATGGAAAATACAAACTTGTATGGCAATAGGCTTATTGAATGTATATATTGTATGAACACAAATTTTGTATTGATTTCACAAATTTAGAACATGCTATTACTCAAACTTTTGTTATAACAATGCACCATATACTCAACAACATCGGCATCTTCCAACACTAACACAACCTCTAACTTGGACAAATCTTCATAGGAGACTTCTTTTTTCGTCACTGGATCCAGAAAGTACGATAATCGATCATCCTCAAATTCCTCTCTCAGCACTCGCAATAAGAGACCAGTCTTGGGATAAATACTCAGATTTAAATGTCGATAATCGTCTCGCCTCACAAATTTCACTGTTTTTTCTTTGAGATTGGAAGAGGATCGAAAACCCCACGAACTTCTTGTCGATGAAGGACGTTCTCGAGGTAATTGAAAATCAGAAGTTTGATTGGAAAATTCTAAGGACTTGAACATTTTTGAATGACTGGCAGAAAGGGAGTTTCAATGGGTTATTGGTAATAGTTTGTTTTGGTTTGTTTTTTTTTGAAGTGTCAGCACTCATGCAGTTCGTTTTCGCCTTTTATCTCTGTAAAACACGCACTGAATTCCAATTAAGAACCAGCTCCATGAGGACATGACTTGGAATGGAAATTAGTATGGACATTAAAGGTATTTTCAAGGAGAAGAGTACGATTTCAATGACTTTATCTCTCTCAATGGCACATTAAAAGGCTATTTGAATATTCTTTGAAAGGTTTGATGTCCGTTCATTGATGTTTAGAGTACTGGAGTTGAAAGAAGTATATTCATTGTTAGTGGGAGGACGTTTTACAGTGAGAGGAATCTATACAAAGCTTTTGGAACAAAGTCATGATCAGGTTGATTAAGGATTAATTTATTTAGATGATGATCATGATATGTGATATTACAATAAACATTCTAATCAGAGAGTCCGTTTAGAATTGAGATCGTTCTCCAGGAACCGTTAACGATGTGGTTTCCTCAGAAATGTCCTCTCCTTGCTCAACAATCGAAGAATGATTCGTGTGATTCTTATTGTTTCGAGAATCTTGAATCGCAATGGGTTTCGAGGATGAAGAACCATTCTTTATATTCTTCTTTTGCTTCTTCTTCTTCTGCCTTGTACTGTGAGGCACATTCATTCCCTGATCAAGTACACTCGTTGTCGGATTCAATAAAGGTTTTCGGACATGAACAATTTCTTCTTCCTCTTCTTCAATTCCCAATGAAACTTGTTCATGGTCATTCGATGTTCCATAGAGGATGGTTGCTTTCTTGGAATTCTGACTGGCATTGGCTTGTTCTTCCTCATGTTCATGATTAGGAGGTTCTTGAGAATTTTCCAAATTAGTATTGGAAGAGGAAGCTGATGACGATGAAGAAGAACCATTGAGAGAGAAGAGAGAATCGACTTGAGCAAAGGATTCATTGTAACACGAGTGGAAGAATAAAACTGCATTCAAGGGTAAGCTCAATAAGGAAATGATGATGGCAGCCGTGCATGAAAAGTAAACCAAATCGACACTCGAGTAGTACATGAGAAAGAGGAATGAAAGAGTAACACTATGTGAGTTCGTTCCGTTATTACCATGGATTGTAACCATATATTACCATATATAGAAGAGAACAAGAAAATACTTACCATAATATTAATGAAGTAAGAGAAAGGGTCACTGCTGAAAAGATGAATAAATTAAGGAAACGTGCACTTGTTTTTCTGAAATTCCATAAAAATCTAAAAGCAGTATTGTTCGAATTGTAAATATTAATTTCCTCCTCGTCTTCAAATTGTTGCCGTTGCTGAAGCTGTGGCAATCTTGTTGTCTCATTCTGTGGAGTCGCCATTAAATCCTCTCTTCCATGATGATTAATACTTTGAGTTTCTTCCCGAGTCACACTGTGGTCATACGTCATGGTTTTGATGGTTGTAAATTGTCGATACATTTGATACATGTACCTGGCTCCAACTAACCACACCACAATTTTCAAGGCAACGAGAGCTAATAGGAACGTTGCTAACGCGAGAAACATCACTGAACGAGTCATTAATAAATGGGAATCTGTGGACACGGCAAATTCTCGAAAGATGGCAGCCACGGCCAATAACAAGACATGACTGGTGGATTGTAGAATTTCAAAACCAGCGAATAGTCCTAGTGAAATGTACAAGAAGAGTGGTTTCATTTTCTTGCTGTTGGAACTGACTTGTGTCGTTTCGTGACATACAGAACTTGTTGCTGAATATAGGAGTCGATCGTAAAAGGAAGCATTGCATGTGTCTTACTGGTTCTATCGATCGGCTTGATTAAATTTCATTTCATTTGAATCATATTTCCATTTAAATACTTTGAATGGTTTTGTGACACGTCGGCGACCATTATTAAAAAATGTCAAACGTCTTGTTTTACTTGTATTTCATGGAATCCTTGTCAAAACCAATGGTTGGGAATGATTTGCTAAAGGTCTCAACCTTACTTTTCAAAGCAGTGATACCAACTGAGTCTGGATTTTGATCCAAATAATCCTTAAAGTCCTTGACTTTCTTCAATCCTTGCTTATCAAGCTCACTCTTGGTCTTGATTGCAATTTGAACACCTCATGAACAAATTGAGCCACTTGAGCAAAGTCCTTCTCCAAAAATCCTCGAGTGGTGAGAGCAGGAGATCCCATACGAATACCTCCAGGCACCATGGCAGACTTATCTCCTGGTACAGTGTTCTTGTTGACAGCAATGCTAGAACGTTCGAGAACTGCTTCAACTCGAGCTCCATCCACACCCTTATTTCTCAAATCGACCAAAAGTAAATGGTTATCAGTGCCATCACTCACAATCTTGTATCCGAGTTTCTTCATTTCTTCGGTCAAGACTTTACAATTCTTTAACACTTGTTGTTGATATTCCTTATATTCTGGTGTGGTGGCTTGTTTAAGGGAAACAGCCAAAGCTGAAATAGTATGATTGTGTGGACCACCTTGATGACCTGGAAAGACAGCAGCATTGATCTTTTCTTCAAGACCTTCAATGCTCTTTCTGTAGAAAATCATGGCTCCTCTTGGTCCTCTCAAACTCTTGTGAGTGGTGGTGGTCACTACATGAGAATGTTCAAATGGAGATGGAATCACACCTGCTGCAACAAGACCACTGATGTGAGCCATGTCAGAAACGAGATAAGCATTGTGCTTATCGCAGACCTTTCTAAAGAAGGCATAGTCAATCAAACGAGAATAAGCACTAGCTCCAGCAACAACTAATTTTGGTCTGTAATAGTCAGCTAACTCTTCCATCTTGGCATAGTCAATCAAACCTGTTTCTTCATTCAATCGGTAGCCCATGGTTTCAAAATAAATACTGACTGCAGAAATCTTCTTTGTTGGAGTTTGATAACCATGTGACAGACTTTTTGGTGAATTGTTAAAAACATGTTTGAAAGAGCGACGATTCATTTGAAAATATTTTCATTCAATAAGATTGAGGTAAATTAGAAATTTTCGAATGGAGACCAAATGTGTTAAAAAGTTTTAAAATTCATATATCATGTCGTACCATGAAATGGTTCGAACGATTAGAATTAAATAATGACTCATCAAATTTCCATTCTAATGGTGAAAAAACTTACTGGCCTCCGTGTGGTAAATCCAAGGAAAGAATTCTATCATGAGGTTGAAGCAATGCAGTGTAAACGTAAAAGTTGGCTGGTGATCCGCTCAAACTTTGGACATTGACACCCCATTCATTTGGATCCAAATTAAATGCTTCAAGAGCTCTCTTTTGGCACAAACTTTCAGACATGTCAATAAATTCGTTTCCTCCATAATAACGCTTCCCTGGATATCCTTCACTGTACTTGTTTTGCATGACACTTCCCAATGCATCCAATACAGCTTTTGAAGTAAAGTTCTATATGTAGTGTTGAAGAAGCAAGAAACGATCGAGAAATATGTTGTTAGTATAATTGTAGTTACGGAGAACCATATCCGAAACGAAAATTGTGGAGCCGATATCCAAAAAGAAGGGTGGTAATAATAAGAATACGAAAAAATCCAAAAAGAAATATCATTCGATTCATCATGACGACATTTCATCAACGGACCCATGAATTACGATCATCACAATCATCATCACTGTAAAGAGCTTACCTCTGATGGAATCAATTGTAGACCCTTATATTGTCTATTCTTTTCATGTTCGATAATATCAAACATTTCAGGATCAGTATCCTTCAATGATGCATTTAATTGTTTTGCCCATTTCTCAGTATTCACTGTTCCCGATGTTGCAGCAACAAGGCTTGATGAGAAATTTCTTCTGGTGTTGTTGATGATGGAATTGCAGGTAGCACGAAGTGCGGATTGACGATTCAACATTTTTTTTTCAGCGAATCTTGCACTGGAACTGGCGTTACAATGGACAACCATTGTGCTCTTTGACGTGTGCAATTTATTGTTAGAGGTGAGAGGTCTTTGATTGTACATGCATGAGATGGGAACATTGTGAAATAATATCATCGAGTGGAAACTCTTCTTCCAACTCTTGGCAAGGATACAAATGCACAAAATTTCTCCAGTGCGTTGTTGGATCTGAATATATGGCATCAACAACATTGCTTTTCCTGTCTTCTGTGGCTTCAGATATGTCTGTCATGATCTTCTGCACAATGTTCAACTTGAACGTATCGCTGTGAGCCCAATCTTTTGGTTCTTCTATGAATTCTTCATTAGTGATCTTGTCTTGCTCTTGTTTGATCTTTTCCTTTTCATTCTTATCCATAACCTTAAGGGCGTTGAAAATTTTGAAAATCCAAAACAAAACGTCCCTTGTCAAAATATCAACTCCCTTGGAACCGTAGCCATGGAGCTCCATTTGTCTCTTCACTTGACTGTTCAAATACGTGTAACTACTCAACAATTTTTCATGAACAAGCTGATGCAATGTTTTTTCCAATGGTTGTTGAACGGTAGATCTGTGGTGCTGAACCTCTTGTTGTAATGTCTCCTTGACCATATCCCTTAGCGCCACGTTCTGTAATGGATAAATATTTCTGATTCTGTGTCAAAGGATGAGTGCTCTTGACGAACAATGTCAATCAGTGAAATGACGAGAAGCATTTGTCTAATCACCACTCTGTAATCTTTCGATTTGTAAAAGTTGTTTGTGGATGGGATGGATTCGTCTTCCTCAGTTTCAATACGAGAAGATGAAAATATGTTCTGAATAAAGTAAAGTATCATGATATTTCTGATACAAGCACTAACTAGACGCTTTGCAATATTGATATCTCTCTGGATGCTAGTGTTGCTGATGGATGAATTTGTTGGAGTGTCATGAACAAGTGCAACAGTGCCAAGTCTCTCATTTGCAAAGGTGTTATTCCTGCTACTAACGTATCCACCAAAGAACTTTTGAAAGTATGGTTCAAGATGTTCATTGTGTCGTCCTTCAATGAATGAATTGCAAATATTGAGCAAAAATTCTGTTTTTTTCTCTCTTGTTTTCAATTCTGAAGGAAACTGAGCTCGACTTTCGGCAGTGGATGTAGTGACCTTAAGGAATGTTTTTTCAATAAACTTATTACGTAGCTCTCTTGCAGAATCCAAATCAATTCTCTTCGAAAATTGTGACGTTTCTGAAAGGGTTGAGTGAATCCTTTCCTGTGTGAAAAGTAAGAATGCTTCTTTTGTAGGGTTTCTACAAAACAGAGCGCTCATTGGGTCAATTCTCTTACTATCTTTTTGAGTGAAATGTCCAAACAACTCAAAGCCAAAGTCAATACAATTATTCTCAAAAGCTTCAATAAATTTTGGAACATGTTTGCGTTTTTCTTTCAAATCTACTCTCATCAAAATGTCCTCGATTGTTTCGAACGATGATACCATTGCTTTTTCTGGCGAGGCTGAAGCACTTTGGTGTGCATTATGTTTTTTACCATCTTTATGGGAGGAATGTGAAGCACTTTCGTGCATGTTCATTAATAACTCTTCCTCCTCCTCTACATCTTCAAGATAGAGCAAGTATTCAACCAACAATAAATAACCATTCATCCAATAAAATTTAACGATTGAATTTTCATTGTAATTTTGTTTTTGCTTCTTTTCTTGATTGTCTGATTTTTTTATCAGTTCCGAATGTGGAGATGATGTTGTTACGTTGGAATTTGTTGTGTTGTGAAACATAATTAAAATAAACCTAAAATTCAATAATATCCTCGTGCAACCATTTTTTGTTTAAAATTTTATTTAAAAAAATGCAAGAAATCTTTAGGCAAGACCAAACAACGAGTGATGAAACAAATCACACAACAACAAATCTTGGCCGTATTATTTCTGATCCCAAGTCTATAAAGCAACAAATTGATGAATGGATTGCTCTCGCAAATGATCCCTCACGATACCACGTATTTTATCTGGATACGGAAGTGGCAGGATTCCGAACGAAGCATGAACGATTGTCAACCATTCAGTGTTTGGTCGTTTCTCGAGAAAGAATGAAAGAAAAATCTGTATTATTTTCAAATGATGACCAAATAGTTCCATATTCTTTGCAAGTGATTATGGAAGAAGAAGAACAAATTGCAAAGTCGAAAGAATGTAATGGCTCAGCCTGTCTTGATCATTCAACAAGACATGATGAAGAAAAATCTTTGCAAGAAGATACTCCGAATGACATGAATATTAATTCCTCTTTAATTGAAGACTTGAAAAATGTATGCATTGACGATGCGCTACCAAATGGAAAGATTGTGATTTTGGATGTATTGGATTGTGAAGAAATTGTAGATTACTTTATTGATAATATAATGTACAATGAAAATTTTGAAAAGGTTTTTCACTTTAAGTCTTTTGATTTGAAGTATTTGGGAGGAGTTCAATATTGTAAAAATGTGACCTGTACACACGAAATTTCGAGCAAGTTTTTGCCCTATCACTTGATTCCTATTTCAAACTTTAAATTAGAAACCTTAACCAACTACATGATTCACAGAATACAACACTATTTTTCCTCTATCAATAATCATCCAAGTGACACAGTCACAGCTCAATATTCATTAGAGTTACGAAATGAAATAATACGAATTTTGACCTATTCCAACAAGAAGGAATTACAAGAATCCAATTGGCTCACGAGACCTCTCACACCATTGCAAACGGAGTACGCAGCTCAAGATGTCATTGTACTTTTTGCATTGCACCGTCTACTTCTCTATATGCTCGTGAAAGAAGATTCAGCGTTTCACTGCCTCTCCTTTCTGAAAAAGTTGTACAAGGAACGAAGTGGAGTTGTATCCAATGACGATGAGGAAAATGATGAAAATACTAGTGAGAATGGTGGCTTCCTTCCTCAATCAATTTTGAATTCACAACTCTTCGATCATGCCCAACACCTTCCTTCCATTGAAAATGAGATGAAACTCATGGAACATGAATACAAATTACTAGAATCAAAAATGATGACGCTCCAAGAACGAGTGAAAGAAGTCATGTTACGAGAAAGTATAACCGAAACGTCATACTTTAAGTTATCGAGCTCAAAGAGAACAACTGTTCAGGTTCCTTTGTGCACTCTTGTTGAACATGTGAGAAAGGCTGGTGGCAGTAACGAAGTTAACTTTCCCATAACAGTGACCATAGGTTTGAAGAAGGCACTTCTTCAGGCTGGCATTTCTGATATTCCTCAGAATTTACTCTTGAAGAAGGAATCACTTTCACATCGATTCACCAAAAAGACTTCGGAATGAAATGCGAGCCATTTTTTCTTTGCGTTGTAAACAATATTTTTTGGTTGATCAAATATTTCTTGAAAAATCGTTTGAAAAAAAATACGCCACAACACACTTCATAGGTTCGTATCGACGCATTTTGGGATTTTAAAATTTGACACATTTTCTTTCTATCAATGTTGTATGTACAACATTTCCAACACCAATTATGTTATCGTCATTAATTCAACATCAGAAATGTCAACCACCGAGAAGCCAAAACGCAAGCCATTCCAACCAAGAAAGAAACTCCCAGCTGAAGTTTCTTTGGAAACCACCTTCAATCTCCACAGAGAATTGGTTGGCAAGCCAATCCAAAGAAGAGCTGCTAGAGCTGTTCGTGCTATCAAGGCTCACGCCAGAAAGTTGATGAACACAAGCAGAGTTAAATTGGACCCTGAATTGAACAAGTATGTCTGGAACCAAGGTATCCACAATCCACCAAAGAAGGTCAGACTTGTTTTGAGAAGAATGGCTAACCCAGATAATGAAGATTGGGATAAGGTTAACAAATTCCAAACTATTGTTGGTTTCAAGGTTGTTCCTACATTCAAGGGACTCCACACTGCTGTTGTGCAAGAATCCGAAACTGATTAAATAATAAATTAATATAAAAAACTTCTTCAACTCACAGAAAGAGAAAGTTCCGAATGTCAGCGCCAAACTTCAACACATGAAGTTTCATTCGATTTCACGTCTTTGTTCCAACAAAAAACACGTGTTGTTCGAAACACAAATTTAGAAGCTAGCCAGCTTTCGCCATCCATTTGATTAAAAACTCGGAAGTTATTATTAAGAACTAAAAAAAGTGCGTCAACACAATCCATTTCATTCGTTCTTTTAGGCAGTTGAAAGAGTCGACTTTACTCGTCGTCTTCTCTCATTTTGCATTCAACAAAATACAATTCATCCTAGGAGTTCATCAACAACTGTAAATACAATTCAACAAACATTGGTAGATCGGAATTAATTCATTCTCCTAATAAGCTTCATACAAATGCAGTACTTGTTATCACCTTCAAAAATCGGTCCTGGATCGGGCTTCTCTTTCCATCCTTTCATCAAACCTCAATACTACCTCATCATTATTGTATACCTCATCATCATATGTACTTGTTTTTATTATATTGAAGATGATGAATTTCAAATATCGTCTTTAATTATTTCTCTCTCTGCCCCACAATCGGAAGGAAATGTATTTCGGAATTCAACTAGACATATGAAAGAGGCCTTAAAACCAGCAATAGGAAAGTTCGTCGAGAAAACAAGAACTGTACCAAAACACATTGTACTTATGAGCCTGATTATTGCCTTGCTGACTTATGTTGTCATGAGTTATGTAATGCCCAAATTAATGAATTATTGGAGAATTTTGGATTGGAGAAAACATCACACGGAAAAGGACGAGTTACAACACAAGAAGAGACTAATCAAATTAATGGATATTGAGGAAGGAAACTCTTCCAATGGTTGTAACCACTGTAGATATACATGTGAGACAAGATCCAAGAAATCTCTCAACTCATCTGAAGACACCAATTATATTTCTACGACTAATTTTGACATTAAGAATTCAATTACACTCTCCGTAGTCAGTTTTATATATGCAACTTTTGTATACTTGGGTCAACCAATTCAAGTATGGTGCTTGGCAATTAGCTTTGTTCAATTATTTGTTTTCCACACTGGAAAATCTTTCTATCCTCTTGCTATTTTCACAATCTTTATTGCAGTAGTTGAGACAAAAAATCAATTAAGCAAATGGAAAACAGATAAGGAGAAAAATGAAAGACCTGTCAAAATGGCTAACGGTACTGTCAAGCAGAGAGGCGAGTTGAGATGTGGTGATGAGGTCATAATTTCTATTGGAGAGGAGGTACCTGCTGATTTAATATTAACAGATATTATTGTTGAGGATAATAAGAATCATTCGAGAAAGCCTATTCTCTACATGAACGAGGTTACTGTCACTGGTGAAAATGATCCTGTTAAAAAGTGTTTGTTGACGGAAGAGATAAAATCGATCCGTATTGACAACCTGCTACTCAGAAGTGCCATAATCAATGAAAAGATCCACGTAGATGAATCATATATTATATTTGCCAATTCAGTCATTGCATCAATTGACCAAAACATTTGCGTGAGAGGTATCGTGGCATGGTCTGGTACGGAGACAAAGGCGTTGCATTCGAGTGGAGCCAATACTTCAAAACAACCAACACCTTTCCTCGAGTACACAAACAAGGGATTCTTTATCAGTTTGGCCCTAATGCTTTTCCTTGCCACTGTCAATACGATTGCAAGCATGTTCTTTGGTGTAGAGGGAGGGGAGGAGCATTCATTTGGAAAGGTACTGATTACACAAATAATGTTTATTAACATGATGGTACCTCAAGGTTTAGAGCAATTAAGAACGACGGTTTGTCATTTGCTTGCATTTAATTTTAGGAGCAATGTGAATTGTAACAACCCTCTAGCAGTGGACGTTTTGGCATATGTTAACAGAATTATTTCGGATAAGACCGGAACCTTAACTGTGAACTTGATGCAACCAAAATACACCATGCTATTTCTTGAGGATGAAAGGACCGAAATCACCAGTAGCACTGATTTGGATGCTTTACATGTGGTGTATGAGTATGGCGTTTCTTGTGAAACCGATTTAACAAAATGTCACAAGGCGAATTGCTTTGCAATTTATAGCACTACGGGTGTTGAGCCTGAAGAGAGAGCAATTCGAGAAATGGTATCACCATATTCAAGAATGATTAGTCATTGGCCGTCAGAACCCCAAGACATTGAACCTGGAAGCGTTGAGTTCTCCGTTTTCGGAAGTGACTTTATTGAGAAACGGCATGAATTGAAAATTATTGCATTTTTCGGGTTTATCAGAGAATTCCTATGCAAATCTTGCCTCTTTCAAGATACAGAGACGGGAGAGTATTATGTGGGAGTACAAGCAGGTGATGAGCTCTTTTGGCGTGGAGAGACTGGAATTTCTACTCACCCTTCTTCTGAGAAAAAGCTTGAAAAATGGTCAGGCTTTCACGAAGTAGAAGACAAGGATGCAGAATTGGGCCTTGGAGCTCCAAGAACGTGGAGTCATGGTATTAAACCCATTGGCGATTCTGAGGCTCAACAAATCATTTCACAATGGAGAGATAGTTTTTCTGTCCTAGAGCTGGAAGAAAGGATGAGCATTCAAAAGGAAATTGTTAAAGAGGCACTCACAAACATTCGTCTCACCTCTATTACTCACATGGTAGATAGGTATAGAGAGGGCGTGAAAAGTGGAATTAAGCAACTTAATAAGGCTGGTAAACAGTTCTGCATTTGCACTGGAGATTCTTTCAAGAATGCAAAACTCATTGCCACGCATTTATCCCTTCCAAACCACGTCATCATTCAAGGATCCACTGGGGAAGAGTTAATGAAGTCTTTGGATAATGCTGAGGCAGAGGCAATGAATGGCTCATGCACCTTCTTCTTTGATCGAACAACAATGGAATTGTTGAGAACTCTCTACACCAATAGCGGATCTAAATTTAGGGGACCTATTTTCGAAAGACTTCTTCTCTTGATCAATATGAAGGGAAAGAAACAACGATTTCAACACTCACTCGTTTTTTGTAGATCAACACCTGGGTTAAAACTTTGGTGTGTCAAGCTTTTACAATATCATCATGCTCAAACTTTCACTCAGCAAATATTTTACACAAGAAACTATGTTCTAGCAATGGGTGATGGTACCAATGATTTACAAATGTTAAAGGCATGTGATATTAGTTATGGAATCAAATCAGGAGAAACTGAAGACGTGTGTAAACAAACAGATATTTGGGCCACTGAGTGGTCTCCTCTTTTGGATTTATTAGAAAAGGATGGCTTTGAAAAAGCAGTCATGCTTGGTACTATGGTAAAGGCCACTTTTTGGAAACATTGGTGTTTTGCCTTAACATTGTGGAGTGATTTGTTATTCCAAGGATTCCCATTGTATCCAAGAGATCCAACAGAACCAATGCTCATGCTGGTATTCAATGGTGTGGTATTTGGACAGATTGCCAGTCACGTCTCGAGTGACATTGTTTCAGACTTCTCACAATTCAGAAAGACCAACATGATGAGCATGAGGGCCTTTTTACGATGGGTCGTAGGAGCAAGCGTCACAGCTGTATGTACTCACTGGATTATTCGATGGCTATTCCCAATGGCCAGCTCGAGTCATTTTGGAGCCTATGTTCAAGTTTCTCATGCAGTAAGCATTACTGTCTATCTTTACCTTACTACGAATTCATGGAGCGATGACGAAGATGTGGTAACATTTAAAAATCAGCCTGAAAAGTTTTACAAATCATCCTCTCTTAGCCAACAACACATGAATGGACAGTCTATAGCAACAAATTTGGCATCCATTAGCACGAACGGCATTCACTCAGCTGTAGGAATGAACAATGACATTGCTGCTGTCAGCATGACAACAAATCGACCACAGCCAAAAGTGAGCTATTCACGCCTATATTTTTCAATTTTGAGTTTTGTGGTTACGTTTGCCGTTTCCATGTTTATTTACAGACATATTGAGGATACTATTTCAAAAGTAACAGCACTCGCAATTGTCATTCCATCACTGGGTTATCCTACTCTGTACTTGTTCAAATGTTTTACACATGACGTTCCCTTCATTGAAAAATCTGTTCGATTACTATGGGATTTGAAGTTCAATGAAATTTTGATAAGCTTTGTAAAATTCTCTCACACACCACATATGAGAGTATTGCCAATTATTGGGTTTTCATTAATTATCAAGATATTGAGCGGAATTCCAGTGTTGGGGGCAGTATTGGTGATGGGAATGAGCGTGGTAGCTACGACTTTTACCTTTTTAATATTTGTGAGCAAGATGGGATTTTTAAGGGCATTATTGGATGGAAGAAGCGTTGCTGTTGGCTTGATTTGCTTCTTGGTTGGTATTTGGGTTGGAAGAAGTACGTGCTCTGTGAAAATTTAAACCTTTTATCATTTATAAAGAGTTTTTTATAAAATTCAGTTTCATTGTGTAAACCACTCTTGAGCCAACAAAAAAATGTCTCAAAGCGAACAAATGATTCAACGCCAAAAGGCTGTGGAGAAGAATCTTGAAATGACATTCCGATTCGATATGATTGATGTTTGTTTTGAAAAGTGTATGAAAGGATATTTCAAAGCTGTAGAACTCTCGTCGAACGATAAAGAATGTTTATTGAATTGCTCCAAAAATTACACTCAATCATTCGACATTGCAACTGAAATTCTAACGCAACGATACAAAAAAGAAATCACAGGATCAACCACCAAATAAATACCAACTGTAGTGGTATCAATTTTAGAGTAATATCCTGACAATGTATCGGGTGCTGGTGGTTGATATTGGTACCTCTATATGATCATGGAAAATTATTTCAACAATGTGAAGCGTCGATGGTTTAGTGGTAGAATACGGCGTTGCCATCGCCGTGACCCGGGTTCAATTCCCGGTCGACGCAGAATTTTTTTTAGCCTTTGTTCAACAACGTTAATGTTCTGCCTATTAATTTTGTGGAGATTTCTAATTGCAAAAAACGGTTTGTGACTCAAAACTATCTTTATTGAACATCAAGATACTGCCTATTCTTGATAGCCGAGCCGGATCTGTGGGCCTGTTGTTGGCAACGTTTATTCACGCTTCTAGGCAAATGAGAAAAGCAAGGTGGCTCATTCGGTTTTGTTACTGCCAGAAGTGGAATTTCAGGTATCACCTTTTTGTCAAGTGCAGGGTTAAAGAGAGATGTGAACCCTGCTCCGGAAGCTGATTTAGAATGGATAGGATTGTGTTGTGCTCCAGGGAGAGACTTAAGGGAACCATATCTTGGTGCAATGGTTTTTTCTGAACTGGAATGCTCAAGCTTGTTTTTTTGAAACAACGTTTGGATCGGAGAAGGTTGGTATGCATAATTGGTAAGACTAGAAAGGGAATTTGTACTGGAAGAGTGAACCAAAGATTTGTTACTCTTATTATTGAGGATGATGCAGTTTTCCTCCGAGCTTGTATCATTGACTTGCTGTTCTTGATTCTTCTGATGGTATTGATGTTGGGATGGAAAGACATGTTGATCACTTGAAACGTTGGACTGTGTCGCGTTTGTATCGTCTGATATCCCGCTGCTAATGCTACTTCCATTCACGGATATACTGCCTCTTCTTGTGCTGAGGAAGCTCTGACTACTTGGAAGAGAAAACACTTCGGAAGTTGTTGTGGAGAAAACAGATCCTCGTCTACTTGACACGACGGTACTAAGGTCGTCCTCAGACATCACAGAATCGTTCTCATTCTCAGGGATGAACTTGTTCGACGCTGTGTCATGATTGTTGAGGGCTGCAAGAACATTGGGTCTACTTGAGTATTGCGAAATAAGATGCGAAGAATGCTCGGGAGAATACGTTGGTTCCACATATCTATATGTTGATGGTGAAGTACCCTTTTGAGGTGAAGGCATTCGAAACATTTGATTGCACTTTGATTGTTGTTGATGAGAAGCTGACGTCAGTGTGGTGATGGGATTGGAACTTCTTGCTAACGGTGAAGGCACGTGGTGGATGTATGTGTTGGAAACTTGAAGCGATGGATGGGACAGAGAAGGCCGCGTTTTTGGCTTTAAAAGAGGATTAGAAGAAGTCATGTAATGATGAGTTGAATCTGAGCTAGAAACAACGATGGAACTGTGGCTTTGAGTTTTTCTTGCCGACGGTTTGAACGAGGTGTGCGATGCATCTGATGCCTCAATCATGGTGTGTTGTAAATGTCTTTTTGAATCAATACTCGTCCTTAGTTTTTGTGTTGTTTCCTCAGTATCCAAATCAGAGGAGTGAGAGTGATTTCCCCTTGGAAGGGTAGAAGATGTGTTTGAACCCATGATGATTTTGTTGGATCACGTGATGATATGATGTATTCAAAAGGCGTTGAAGTGAAGAAACGGTTGATAGCAAAATTGTATTATCAATAATTTAATCAAAGGGGGAGGTCTCTCTGTGCAAGACTCAAGAGTAGGTGATGGTATTTAGCATAGATGCAGTCGTGGAGTAACGAGTTTTTTTTGTGTGTGTTTGAGCCGCCTTAATGTTTTGCCCTCGAATGGAAATTTGGGGTTATTTAACCCGTTGGTCGAAACCGGAGGTTTCTCTTGTCTGCCCACTCCTATGGTAGCCGTCAGTTGACGACGACGACGACACGGACAACGTGTATCTATGCGAAGATGAGGAAGGGGAGAACGTGCTGTAGCCAGTCTTGTTTGTTGTTCTGTGATGAGGCTGGTAGCAGCTTGGATTATTTCTGTGAAACCGAACACTTTCAAAATGCTGATGTGGAGAAATGGTAGTTCTTTGCTTGAGTTTTTCTTGGACTCTTTTCCGCCTTTCTTCGTTGATGGAGCGAGAAGTTGTTGAAAGACTCTGATCATGATGAAGATCGGCTCTGCTTATTGCAATAAGGGGAACATTGCTCGATTCGTGTGACGAGGAGGGGCGGCTAGATAAGGTTTTCGAGTTATTGCTCGAGTAGGATGAAATGCTAGAAGTTTCATCACTCTCCAAACACGTGATGGTTGTTGTTGTGCCAAATGAGACCCTTCTCTTGTCCATTTCATTAGAACTTTTTCTGCTTTTTGTGGAGCTTGTTGTTGAAAATGTGGATTGTGTGTCCCACTGGGACCTGTCCGCATTCGCTGTTGGAGAGGTTTCTACTCTGCAGAAAATTGAATCAAACCAGTTTTTTTGATACTGAAGCGCATTATTGCTTATTGACGCATTGGTGGATTTGGAGTTCGTGTTGACACAAGTCTTCCCTCTTTGATCTTCATTGAGGGAAGTCGTATGGGATGATTGTCTTGCCCAAGGAGAAGCGGGGATGTCATGGTTGACTTTGGGGCTGAAGAGAGATGCAATATCGAACTGCTCGCCTTGTCGTTTGTGGCTCTCTATTTTGCTAGCTGACACTTTGGTTTGAGGACCGTTTGATGCTACAGCTCCCTTATTTGACAATCTCCTCCTGTCTCTTTCTTCATGAGCGTGCTCATCAACCCCTGGTCGCAAGGTGTCATTGGGACGACCTTGCAGTACTATATTTTCCCCGGCAGCTTGATCGTTGTTAAGATGTCGCATAGGTGTGCTTGACGTCTCCGAAATGTGTAACTCAGCACCACTTGAAATAGCTTGTTCCACTTCTGACGAACTCGAAGTCGATACCACCGAGGAAATAGGTTTGTTACTCAGATACGCTACCTCTAAATCGCCTGAGCTAGGAGGATTGTCTTTGTTGCTTTCCAATACTGTTGGGTTTGCTGATGACTCCAAGGTTTTTGATGAGGCGGCCGTTGGTGCGTATTGTGTATTCAGATGTTGTTCCTCATCAGTTGAGGTGACCTTGTTTGTGATGCTGTTGCTTGATTGTGGGAGGTTTGTACAGGTGGTTTGTGGTGAAGATTTGGATTGAAAATGTCGGGGTCTCCTTGAAGGAATAACTCCAATATCCGAATGGCTAGTGGGAATAGTATTACTTGTTGGTTGAGCTTTGATGGAGTGTATATCTGGTGAGGAAGAATGTTTTCTAGAAGGAACAACCATAAGGTCCGAACCGCTCGTGCTGCTCGTTGCTGTGTTGTTATTAAGGCCACTACTACTCGTTTCAACGGTTTGAGGAAGAGAGTTGAACGACGTGCCACGCCCGACCTTTTGGTTCAAAACCTTCATATTTGATGATGATGCGGAGGAGGAGGCTGTTGTAAATGATGATGCAGATGAAAACGATGATGTGTGCACTGACGTTTTAGAGGACGTTTGGTGTTGTTCTTGATCATCAGTCCATCCATTGGATTTTGACCTCACCCGAGCCGTGTTTGGAACATCACCTTCCGTCTTGTCTGTGCCATGTCCCAACTCTCTCAATGAATAGAATCGAGATGCTGTTCTGGACTCAGGCTGAACTTTCGACTTCTTCGAGAAGCGAGAGCCCATGTGCAACTTCAAGAGAAGTAATCTACGAAGCGGTTAGATTAATTTTTATTGCGGTCAGGAGACGCTCAAAATGGTCTTCGGAGAATCGGTGGGTTTGAACTCTTGATTGGAACTGATAACCACACCAAATCTAGCCTTAATGCGGAAATGAGGGCACGTTTTTTTCTTGTTAAGAACTCAAGTTACACTTTATATTGATTTAACTTTTGTCTTAGCAATAAATCGTTCAATCGCTCTGCATTCTCATCTTTCAGAGACATTCTTCTTGTTTTACTGATGGTTGCTACAAACAACTTTGGCGAGGGCTCAATGGGCACAGGTTCAGGGTGTGAAATATCAGCAACTGATTTTCGTAACTCTCTCTTTTTTGATTGTGAAGGATTCGGGGTCAACAATGAGTTTGGTGATAAAAAGCTTGGTTTGTTCGAAGAGGGAGACAAGGGCGATTGAGTTGGAGAGAGAGGCGATTTAGAAGGTGAAGAAGGTGTCTTTGGTTGATCCTGTAGTAAGTCGTTTGAGCTTAACTTGGGAGCTGGTGTGTAGGAATGTCTTCGTATTTTGTGATTAGTGGGAACTCCAAGCCCTCCATGAACCAAAATATCCACAAGCGGTCCCATAAAATTAACTTTCTTCTGTGTCTTTTGGGGTCCTACAGGAGAATTGGCAAGTTTTAAAAGATCGTCACCCTTCTTTTTCGATGATGCTCCCATTTTAAATTCTGAGAGATTGTACTCTTGTACTTCTCCTTTGTTAGAGGTAGACTTTCCAATTTTATATTCGTTCAAGTTGCTTGAAATGACGGGTTCTTGTTTCGACTTGAGCTTTGTACCTGCAACTTCCTCTGCTGGCGAAGATATAGTTATTGAAAATGTTGGTGGTGGAGAATTGGTTCTGGTATTTTGGAATACAGAGTTTCGTGTTTGTTTAGACCTTGGAGAAGATCTGTTAGATGGTGTTTCGGAGGGTGATTGAGTGGATGATTGATCGAACGGCGTGTTCGTGTTTAAGGTGGCAGGTGAGTTAATAGTGGGAGTATCTGAAACACTTCGACTTCTTGCTCGAGTTGAGGCTGAGGATTGTTCTAACACCTCGCACAAAGAGGACTCTTGGGAAATTGGTCTTGCAATTGGTTGAAGAGGCATTAGAGAATGACTTCTTCTCTTTTTTGTTTTTGTAGAGATTGGAGATGTTTGCTTTGAATTTAGGATAGGGCTTGAGAAAATGGTAAGGTTGGTAGTTGGAGAAAGGCTATCACCCTCAATGGACGAAAATGAGCCTGAATCAGAGGATGTGGTCGAGCCGTTTGTGGCTAAATGTCCTACTGCTGGGCTGTATCTGCAACTGGTGGATCGTAGATACAAAAAGGGATTTGCTATCGAGAAAATTTGAACAACGTTGCTGTCTCCCATCAAACACTCTGATCCATCTTCGTCCTCTGATTCAACATTTACAATATTTTTGTAAGCCTCAAACTCGTCATCATCCTCACCAATTTTAAAAGATGTTTCTTGATCTGAGGTGGTTGTCATTTGTTGACCATGATTTTGATCGTCCTCTGTGGCATCATTGTTACTCTCTTCTGAAAGGTACCTTCGAGAGGGAGGAGGCGAAAACGATCGAATTTTATCTTCATCAATAGGAGGGTCGTCATTCGGGTCAATATATCTGAAGTCGAGTTCTCTTGAATTTTTAGGTATTTTGATGGGAGGTGGTTTTTTGTGAGGTATGGAGCGGTTTGTTTCCACTGAGTATTGGGCGCTTGCTCTTGGATGTTGAAAAGAGCCGCTTCCGTTTTGATTAAACGAAGAAGGATAAGAGCCCATTCTACAATAAATTCCTAGTTTGTGTTATTTTGATATTTTGATGAAAACAACAATTATTTTAAAAGCCGAGAATACTAAGGAATGATGCGGAACGAACACGCAAGAAATAATTCTCAGGTTGAGATATTAAAGGACAATCGAAATTCATAGACTCTCTTAATTCCGAAAAGCGAGGTCGCAATGTTGCTGGAATCGGTGGAGCCTTGGTATATTGCCTTCTCAGAAGACGATATTTCAATTTGAACTTGAGATGATGAAGACGTGTACCAACTCAATTCGTTTTGGAGGAACTCGAGTTCGATTTTTTTTAGGGAAGCTTGTATACCTTGCCAAAGCAAGCATTGGAGGTATAAAAAAGGGCAACTCAGAGTCTGTGCTTTTTGATTCGGGTTATTTCGAAGAAGTTGAAAGCAACAATCGCAGCTCAAACACAGAACGAAGTGGTGAGTACAGGGCGTCTTTTTTTTCTTTTCGAGAGATTACGGTTACTTGCAACCTCATGATGTTGACTCTTTAAGGGTATCTCTGCGTATATTCAAGATCCAATTCCGAAACAAAGGTTCGAAAATCATATCCGTACTTGGCACCCATCACGGCATCACTTCTCTCCCACTATAAATGCACGATAATGTTTTAAAATATTCTTAATTTCAGCGAGGTTTTATAATGGGAAATAGATCTTTATATCTAAAGAGAATAAGTAAATTGTTGCTTTCGACTAGTATTAATATCGAAAGAATAAAGCTAGTAGAACCAAGCCCACCTTCTTTTGGGTATGAAATTGAAACAAAAAATCTTCGGAACCCTTGTGCCAGCCCCGAACCAATAGAAAAAAATAAACTCTCGGCGCTGCTCTTCCACTCCGTGCATTCCCACCACAACCATTCATTGAGAGTACAAGCCGTTGATTACACAAAAATTAAAGAAGCGGAAAACCCATATATCATTGAACAACATCGGAACTTGTTCTTGCTCTGTTTCAATAAGCAATCATGATGATTTTTTAATGAACGCATGACTCAATAATTGCATCACGCTACATCATTGAAACATTTTTCATATAATCAGCAGCAGTAACAAACATCATTGAAACATTATTACATTCACTGTAACTATGGGACAACACCAAACAAATGAATTTAGCAATAATGACGACAAGTCACTCACATTTAATATCAACAGAGACTACATGTCAACCTCATCGGAGGAGTTAGGAATTAATGCAGGCTCCAAAATTAAAAATTATGGAAGCAATAATGGTTCATCCTCTTCCCACTATCAATATATTTACGCTGGAAATGTAAGAGAATTGCGAGAATATATTCCTTCTCGCTCTCCCAAATTAGGAACTTCTCCCATCTTGGCAAAGAAGAGCTCTTTCAATTCACCCACGCTTCAAGAATCAAGCTCAGAAATTTGGAAGCGGAGTCACTTGTGTAAATTATGCGAGCACATGTCACCAATTGTTTTTTGTATTGAGCATTGGATAAACGCAGAAATGGACACCGTAACAGGACTGTGTATTAGATATAATATTGATGACAAGTCACAGTTAACCTCTCTTAACGATCTAAGCATTGACGATGAAAGTTTAGGACACGTTTTGAGTGTATTCATACCCATTCATGAAAACAATATTTTGTCCATCCAGTCTGTCGAACAATCCCTTTCTCCAAAAATGGAGAAGAAGAGGAAAAAGAAGAAAAATCATTCGCCAGAGAATGAGCATGATTTGCTGAATTCACCTCCTTCATCACCTCACCCCAAGAACAGCTCAAGAACGGAACCAAAAGCCAAGTTTGAGATGTCTGTTTCCATTTTTGAAGATAAGAGCATCTCGCTTACTACCACCCATTTGCTGTTGAAGGACTTTTTCTTCCACTCCAAAAACATGAAACTCAATAGCTCATGCTCTGAAGGAACCGAACTTCATAGTTGTATTGATTTTAAAGCAATAGACTACAACCATATATCAGTGATTTCGCGAGTGACATCTGTCAAAGCTCTGGCTGCTCTTGCATCGGGTCACAATATTTGTATTTCAAAAGAAGTTTTCAGCTTGGTTTGCGAGAAGAGTGACTCTACACGTTTGGATAATTTGTTCTTGATTCAGTACAAAGATCCTAAGGAAATTGGAGACGTCATCTCTCACAACCCTGAACGTATTGGAGTCATGAATAGTGCCAAGCTTGAAAACAACATGCTCAAGCATCTCTTGTCACGACAAATGGCTATTTTGATTGTGTTAAGCCCAGACACCAAAGAAGATTTTATAGAAATCATTAGAGAATACGTAGAAATTAAGGAATAAGAATTCCAACTCGCTCTTTTCTTAAGTTATTATGCAACATTGCAATCCAATCATGAAAAACATTCATGCCTAGGTGAGAGTTTTTTGCCATCATGCAAGCTTTTTCACCACGTTCACCTCCAATAAAAATTTTGACGACGAGTTCATACTTTTTGAAATGTGTTAACATGAATAACTGCTCATAACTGTCTGTTGATTAAAAGTAAAGTGATTGTGTGGAACAACTGTTACATGTCATCAGCTTCGTCTCCTTTTTTTCTCTTTGTTGATTTATCTTTTTTTGCTTTTTGGTTTAATCTGTATTGATGTAGAGTTCGAACAAGCTCTTCCTTGTAGTCACCCAGTTCGAGAGTATCCAATGCATCCAAGACATCATCAGCTGTAAGTGTCGATCGTTTATGTTTCGTTGCTTCCTCTTGAGCACTGATTTATAACATTTGTTGCATATTATCATATTATTATTTGAAAATATGAAACCCAAATATCGGTGTTTGAGAATTGATTATTAAATAAATTAAGTTTAACATCAAAATTGTTTGGATAAGCCTTCTCTTAAAAAAGCATATGGTCAACCTACGTTGCTGTCAAATACATGATAAATACAACTGCAGCTTTCGCGAACGCTAATTTAGAATCATTGGATAAGGCAATTTCCTCTGGAATTGCTCTTCTAATCACTCGTAAAACGTTCGTCCTAGGTAAATCAAAACTATACTCTCCTTCATTGATCTCTCCCGATGCAGATGATGACGAAGCAACCATTCCCGATGAAGACGACGAAGGTGCTTGAATTTGTGGTTGTTGATTGATGGTTGTTGCTGAAGTTGATGTTTTTGAAGATGGCCGTCCCTTCTTCTTCGTCGTTCCAGCGTCCTTCTTTGAAGATGTGGTTCCTGATGGAACATGAAAGGATGACGTTAATTGATGAGGAGGTGGAGGAGGTGGAGAAACAAATTGTGATGGCTGTACCAAAGAAGAAGGCGGAAGAGGGTTGAATGGTTGTTGATGCGGGTTGTTGTTGTTGATCATTATTCAAAATTCGGAATCAAGGATATATTTTGTATTTTTTTTGTTAAAATTTATTTGGAATTTTGTTGACAAACGAATTCATGTTGTCAAATGGAGATGGGGAAAAGCAAACCTTTGGGGATCAGTTCAAAAGCTGAGAAACCTCTATATGTATCAAAGAATGTTAACTTTTAACGACAACCAATGAGCTAAAAATGCCGCCAAAACAAACCGTTACAAATGTGTTAAAAAAAATTAAAAATCAAATGCCATCAATTGCCGTTTATGAAGATGTCGGTCATGCTGGTGTGGAAGAGGTCCCTTCTTCATCGTCTTCACTAAACGCTCAACGATCATCCCTTCATCAACAAGATTCCAAATGGTTCATCCATCCAACTCATTATTCTCTTCTCGATGAATTGGAAATCTATCCTCGAGTCTACATTGGTGGTCAATATGAAGCCAAAGATCCCGAATGGTTTGCTCATCATCAGATCTCTCACGTTTTGAATGTGAGCTCCTTACAAAATACATTCCAAAAAAAGACACTGTACTATCACAATGCAGAGTTGAATTCAACTCGAGAGGAAACGACGTCCCAAGCCATGGCAGACTCTGAGAATGTAAATCCCAATATCATCATCATGAAAGATGAAATTCCAAAGACTGTAAAATCCAAGGAGGATACCTTGAAGAATTCGTTACAACAACCACCTCTCGGAAAACCCATGAACGTTACCTATTTAAAGATCAATGTTGATGATTCCACCGACGTTAAAATTGCTCGACATTTTGATAAAGCCATTACATTTGTTCGTAAGGCTTTGGAAGAAAACTCTCAGAATAGAGTTCTTATTCATTGGTAAGTCCTATTAAGAAAGCTCTTGATTTCAAAACATTTTATATTATTCATTTCATCACTTCATATTCGTTCATATGAAACCAACAACTTGAGTAGTAAGGAAGGCAAATCAAGATCTGTAACCATGATGCTTGCTTTCGGAATGACCTACTTCCATTTGACCTTGCTGGAAGCCTTTCGTCATTTTGAAAACAAGACCAACAATCGTTCTCGAATCAATTTGGGATTTCAATTACAACTCATGAATTATGAAAAGGAGCTTCTTGAAGAGAAGGGAGTTGAGAATCCAAAAAATTCACTCGACTTTTTAAATTCGTATCAAATGTCGACCTGTCGAAAAGTACCATCAACCAATGTTGTTAATATTAGTACTTCTTCCTCCATTGTAGTTGATGGTACAAGTACGGCAATGGCATCTATATTGAAAGCAACAACAACAACAACCTTAGAAAGACCAGCTCTCAAACCAATTTCTCTCGCAAATGGAAGTACTCCACAAGCACCATCCATTACTATTTCCTCCACCACATCATCTTCAAAGAATGTTAAGAAACCTATCGTTGACTTGGGTGCTATCATACAGACACAAGAAGAACCCGAGTATATAAGTCCAATTAAGGCAGTTCGAAAATTGAATCCCTCTTCATTGTCCACGACAATGACAACAACAACAACACCACTTCGATCAACATCATCGACTCCATCTATTCAAAAAACACACCGTGGCTCTACTGCTGTTCAGAAAACGCCAAAAAACAAACTTCCACCCACTCCTCTTGCTATTGCTTCAGAACTTCAAGAAGGAAAGAATATGGGTCTCATTGGAGACGATTATGCCTCACTTGAATTCAAGTTTGACGATGATGATCAGCAAGATGTGGAAATATCAGACGCCTTGGATGAGAGAGTATTCATGACCACTCCTTTGAAAAAGAGAAAATCAGAGGAGACTGCTACTACTACCACGAAAAAGAATGAGGCGATAAGGCAAGACCAAGGTGCTGTAACGTCTTCTTCCACGAGTGCGATTAGTATTTCTGAAATACCTCAGTTTGATTCTTTTGATTTTACCTTTTAATTTATTGATACCCATCAGTGGCATTCTGATTCAGAGAGAAAACTTGTGAAAGGTTTTTCTCAACTATATTCGGCATGTTGCAACCCTTGACAATAAACCCAACAAATTGTTTTGCTTTGTCGTTCGACACGTGGCACAAAATGGTGTTGAAGGTTCGTCAGAAGGATCATCAACGAACCACAACAAAATACCTAAACCATCGTCCTATCCGTTCATCCTCTCAAGAAGCTAGCCACACACTACACGGTTAACGAACGAGAAACCACATCGCTGATACAAACGCTTTGGATGGCGTTGATCATCAAACATCCACTATTATAGTATTTAAAAGTTTATACACGAAATCAATCCCGTAATTCTCATCATGGTTCTAGGCATGTTATATTCCCTTCTAGGCTTCCAACAGACTCATAGCTTTCATGAGCAGTTACAAAGCTATGATAAGGAAATTAGGTACTATCAAACCCGACAGAGAAAATTCAATGCAAAGGTTCATTCGGTTCCTTCCAAGATCAGCCAAATGATTATGCTGTTAGGAGTTGTTGTTTGTATTCCGATCTACATGTATATACCACCTCCGAATTTATATTACGTGATGATGGGAGTGATGGTTTTGTTTCTAGCTGTGTAAGTATATATAATGTTGATGATGATTTTGTAAATTGATCATTGATGCTCATTATCGGAAATGATTTATGTGATGAAAATAACTATTTATTAAAATTGCCGTATGATGGTAATGATGATTGGATGGATCTTTCATTGCTCCGATGCATCTTGTGAATGACATTGGTATCTGTGAAAATAGAACACATTTCATTAAGAAAGTAGTAATGATCTACTATAGCAGTACATTATCGTCCTATAATTATGATATTGAACAATTATTATTGAAACAAAAAGAAATTTTAGAGGACTTGAAACAAAAGAATGATTATTATGCAACTCATGATTTAATTCAAAAATATGAAAGAGCTATTAATGTTCTTCAAAAGCACATTCAACATAAACGAAAGAGGTTGCAAAACACAAATCAAAAAAGGCTCTCGAAAAAGAAAGTTTCACATCAAATCAAAGATGTTTTACTAGAGGACGAAGATGATATGGAAGTCACTGAGGTTTTACTCGCAAATTATCCTTACTTTTCGTATGAAGTGTTTAAAAAGTATACAAATACACCTGCTGTTTCGTTAGGATTTCAGGAACCAATTCCTCATACGGCAATTGAAGAGAGCTCTCCTAAAGAAATGAATACCATTTGTGTGCAAACAGAATCTTCACTCGCTCAAGAATCTCACGTACAGCAAGAGGAAACAAAGAAATTGTTGAAAGAGAGTATGACCAAGCTATTCACATTAGTAGCTTCACTAAGTAATCAACAGAGAAAGTTGCAACAAATGCACGCCATCAGAAGCATGCCAGAAGGATTGTCGAACGAGAATGAATATTCAATACCAACTCGTCGTTCCCCTCGGCTATCTATTACGAGCGCCGACAGTAGTAACAATCTTCAAAAAAAGTCACATTCATTTACATTACGAAAACAAATTGAAGATTCGACAGTTCAAGAACGAATTTCTGATTCCATTGGAGAAGTGACATCCACTCCACAAAGAAAAAGATCAAACAGTTTTCATGGAGGTACTCCAACTAAAGAGTCTTCATCAACAAATGGAGCTAATCATGATGTATTTTCTAGAGTCAATTCACAACAGCAAGCTAATACTGAAGAGAGCAGTACCGATCCCAATATTATTGCACTTCAACAACAATTGGAGCAAGAAATTGCGAGACTCAAGCAAAAAGATTTGGCATTAAGGGAACGAGAAGCAAAAATTGTCCAATATGAAAAACAATTGAATAGTCTTTCAGTGGCTAAGAATCAACAACCCATTGGCGCTGATGCCTTATATTCTTCGTCACTCACAAGCAGATACAGAGTCTATGTGGAAAACAACAAGACTGGATTCGTAGAAAATAAGAAGGAAACCACAAAACCAAACTGGTTTGACCGATTGTTAGATAGAATTGTTGGCCAGTCTCCGGAAACATGCTTTGCGCTTATTTGTTCTCAATGTTGTTCCCATAATGGCTTACTCATGATTGAGGATGCAGAAAATCATGCTGGATACAGATGTTGGAATTGTGGATATCTCAATATTAGACAAACATCCAGCGACAATGTCAACGACAATGCAAGTACCACTACGAGTGTTGTGACAGAAGTGGACGACGATGAGCGAGATGAAAATGACGAAAAACAAGATGAAAATATGGAACGAAAAGAAGAGAGCACCTCTGCAGAAGAAAATAATAATAATGAGGCTGATAATGAGGAACAAGTAGAGCATGATTAAGAATGTTTGTTGACAGAGGATTTACTTCTTTTGTTGTTTCAATTTTTGTACGAGCTGCTCCTTGCTAGTATTACGTTTTCGTTTCTTGTCGTCTGATGATGTGGCTTCAGAGCTGTTGCTACTTGCTTGATTCTTGGATTTGCCTTGCTGGGATGTTGCGACAGAGGAAGAACTTGTTGTTTTCTTCTTTCTGGAGGGTAATTGTTGATTGGACGATTGTTCTGTTGAGGAAGAAGATGGTGTTGTCTTTTCTGCTGAAGAGGATGATGCCGCTGCAGGAGTATGAGATCGTTGCACCACGAGCCGTTGCTGCTTTGAGGATGTATCATTGCCATTGTTCGATTTTACCAAGTGGAGAGGAAAGTCAGTATCGAGAATCATAACGTCTGGGTCCACAATTTCCACACACAGTTTTCTTCTGTAGTTTTTGGATGTCTTGACAAAAATGCGAATGTCAATATGCTCAAAAGCTGTGAGTGTTGTTGGCTTTTTGGACTTTTCATCACTGAATAGAATCGAGTCATTTTGTTCATTATGTTCCATCTTGGTATACTTGACATTGTCCTTATTCAAGAATATGACATGCTCAAATCCATATCTTGGAATAAACACCACAATGGCATTGTCTCTTACTTGTGTAATGTAAGCTCGTTCTTTTTGAACGGGATTCGAGTTAAAGTAAACATTAGTGTATAATTCAACGGACGAGCGCTGAGCATATTGTGACATTCGATTTCTCTTATTGAGCTCTGTCATGAGTCTTCTCGAATATTCCCTATCGGTCAACTTGGCAGTCAGAGGATAGTAGCCAATAGCTGCTCCCAGTAATCTGTGTACAATGACATCCGCATATCTACGAATAGGTGAAGTAAAGTGAGTATAAATTGGAACTGCCAAACCATAATGCCAATATTCGTTTGAACTTTGATCTCCTGAAATGAAATAAACTGCTTGTTCCATGCAACGTGTCACCAAGATACGAATCAGAGTATCCATGTACTTGTCCTTAATGGCTCCAGATGTTCTAATATTACTCAAAGATTCGTTGAGAGCTTTGGATGATGAAATATCGAGCGTAATTCCGTGTCTCTTCAACATTTCCAACAATGGCTCGAACTTCTTTGGATTCACTGGAGGGTGGCGACGCAAGCATGCAACCATTGGAAATTCTTTTGTAATCTTTTTAGCGACAGCAATGTTGGCTAACAACATGAACTCTTCAACCATTGAGTTGGTTTCACGTAATTGATACAACTCTACATCTGTTGGATTTTGAGATTCAGTCTCCATGCTGAATTTAACAGCTGGAGAGGCAAGTGTTAAGGAACCAGCTTCAGTTCTCTTCTTTTTCAATATTTTTGAAATATGTAAAAGTAGACGCAAATCAGTGGCCAATTCGTCGTCTCGATCCTTGTCATCAATCACTTTTTGAGCTTCCTCATAGGTCATGGATCGTCTCGATCTAATTAATGATTTGGTAAAGTCAACACTTAAAATATCACCTTCAGGTGAAAACTTCCAAATGACGGAGAATGCCAAACGATCGACGTGTTGTCTCAATGAGCACAAATTATTGGTGAGTAAACTTGGTAACATTTCAATTCTTCTGTCGACCAAATAAACAGTAGTTCCTCTCTTTGCAGCCTCCATATCAATGGCCGAGCCTTCCTTTACGAAATTTGTCACGTCTGCAATGTGAACACCAACCTCAATGCATCCATCTGGTAATTGAACTGCATGTAATGCATCGTCAATATCGGTACATCCTGGAGGATCGACACTCACAATGTTAATGTGACGCAAGTCTCTTCTACGTTCCATATCTTTTTCTGAAGGTTGCCAATCTTTATCAGGAAGGCAATTCATGACAGATTGAGAAAATTGATAATGTGGTACATCATGTTCCAGTAAGATGACTTCAGACTCTGCATCAGTGTTGTAAATTTCACCAATAGTGCTAACATAGTGACCATCAGGATACTTGGACGTGGCTTTCCATCCGTCAATGGCTACAATAATTCTCTTAGTTAAAAGCTCCTTCGATTGTCTTGACAGTATTCTAACTTTTGGAATGCATCTATTGACTGGTACAAAAAGAACCTTATTAAGTCCTTCGGCTGGTTCAGTTTCCTCATCCAAACTTCCACAATAGGATTTCCAATTTCGTTTGATAATACCAACAATTTTTCCTGTTGGAATGGTACGTTCAGAGTTCATGAACCTTGAATAGAACGATGAAGTTACAGAGGTCTTTCCGTCTTGTTGTTCGTCAATATTGTCTCCAGTAACTATTGAAGTTCCATCGTCTACTAACACTTCATTGTCATCCATAACGGCGCTAGAAGAAGGTCTAGACCATTCGGATTTTGGTAGTAGCTCCACAGCAACAATGTCACCATGAATGGCTCTATTCATGTGCTTGAAGTTCTTGATAAATACGGTGTTGAACACTTCTGTACCAGATTGCACTATCTCTGAAGAGGTATCTTCATTGTCGTTGGTTTCGGTAATCATTGAGTTCAATTCTTCTTCAGCATCTTTTTCAGAATTGGGCTCTGATGAGGATGTATTTTGTTTTGGTCTGTTCTTGTCTTTTAAATCAACAACAAGCTCTTGCATACTTCTTAGCGTCACAAAGGCCTCGTTAATATTATTTCTATTGACTGTAATTCTACCTTGGTGCAGTTTTCGAGTTTTTATCCTTCGAAGAAGAGTGTTCATTGGTAAATGGTCTTCAAATATTTTCTTTTCACCATCTCCATCAGCCATATCCTCGTCATCGCCTTTAATTTCGTCTGTGTAGTTTAAAAGTTCCAATAATTCTTCAGGATAGGACGAGGGATTCTCATTCACATGCTCTCTAATGAAATCGTGAATAGTTTTTGCTGCAATCTCCATTTCTGATGCTTTTCTTAAATTTTCCTTGTCGTTGGTTAACAAATAAATAGGTTTGCTCTCTGCCAATTTTCGCATGTACCACAGAGCTGAGACTCTAATTGCCCTATCATTTCTATCGTTTGCACTCTCATTTGCTTGCCGTTCTCCAATATACGTTTCTTTATGATGTTCATTTGAAAAAACATAAAAATGCTTTCCATCTTTATCATCAATCAATGTACGAATTCTCTTATAAATATTAATATTTTGATTCTTCACTTCGTTGAGAACTGTTTCCAATATAATAGCATTCTTAATGCTCCGATGTTCCAAAATTGTAATTTGATGCAACACCACATTGGTATCGGGAATGATATAACACTCTGCATGTTCCTCTAAAACCTTTCCAACTCCCGTTCCAATATCATCCCGTAAATAATGTTCCCGAACCACTTTGACCACATTTCCCTTTCTTGTTTGTTTGATGAAGGAGGTATGACTTCGTAATGACATTTTTTTTTTGAAAAACCAAAAAAAAATTCAATTTCAAAAATATTGAAGAACAAACTTCTTGATAACGTTTATTTTGTGCAAGGTTATCCAGGCCTGATATCGGGATAAGAGAGAGTGTTTTTACTGTAATTGAAGGTGTAGATAGGGAGTAATCTTGGATTGAATAATATCATTACTGGAAAACAAGAACATCATTTGTTATTTGGATTGAAATATAAATTGTTCAAATGACTTCTCCGGGTGATCATGAAGCATTTGAAAATCATCCGCACACACATGATGAATTTAAAAAAACACCTAACAAACATTTATTGAAGAAAATTGGGAAATTAGAGGATGAAATTAATAACTTGGACAAAACTCTTGAAAATTTTGAAAAGGACAAATATTCTCTATATCGGGAAGATCAATCTGTGTTTGAGAAGCTGTCAATATTTCTTAAAGAACGGTTTAGGCTCGAGAAATATTACTCCTCTACAGATTGGAAGTTAAAGTCGTATCTTCAAGATCTATGTCCATTTGAATACTACCATGAACGTCTCGAGTTATGCATGGATAAGAGCATTTTCAATCGTCTAAATGTGAACAAAGCTTGTAAAGATGAGGTATTAGAAATGGAAAATTGTGCAAGATTAAGAGAACGGTTTGTTACTGAATATAAAAAGTGGGAGAAGGATAAAGTACTTGAAATGAGAGAAAATGCGTTTTATCCTGGATCAGGAGTGACTAAGAAGCAATACCAAAAGCATATGGAAACTGCTGAGAAACAATACAACCTGCTTATGGACAAGCTCGGCAAAGATATTTCACAAAATCCGAACGAATAGAGACGGCCATGTGTTGTCAATTGCTTTTCAAAAAGGTTTGCAAATGGATGAAAGACAGATTTGTAACATTGTGCAGTTAATTGCTCGAGTTCTCGCTCAAAAGGGAAGAATTTATATTACTTTTCATTCAACTTGAGGAAAAAATCTTCAACCTTAATGGAGCTTCTCTTGTTGTGAGGTGTATCCATGTTCGAATCAAGTATATTGGATAAAACTTTGAGTGAAGAGTCCTCTGTCTTTTCAACACTGTCAGATCGACTTTCTGGTTCACGAATAGATCCATTCTTCATTGTTGGAGTGATATTTTCTTTTTGAGGATCATTCCAATTTTCTTGACTTTCACTCAAGTTGGTATTGGACTTTTCAAAGCTCACATTGGGAGACATGGATACTGTCTTGGATGCAAAGTGATCAAACGAATTCGAGGTGTCTTCTGAGGATGCAACCAAAAGAGGTGTCACCAGAGGCTCCGAGTTAGATCTACTGTCGTTAGGAAGAAGTGAAGTACGTCTTCTGTTGGTAAATGAAAATACCGAGTTGCTTCTAGTACTCTTCTTTGTGCTTTCATGGGTTTGGACCACTTTCAATAAACGATCTCTAATTTTTGAAACAAATTTGTAAACGACTGGATATGGATCACCTGCTTCAATGATTGTGTTTGGAATGTTATCGTCTTGTTCATCATCGATTTCACATCTCTCAGCAGTACTATCTCCAAACTTGAATGTAAATTCAGGTGCATGAGATCCTATCAATGGAGAATCATACAATTGATTTTCTTCTAAATATCTCAATAAATTTTGAAGTAATTTCAAAACAGCTCGCACACGTTTTTCTTCTAGCAATTCTCTTCGAATCAATTCTAACATCTTTTCAATGTAGAGTTGATCATGGGTGGCGACCTTTCGTTCACATTGCAACGCATACACAGAAACAGAATTGTTTTTTCCTTTGAGACAAATGGTATCCACAAAAAAGCAAACCATTGAAGGGAAATTGCTATCGAGTGCTAACGAGGAACGACTGCTTTGTGACACGGCTGCTTTCTGAATGTTCTCATTCATCAAGATCGTGGAAGCATCCAAAATTGGAATGGCACTTCCTTGAGCAGGTTCTAACACTTGAGATTCAAGTAAGGCAGTCACTCTCTGATTGAGATCTGAGAAGGAAAAGTTGTCTTGCCCCAAATAGCTCGAAAAGAAATCTCTCGTTTCGGCTCTCAAATTTTCAACGCCTTTAAAACTCAATAATGTTCCTTCTCCAATTAAAATAGTTGTTCCATACATTCGATTCAATGATTCGAGTCGACTCGAAATATTCACAACATCTCCTACGGCTGTGAAATTTAAACGATCATGAGTTCCAATGTTTCCGACGAGACAAGCTCCTGTGTTTAATCCAACACGTGCTGTGATTTCGTAGGGAAGCTTCATTTTGTAAACTCTTGATATTTCTTCATTCACCTTTTTGAGTTCGGCAACAATTTGTAGAGCTGCTTTGCATGCAAGTTCTGCGTGATTTGGAGCTGGTTGGAAAGGATTGTTGAAGAGAGCCATCACTCCGTCTCCAATAAATTTGTCAATCACTCCGTTGCAGTCTTGAACGTTCTTTGTCACGACATCGAAATATCTGGAAATGACGAGAAGTAAATTATTGATTGACAAATTCTCTGAAATGTTTGTGAAATTGGCCAAATCGGTGAACATGACGGTAATTTCTGCACTGACCATTCCCAATTTAGCTCCTGAAGAAGAGCCATTGACAATATTGTGCACAACACTTTTAGGAATGTACTTGACGAAACTCGAGTTCACACGTTCTACATTGTCAATACATCTCTGTAAAATGTCAATCTCATAAAATATCTTATTCGACACTCGTTGCAATTTCGAAAACGTGGATTTTTCATGTGAAAGGTTTCCTCGTAATCCAGAAATGTGATACAACTTCTTCGAGACGTGCCACAATGAAAATGAAATGCATGAAGTAAGACATAACACTAAAGCAGTACCCACTGCAATGGTACACACCAATACTATGAGCAAGTACACAAAGTGTTCCAGTAACACCTCAGTAAAAGTGTAATTCCTACGAGAAATAATGAAAATAAAATCCATTCCATGCTGATCCACAATATTGGTGACAACCAAAAATGATTGAGAAGTGTTGAATTGTCGTATCGTCATCCAACGAGTTAAATAGCAATAACCTCCATCTGTGGAATTTCCAATAGGTACGATATCATTATTCACAGCGCTGCATGGATAAGGTTCACTCTCATTCAGTGTTTTAGTTCGTCCAATGATATGCTCCGTTTCGAGACATTCAGCAATGGTTTTTAACATGCTAATGGTATCTGGATTTGAAACTCCAAAACTATTCGTCGTGCTAATGTTCCTAAACATCATGACATTACTTCTTGTTCCATTCGTGGTCACTACTGGAAAATTATTGAGAGAGGTCGAAAGAATATTGCCATTCTTTTCAATGAGAATCATTATATAATCCGAGTAAGAAGAAATGGATCCAAAATATTTTTCAATGTCACTGAATAAGATATGTACTCCTAACACTTCTTGAAATTGAGGTCGAATGGTGTTTCGATTTCTCAGTCGTATACATGCTGAAATACTGAGTTTGGTATTGAGGTCTACAAAGACATTACTCCACTTGGTCGTATTTTTGACACTGTTGGCCACTGTGGTGTACCAAATTCGGTCTCTGGGATCATAAATAAATTTAGAGTCGTTTGGAGTGGTGTTCACAGGTTGCATTAAATCATCTGTATAAAAATTAAAGATGGTATGCGCATTTCCTGGATATGTAATCAAACCCTTATATTGTGGTACATATTGTAGCACATTTCTTGTCACATACATCAAGTTTAAAGCGCCTTGTCGTTGAACAAGAGCTGATTCTCCATTGCCATTTCCATAGAGAATCATATTTAGTTCGTCTTGATGGACGTAAAGTTTGGGAATGGCAGTCGTCGTGAGTCGTGTTAACGGTTCGATAAACGTTCCATTTCCAGTGGTGTCGTTGTAAAATAAGGAATGTAAAAGAAAATGTCGTTGTAGTTCGACCGAAGCTGTCGTTGCAATGTTAAAGAATTGAACCATTTTTTGAATAATATTTAAATTATTCAAACTGGCATATTCCTGAACACTTTGACTTCCACTGTGTAAAATCAATGCCAACATTCAATCATTAATTCCATTACCAAAAAATGTTTCACAACCAGAATTCTGAATTTCAAATAACTTACGCTGAATACAAAATTGAGGTAGTTGCAATAATGCAGACTACAGTGTGAATTATAATCGCCAAAATAAGTAAGTTACAAATTCTATTTGGTGGACAAACACTATTATACAGATATTCCAAAGCGTCAAAAACAACTCCTCGGCATGAAGAATCTCCATAATCTCGTCTTCTTCCCTTAAAAATTTGTTCCAGTTGTTTTCTATTTTCTCGTGAGTGTTCTGCTGATGAATCTGAAAGTTGAACACTCGACGTGACAGAGGCACCAACTGCTTTCCTTCGTGGTGCAATTAATTTAATATTTGGAAAAGAGGGTCTTCGTCGTGATGTTGATGCAGAAGAGATTGTTCCATTGGTGTTATTGTGTGCAGCACTGTGTTGATGGACATGATTTCTATGATGTATTGATTTATGCAGATGTGAAGAGGATGATTGACTTTCTTTTGAAATATTTGAGAGTTCTGTATGATGATGTGAATAGGAATTTGACGGCGATTCTTGCATTTTGTGAAAAGATGTCCCTTCATCCAATCGATTCATTGATTGAGCATCTATTAATGTTCGATCATAATGTTGCATCTCAATATTTTTCAATAAGGAATGTCGTCGTTTCGGAAATGTAGAAGATGGAGGATAGAAAATTTCAGGGTTATTACCATGATGATTTGTAGCATGAGCAAGTATATTATTATTTGAAAGGTCTTGAGTGTTTGATGTTCGTGATGTGTTTTCTTCTTGATTTTTGAAAGCAGTAGCTGCTGCATGCGTTGAAGTGTCAGACGTCAATTTTGGATCATGTTTAATTTCTCGGGGTGCCATCAACGCGTTATCATCATACAATTGTATAATTGGTTCATCGAAATTTTGTTTTGTTATTGTACGACTTGCAAGCAGTGGATCCTCCTGATGTAATGGAACTGGTTCTGCATCCTTCTCCGAAAGTTTTACCTCCTGATGATCCTTATTATTCTCGAGAATTGAATTATTTCTCGCATGATTTGAGGGTGTATTCGTTGTTGTCTGATGTTGAACCATATTGTTGTTATTATTGTTTTTCGTGTTGTTGTTTTCAGTCCAAGTGGTGGTGTTAGTATTGTCTACATTAGGAATTTCCGTTTTTAATTCTTGATGCTGAAAATTTTCAATAGAAAGGCTATTATGGACATGTTGTTGTTGAATGGAAGAAGAGGATTCTATGGCATTGAATTGGTCGATTTCATGATCATGATGATTTGCTTGATGGTGGCCACCATCCGACATGTTGTTGTTGTTGTATTATAGCGGGTGTGGCAGCTCTCTTGGTTTTAATTAAAAAAGCAACCGGAGAAGCATAGGTGTGTGGTCCACAACCGTGTTTTGTTTTTCTTTTTTCGTGAAAGAAATTGTTCTCGAGAAGGAGCACTTGCCGCACTATCCCATTGTCGACTTGTCAAGACATTTTGAGAGATGCCATTGCGCTGAGAAAATCTCGTGTTGCGATCGGATTCTCCTTTATGATCGTCAAATTGAGAAGCTCAGGAGCAAGAAGGAATTGTTTACTTTTACGTAACAAATTCGGATAACTCTAACCTTTTGGCATGGTAAATACAGCTAACATGGAAAAGGAATCTGTAGAAAGCGAAACAATGGATATCCTCTAACCGTGAACAGGAATCAAGGGGATCCTGTGACATCATGGGACGTGATTCAATCACTCCTCAAGTTGCATCATTACAACTCTTTCTTCATTGATCTTCATTAATGTCAGAGGTTGAAGTGAGGTCCATCTTGTCATTCATTGCTGTTTCCACTGATTGGATATGACGCAATAAAACATTAGAATCCCCATTCCAAGGCAATAAGGTCACACACTGTCCAGCTGTCAGTGACACAGATGGATAGAATTTTGGTGAGTGAAGAGTGGAAATTTCAGCACTCACAACACACAATTCTACTACTTGGTCACGTGATTTTTCGTTATTACTTCTTCCAAAAACCTTAAATGTGATTGTTTCTGGTGGTGTAAAGTAAAATGAAATACCTAAAACATCTCCCTCCGTGTTGGTATTCTTGAATGTGTACGATGTATCACCATTAACAAGAGGTGCATCTGATTGCACACAATATCCTATTCCCTTGGAAACGGCATGAGGCTCTTGCTTGGATGTTTTTTTGGGTTTAACATAGATTTGGTCTTCACTATCCAATGTGCTACCGATCGCATAATGAACATCAGTGCTGCTGGGAGTTCTACTGGGGTTAAAGAGATTGTCAACGCCTATTAACAGGTTCCAGCTGTTATCTGGTGATACAGTATATTGAGTGAGATGAACCATCCAGTGGTAGCTTGTAATTTTTGGTACTTGATTTGCAGTCTGCAGAGTTGACTTGATGGTTGCACTGTTTGGTAAACATAATAATCTGTGTTCACAACACACGGTTTCCCAACACCCTTTCAATATTGAATGTGCATTATAAAATGAATGAAAATCGTTGGTGAGAAGAACCTTGCTCACATGTTCTTCATCATTTAACTCAAAGACGTCTAGATCCAAAACATGTTTGTAATGTTTTTGAGAGTATTTGAAGTAGAAATAATCTCTTAAAAACGATATCCATCGGTATGGCGAAAAATTAGGTTGATCTAACCCCAATTTCCCATTGTCCTGATGTAAAATTTCCAAATAATTCATAAATAGCTGAGTGACTTGTTTTCTATGATCCCTCGCGTATGAAAAATAATTAAGTTCAAGTTCATCTCTCTTGCTGTGTTTATAAATTCGAGACGGTATCAATCCTTTGCAATAGTGATACCACCATGAATTGGCATCAAAAACGGTGCTATTTTTTTCATCATGATCGATCATCGGAAAGCTCATATTACTAACATTGTTAATGTTACCAATCCAATCATTAGAACGTTCTGAATGAGATTCGATAAAGTTCCAATAATATTCCTTATTCGTGCAGAAAAAATTCAGTACCGTTTTCAAATCCAAAAACATGAGAATGTGATACAACACAATTTCGGAAGGCAGCCCTTGTAACCATGCTGTGTGTGATGATGATTTGAAAACCGAACGAAACATCATTTGGAGGTTGTTTTTGAGTTTGCTGTTCTTGAGAGGAGGCATTTTTTTCTAAGTTCCTCCCTTCAGAGGAATTGATATTGAGGTCTGTAAATCGTGAAAGACAACTGTTTCTTGTCCCTCATTCAGATGCATTTGTTGGATCTTTTTAAAAGTTATTACTGTTGTTATCCCTTCTGGATGATTATTGAAAAGTGAAACTTTTCCCGCCTGTGAATTTAAACGTTACAAAAAAATTTAAAAAAAAATTAATGGCAATCAACAAAAAGGATCACTCGACTTTTCAATCAAAGGATGAGATGATCCGTATCGGAACGTGTTCTCACACATCGATGAATCAAACAGCAGATATACAAGACATACACATTCGTGAAAAATCATCACGTAATTTGTTTCGAAATTCAAATCATCATAGAGACAATGATTATGTTCAGAAATATCGGAGGAAGGTAGTTACAACCGGAAAGGATATTTCATTTCTTGGAATGATGAAAACATTCATTTTCATTTTGTTGGCATTCATGATGAGCCATCATTTTTCTCTACTCGTTTCTTCAAGCCCTCTCAATCTCGTCATTCCCGATGAAGAAACCAATACCAAGCTCATTGTATGTGAGGAAGGAATCAACTTTTTACGAAGCTTGAAAGAATCAAATATTGCTGTGGTTGCTGTTGCAGGGAGGGCAAAAACAGGCAAGTCCTTTCTCATGAATCACTTACTGAGAGTCGATCATGCAGAGGGCTTTCCTGTTCAAGTCTCTTTCAAACCAGGAACGAAAGGTATCAGCATTTGGAGTGAAGCATTCAAATATCCAAAGAATGGAAACAAGGAAGTAATCAAAAGGTCATCCTTAGATTCTCAATCAACGACATCCGCAACCATGAATAATCATCATCATCATGACAAGGATGATTACATGACCGTCGTGTTTATTGACAGCGAAGGACTGGGAGCTCCTGGAAATCCAGCCCACTCCTATGATCCCAAGCTTGCTTCTTTAACCATTTCTCTTGCTTCTCTTCTAATTTATAATTTAAATCATGAAATTCAAGTTTCAGATATTAATTTATTGCACAGTGTGGCCACCTTATCGAGCGTATTTGAGAATCAATTCAATGAAACATTCCCTTTTCCGCCCATATTGTGGACCATTCAACAATACGAACACGATCTCATGAATTATACCCACGAAGAGTATTTAGACTGGGTGCTCCAGGAAAAGCCAAACATTTTCAACACTGATGAAATTAGAAGGTATAACGAAACAGTTCGAGTTGTAAAGCAATTCCCTGAATTTGGAAAACCCAGAATTTTACTGTTAAACCATCCACACAAAGCAACAGGTCTTCCTCGATTGCCATCTCTTAAATATCATGAATTGGATTTAGAATATCAATATCAAGTGAGTTATTTGAGACAGCTCATTGAAACACGCCTTCGTCCCAAACAATTCAAACATCTTGCAGTATCAGGAGAGTATTTGGCGAATTTGATTGAAAGCATGGTCAAGCATATGAACACTCTGGATACAGCAGATGTTGGTTTGGCACTCATTAAGGAACTTTCATTCATTTTGAAACAACATTGCTTGGAACAGTACAATCAAAAATTGCATTCTATACCTCTTCCACAAGATTTGGACTTTCTACAAAATCAACACGAAGAAATGAAATCTCACTCTCTCGATATTTTCAAGAAAAATTGCACAGGAGGATTAGATCTTTTTGGAAATGTAGAATATTATCACGATCTTGGAAAACAAATAGACAAGATATTTTCTGATTACTTGCCAAATAATGGCGTGGCAGCATTCAAAGAATGTTCAGACATTCTCTCTAAATTATTTGATCAGTACATTACTAAAAACCAACTAGGTGAAGGAGGTGTTGAACAATTTGACAAGGCCATAGAAATGATGAAACAACTCTATTTCCAACAAGCCAAAGGGCCCAATGATATCAAGCAAAAGGTTTTAAAAGATTTTGAAAGCAATACAGCTACAGCTGCAAGAAACCGAATTCTCGACAAAACCACCGCTGAAGATTCTACATTGGCTGTTTTCTCGTTAGTACTGGGAACATTTACCTTCTATGTTTTGGCTCTCATTCCAAAACGATTTGGTTTTGTCAATGCCAGCCAATTTTTGATGAGCTTGTGTTATTTTACTGCCACGTTGACCATTCTCATTGTTTTGGCTTGGTTCAATATCATGGGTTTACGATTCACTTCTCTCAGTTACTACTCGTCACGAATCAAAAACTCCCTTCTTCACATTTTTCTCTTCTATGGATATTTCAAATTGGGAGCTATTGTTGTGATTGGACTCGTGATGCTGTTTGTATTTTTAAAGATTTATTCCTTTATCAAATCTAAGGACACATTGAATCAAGAAACAGAGAATTCTGATCCACTTTATGATTCAAATCATGAAGACGATGAAGATTGGATGGATGAAAGTTATCTGTCAGACGGTATTCCTGCGACGGTCACCAAACGAAATCGACATGCATACATGCCTCCAAGCTCACCACTCATGTACCCAGCACAAGACATTGCTGCTACCTTTAATCAATACAGCCCCACACCAAGCCCGTATTTGAAAGCTAGTTTATTGAACATGGCAAGTCCTAGAACTCCGAATAACTATGCATCTCCTTTGTCAGCATCACGAAGAATGCATTCTCAACAACAATACTCTGTAGGGACTCCTTATTCTACGACAGCATGCTATGAAAGACAGTTTTTGACGCCACCATCGATGCCTATGCGAATGAAAGTTCAACCATCCTCGTTTCACACACCTCACACCATTTCTGCATTAAGGAAGAATCCTGTTTCTGCCAGCAGTAAGAAAGCAAAAACACATATTTTGCACAGTGCAGGAAAAGTCTATGACAGGTATCAGCATGAACAGGACTAGTGATCCAAAACAATTTATTGAATCGTGTAGCCATGTATACAACTTTGTACATTGGTGGAAACAGTCGAATAGTAATCCTTAATGTGTGGCATCTTGTTGTGTTGAGATATTTTGTCAAGAGTTTGAGCAAGACGTTGAATGACCTTATCTTCTGGGAATTTCATTGAGAACTGTCCAATGAAATCCTTCACGTGCTTTCCATTTTCTGCTTGTTCATTCTCACCCTCAAATAATTTCTCAAAGTATTGGGTATATTCTGAATATTTGGAGTTGTTATTGGCTTGTTGAAGCTCATACAGCCATTCCTCATTGTCTATTTGATTACGCGACCTCAACTCATATACTGTGGAAATGGATTTGTCTTGTAAATATCTTTCGACAGGTCGAAATACAAAATGGTCTTTTTCAGGAGCATAGGATTCCTTGTCAACTGCTGTTGGAATTCCAAGCTCCAATGCAATCAAAGACAAATCTTTTGCTCTTTTCACAACAGGGCCAAGGAATGTGTAGTACCTCATTTGTCTATTTCCTACATTGCCTTGAGTACAAACACCGCTTGCAATTCCAATTCCCACTCGAAGTGGTTGATGACCATTCTTTGCTAAATTGGCATTAATATGAGAAAGAGCTGTTAAAATTTTCAGAGTTGTATCTAATCCCATTTGAATGACTCCACTAGGCTTATCTGCAAAGATAATACTATATTCACAATAACTCTTAATTTGTAAATCTGCTCTTACAGTTTTGCAAATAGTTGAAACACCTGTCAAGAGTTTGGAAATGGTAGATGTTAATTCTTCGGAATCTTGGAACTCGTCTTCCAAATTGGCAACATGAATATGCAAGACACAACAATGTTTATCGGAGAGTCCTAATTTAAACATGTTGTGAGAATTCATGCTGTTGGATGGATGATGACCTCCTGTATTCAAGTGAAGAGCACTTTCTCCGTTCACTTTTGATTCACATGTCTGAGAACGAGAAGACATGGAAGCAGTCTCTGATTGATTGGCGTCGTTTGTCTTGTTATTTGTGACATTTGGCAGTGCATCTTTTAACTCTTCTGTTGCAATTCCACGATGAAGTTGGTTCAGTACAGAGTCTGGCAAGAAGGCCTTAAATTCACTCAACCATGCCACAGTGTCTGTCAAACTCGAGTAAATACTCTTAGCCTCAGAGAAGATGGAAGTTCTTGGTTTGATGTTCGACAGGTCTAGAATTTCAATTTTCTTAAAGTCTTGCTGCAACTTGGACAATGGATTTGTCACAATATAACCCACAACTACACTTATAGTAACTCCCAATAATGCAACTGCACAAGTCACACCTATCATGATATAACTGCTTGTAATGACACCTTCCTTAATTTCATTTTCCTCAAACACGAGTGTCAAACGCCATTTTAGATTATACAATGAAAAGGGACTACTCGAAACCAAATAGGCAACACCATTCACAATGGTTGAAAATTGCACACTCTCTAGACGACTTTCAATGACTTGTTTCATGATGAGCCCTGCATTCCGTGGCGAAATATCAGAAGCATTCACTCTTCTGTATTCCAAATCAGCAATTTCCAAAGAACTTCCAATGACATAACCACTTTCATATTCGGAGAGAACAATATAACCTCGATCGAGTACTTTAAGAGATGCAAGGAACTTGGCAATCATATCAAGACCAATATTCACTTTTGCAATTCCAAGTCTTTGTTTTTTAGACAAGTCCGTTCTATTGTAAACTGGAGTTGTCCAAAAGGTTTGCAATGATGAGTTGATAACCTGATAGACGGAACCAAAAGCACCCTCTGGATATTTCTGAAACAGTTGTTTGGATTCGATATAATAATCTACATAAGCAATTGGATATTTTGTCAAATTCAAATAATATGGTCGATCAATGAATCCATTATCAGTATTGAGAACATAGGTCAAGAAGTTTTCACCAGGCATCTTTTTGGCATATACAAGTGCCATGGACTGTGTTGCGGGATCTAGACCCCAAGTCAATGCTTGTAACTGATTGAGACCATTCTCTGCTAGAGCTAAATTTACTAGTGTGATTTGATAGGTTTTCATTTTGGTAAACAAATAGTATCGAATGCCATCCACGACATCAATATAAGAGTAGTGATAATTATTGGCTACTTCTTCAGCAACTTGTTTTGCTGGTAGTAATTGGCTGGATAAAAACGAAACGACCTTGTCATTAATGTTGTCAATAATGACTTTGACAGATTTCATGGCATAGGTTTCATTGACCACAAAGCTCGTGAGCCAAATAGAAATTGCAGTGAGTAAGACCACTGAAGTGATGACTACAATTAGAAACACACGCACTGACAAGCATACAGACATGAATTTGGAACGTTGGGTCTTGTTGTTGTGACCATGTTGGGAGATTAGATCGACTTCGTCACCGCCTTCGAAGGGAGAGTGGTCGGCAGGTGATATTTTAGGGGCCATCTTAGATGTTTTAGAGTTGTTTTTTTTGATGTCTTGAAAGGTGTCAGTTTCGAATCTGGCCAACGATGCGAATAGAGATTGACCTGGAGGTCATCGTCACATAATAGTCATTTTACATAAATGTTTATAAAGAGCATTGTCATTGACCATCCAAAGATGCAAATCTCTGTAATTCGTTGTCTAAATGGAGTTTCTTTGTTCGGTGGAGGGGTGGAAGAAATCGCCCGTTGTAAAAGAGCGTTTTGGAAAAGTGGATTTCTTGGGCGGGCTGGACTCGCTGAAGCGGCTGCAATACAAAAATTTTTATTTTAAAAAAATGAAAAGCATTCACCAACACGTGGCCACTAACAAGTGACAAGTAATTCTTAGATTTATTGTTCAAACATTCCGTGTTGAATGCCAAAACATTGGTCTACATTGCCGCAAGTCACTTGTTATGAAGTTTGGCCAGATCTTGCATGTGTTTCAAGCAACAATAAATCTATTCAAATACCACAGAGATATGGAGTTTCAGAGACAATGTTTTCAATTATCCTGTTATGCCAAGCGATACCCATCACAGTGATCGTCATTCATTGTTTACATTGTTTAAATCCGTTGAAGAGAAACAAAAGATTGCGTCAGAAGGTTCAAAATCCGAGACATTAAAGTCCAATTAAGCGACTTTCTTGAAGGTGGTTGTTGCTAATAATTATACTTACAACTTATTTACAGAATGTTGATAAACAACAACTGGGGAGTTGGACATTGTCCAGGTGTTAAAACCTCAAAATTGTTTAGAACCATATCATTTTCATGGTCCAAATGTTGGGTTAAAAAATACTAGAAGAAAAAGCAACCATTTTCCTAATTAGAATAAAAAAACGTAAAAATATGGTATTTCCATTGTGGTTGCATCATCATGGGCTGGAATTACAACGAACTCACTTGCAAACTTGTTCTCTTTCAAAAAGTGAGGTCAAACATCCAATCCCATTGGCAAACGACCTATCCTTGACGGCTTAGTGTTTGTAAAGATTTGTTCAAATATCCAATCAATGCTTTAGCTGCCTATCAAGGTACATCGTTCTTAATCCCTCGCCTTTTAAAGAGAGTGGAACTTCTTCGCTTTGCCAAAATCATCGAAAAAATGAATCCACCTCCGAATCAACCTCCTGCTGACATCACACTCACTCACAACGGTGTTGCGTATAGAGCATCATTATTTTACGGATACATCATGTACAATGGTGTGAGATATAATACTCTCAATAGTTTTTGCGATAGAGTTGCTGCACAAGCCGGGGCTTATAATAATGGAAACTTCCAAGGACGTATCCAGCTATCAAAAGGCACAAATAATTTTATTTATGCTAACATCAGGCCCTTATCAGGTACTCATGACGAATTATTGCGTAATCTCTACAATTATGTAACTAATCCTCCAATCACACAACAGGAAGCCATTCAACCCATTGCTGAACCCCCAACACACACACAACTTCAACAACCTACCCTTGGCAATCCATACCAAAGAATTTCCTCGTTGATTAATACTGCTCCTCCAATCACACAACAGTTGACTCGCCAACAGGAAGCCACTCAATCCACTGCTGAACCCCCAACACACACACAACTTCAACAACCTACCCTTGGCAATCCATACCAAAGAATTTCCTCGTTGATTAATACCGCTCCTCCAATCACACAACAGGAAGCCACTCAACCCATTGCTGAACCACCAACACAAACACAACTTCAACAACAACAGACTCATGACAATCCGTTCCATAGAATTTCAACATTGATCGATGAACAACGTAATGACAGCTTGTCTTTTGTTGACGATGAGTTGTTGTATCAATTATCAACTCTAATGAAAGCGTTGACTTTAGGCGTTTCTTCAGCTGCAATGAGAGAGGCAAAAGTTAAGGTGTCTGCTGCTATTTCTCAATTAAAGGCTGTGAAAGATCAAGAAGATCAAGATGACGTAGAATAACAAGAAGTAATAAACACTCGTATTGATTGGTTGCCTTGTAGCTCACAGTCCCGTTGAATGACATTTTCACACCAAAAAGCATCTTCTGCCAAATCATCAAACTGCTCGGTTGGAATGTTAGTTGGTCCCTCTGCTTGAAGGAGATTATGACTGAGTTGTGTTGAATGGCCAAGTGCACAGAATGATGTTTTCACACCAAACAACATCTTCACCAAACAACATCGGCATAAAATAGCAATACTCTTCGTTTGTTGGCGTGAAGCCAGCTCTGTGGCTGCGAACGGCCGAATCTCAACAACAAGTAAAAACCCCACATCGTCTGTTTGGCTATTTACAATTTGTTTATTTTGATATTGTTTGATCGACCTTTGACCGGATTAAGACAGGTCTAGAACCTAAATTAACCCGAGTCATGTCTCAGTAGCACATGCAAGTGCATGAATGTACTGTCAAACAACAAGATTGGTATACACGATGGACGCTCTACCAATATCAGCTTTGAATTGAAGAACAGCATTTCTGCTTGCTGGACTGCTTTTCAATCCTCTTCTCCATTTGGAAAAGTTGGAGCTGTCAATATTGCCATATCTTCTGCAAAATTCTGCATGACTGCTGAAGTGATAACGATTGGCATCGTAAAATTTGCGCAATTCTTCATCGGTGAGTGCAGCATTAGTCTGAATAGTGTTACACGATGGGTTTACAACTGATGCAGATGGTTTGACAACTGAAGGTTGAACAACTGAAGGCTGTGGCATGATCTTATAACCATGTGACTGAACATTAGAGAAACTGGCGTGAGGTTGCACACGAGTGCACTTCACAGGTTCAACTTTGCGAGCTTGTCTCTTTTCTTTGAATGTCAAGGTAATTGGCAAATGATTGGTTTGTGGAATGCACATTTTACCGGTTTCGCAACTCAAAAATTGGAAGTTCTTGCCAGCTTGGAATCCAGTTCCAACATGATCAATAGCATAAATCTTCTTACTTGATGAGGTGGTTTGCAAAGGATTGTTGTGGAACTTGAAAACATTGTTTTGGATTCTGGAAACTGAGGTTTCTCTTTTGAATTTAACACGACCTTCATATCTTCCCTTGTTGAAATCTCCAACAACAATCAAGTCAACATTGTTACTGGTAAACATGTTCACAACTCTAGCAATTCTGTTGTTGTCTTCTTGATTGAGACATCCCTTTCTTCTCAAATGAACGGACAAACAATAAAATTCATTTCCTTCAGCAGTCTGGATTCTGTACAAGACATAACGACCATAGAGTAACGCCAATACAGCAGGTACACCGTAATGATCCGCTACAGGACATCTGTTGTTAGAATCACTACAAATATGAGAGACTGTCCAGTCATTGCGAAAAACAATCAACTGGCCATAGTTGGTCCTACTAGGAACATAAAGGACGTTCCTTCTTGCTTGAAGCAAACGATCAACCTGGTTCTTGTTAGGTCCGGAGTTACATTCGACCAGAACGACTAGATCGTGAGTAGTACTTAGCCCAATAACGCTTTCAGCGTAAGCTGGGCTTGTCATGCCTTGAGGACCGTCCATTTGGCCACCGTTACAATACAACAACTTGAGATCCATTTTATAGTGAAAGTGAAGATTTGAGTGTGTTTGATTTTTTTGATTGAAAGTTTGGCCGCTCGAAATTTTTTGGTGCATTAAATAGGAATTCTAATGTTAATTCGGAATCTAAAATTACCTTTCCGAAATGGAAGCCTTTGAATTCCTCGGAAATGTAATTTACAACGGGGGTTTGCAGCCTCAGTTAAAAAAAATGAGCAAGGAACACACCTTGGCTGAGTGTTCATTGTTGATGGACGCCGAGAAGAGCGGTCATTCTGTGGACATGCTTGAAGAATTTATTTATCTTCTTGACTCGGAAAAATTGATATCCTATTTTAAAGAAGTATATCCAAGTGATAATCATTATAAAGAATTTTGTGAAGAATATGATATAAATGACATTAATTTTCAAAAATTAATTTCCGGTAAAAGATTATATAATTCTGGATTAGTTTCCATTCGGAATTATTTAATTGCCAAGTTTTGTGATAAAAAACATCAAGTAGAAACCGGAACTTTTCACACCACAACCAATCAAATGATAAAAAAAATTACAAATTCCTTAAATTCTAGTAATAATTCTCCATGTAAAGGAATAGTATTTATAGACGCTGACAATTCGATATATTGTCTAAAATATATATCAGACCTTGCAATGAAAGCAAATAATTTTTATGATTTACATATCGTAATTGTAATGAGCAAAGGGATGACATCTAACAAATTAATTGGACTGGAAACAAGACATTGGGTCTCCATCATTCAAGCAGCTACTAATTCAAAAAGTGCTGTAGACATTGCATTACAAAGTGCTGCCATTGCTCTAAGTTTAGAATTGGATAAGATAGACTCTGATATTCCGTTTTTTATTGTCTCTGCTGACCATTTTAGTGAAGAATCTGTGCAACAATTAACATCAATTGGCAGAGGAAGAAAATCATTCAGAATCGACACGAGTATTAACAAAGATTTAACAACATACTTTCAAAATTATTTCGGAGGTAGTTCCGAAAAATCTATGGAGAATCACATTATTCACAACAATTCAGATCTAGCTCATTCAACAACCACCAAACTCACCCACAACGTCAAGAAGGCTTTAGAACCCATTATCCCTTCTGAAAAACCTGCATCAAGTAGCATGCCCCTTTCGATGGCCAATAATGAACCGTTGTCAAAGATCCAAAAGAATTTGTATCCAACGTTACCAACTCCTCCAATACGCTTTCCAGTAGTGTCAGTTAACACTAACATTGACACACTACCAAACCGTTTCTCTGATGTACAATCACGTAGTAATCAGGTCATGCAACCCTTATATGTGCGACCTCCAATTGTCACAACACTCAAGCCATCCGCATCAGTTGTAAATCCATCGTGTGACAATATTCATACTTATTCTGCCCTCACCGATGAAGAATTGCGCAAATTTTACCATGATAATTGTTATCACTTCAGTAGTCATGCAGAATTTTGCAGAAGATATGGTAATATTGACAGCTCCAACTTTTCCAAATGGAGAAGAGGATTGAAAAGCAGTCCAGCAAGCAGAAATGCAGTTCTTCAATTCAAATCTGATATTGAGAGTGGGAAATTATTGCACAATATTTTATAAATCTATATCAAGAATTGTTACAAACAACGAGTAGCGCAAGGTTACCGAAGTAACTCAAGATGATGGAAAAAGTTCTTCGTGAAAACATTGAACTGACAAATCACAAATACTTGATGCAAATTGTGAAGAGCTGGAATTCCACGAATTTTGACCTTTTGTATCAAGCATGAAACTGAAGAAGTACAAATTCATTGAAAGTATTCTTTCGAAAACAAAATTTAATGGTAATTTCCTTTTACATATGAACACACACGAGAATTGAATGCAATTCCAACCACTGCTGTTCAAAGATCACTCGATACACGTTGAATGACAAACCTCAAAAAAGTCTTCTAACCCCAAGTCTGGATTCGGTTGGTAAATGTAAAACTAGTTAAGAAAATATTCGGGCCATAAACTTACCTTGTCATATCATAAATCACAGCATTTGCTGTCCTTATGTTCAGTCCGTTGCTGAAGCTGTAGCTATCACAAATTTCAATTCATCATCCTCAGTCATAGCACAAGTGGTAATGGCATGACAACCCCACCATTCTTGTCCCATCTCCCAAAACTCGCTCCATTGACTATGTTCGCTACTCTCCACATGATCCTTCCAATCCAAAGCATGTATAAAATTATACGTTCCATAAATTTTCTTTCGAATTGATTGTAAAGTACTTGTATTTCGTAATCCATAAGGTGGATGTCCACATCGTTTAAAAATGTCATTCGATGCTTGGTACGATTTTGTGACAGAAAGAGGCTGCATTTTGTGGTCCATCTTGTCATAATGAATGATTCGAGTCATTTCAGAATTTTGTAACTGGAATTCCAACGTTATTGGACCTTTCATTGTCTTGAACCAACCATTCACCATATTTAATAAAATTCGTCCTAATGAAATCCCCTTTCCTTCAAGCAGTGATGTGTTTGTAAAATAAATTTTTGCCAATTTCACCTCATTGGATTCATCATAATGATCTGACCGACCAGTATTCATCAAGAGAAGAAATTTATGAATTTCAACAATCGCATTCTGGTGTAATAATTGTCTTTGTAACAAGTATTTCAGTAAACGACAGGGACGATAGATTGAAATACCATGGTAACTCCCCCATTCTTTATATATTCCATAAAATCCCAATCCTCTTGTAATTCTGAATGACATGAAATAAAAGGTTCACGATAAAATTCTCCAATCATTTCCAGAATATTTTCATCATCACTCTCTAAACAGTAGAAGGTTTGTTTCAATCCAAAACTATTCTTCAAAATTGAGTCCAATTCTTTTTTAAAAACCATTTCTCCCAGTAGTTGAGAATTTGTAATTTTAAATTCCCATTCGGAACAAGTACACAGGATGGAGGCGATATCTTTCATTGGAAGATATGAAATCACACATTCAAAAGGAGAGAAAAATAAATGTGAGACTTGATAATGTTCCAAGCCATAGAATTCTTTTGGAAGAAACATTTTTTTTTGATACAAATGCAAATTTAAAAACGAACTCTCAAATTACAATTTTTCAATTACATGTTCATTGTCCTTAATAAGATGACGACATAGTGAGGTTCAAGATTTGGTCAAGCAAACAATGTAACCATACTCTAACCTTTGGACATGGTTCTTCTTTCAAAAATGTTTTGACTCTTTCGTTTCCAAGTTGAACTATATCAACACAAGCAATATTTGGAAAGATATTTGCGCGTTGGAAACCGCTTTCGGAGTTTGTTTTCGCAAATTTCCACAAAAAAAATGAAAGACTTGTTGCTGGTACGTACGTGGTAGCCTTCTTTTCACTCGTGAGTAGAAAGTTCACATGGATGGTTCACTTTGAATTCAATCAACTTGTTTTTCATCTCATTTGAAACATTGTCCACAACATGTTAACCTTTTTGCCGATCCAATATATTTATTTATAGGCCTATGTCTGTTGGATGACCGCATGTGTCGGTTTATGTGGCATTCATCGTTTCTATCTCAATTCCCCTCTCATGGGTTTCATCTACTTGTTCACTTTGGGTTTATTCGGATTGGGTCAATTAATGGATTTATTTCTCATTCCCAGTTTGGTCGAAAGTTGTAATTTACGCGTAATGAATAACTACCATGGTGGTGCAGGGAATATCGGGCAGAATCATAATACAGGTGCTCATTATTATAGTTTGTTTGGAGGTGGTGCTCATTCTCAACCTGGAATTACATTTTCATTTGGTCATCATCATCATCAGCCTCAAGCTTATATTCCACCAAATCAGGAAGGAGGTCAAGAAACGTCATCTCGGGAAGGGCAGCAAGAAGAACAAGAACAGCCTCAAGAATATGTTCCTCCGCAACACTCTAATAATTCTTTCAATTTTGGATTCAATCCTGGAGGTGGAATTTCGGTCATGGTGAATGGTCAACCTGTGGATTTGTCTCAAGGAGGAACTTTTTTCATGAATGAAAATGGAATTATTGAGGGAGGAGGTGAAGATGAATTTGGAGATGGAGGAATTGGATACACTCCATCGAGGAATGATCGAATGTTTGAAGAACAAGCTCGAAGAAATCGTGATCATTTCGATCAATTGAATCGACAACGAATGATGGATCAACAACGACGTGACATGGAAAATCATCAACGTATTATGAGAGAGAATAATCGAAGGCATATGGAAACGACTCAACGTGTGCATCAAATGAATATGCAGAATATGAATCGAATTCATGAACAAAATCGAAATATGGTTTTCCAACAACAACAGAGAATGCAATTCCAGAATAATTTAAATAATACGATGAGAATGCATCAAATGAATACATTCCCTAGAAGGTAACCAGAGATGGAATTGATCATACACAATTTTGAAGGAATTTTAGGTATTAATTAATCATTTAATGAACTTTCTTAATATGGATCAGCTTGTAGATTCTCCAGGTTTGAACAACTAAATTATTGCTTTTTCTTTTCTTCTTCCTCTTTGGTGACAACAACAGGAACGGATGGATGTGAACCAAAATACCAATCCAATCCAACACCAATAAACACAATAGTAGCACCAATTACTTGAGCTTGTGAAAATGAGTGTCCATAAAGCAGGACTGAGAGTAAAAAGGTGAATAATTTTCTCACAGTATTAATAAAGGTAATTTCGACATTGTCAAACTCGGCAAATCCCCAGAAAATGAAAAAGTTTCCAATTGTTCCTGCAGCACACAACAAGACAATATTCAAAATGATCGAGGAATGTCTCGAACAAAAATCAATGGCTTTCCAAAATTCTCCAAAATAAATCATGCACACGAAAAACAAGAGACTTGTGTAAATTTTCGTGAAAAACATGAGTTGATCTGAATTTGGTTTTGCTTCTTTGGGTTTGTTTTTAAAGTGTTGTTTCATCAATTCTTGAACAGCATTATTGACACCATCGGCACACACAGAAACAATGAGAAGCATCAAACCGAAGGCAGTACTCTCAGCATGTGACTTTTTGTTTTCTCCAAACATGTAAAAGGAAATTCCCAAAGTGGCCACAAGCACTGCTACAATTCTTGGCATGGAATAACGTTTTCCAACAATTAAAAAACACGAAGACATGGCAGTGATCATTTTACATGATTTTGCCAACACCTGAGTTGGAAAATCCACATATTTCAAAGCTCTATTACCCAAACCAATTCCTGTTGAGTGAGTGATGGCTGACATGATAAAGAATTTTTGAGTTTCCACACTCACTGCTGCTCTGATTTGATCATGTTTTTTCGAATAAATAATTTTTCCTAAAGCAGCCAAAATATCACTCAAACTCTCAATAAAACTCAAAAAGAATGTATACGTGAATACTTCGGAATGTGTTCCGAATTTTGTTTTTGTAATTTCCTCTTTGAATGAATTGGCTGTAATGAAACAAACAAGAATTCCGAGAGCAATTTTTGCAAACTCGGCTGGATGAGTTTTGTAGGATTTATGATGAGAGTGATCGTGATGATGAACAACGCTCAGGTTGGCCACCGATTCCGAATGAGAGAGATGCTGGTTCAGAGAGGGAGTGGTTTGGGCCATTTTTTTTTTGTAAAAACAAAATTGTAAACTGAGCAGTGACGTCATGTCTTTAAAATATCGACTGAGTGATTTTCCGAATCTCTCATGACACGGAATCAAGGTTGGGAATTCCCAAACCTCGAAAAAAATCACGTTCTTTGCCAATCAATTCTTTCAAATTTCACTTGTTTCACAAAAAAGAAGAAAATGAAGCAACACGAAGATTTACCAATCACTTGCGTCAATTTGTTCAAACTGTTCAACAATGAACAATTTTCAGATTTTAAAATCAAACTCCCTCATTCCCAACAAGTATTGTCCGTTTCGAAAGGAATATTGGCAATGAATAGTGAATACTTTTCAACTCTTTTTCAACCGTTGCAACATCAACAATTGTCAAACACTTCACAATTGGACCAACAACCATTTAAAGAACACATAGAACAAGAATTGGAAATTACAGGAGGTGCCACCTAAGAAGGTTGTTTGCTTAAATTGATTCAATTTTGTTATTCTGGTCGAATTGAATATTCACTCGACAAAGAGAGTCACCTCACAGAAATGTTCGACTTGTTACTCGTTTCGAAACAATACATGATGACGAATGGATTAATTGATCATTTTCAAAAAGAAATTGTTCGTAGCATTCAAACTTTGAATTGTTTTGAATTGTTTGAACGAGTTGCATTGATGGATCATGAACAAGATTTGAATTTGAAACCCATCTTTGAAAAGATGATGAATACAATGGCATCGAGTTTTGCAAGCGTGTTGGAGTCGAATCGACAAGCAATGTTTGCCATGAGTCCAGAATGTTTGATGGTTCTATTGAAAGAACTGTCAAGAAATGACATTTCCAATACTACCCTCCCAACCACTACTGCAGCAACTTTCAATTTTGACGAATACGGAAAGCAATATCACCAGTCAGCTTTTAATAATGCGAGTTTTGCAGATTCCAATATATTCGGAACACACAAACATTCTTCTCGTAAATCAAGCAGTAGTAGTAACGTTGTCAACAGCAAGAGAAGAGTTCAATGCTCTGCAGAAAAGTTTTTGCGATTCTTAATGCTATGGTTGGCCCATGATATGGCTCAACGGAGTGAAATCTTTAAAGAACTCATTACTTTGGAGAGTCAATTGCAATATTCGGGTTATTGAAAGTAAATTTTTGTTGAGGGTTGAGAGGGTGTAAAAACAGTTGTTGTTGATCTCACGGGTCACATTGTTGAATTTGCATCACATGCAGTTTTCCAATTAATTTTCAAGCGCACAATCTCATTGTTATATTTCTCGTCAATAAGGCCAAGAAAAAGATGCTGGAGGAATTACTTTCTTAGTGTTCTCAATAATGAGATTCAAATAACTTGTTTACTTGGATGAAATGCTCGAGCAATTATTAATCGGATGGTCCTCAACCTTCAACTACTATTTAAAATCTGCCACCAGATGTTTAGGAGCCTCCAATAAATCAACCTCAGCTTCAATAAGCTCTGCTTTTTCATGTTCCTTTTGTAATTGCATCATTTGAGGTGTCATTCCAAACAATTTCACATACAAAGACATGATCCAAGCTTGTAATGAAAGATAAAACAATCTCATTTCAAAATACATGCGCATTCTCCATTCGTTAACAGTTGCTAAAATTCCTATTCTCTCCGATGCAACAGTACCATGATTTGATTTCAATAAGGAAGCACCTTTAGCTGCAGAACGAGCCATGATTGTAAATCGATTCGCCTTAGCGCCCAAATCCTTATTCAAACCTCTTAAAATATTGTCAGCTCTACCAACAAATAACATGTCTGCTGGCATGCTCTTGTAAATGTTGATAATTTCGTCCTTTTGTTCCTGTAAAATCTTTTCATATTCAGCCCAGTTATCCACATCAAATTTTTCGCCTTCATCTAATGAATCATAGGATTGCATCATCAATAGACTTGCATATAATTTGTAATCGGTCACACCTAACGAATCACAATACGCTTTCATTCCTTGCTCGTCGTTCATGACAACACTTTTAACAAATTTGGCATATCCAAGTCGAAACTCTTCTGTGAATTCCTTGTATAATCCATGATCAAGTAACACAATTTGAGGCTCTTTTGGATTGGTTGGTGAGCGACGCACAAACACATTTGAGCTATGAGGGTCAGCATGTAAAAATCCATGTACAAATAATTGGTCCGAGAAGACTGATAAAATTCTCTCAGCAATGTCTATATCAGAAAAACCCATTTCCTTAATTTTTGTGACATTGTTGGCATTGCAAGCATTTTCAATAAATTCCATTGTCAACACTCTTTCACTTGTGAGATGGTCATAAACAGTTGGAACGTAGACATCAGATCGAGATTGCATGTGTTCCGCGGCTTTTTTGGCATTTTCTGCTTCATGTTTGAAATTTAGTTCTGACAGTAAACCATTTTCTAATTCTCTATTGAATTTGTCATTCAATTCAACGAGTGTGTCAATATTTTCAGCATCCTCTTGCATGTAATACAGCTTGATGGAGAGTGTTGACATTGCATCATTCGTACGCATATCACCGTTAAAGTAAGCTCGTACGTATGGATATTGTACTTTCACTGCAACTAATCGGCCATCCTTTGTTCGCGCTCGATGTACTTGTGCAATACTGTATCAAAATGAGGAATGGGAGTTAAGTACCATATAACAATTATAAAGGCAGTCCATGATATTCATTGTTACAAATGTCACAAGCATCACTTACCTTGCTGCAGCAATTGGCTTCTCTTCAAATTCATCAAACAACTCCTCTAAAGGTTTTCCAAAATCTTGATGAATGACCATCTTGACATCTTCAAAACTAATTTGTGGAGCCTTATCTCTCAAAACTGCCAATGTTTCAATATATTCGTCTGGAATCATGGAAACCAACGAGCTCAAAAATTGACCAAGCTTGATATAAACACCCTTTTGCTCCATGAACATGTCTAACAAACGCTTAGCATTTCTTCGATGAGCCTCTTTCTTTTGTTGTATAAATTCTTCACTATTCTTATCAGGTTTCTCAACAAACCAATAGTGTGGATTATAGGGTTCTGTAATAAGCAACCAAAAGTAATCTAAGGCAATAATGTAAATGGTTTTGGAACAATTCAAATATCTATGAAATCCTTCACATTTCTGTTTCATTTCAAATAATGATTTGGCCCATTCAGAATCATTATAAAACCTAGAAGAAGGATTATTGATGTCAATGAAATCCATGGCCACGAGAAAACCTTTCAGTGAGCCATATAGAAGAACAATTAGTGAGACAAGAGAGACTTCAAGAATCAAAGCCCATTTGAGAAGCTTCTTGAGGACGGAAATGAAGGTACGGAATATACTCTCCTTCTTCTCATGAGAGCCTTCCGTTGAATTGGAAGATGAATTTTGGAAGGATGTTGTCTCAGCATTGAGGAAAGCAGACGTTCCTGATTGATTCAATCTTGAAGAAGAGGAATGAAATCTTCGGGATGAAGTTATATCAGTTCGGAATGGATGGCACAATGCTGAAGAGTGAGCAGTGGTAGAGAATGAAAGTAATGAACCCACCGAGGATGATGCCTTCAAAAGAGAGGGAGGCTTTTGGAGAGAGAAAGGAGATGATAACAACTGCTTGCTTCCTTTCCATAAGAAATTTCGCATCATGATGGGGGAATGAAAGAGAGAGAACTAGAGGAGATTGAATTCAATTTTTTGTGCTGGTTGGAAACTGTTGCTCAATTTCGCTTGTTGAAATCTTTTGGAAATTATGCGAAGATGATTCTTATGGAGGGCGAGTATTCGAGGTGTTGGACAATTGCCAATTTGCGAGAACACCGCGCGTTTACATGATGATTTTGATTGAACGAAGGTCATTGAAATTGTTGGAATGGATTAATCAAAATGATCCGTAGGATGAGATAGTTCATCATTTAAATGTGATATATTTGTTGTTTGCATTGTCTTGAAAGATCGGCCCATTGGAATGATGTGTCTTGTATTTTTCTAGGGTCGGACGAGAAGCAGCAGCCAACGGATAACATTTGCTCGTTGAGGGAAATTTTCATCATCACACAAAAAAATGTCCCTCCTTGATTATGTGAAGAGAAAGCACAAGCATTACCAAATTATGAGTGTCAACTTTATGTTGGAACCTTGGGAGGCTGCTATGATGAGTAGGTGTTCATTCATTTCAAAGTCTAATTGATGATGATGAATGTTGATATGACTGTTATTTTGAACTTTTTGTATCTCTTCCGATACATCTTTCCGACGAATCATAATTCCATGTCATATTTGCGCGTGGTGATCATCAAAATTACTCGAATACACATACATCTCTATAGATTTCATCTATTTGATAATTATCAGCCTTGTTGTGTATTATATTTACAGAATGGTATCTTTTTAATCAATGACCAATTGATGATTATCCAGATGACATTTTGGAACCAAGTTTTGTGAAACTACGTAGACTCTGATCCGACATTTTCAACCAGATGAAAGAGAATATCTTTCGTCTGGTTCCAATCCTTTCCACTCTCGTTCCCACAAAAAAAACACACTTGTAGTATGATAATTAATAACATGCCCACAAGCTCTTTTGTAATGCCAATAATTTCTTCTTCTTTAACAATCCCTAACCCAATCATGTATGGTATTCAACTCTCTTCAGTACAGTAACCGTTAAAAACCGTTCATTCCCGATCGGGAGAGAAGATTTTCAAACAAAAATTATGAAACCGCAGAAATCTACGACTCGTCTAGTGGAGGGTCCCAAGACCCAACCATCGTCATCATCCACTGCAGTGCCATCTCCAACCAATCATCAAGCAACGAAAAGCAAGAATAAAAGCATGAATCGGGCAAGTTTAAACCATTCTTTTGAAAAGAAGACTTCGGAGAGAGGTGGCACAGATAGCCATCATCAGGAACAACCTCAAACATCAACACTCACAGATCAACAAATAGGTCCTCAAGGTCACTCTGATTCAACAACGTTGTTGGAAGCAGCACCATCGGAGGAGGAAAAAGCGAGAATATTAGTGGCCTTGGATGAGGACGGAAGAAGGAGCAAGGCATCCACAACAACAACAACGACCACAACACCAACTCCTCAGCCCAACACCAACTCGCCATCATTTAATGTTGACAACAACCTTAACGACCATACATTGCAACAAGAACAGGAGGAAAATGATGAATTTAATATTCGAACCAAAGATTATGACGATCCTATCATTGATCCCAATGAGGTCAATAACAGTAGTGAATTGAAAGTTGACCCTTCTCATACAGAGTTGGAGACTTCAAATTCACTCACAGATATTGTGAAAAACAGAGTAGATCATTCACTTGCTGGAATTTACTTGAGCGATGCTGCTGTATCAAATAATAACTTGGGCAACACTGCTGCTCAGCAGCTCGAAGACGACGAAGACGTACTTGATAAAGAAATTAGAGAAATGCGAAAATCAGCTCAAGAAATCGAATACGACGAGTTGGAAGGTCTCATTGATCGACCTGAAAATCAAATCCTCAAACAGCAATATTTCTCATACCAACAACCTCCAGTCTCTTCCAACCGTTTCATACCCTCACCTTCGACCAGCAAGACTACCAGTGAAAAGGTATCATCAAACGACACTTCTGAATCTAATTCACATTTCACCAGTACTTCGTCGTCACGGTTTGCTACCAGTCAAAGTGACAGAAAATCTCGTGCTGACAGTGCACAAGATCAGTACCTCAAACCTCATGATCGTCTGAGTCCTGGATACAATAACATGTCTCGTGCTTCTTCGTCATTCTCTATGGATTCAAGTATAAGCCAAGATGAGACCCCAAATGAACAAGATGACGCAGAAGCTCAAGAAAAAACTTATGAGGATGAGACTTTTCGAAGATACTTGAAAATTCCTCCTGAAGAAAGGGAACGGCTCAAGAATCGTCAAGCAGAGCTTCCAATTCGATTCGATGACTTTATTGCCCTTCATGGCTACTCAAAACATGAACAAAAAATTAAGAGAGAAAAGCGAGACGATTACATGCATGATGCCCTTTCTTTTATTGAAAAGCAATATTTCACCTATGAATATGAAAAGGAGTTTCTTACTGAAGAACCTTCTCCTAGGCCACTACTTTTGGAAAAGGAAAAAAAGAAGAAGCGAAAGAAGAAAAAAGTGAACGAGCTCGAAGATTATGACGATCATGTTGCAAGCATGACCAAACCACAATTCCAATCTCATTCCATTGCAAATAAGCAGTTTCGAGAGATGCAAAGAAAAATGCAAAACAGACGAAAGAACAAACAAGAAGCTCTACAAAAGCATATAAGAGCCACAGAAGAAATGGTGGAAAAATCCCAACGACGGTCGAAAATATTTGGAGAATGGGCACAACAACAAGGAATTATTACTAGTGATGTGTCAAACATTATTCCCAAGTTACAATTTGAGCAAGAGGCAAAGGAGGATCATGAGTCAACTTCTACCAACAGCAGCTTTTTCCTTACTGAGGGCAATGACGAAAATTTGGCCAGCAATAATGTGTTGGAACGAAGACCAAAAATCAAGCAACGTTATATTCCAGCTGATCCCAAGAAGTTTGACACGTCAAAGTATCACCGACCGAAAACAGATAGACAACATCACAACAATGCTGGACTCGAGAGTGCCATACGCGTATGTTCATCCCTTAATTACAAGGACAATGGATTAACCTCCAGAATGCCGAGTATTAGTAGATGTTCCAATCAATCAGTTGGATACATTAGCTTTTGGGGAAAAGCAACCATTCCAAAACGTCAAAAGACCACCATTCGAGTCATGGATAGCATTACGAGCAACAGAGATATTGGAACCATATTGAATCCAGGAGGAGGAAAACCACTCACCATTTCGGATCATTTACCAAAAATTTAGGTCATGACAATTGATAGTTCACAACATTGACACAACTGCCCATATGTCATGTGATTTATTAATGCTTTAAGAACTTGGCATGATGTTCAATATGATCCTTCACAAATGTTTGAATGAAATAGTAACTGTGGTCATAGCCTTCTTGCATTCTCAAGGTCAAAGGAACGCCAACTTGCTTGGCAGCTGCTTCCAATTTCTCAACTTGCAACTGATTTTGCAACAAGAATTTATCGACGCTTCCTTGATCCACCAAAATTGGAGCCTCACTGAGCTTGCATTTACCTTAGAAATGAGAAGTGTTGGATCGTATTGGGGCCATAGATTTTGACGTGCTTCCTCACTATCTCCCAAATAGCCCTTGAATGCCTTTTGTCCCCAAGCGCAATCAGGATTGCTTGGGTGACTGATTGGAGCAAATACTGAACAACTGTGATATGACTCCAAATTTCTCAAGTAGATGACCAATGAACCAAGACCACCCATGCTGTGACCGAAAATGGATTGTTTCAATTTGTTATCATTCTCCAACAAGAGCCATGCATCATCGCCAGTAGCAAAATGGGAAATAAGTAATGAAGGCAATTCATGAACAATATAATCATACATTTTGTAATGCTTGTTATAAGGTTCTTGCACAGCATTGAGATAGAAACCTAACGAGTTAGAGAATTTAGAGACATGATTGTTCATTTTCATATTTTCAATGTAGATTCACGGTATGAAAAATTAATTATTAATTTTTCACATCATGATCATGAAATTGATCATTTCACATCATGGTACACGACGTTGAGAAGCATGATCATCATCATTATTTTCACGACGTTGTGTGAATATCATTTTGCATCAAATGAAATACCATCATGATGATCGGAACAGAATCCAAACAACACGTTCTGAACTCCTTACCTGCACCTTGACCAAAATCCCAACTATCACCCTTTGGCACATCCTCTCCTCTCGGAGAAGTATCAGGACACACCAACGCAATTCCATGTTCAGCAGCAAAAGCCATCGCTCCGGCCTTAAAGATGAAATTAGTATCGGTACAAGTTAATCCCGAAAGAAAGAACAAGACTGGAGCTTTTTGTCCTGCTTGAAGAGTTTGTGGAGGACGAAAGATGTGTACATTCATAGAGCATCCGAGAAGTTGACTCGTGTGAGTGCATTCAAGAACGAGACCCGAAAAGCATTTGGTTTGCGATTTGATGGTAATGACGTCGCTGGACATTTTTTTTTTTGTTGGCTGCGGCACTAAAACGTGTTGAAGTTTACAATGTAAAAAACGATTATTTGTAATAATAAATGTCATGACATTACATACCATGGGTATGAGCTGAACTGCAGAGAATGGAGTAACAATCTCTTCGTTCGTGGAGAAGTGGAATGCAAATGGATGAACATGATGGAGCTACCGAGAATGTTAACATTGGGGTGTGTAACATTAATCAAGGATTACAGAAAGATCTTGTATGGAATCCATCGAGTAGCCAAGAAAGGTCTAGATTTATTCAGATAAATTCACCTTGCAAGAAGAGCTCGATTGAGATGACAGGAATAAGTCAACGACTCTCGTTACACATTGACAAGTTCAATCATGATAACATTCTCATATTTAAATAAATGTTGAATGTACAACCCATCCTTTACATTCCATCGAAACACATATATCACTCCGAGTGTTTAAAACATGCATTTTACTGAAACCTCACATTTAAAATGACATTAAAAAACTTAAAATCATCAGCAATGTCATGGCAAAGAAAATACCCGTCGCATTGGTCGTCATGGCAGCATGATTCACTCTCGCTTCATAATTCAATTCTGCTTCACACGTGGTTTTCATATTATTTTGACAAGTGCTGTCACAAGTTGCCTTACCCAATACCAAACTCACGACACATTTCGATTCGGAGTTGGTTTGTTTTGGATCATAAAATCCAGGTTTCACTTCGATATAAAAATCACACGACCCAACATGAATGGGAAGAGAAGTCGAATTCGTATAAGTTTCATAAACCAATGGAGAAGGTCGTTCTGGTCTTGGTGCTGCACCAACTCGTGTTCGGAATCGCATACAATTCGAAATGGAAGTAGTATTACTTGTGTCAAAAGTCAAAAAGTAAGGATTGGTATCGTTTCGAAGGAATTTGACGAAAAAACGTTTCGAATCATCACCTCCTACTGGAATTCGGTACAATTGGAATCGAATGATAATTTCATCTTGAGTATATTCGACCGGATCGAGTGGAATGATGGTTCCATTCTCGACCATGGGATAGTCAATGACGAAATCTAAATGAGTATGACCATCGTGTGCGAGAGTGTGTGAAAGAGTGGCGAGAAGGATGATGATGCCCAAGAGTAGAAGGGAAGTGCGGAGGAGGAGTGACATCTTTTTTTTTGCTGTGAAAAAGAAAGATGATCTGAATGATTGGTGACATGAGCGTTGTTGAGGCAAAAACGATCTCCAAAGATCAATAGTTTGTTTTCTCAAAGTATGAAGGTGTGAATGTAAAATACTAACACGTTATTACTCTAAGGTCTTGTATTGGTTGAAAATAAAACATTTGGTCCAAAAATTTTCGTTGTTGTTGTTACAAGATGACACTTCCATTTTCATCCAATGTTTCAAAAAATCCACTGGAATCAGTTGGTCGTTCTCCTTTTGTCAATACTGCTTCATTCTTTTCTAACATTTTCATCATGTCATAATAAAAGTTTTTAGCTCTTCCCTTAATAATTTTCTCAATGATCCATCGAGGCATTGAACCTTTCAAATCCGTGCCAATGAATTGAATGTAACGACAATGTTCTTTTCCATCATGAGTGGTAATGGGTTGGAAAATCCAACAACCCACATTGGCTGCCTTAATATGGTCATTGTTATCGAATTGTTGCAAATTTGGAATTTTCAAATCTTTGCATAAAGAAGGTTCACATGATTTTTTACACACAATGTACATGTTATCAGTTAAATCATGAACCATACTCTGACAAAGGAAGTAAAATCGTGATTTGATGGGCCAAATTAATTTGTAGACTTCATGAGTGATGGTGCAAGCAAGTTTTGTTTTTCCAGAAGTGTGACGTCTTTGAGAAGATGATGCTTGACGATCATGTCGTGGCAGTCTTTGAGGAATTGGAGGTGAATTGGGTTGAGGAGAAGGCACTTGCTCTGGCAATGAAGATGACAGTTGTGAGCTGTCAGTATTGGCAGATGTTGAAAGAGAATCTTCGTCATTGCTGCATGAACTGCTCAAGTCGTCCTCTTGTTCAATCGTTGAGGCACTATTGGAAGATGATGGATTATTTCCTTGCCGTTGTTGTTCAGATGTCATGCATGAAGAATCTTTCTTGTTGGATAATTGTTGTTGAACTTCAAATTTCGATCGATAAGCAAGTTGTGTGGCTGAATCTAAATTCTTATCACTTTGAAGACGAATTTGCTTGTTACACATGACACTCATAACTTGTTGGGCTGTGTACGGAAAGATACATTCAGATTTGGAAAAACTAATTCCACCGCTTTCATCTTTCTCAGCTCCCAAAGTGTATCGTGAGGACGAAAAGTGAACTTTACAATTTTTGTCTTCAAAATAGAGTTGCCATCGTCGAGGATCGAGAACATGCTTCTTAATCATTCGGACTTGATCGACTGATATTTCGCACTTCTTCATATCCATTAATGATTCTACAAAACATGAATGAGTGAGGTTTTTGACATTTCCGATTTTGTTAAGGAAGGTCTTATCACGTTTAGAGAGGAAGGAGACAAACATTTTAGATTCTAAAAACCGAGGAAAGACATGTTCTTTGAGATTGACCATGACATACGATTCTGCTTTTTTTAAGGCATCTTCACATGTTAACAAAAAGCTCTCGAATGAAGATTTGGCAGTTGACAATTCTTGGAATGACGAACTCGTAGAAGCTGTTGATGTGATGGTTTCAATCTTTTCAGAAAAATCACTTCCATTCCATTCATACCTTTCACACAAACTCTCAAAACTGTGTGAAAACAATTCTCTCACCTTTTGTGGTAAATTCAATTCATGAATAGAATTTCCGTTAAAAAAGACTCTTTCAATTTCGCAAAGTGCGTTCCACTTGTTACTGAGTGACCTCTTTCTAAAGTATTCACTCACATGTTCAAGAAAAAGTAAACACTCTTCATTTCGATTGAATTTCATAAAATCGTGTAAAATTTGTCTCGAATCTGAATCATCCAACACGGATTCATATGAAATGTTATAATCCCGCATTAATGAAAGAACCTCTCGATATTGTTCTTCATTGGCTGGTTGTGTGTCCGAGAATTGAATGGATTGAGAAGAGAGATTGGATGAGGAATAGTTGCTTGGTATTGAAGCTGTGGTTGTCATGTTGTGTCAGCAAGCCGTCGAGTTGTGGTTGTTGTTGAAAAATCTCTCTGTTGATGTTTGTGGTGGAAGTTGATTCTGTATGAGATGGAGAGAGAGAAGTAGAACTTGTGTTGTTGAATAGTTTTTTTGAAGTTGATTCTTCTTGAAATGATGCAACTACCGTCATGTGTGTAAATCGTGGCGCAGATTCTTTGATATTTGGCAGGTACCAAATATTTTAGGATTTGAATCCGAATTAAATTTCAAACTCGGTTGCCTGAAATGCGGAATGGCAGCGCCTTGAAATTTGATGATGATCATCATTCAATGCCTGAATCTTGGATGTTAGACTTGTTTTCGGTTATTCCATCATCATCACGGGATGTTAAAGTTATCCTAAAATTGAGAAATCAAAATAACCAACAACATTGAATCAAGTACAGACTAAGAACACATTCTGGATTCATGCAGAAAATGGTTAGGACATTTTCCTTGTCATTTCGCTCCCTGATTCAAGAGTTCCCGAATGGAGAAGCTATCTATTTGAAAAGAGAGGCCTAAATTAATGCTCATTCTCAATTTGAAATCGGGTTTGACTCTCTTTTACTACCTAACATCGGGTTGTAATTACAGTTTCAGCATGTCTTCCCTTAAAACACGTGTTTTAGATTTTTTTCTATTTTTCAAACGATTAAAAAATGTTTGATGATCTGATGACTCTTTCGCCGTTTCTACTGTATTTCATAGCCTCATGTATCGGAACAGGTGTTTTACTGATTCATGCTAGGCTCTCTAAATTTTCATTTCATCATGTGTTCATCTATTTGCAGTTTATTTTGAAGTTGATGTACTTTTGGGAATTACAAATCTTTCCGGTGTGGTTTCATGTGTATGGTAATTTATCATTGGTGATTCATTCGATGGTGTTGTGGAGAAAAAGATGGCAAAAATTGAAACCGTGGTATTATGTGTATTTGGTGTGTTTACCTGGTTTTTGGTATTTTGGATGGGCATTCATTGGATGTATCTTGTTGGTTCCTAATTTCATTTTGAAATATCTTGTTGTGAACGTGTGGAATGTTGTGGATCATGATGAAAATTGGAATTTGTATTTTCATTACATGACATTGTTGATATCACTGTATTGCATGTATATATCGTTGGAAGAGCGAGAATTTTGTGGCGAACATGTGCATATTGATTTGAGAAATGTTGAACAATTGGAGGATTGTATTCATGAATTGAATACATGTAAGAACCCTCCACACAATCAAGAGGAAAGAATTTTACGAGTTTTTCAAATTACTGACACTCATTTGGGGCCGTATATGAGTTTGGCAAAGTTGAAAAGAATTTGTGAAAATGTTGTGAAACGTGAGCATGAAATCGATTTGGTCATAATTACTGGAGATATGGAAACTTTTGATACACATCATGATGAGCATGCATTGAGGTTGGCATTGGATCCCTTAAAGAAAATTTCTGAAAAAGTGGTTGCTTGTTTAGGAAAGTAAGTGTGCGTTTGACATAGATCCAGGAGTACTCACCCAAAAATATTGATAATACATGTAAACGGAACAGCCACGATTATGAAGTGTTGGAAAAGGTTAGAAATGCGTTTAAAGAAAATAACATTCGATTATTGGAGGATGATCAACATGTGATACAAATCAAAAGATGGCATTCGAGACGGAGAAATGAACAGATTCCTAATGACGATAACATGTGCAACAACGAACCACTGACAAGCAACATCAATAACCTTGTACAAATCGTAGGAAGTGTTTACAAATTTGCAGGCATTCGAGAATCGACAGCTCACATCCAAGAATTGTGTACCAAATTTCCAAGAATATCTTCAGATATTCCAAGATTATTTCTCATTCACAATCCCTTAATACTGAATTACATGCCACTCGAAGAGACTGGTACAATGATCTTTAGTGGTCATTATCACGGCGGACAAATTGGTATCACATTCAAGCGCCTTACAATATTCAAAGTATTGTTCTTTGTTGTCAGGAAAGTCTTGAAAATGGATCTGTCTCATTTCAGACGTCGAGCACCAGATCAAGGTTATTATGGTCGTTCACAGGTAAGACTCTATTCACATCGTGGAACCGGCCACGGATTTCCCTTACGAATGGCAATTCCTACTGAGCAATCCCTCATTCACTTGTATTATTAATATTAATACATTTTTTCATCATTACATTCCATCCAACGATGTGACGAGAGAGAGACAATTGCATTGGATGTGTTGTAGTACTTGGCTTGGATTGTCATGTGACAGTTTTTGTTGGAGAGAGATTTTTTTTCGTTGCGATTCGTTAAAAAAAAATTGCGCGCTAATCTTTTACTGTTATTTTGAAAAAGTTTTTGGAGTGATTGATTTTGTTACAAGAGAGTACTTACATTGGTTTAGTACAGGAACAAGAATACGTCAATTGAAGAAGGTACAAAGACTCCGAGAGTCGGAAAGAAATCATCAATAATTTTTTGATTTGGTTCCGAAATTCGAGTGAATCGGGAAGATGGAAAACCAACAAGACGAAATTGATCATGACCAACAAGAATATGCATTACGCAAAAGTAGTAGGAATAGTACTACATCGAGCAGCAATGTTCTGTTGAGGACATCAAAACATTCTGAAGATTTTGTGGATCAACAACTCACGAAAACGGAAATTATATCAGCGGATGCAAGTGATATTACTTCGGAGAAGTCGTTGAGCTTGGCAGCAGGAGAAGGACAGCTTCCAACATCTCCTCCTGCTAAACTTTTTGACGATGGCTATTCAACCACAAGTAGTGATCATGAACAACGATATTCTGAATTTAAACTGGAAGAACTAGCTGTTTCTCCGCCGAATGAAAACTACATTCAATTTCTAGAAAAGGATGTTGACCTCGACAAAGAGAGTGATATTGAGGAAAGTGAGGATGAAGAAGAGGAATTAGATCTTCAAAATCCGAAGAGTGCACGTCAAGAGGCTCCACGTCATGAAGAACCAAAAGAAGGGCCCAATGCGTTACCTGGGGATTTTCTGTTCAATTACACCAAATTTAACTCCACTGTTAAAAAGTTGGCGTCTCTCTTTAACGAAACTATGGTTCTGAAAGCTGGATCAATGGCTGATGATTCTATCATTCACAAGAAAATCAATGTTGAGCAAGAAGAAGGGTTGACATCCAAGCCATCGTCAGCTCAACTTTCTACCAACTCTAGGGAAGTATTGGAAAACGCATCAGAAATGTTTTTTGAGGCTAAAAAGAATTTTGACAAACATTTAAAGCATTTAGATTTCCGACTGAAAGAGATGGAGGTGGCCTTTAATTCCAGACTTGGTGAGCTTCGACAAGAATTAACTATTGCCAGAAAAGAAAAGGATGTACGGTCCTTGGAATGGAAAGAACGGTACGATAAGCTGCATAAAAGGTGGAATGATGTTATGACAGCCATGTCTAACTTGCAAAAAGAAAAGGAAGAATTGAGACGAGAGCGAGATGGTCTTTTTTCTTTGAAAATTGGCGTTTCTTCCGCTGCAACTCAACCTTCGCATCAAATAGTGACCACCAAAGAACAGGAAACAAGAGTCATCTCAAAAGAATATCCAGAAACGTCTCATATAGTTCGATATGACTCTCCTGCACAAAAAGATCGACCTGAATCGAAAGAACAAGCACTCAAAATGAGGTATGGTGTGCTCAGATCCATCTCTCAGTCCCTACTTAATTCTATGGTTGACTCACTCCAGTCACAAATGGCCACTTTATTTATTTATAACCCAAAACAGAATGAGCTTCAGAGCTTTTGTTTGGTTTGCAAGTATGATTTTTCTGACCCTGCCTTATCTACCCTTGTTGAGAACAAAAACATTAGCAACGCAACTCAGTATTCGAGCAATACCCATACTTTATCAGGAGGACCAAAATCTCCACCTAAACACATTTACCTTCCTGCCAACCAGGGTATTGCTGGAGAAGTGTTCACACGCTCAGTAGCACTCAACGTTTTTGATGTACCAACATACAAGAAACACTACAGATATGTTGACAAGGAGACAGGTCTAAAAACCAAAGTAGCCATATGCTTTCCATTGATTTCTAAAAAGACCAATGGATGTATTGGAGTGTTAGAAGTGATGAACAAGACGCCAAACCCAGATGCTTTGGAAGAGAATGAGCCATACGATATTCAAGACGAGGCTAAAATGTTTGAATTTTCTAGGATTTTTTCTGAACTCATTGACAATGAATATGAGTGCTTGCCTTTCTCAATATTTGTCAAGCCTCTAAAAACTGCGCTTGCATGGAAAGAGAGTAAAGAAAAGAAAGATGATCTATCGTACTCGAATCTGAATGTCACAAGGGTATATCCACAAAGTACGATGAGAGTATTCGACGATTTAGACGACCTCTCTCCTCAAAGCCCGACAAAGATTGGCTCGGTACGAGCTCCCAGCGCTCTAGTTCCCAAAGAAGTGGAAGAATACATTAAAAAGCTAGAATCATGTTGGAGAAAATCAGTCAATGAAACTGCCCAGCACAAGAACTCCATTGTGAAGCTAGAGGAGTTATTAAATGAAAAACAACAGCTCCTAAAGAACTTGGAGAGGAAAAATTCTGAACTCGAAAAATCGTTAGATGAAGTGAAATCCAAAATGATTTCAGAGTTTAAAGAGCAGAAACAAGCAAAACAAGAATGGAAAATTAAGGAAAATGAAATGCGTGTAGAGCTAGAATTTATCAAAAAGACTCACAACACTCTCGTTCAAGAGCACATGTTTCGACTAAAGGAAGAGAGTATAAAGTCTCTTCTCCTTCCTGTAAATACATCCCAAATTAGCCAATCACTTGGAGGAGAGAATGTAAATACATTGAACAATTCGTCATTGATCGGAAGACAATCACCTGTGGAACGGAAAGGAGAATTACCTTATCTCGACCATAAGGTAAACAAAAAGTTAATGGCCAAGAAGCCCTCGAAAAATACGCTAGACCAAACAAGAGTGCCACAAGATCTATCCGAGAGAACTACTGCATATTTTCCTCCCGTTTTCTCAGAGCTTTTTACTCAATTACCTCTTCCTGCTTTAATTTTGAACAACAAGTTCAGAATTTGGAGATTTAACAATCGATTTTTAAGCTTTTTAGGATGTAAGAGCGAACAACATGAAATTTATTTATCACAACTATTGGGAATTTCGTTTGCAGATATTTGTATTGGAATTGAACCAGAAAATTTACCCAAGTTGATGCAGTATGACATTTTGCAAGGGCTGAATGTTGCAAACTTGGACCTGAGAATGAATCAAACACACGATCTCCTTCGCCCATTGTCTCCTTGAACAACACCATGAATTCTTCGAATTTGATTGATTTGAGGAATGATTCAAAGTCTCCAACTCAGAACATTCTTTCTAAGAAGGCATTTGTCAAAGTCACAGCCTATGTGTGTAAAATTGGGCAGAACGGACAAAAATTCTCTACAGGGCTAGGAGGTTCGAGAATTTCCGTGACACCTGCTCTTGATGACAATCCAACAAGCAATTCCATCATTAAGGGACCCTTGTATAGTATTATTTTTACCAAGTGAACGAATTACATTGAAATAATGATATTGAATAAATTTTACATTTTAATCTAAATGATGTTGTTGTTGTTCAGATAATTTTCAATTATTTTCGTTCAAGTCTCCATCTTCATAGTCATAGTCTTCATAGTCATCCTCGCTGTTATCTGTGGTGGTACCTGTCATGGTAAAGTTCTCAAGATCTGCATCGAATACAGTCATCATTGCTTCTTCTTCTTCCATGAGAGCCATTTCAGGTGTCATGTATGTTTGGCCACCAAAGCTAGCAGAGCTATTAAGTCTCGCGAGGGTTGACTTGCTATCATCCGAGGAGGAGGACATGGTACTCGACATGGGTGACGTTGGAGTTTGCGAATCCAATAATTGATTTTGTTGAGTTTGTGTTGCTTTTTGAGTTTTTCCATCTTTTTCTTTTCCTTTCTTCTTTTCTTGACGGTTGCCAACAATGATTTGTTTCTAATATTTCTTCCTGCTTTGAGATCATTGTACAGAGTGGCAGACATGTCGAGACGGTCAGCACGTTCACGACCCATACATGTGACCACATGTTTCCACACAGGATCATCGTCTGAAATTTTTGGAATGTTGTTCATATGTTTTCGAATATATTCATTGAAACCTTTCATCATTCCCTTCGCACGATCCATTCTTAGCATGTTTGCAGCAAATCTTGCATTTCCTCCAACATCCAACAAGTGAATTTGCAATAAACTGGTTCTATATGCGTCAATCTTTTTGATTTGATAATATTGAAAGTCTCTAATATCGATCAACTTTTTACCTTCATTCACACCCTTTCCATCTTTGTAAAATCGTTCATGTTCACATGGTTTGTAAATGAGAGTGAGTTTTTCTTCTTCCTTGTCATACCATGCGGAACATGCAGCAAGGAAACTTCTCTTGGATTTGAAAGGAAATGGAAAGACCATTCCATATCGAACAATACCCACAGATCTGAAATGAATTGAGTTTTTACATCTCGATTTTTGTTAACAGAATATTATAATACATACCTCTTTCCATATTTCCACTTTTCACTTGGATATTTTTGTTTTAAGGTTTCGTAATCCCAAAAGCCCCATTCTTCACAGCTGGAAATGTTTGGATCGTATTTATATACATAAAGACCTGGCATGCAGCATTGTTTGACAACCTGAAATTGGAGTAAATAAATTGAAATAAATATTAAAAAGAACGTACATCAAATGGATAATTCAAAACGCCAGACCACTTATTGATTTGCATCTTGTTGTAAAAGCTGACATTGGGCATGAGCACTTTTTCTGTAATTTTATACACATTGATTGCTCCTTCTTTCTTAGATCCCAATAACTTCCATTGATAGTCATCTCTAGCAAGATATTCCATAAATTCAATATCTCTATCAAACACCATGGGTTCTCTAAAGTCATCATAGGTGTATGGGAAGTAGGCTGCTTCTTTCACACGACCTACTTTGTTCAAATAGGCCAATCCTTTATGCTGCAGTTTTTTCAGCCACAAATCGCTGGAAGATGAACCAATGGACATGTTCACGTCATGTGAAATTATTTTGATGTGTTGATTATGGTGTTTCAAAAAATAATACAACTCACCTTCTGACAAATCTTGGGAAATTGTCATTTTCCAATTCGTACATGACAGAATTCTTCATGGTACGGAACAACAAGTGTGGAGGTTGAGGTAAAAGCCATTCATCAAAGTTTTGATATTGATGTGATTCTACAAATAAATTTGTAAATGTTTTCTTGTCTTTGGAAGAAATGTTAATTTCTTTTTTAGAATCTTCCTCAACAAAGTCTTTCATGAGCTGAATGGCCAATAAAATTTGCTTCTTGTACAGTTTCATTACATTTTCATATTTTGATCTAGGTGTATTGATAGGTAAGTGTAAAAATCCATGTTGCACAGTTCTAGTTAGTCTTTCACTGGATGATCTTGACATGGTGCTGGAAGTATCAGATTTTTCATCTTCATGGTCAGCAGTAAGCGTGTCACATTTATCCTCTGTTGCAGTACGTTTAATTTTTTCCTTCTTCAAGACGGACATGAGTCTAATAAGACCATTGTTAGGCTCCTCTGAAGAAACAGGTACATCTGATGATGGTGGAGCTCCTTCTTCAGTACTAGCTCCAGCAGGAATGAGAGTGAGGTTGAGTTTTGGCATACCAGAAGGTCTTGGAGTAGGTTGTGTTGTTGTGTTCGTCGTTTCATTTTGATTACTGTTGATATTGGAAGTGTCAATAGAGAGGTTTGGACTATCATCATCAGTATCAGCTGGCGATGTTGGAGAGGTATGTGGAGATTTTGAACTTTCTGGAGGTAGAGATAGATTGACATTGGTGGTTTCAGTGTTGGTTGTGACCAAAGTATCTTCAGCAATTGTTTTCACTTCTTCGGTAACTTCTGTGACACCTTCAATTTCATGTAAAAATGGTTTTTGAGGTGTTTGTTTGTCTTGTGTAGATTCTTCGGATGGTTTTTCATGGGTCGATTTATCACTTGGTGTCATGGATGGGGATTTTGTAGAAGCAACAGAGGGCGATTTCTCTAGAGCATCGGTCTCCATGGAAGCAGATGAATCTCTTCTTCCCAATAAATTGAGTTTTGAATCGGATTTTTGCATATTATCTTCCTTTTTTTTAGAACCTCCCAATCTGAAACTAAATCTATTACTAGTTGTTGATTTTGTTTCTTGAGAGGTATTTTCATCCGATTGTGGCTGTGTTGTTTGTGACGTTGCTGACATTTCTGATTTTAGTGATTCCTCAGTTTTTGATTCTCTTCTTCCAATACCAAAGAAAGAAAGTTGTTTTCTAGCGAATCGTCGTGGTGTGATAGGTTCTGATGGTGATGAGCTTGTTGATTCTCCTTTCGAAGGTGATCGACTTAGTTGACTCTTGTCACCACTTGCGTGACTTGAGCCAACACCCAAACCAAGAACCATTTTAGGAAGATCAGAGAAATGACCTCTTGTTAAGAAGGAGGAGGCTCCTCCAACACCCGACGAATTGTTACTCGTTTCATCACTACCACCGCTATGACTACTCTTATTATTATTATTCAAATCTCGGACCATTCTCATCATTTTGTAATATGTAAATTCAAGCTTCTGTGTTGACTTTCAGTGCGAATGGAGATAGACTTGTTGGAACCTACTACTCCTCAATCAGAAAACGAATAGAGTGTAAGAGTTTAATCACCGATGATAGTCTTGATAAGATTGGTGGTGACGATGCTGACTGCAATTTACTTTCAGATGGTACCTTTGAAATTGTACTTGGTGCCTTTGCAACAGTGACCACTGGAGATGTTATTTCGTTTTATCAGGATCCATCTAAAGGTGACTCTTCTCCAACTGTGGACGTTCCTGTTGCTTCAGGTTCATTTATTCCAGCACAACCTACAGCCATTCTCTTTGTTGAAAAGAATGTTGTGTCGTCATGTGATCGAGTAGTATTGGATGCTTCAGCCTCGGCCACATTGGACGGTAGAAAATTGCAATATTCTTGGTCTGCGTCAACAGCTCCCTCGAGCGATATGCTTTATTTCCTCAATGAACGTTTCTCTCAATGGAAATACTCGATTATGACCTTTGATGCTTCACTTCTTGAAACAGGCACCTATACAGTAGAAGTAACAGTTCAAAGTTCATTCAATACATTCTCCAAACAATCTATTTCGTTTGATGTCATTGGAAATGCTGTGCCAACAATTTCTCTGAAAGAAGGATTGAGTCCAACAGTCAATATTGGTTCTCTCGCGTTAATCAACGCTCACATTCGATTCCCACTGTGCTACAATGGCAATCCAAGATTAACCAGATGGAATTACACCATGGATGAGACCAAATCTTCAGCTGCCAATGTTGACATTAAATTCAGAGATGGAATTTTAGTATTTGGACCAAGTTATACCGTACTTCCCATTGAGGGAGATTATTATTTTTCTGTGACAGCTCAAGCAGATAGAGCTCAACCTGTTTCATTACAATTTAAGGTAACAGCTGTTGCAAAACCATTGCTTGTGAAATTTGACATCTTTGACGTCACTCAATCCACTGACGAAGTGTTATCGTTCAATGTTTTGACACTAGATCCAAGTGCCACCAGTGATACCTCCACACTCAACATTTCATGCTTTGATTTAGTCAACGCAGTAGATTGTGCGAACCTTCCCTCACCTATACAGACGCCATTCTCGAGCAAGCTTTTGGAAGGCAAGTACAAATTCACAGCTACCTACAGTAAAGGTGTAAGAAGTAATAGCGCCTCCTTAACTGTTACTGTGGTGAATATGGCCAGAGACGCAATGATCCGAGTGTCCATAGTGGCCATGTCCGTTGGCATGTCGAATCAAGTGGCTGACATGACTGCTGTTGATCCTTCGAAAGATTTGGTTCTTCTATCCAGGTTCATTGA